AAATTGTTTGTTCACATCATTCATTGTCATTTTGTGAGTAAATAAAACTCAATTTCTGATATTTGCAGACCCTTCCTTGCATTTCTCTTGAGCTTGGCTTGTCGTTTTCTTTTCCTTCGTCTTGCTGTTTGTAAGTCGTCATTGTTGGTTATCATAGATGGATAATTATCATTGCAGTGTGGGTGAAACATTCTGTAGACAATAATTGTAAAGTTAAATGTCAACCAATTTTGGTAGCAATTACAATTTACAGTTTAATCAGCTTTTGTCTCCATTTGCTGACTTGGAAATGACAAGAGAGAGACAATAATTTTTCAGACTAAAATTAGCTAATGTTTAACCAAGCTACTAAAAATATGTATGCCAATTTTGATCAAGTTTGGTATAGAAACAAAAGAGTTATTAAAATCAAAACACGATTCCAAAACTTTTGCAATGCACTGTAAGTTAATGAAATCAGTATAATGAGATGCTCATTCCTTAATGTGGTCACAGCAAGAGTGAAGATATCAATGGTTCACTTGAGCTAATAGTCCTTGGTACTCGCAAATCCACCGAAAGAATAGATATGTTCATCAACAGCAACAGCAACATTGACTCGCTCAAGTCCACCTCCAATTTGCTTCCAAACTAACGTGTTGAATCTAGTGCCCATACCTTAATTGAAAGCCCAAGAACCAACTGTAAGTCTATTACTGGATCTACGATCTTTTCTTTCGTTTAGGCTAATGATGAATTTTCAATCAGATAATTTTTCTTCGTGTTTTTGTGATTTTTGAAATGAGTGAATTCAATTAATTGAATCAATAGAGATGTAAAGATAATCTTGAGAATTGAAAATAAATTTATTTGTATGGTTCATTTTTGGACCTCTTCACATCGTCCAAGCACAATTACTAGCATTATTATGATGAAAAGAGTAACAATAAAACTAATCATAATAGTAACAATAATGTTTATAACATGATAATACTTTACTGTTATCATATTTTATTACCTTTAGACAACAATAATAGAATCACGTTGTTACTTTACTCTTACAGCTTATTATCATTACTATTATAATAGCTCAATGTTTGCTATTATTAGCTTTACAACTATTAATATTTACTTTATAGTTTCATGGTAAATTATTATACTGTCATGGATCAAGCTAATTACACTGAAAGACAAAAATACTATACACACTTTTCAAAAATGGCAATTTATTTGATTTTTCTCATTACAATTTGTCAATACCCAGTATATAGCCCACCAGCTTGGTAAAGGGCAACAAATCTTCGGTTTACACCAAGAATAAGTCGGTCAATGTAATTTTGATCAATGTTATTCCAAATTGAATTTAAGGCTAATTTCAGCTCAGAAACGTTTTTTGGTTTAATTTTCAATTTAATCATTTGTTTTGCCATGTAATCCCATACATGTTCGATGGGATTCATGTCAGGAGACTGACCGACCCATGGAAGAGATTCAACACCCCTTAGTTGCTTCCATAATGTTATGTAAGCAGCTCGATGACATGGAGCTCCATCATCCATGAAAATGAATTTTTTTTTGATATTTGAATTTAAAATTGGTCTCAGATACTCTTCTAATATTTCTGCATAAACAAATCGATCGATAGAGCAATCAACAAAACACAATTTAGATCTCCCTCCATAGTAAATTGCTCCCCAAACCATTACACCATTGCTCATTTTTACAGTCGGTACAACAAATTTCGGGTCATTTGCTTCTCCTGATCGGCGCCAAACTTTCACTTGTCGAGAGTCAGCAAATTGACAAAATCGACTTTCATCACTAAAGATGGTTCGTTTCCAAAATCCAATAGTTTTTTCTTTCATTTTGATTGACCAATTAAAGCGTCTTTCAATTGAGAATGGTGTCAATAACGGTCGTCTTCGAGCGATTCTCTGAGTTAATCCATCACTTTTCAGAACTTTCTTGATTGTTTTAGGATGACAGTTGTATCGAGAGGCTATTTCACTTAGAGGTGTTCGTGGTTCATCTCTCACAATCTTTATTATTTCATTTTGGGTTGACTCAAGAAATTTCAATTTTCTTCCACTCCTATGTTTTGGACCAATTTGACCTTCATTAGCTCTTTTTATCAAATTATAAACCGACTTTCGGCTAATTTCTAGATTTTTTGAAATCAGCGTAGCTCCATGTCCACTTTCATGCAATGAAATCACTCTTCCATACATGAAACTATCTAAATCTTTAATATTTGCGTAACGTGGCATTTTTACCTAATTTGACCGATAATTTGCACTAAAATAAAAGAAACAATATGCACTTTGTTTTGAAAAAATGAGCAGCTCAAGAGCTTTCATTTGATATATAAACCTAATTTATAAACCGATTATAGCCACAGAAATAAGAAGTTTAATTATTTTCGTTAACCGAAAAATAGTGTGTATAGTATTTTTGTCTTTCAGTGTATACAACGTTTTTCCCATTGATGGTAAGGTGCTTGAGAAGCCACTATAAAATGACCAAACAATTTATTTTAATTTTTCTTCTGACAACTCAATTAAGACTCGAAATGACTGCTCTTCATCAAAACGATCAAGCGAGTTCGATCGATGAATTTTGTGCAAATCTTTTGCATCTGGTTCAAGTCTTTGTCATTTAATTTTAACCAGATTTCGAATTCGATTCAGATTTTTTGGGTTCTTTCCATTCACCTAAACATTCATTGCACACAAAAGTTCAGCTGATTGTTAATATTACTTGCTAATTGACGGGAAACCATCGACTCATCAAACATGAAGTCTTTTCAGATTCATTTATTCAGTAAACAAAAAAGTTGATTCAATCTGATAGGATTCTTATGGGAGTTTCAGTTAATTACATCTAATTTAAGATTAATTAAATGGTCAGTTGGATTGATTGTTTGCAATAACAATTAGATGATTTTGACTGGAAAACAAAAAGCTATATTGTCTTTGTCCAAAAGCTTTCCATGAGTTTTTTGTTTCCAAGATCAATGATTGAATCAGAAAATTTTGTGGTAAAACTTGAAATGGAAACGTGTAAATGTTGGAATATTTATTTATCCTGATACTTTTTTCCACCAGGCAAACACCCAACTGTGATTAACTATCGCCCATGAAACTACTTTTCCTGAATCATCATCATTATCCTCATGGAAACTGATAAAGAAAGCTTGTTCCATTTTCACTCCCAAGTGTCTTTCAAGTTTAACTTGCCAGTGTTATCGGAAAGCCAAGAGTAACTGACTTCAAAGATAACCATTTCATCTTATTACATCTTGAAGTAAATGCTGAGAAATGCAGAAAAAAGAATCAAAAAATTGTAAAATTCAGTTTAACTTGAATACTTGCAATTTGCTTTGTTTAACCTTTTTGATTTTCAGATTTGAAATTGAAAATTTGCTTTAGCTCAATTGGACAGCTAATGATGCAAACTGTCCGAGTTTGAGTCTTTTAGTTTAAACTTCAATTTGGACAAATGAATCTGTTTGTGATTTGCTTTGAAAATTGAATCTTTCAAAGTTTATTTAATCTCATCATGGAAACTTGGTCGAATAGGAAAAGAATGGAAAAGGTCTTTTGCCTTCAATTCTCATTGGTATTCTTGATGAATACTTAGGATTCATATCTGATGAACAATGAGACTGTTTTGCCTTTTCTAATGGCTTTGACAATCAATTGATTTCCTTTTTCATTCTTACCTTGAATTGGACCATTGAAAGGACCAGAGTAAAGATTGTGACCAAATGTGAAACCTTCAATTAGATGCAACCAAACATCTCAGGAAATGTACTTTTATGCTCTTCTCTGTTCTTGTCCATCTTTTGTTTCTCATCCAATTTCATTTAATTCACTTCTCAATGTGATACCAATTATCAAGTCAAATTGTCTGACCATCTTAACTGTGTGACCATCAAAGCCTGAACCCAGTCTCAAGTCTTCTGATAACAAAACCTTGTAATTTGATGAGATTGAAAATGGACTCAAAGTGTAATCACACCATTTTAGCTTGCAACATTTTCATCTCCATTTGTTGTCCTTCTTATTGTCATCAAATTGAATGAATTTCATTAACTCAAAATCGAGTGAATACGAGAAAAAAAGTTGAACAATTTTCCTTTGTTCCAATCACGTTCAACTGTCGACTCATTAAATGCTGATAAATTATCACAGATAGTTAATTGTCACCTCACCAAGGCAAACAAATGGTAAACGTTAATGTTGGTTAGAGCGGAATGCCATTAAAAGCCAAAAGTCGATAACAATTTTACCATTTTTTTATCAATCAAAATATTAATTCATCAAATATTATGGGATCATGGTGAGGCTATAAGCAAAGGGAAATAAAAACGTGATCTGATTGATAAAAAAATGATAATATTGAACAATTATCGAGGTGAACTTGCAATGAACCATCAAATGAATTATCTAGTTTACTCATTTTTCCCATCTTTTCTTACAAAGGAAAAGGTGAAAATGTTGGATAAAAAAGGAGTTTTCACGTTAAACGGTTCCAATGATCAATTTCATGGTGATGTATGATCAAGACAAATGAAAATGATTTCCCATGTAATCCAAGGTTTCCACCAGAAAAATGTTGCAAAATGAATGGAAATTTTGGAAAAAAAAGATTTCCTTTCTTTAGGGTAAACTTGTTTCAGTTTCGCACTAAATTTTCAAAGTATTATAAAATGTCAATTTGATTATTCAAAATCAACCGATTTTAGCAAAGCTAAAGGCACATTTAGACATTAAAACAATTTACAATTCAATGTAAATCATCTGAGATCGAGATTCAAAATTAAACAGCTTTTGATTTTTGGTTCAATTTTTAAAACCAGAAAATTGGTTTACTGGTTTTGGGTTCATTTTGCTCTGGTTATTTGATTTTGGTTAAAATAAATTTTCATATCAAACCAAAAGCTAATGACACTAAAAACATAAACATTTGCTTTCTTTATTTTTTCACTAAAATGAAGCAAATGCTTTGGGAATGGGAAAAGATATTCAAGCTTTTTGTTTCATGAAACGAAATGATTGAATCATCTGAATTTGGCTGATTTTATCCATTATAATGAAGATTACTTGATTGACTTTTTCCTTATCATTTGAGTTATCATTTTGGACATTTGGTTTTCTCCTTTACTCAACAATTCCAATTGAATTGACCAATTGATCCCATGAAATCTATTAGCACACTTTGAACAGTTGAAGGTAAAAGGCTCATCATGATAAGTAGGATACAAAAAGATGGGAATTACCTTTGAGAATAATAAATATTTTTATTCATTTTCATCTTCAATAACCAATCAAAGAGGTAAAATTAAGTGTTCAATGAAATGTTTACCAACAGAATCTCGCCTTAAAAGTGATTGAGGTTTCAACTTTAAAACTGACAGGAAAAGGTTAACAAAATATTAGCTATTCACATTGAAAAGTTCAATTGATTATCATGATTAGATTAATCTGGTTGTTTGCTCGTTTCATCAGAAAATAATAGCTTTAGCAAAGAAAAGACCAGAAATTTTACCTTCTTTTTCTCAGTGTATTTGAAGATGAACAAAAAATCAAACTGAAAATGAAATCGAATTTAATTTAATTCGATTTATTGAATTTTATCTTTAAAATTGATGTGATTACGATTCCCTTTATCATCAATAATTTGATTTGAAGCTGAAAAAGTAAAATAAAAACGAAATATATTTTATTAGTTTTGATTCATTAAATATTATAACATTTCCTGTTTACCTTGGACCAAAAAATGCCATTGAAAAAGCATATTGAAGTTTACAACTGAATCATTCAATATGATACTTCATCATCATCATCATCATGGTCTAAGATTACATTGACAAAAGGACAATGGAATAAAAATGAAATTGAAAGAGCGAAAATGATTTTTTTACCTCTTTTCTTCTTCTTTTTTAATGTTATTTTGATTGATCGTCGTTATCAATAGTAATTGGTGAGGTAACATTATTCCGTTTCTGGGATTGGTCTCATCATTATCATGATAACAATCAATGAAACAAAATTATATCAAGCAAAAAATGGGAGAAACGTTGAGGGACGAAAAAGAAACCATAACATGCTGAAAATACCTTGGCTTTTGTTGAAACGACCTTTTCGTGGCTTGAATTGTTAATTTTGATGGAAACCAAAATTGTCAGCCTTTTTTTACTTCTTCCCTTCTCAACTTTACTGTTGGGTTAATACATCAACACAACCAATCATTAGTATGAATCTTGAGCTAAATGTTTCATCCAATCTTGCGTGAAAATAATTTAATCCTCAACGTCTTTAATCTTTTCTCCTATTTTTTGCTTCTATTTTCCTCTCCTTTTTTTGCCAACAACGTTTCCTAAACATTCTGGCATTAATATCAATAGTTCAATATCATACTCATTATCATTAGTGTAAGTAGCAGCAGCATCATGAGATGATATTAAACTAATTGAGTGGTTTAACCATTTGCCAAGAATTAAATTTTGCTCTTTGTATAAATAATTAATCTTTGCTTTGTTATTGTCCTTGCGTGTGAATAGTCCAATTTTTTTGTTCCTTCGGTAAAAGTCATTGATATTGCTTGGGTTTGTATTTTTTGAAAAACGTCCTTTTCCGAGAAATTTACATTAGATTAGTCCTGGAACCATTTTTACAGATTTACCGTGAACCAGAATTGAATTGATTGCTGTGAGTAAGGGAAATTTAATTCCAAAACAGTTTCCATGAAAATCATCTCGATCAATGTCCCACATCATGATGCCACCAAGATTCAATTGTTTAACAAACTGGGCTTTTAAAGCAGCTGAAAATGGATGATCAAATGAGGCCCATTGGTTGTTGTAATAAGTGTAAAACAATTCATTTTCCGAGTTTCGAACAAGTTTCCAACCTTTCTTCTGGATTCGATCACAAATCTAAAGTAAAAAAGAGTGAAATTGTTAGAGCCAAAAAATGTCAGAAGTTTTAAAATGTAAAGCAAAAGATAGTAAGAAACAATTAATATCTAAACATGAAACAAGGCAAAATAAAGATTAATTAAACATTCAATTTTCGTCTTCTTATTATTCTTCATTATCTTTTTTTTTCTTCATTCTCATTCTTCAGCATCTTCATGTGAAATTGAATTTTTGTTCAACTCTATGTTGAAGTCACCAACAACAACAATAATAATAAAATGGGTCGATGGTTAATTTAACCAAAAGTCAATCAAGATAATTTGAATAGTTGAGCAAACTTTTAGTGATTCAAATTAAGGACAAAAGATTCCAAGTGCCCATTCAAGCTTATCTGTATTTTTATGTAAACACAATTTTCTTGTTTCCTTCCTTTTTCTTGTTCATCTTTCTCATCACCTTCAACCCTTGTTATTCAATAATACTAATCTTGAATGCATTCCTTCACCATATTATTCTGTATTAAGAAGCATCATCACCATCATAATATTGATATTAACTATTATCTTTTTTACCTTCGACAATGTTATGGCAATAATTCAATGTCACATCAGCTATTGAGCTAATAAATGATTCGCAAAGTTAAACTATAAGACTCTGCCTTTTCCCATTAACAACAATCAACTGATTTTCACTAAAATGGATCATGAACCATTACGATTGGTTACAATGAATTCATTGTCTCTTCTTTCCTTAGCAATAAAAATATTTTCCATGTTTATAACATCGATAATTGTTAACTTGTAATAGCTTGGTTCATGGGCTAAGCTGTGCTTTAAGCTAAGAAGGTCCTGTTGTTCATTTGATTAGTGTTGAAATGGCTTGGATTTAAACGAGTGTTTACTTGAATGGGCCAAATAGAATGGATTGTTTACTTGATTTGGGTTGAATCAAATGAATTACAAGGCTGTAACTTTGTCTTTATTTTCCTGGTGTTTTCTTTTTGGTTAACCAAATTTATGTTTACTTGCATCTCACTTCTATTCAAATACACATACTGGGCTGGAATTATGTTGGCTGTTACTCTGAATTACTTCATCATGGTGTGAGGATAATATGAATTGACAGATAACCCAAGATAATACCTTTCACCTTTTGAGCATTATTCTTATGGTAAACTTAAATGAAAAAAAAGGAATAGAAGAAATAGAAGAAATGTTAAAAGATATTATTAGAAGCGTACAGAATTGATCGTTTACAGTTGATTAGATCAATTTTATACATCAAGATGAATTGAAGAGAGATTAATGTGAATATAAATAAATATTTATACATATATTCGACTATAATCTTGAATAAGCTGATAGCAGTTGAAACAAATAATTGACAATCATTGGATCCAATATTGTTGCAAGAACTAAAAAGTAAACAATTATCAATCAATTGAGTGAAACCACATGAATAAATCCTTCAAGTTTTACAGCATTTAAGACGATTTGAGAATAAAAGTCTTTTTTCTTCTTTTGCTTGTTTTTATTATGGGACTATGCTGACGTGAATAGAGATTGTAAGTGTGGTTAAAAATTTGATTGTGGTTATAATTACCTCATAAAAAGCTAATAACCCTTCAGCCAAAGTAAACTCTCCTTTGTCTCCTGGTCCTTTAACAGCAGCACCAATTCCATGGTCATTTGAATCAACTAGAGTGAAGCTACGTGCAAAACTGGGGAAACCAAGAACTAATTTACGACTTGGAATTCCTCTGGACATGTAAAGATGCAGACTTGAATTCTAATAAATTAAAGAAGCAAAGAGTTAAGAATTTGAATTGAATTGAAAGCTGCAGCTCAACAGGCGATCATGTCTTTCACAAATTAATTAATATCACTTAGACGTTCATCATGAGAATTAACTTTCACTCGATTTTTTATTAAGACATGTTACTCACAGCATTGAGATCAACTGGAAATCCTGGTTGGCTAAATAGTGGAGATTGGTGGCCAGTCATTTGATTCCAATGAGCGACATAATCAAATGTCATTACATTTATATAGTCCAAGCGACTTAATGCAGTAAAATCATAGCTACGCTTTGCTATCATTGGATCACCAGACACTGTTGCTGTAACCAGAAGACGTGATTCGGATTGATCGAAGGCATCCTTCAATTCCCTTACAAAATGGCCAAAATTTTCCCGATCTTCAGAGTGAACATTCTGAGAGCGACAATCCCCATTCCAGCAAACAGGATAAAACCAAGCCAAATCGAGTCCATCGAAACCATGAAGTAACAAGAAAGTTACAGCATGGTCAATAAATGCTTTTCGATTCAACCGTTCAGATATTAAAGTCGAAAATTTGTCTGACTGTTCTGACCAGCCTCCAATGGATAAAAGTATCTTCAGTCCTTGATTGGATTCCTTCAAAGCAATCACTCGCTACAGAAGATTAAAAAGAAGAATAAAGAGCGAATAAAATTAATGATGGTCATCATAAATGATCAAATTTTATATTAAAGTGAAATTAAAATTGTATTAATGTAGCATCTAACTCATAAAATCATCAGCATAATGTCAAAGTAAATCAATAAGAGCTTTATTTTGCTGTGAATTTTACCTTTGCTTAGGCTATGGCAGATAATGTGCCCTTTATAGACACAAACTAATCAAACGATTATTGAAACTAGCTCATGATACATGACTGAACAGTTGTGAATTTACAAAATTAAGTTTAAATTTATCTTACCTCATAGAATCGATTGTCAATTTCAGCCCATTTATCACTTGGTTCCATCAACAAAGTCTCACTATTTAAAACTGTGTAAGCATAATGAATATGGGTACACTTAGAGGCATCAATATCTTCAGGTAAGAACATTCCTCGACTTGTCCTGTACCATGCTTCAACCGCATAATAGTAGCAAACAATCTTATACGGCTTATTTGATCCAACAAATGATGGCTTATTTATAGAAGATAATCTCAAAGAGTTATTCAGTTGCAGCACTAAATGACAAGAAAATAGGAAAGAACAAAGAAAACTGTAAAATTGTAATCTTATGCGTCAAGATGTCGTTTGGTAAAAACCAAAAGATATTCAAAATTAAATTAGACAAAAGAGGTGACATCAGAGTTGAGTGATAACAAAAACGTTAATCTTACCAGAAAGTGTTGATTCTAATGAAACAATTAAGAGGATTAAACAGGGTAAAAGTAAACCTTTAACCATGTTGACAGAGTTAAAATCAACGTCAAGGTAATTGTGTAGGAATGGTTGTCCAAATTGTATGCCTCCAAATCATCATCTGCTAATCAACTAACGTTATGTTAATTGTTTGTCAATCGTTGAAAAACATTTCAGTGTTATGTTGAACTTGATTATGGCGAGGTGACAAGAAACTTATTAACAGTCAAAATTATGCATAAGAAGATTAACATGAGGCAGAAGAGTTAACCTATTATTGAATATACAAGGAATAAAAAGTGAGGGAAAAGTGACAATGACTAGGTTCAAAAGGCTGTTTGGTAGGGAACAAAAATGTCCTTAATTTACATATTATTAATTGGTGATTACAATTTTTGAATAAATGGTTAAATGTGTCTTAAAAATTAACTCTAATTTACTTGTTAAAATTATCATCACATGCATCATTTAATCGTTAAGATGAGTTGTTTTGAGGAAATCAAATCATCAAAATAATGTTGTTGACATTATTTTTGCTTCTTTGTTTTTTTAAGGTTGATGGATTATTCATAAGAAAACGGTTCAATTCCTTGCTCATCTCCTAACTGAACTTGACATTATTTTCTATCTCAGCTTTTTTATTCATTGTTAATATTATTATAACTTTTTCCACGTTTATTATTCACGAATTAATGTGACATGTATGATCATCTTTTTTTAAGAAAATAATTAGCGGTAATCAGGTTTGATTAAAATCAATGTAAGTTTTGACGAAAACAAAGGGAAAAAATGAATAGAGCTTATTTGTTCACTTAAATAGGATAATACAGAGTATTAAGAAATTTTATTAATCACAAATTATGTTTGCAAATTTGTACATTCATCAAATTGTTTTAAATTAGTTTAATTCGTTGATTACTCCGCTTTTAATTCAATAAACTGCTAAAAACGCAATCAACATAAATATTGGTCATTTCTTGAGCTCAAACATAAGAGGAATGGGTAATAAAGGTTGATAGAGTAAAATGATTGCGATGTTTGATTAATTGAAGAAGACAGGGGGAAAATGGTACAATTTTTTCATGTCAAGTTAGATATCATGAGCAATAGGTTGACTGGGAACTAGTCAAGAGTTGGTGGTGAAGGAATGGAAATAATTGTTCAAAAGAAATATGGCGAATGAAAGGGCAAGATATTAAAAAAGTTGAACTGAAATGAAAATTGAAGAGATTGATGAATACAATTGGGATTCATCTCCATACTTTGACACATCCATCGGAACTTGATGAAATTAACAAATTCATCTTATTGATCCAAACAAGATCTGTTATAGATGCTTTATGGGCTAGGGAAACTGCCTGTTGCTCCCAAATCAGACCAGAAGAGCCAATTGAAGCAGCTGAACCGAGTGAGTTGACCGATAAAGATGATGAGGAAGCGGAATGGGGAAAACCAGAGTCGAGAGAAGTAACCGATGGTTGTCTGTATGATTTATGTTCCTGAATAACTTGACATCCTTCCATCATTTTAGATTCATAATGAACTGAATAATCGCCTTGGTAGTTTTTGAGCGGAGGTGAGTAGGGCCAAGGAGAGGGTTTACCCGAATCTGAGATGAGACCGTTATTGTTAATATTTAAGTAATCCCAATATCGAATCTTAAAGTCGGTTCCTCCAGTTATGAGACATTCATTTCCAGCTCTATTTAAAACTACCATTCCGTTGACTGAACGTAAAGCATTATCTCGATTCTCTTGACAAAGAGCTGGAAGATCACTGGCCCAATAAGAACGCATTCTTTCGCCAGTACCACAATTCCATACAGCTACTTCATTATTACCTTGAACTATTGGATAAGAGAAAAAAGAGCAACCAAACATTTGGAGATTAGTTTGAAATATGATTACAAGAAATGAAATTAAATCGTATGAAACCTACCCGATGAGTAAATAGCGTTTGAAGTAATGAGAATACGCATAACCCTTTTGCTCTTCTTTTTGTCCTTACTGTGGAACATTGAATTGGCTTCAAGAATAAATCTGAGATCATAATTTATGATGAGACCACGAGAGGTTCCACAAGATAAAAGGTATTCATTTCCATCGATACAAGTAACCATTCCTCTGGCTAACGGTGCAAGAATGGAAAATGCTGGAGATTGTGTTGGAGGTTGCCTGAGATCACACCCTATTAACTGAGATGCTGTATTTGATATGGCGAAAACATTTGGTGAAATACTACACAAATCAGTTAAAACTAAATTGGTTCCCTCGCAACAATAATCCTTCATTCTATGCTGTAATCTCATCTTGGATGATGATGGATCCAATTGGAGAACATAAACAGCATTGGTGTTAGTGTAACAAACCAAACTTTCAACACCCGGTAGATATGTAACTGCTTTAAACTCTTCTGTTTCATCTGAAAGCCTGAAGCTTTGCTTGGATCGGTTTATCATGCAATTTCGATCTTCTACTTTCAATGCGTCCCAAACTTTTAAAGTTGCATCTGATGAACAGGTTACGAAGAGAGTTGTTGGGTCAATGACGGCTATCCTGTTGACCTGTTTACTATGCTCATGAAGTTGTCCTAATAAAGTACCTCGAGGTACATGAGAAGTGAAACCAATTTTGCTAGTATAACGAGGTTCATTATCAAAAATAGAAGGATCAGATAAGTGATAAGTGAAATAGTTTTTCTTGTGGTTCATTAAACCATGAAGATCATTGATACAAGGAGGACAAGTGGTCAACTGTTGACCATAATCATCAAGAATGTTTTCTTTAGCCTCTTGAGCAACTGGAATAGCATTGAGATCAGCCGATTTTTCACCACTAACAGTAACATCTAAAATTTCTTGAGATACTTCAATGCTGTCTTTTTGAGAGCCGAACATGGTGTGCCATTCTTCATTCATATTGATTCCAGAAGCCGATTGGTAATTTCTTCTACCAAGAGGATAATTTTTAAGCATCTCTGACAAAGACATTGAATGAGTCTTGCGATTTTTACGATTTAATTGAATGATATTTCCATAAATCTGGTCAGTTTCGGCTCGAGCTCGATACTCTCGATTAATTTTTCTCAGGATAGTTGATAATTTAAGAATTTGTTCTTCTTGCTCTTCAGTCAATTTATCTTCCACTTGGTTTGAAATAGCGTTCAGAAGAGGACAAGTAACCTCGTTAGCAGCTTTATTTCCAGATCTTCCAAGGCTTCGAATCCTTTTTCTTTCTTTAAGGCACTCAATAAGTGGGACAAAACTATTGTTATGCAAGCTTGCAAAACGTGATGGCTGAACAATCATATCAAATACAGATCTTGGTAGAGGTGTCTTCAAGTTATCAAGAAGCAGATTAGTGTTTTCAAGTGAGAAAATTTCCTTGGTAACATATGGAGCAAGTAAAGGCATAATTTTACAGTAGACATCAGCTGGACTTAATTGAACCGCTAAGAGATGAATAAAGTATATTAAACTATGCCTTATCCAAATATTCGGATGACAGAGTAAGGGTATGGATTCACTTAAGATATCTAAAACTGAAGTTTTATCCCATAATTTCAGCTTTGTTAAATTAGCCAAGCAAAACAGAGTTTTGGAGATCACAGTTTCTTCTGTATCTGAGATACCTTGTTGGAGAAATGGCTTGAGAAGAGATAGACATTGGGATCCAAGATATTCAGCAATTGGCACAACGTTGTCGAAGAAAGCACACCGAAGTTCAAATCGATCCTAAAAGATATTCAAAGATTATTGATTTCATCAACTATGAGATCTAATCTGAACAAATTGGAAAAAGATACTCACAGCTTCATTTAAAAAAGTGAAAATGTGACTTAAGATCAGTTCATTTGTCTTATGGGGTCCGAAAAATTTACAAAGCTTAGAAATATTGTTTGAGAGTAGGTTAATTTTAACTGCACTTGCTGAATCTGTTAAGATATTTGCAACCATAATCTGGAAGCCTGAATGTAGAACTGCCAATTCATTTTGAAAATGCTTTTTATCGTGAGTAGTATGAGATGAAAACCTTGATGCGATATCGGCAAGATCAGCTAGATGCCTGGCCAATGCCATTCGAACGAGAATTGAACGGTCTTTAGCAAGTTGTGTCTACAAAGCAGAACAATAATGAAAGGAGAATTAAAATGATGATTTGAATAAATAAACTTAGGACTTACCAAATTAGGAAGAATATAATCAGGAAAAACATTACTATCACATGGAGGGACTTTTTCAACAGTTGAAAGGCAATAAGTTAAAAAAAAGATTGCTTCAGCTCTTACTCTTGGATCAGAATCACGAAGCATAACCATTAGGTAAGGCAATATTCTGTCCAAAATATGTGGAGAAATAACGGGCATATCACAGTTTAGAATCTCACTTAGAACCTCGAGGGCGATAATTTTTGCATGCAAATGTTTCATCGATCTCATAATCGATGTGACCAGTACAATTATCAAAAGTAATCCTTTTGAATCTTCTTTTTTGATTAAAGGAATGATTGCTTTCAGTTTGTTTGCCATCTTTATAATTTTCTCATCAGGTGGTAACTTAATTATATCTTTGAAAAAAATAAATAAGTCATTAAAATAATGGGGAAATAATGATGGAGTTAGATTTTTTAAATGATATGATGCTGATTTCCTTTGTTTCGGATCTAGATCGGTTAGACTCGAAACTAGATCCCGAATCTGTTTATCCGGGATTGAATCAATAATTTTGTTAAAGCTGTTTTGACAGCGTTCTCCAGATCTGAAAGAGAGTAAAGCTGAAAGATCGAAAAGACCACCATTAGATGAGTCTTCTGTGAAAAGTTCAGCGATAACACAGCCAAGACTGAACATATCCATAGCAGGTTTCAAGTTGTTGTGCGAATCCTGCATTGAAGAATGGATATAGCCCGGTGGAGTTAGGTCCCCCTGAGTATAGCTTTCTTGGATGAATCTTTCTGGAGCAACATTGCAGGTTCGTCTTCGTGAAGTGTCGAAAAAATAAGAAAAGTCTGCTGGATTGTCCTATAGAAAACAAGACAAAAGATTAGGAATAAGACTAGAACCAAGGCAAACAAAGAAAACCCATCCCCGTGTGTTAGTTATACTTTCATCTAGCGATTACTCTCTCTAAAATATTTACTCTGAAATGTAAATTCTGCAAAAAAATGTGAGATAATAAACTCAAATGACATTATGAAGATGCATAAATAAACAATGATACAGCTTTGCTGACGCAGTGAAATTACCAACACATAAAAGATGGAGGAATATTAGGTTGAATACTTAAATTATTAAACAATTAGACTTACTTCAGGAAGAAAAACGGGCTTGAAGGTCGCAAAATCTGTTAATAACACCCATAAATAGCTGGTAATAAGGATATTTTCTAATTTAATGTCTCCATGACATATACCCTTTTCATGAATCCATTCACAGCACTTGAGTAGCTGAAAAGCTATCCAGGTTTTCTCAAAGAAAGTTAAAAATGGCCGAGTAGATATTCTATCATACAAATTGAATTTGATGTATTGTCTTAACAGAACGGCAGCCTTCTCATTGATAACAGCTTTGCTGAATACCAAAGCATTTGGATTATCTTTCAAAGCTTCCTTCAGCCAATCGATCACTTCTTTATGACCCTTTAAATGTAGAGTTGGATCATTTATCACAAATACTTTGGCTACACCGAGACCAGGGGCATCTAATCCAGAGTGGTTGGAAGATGAAAGCACATCAGATGCTTGAGGGCGTATTTGATGAAGCTTAACCCGAGCCACTTTGAAGAATCGAGTAGATCCGAGGTTACCATCAAAAGTAATCAATTCAGAGTTGGCTATGTCTGAAATGTAATACTCTGTGGGATGAATTTGTACTGGAACAACTCCGGACAAATGATTGCCCATGTTGAATAAATTTTATAATAATAAGTCTTAAACACAATAATATTTTCTTCACAAGCAATACAAGTGTATTTTCGCTACAAAGAAGCTGAGATAACAGTTGTTTTATTGTTAAAACGAAACAAATAAACAAACCAGTGGGCCGAGCTTAAAAAGTCGCATAGAAAATACTAGATGGCAGCTTAACAGTAAATAATGTTCAAAAATGATTTATTTCACGAAATTAATCAATAATCTGATTATTAATTGTTACTGAAATGATTATTGCATCTTCAATTCAATTATAGAAACCTCAGTGATTAAGGAAATATAATGGTTTATTGGCAATCAGTTAAAAGTAGTTTTCTGAATATTTGCAGTATGAATAACACTGCTTAAGCTATTTAAACAAAAAAACTGTTTGCGTTGTCACAGTTACCAACGGATTTTTCATTTTGAATTTTCCTTAAGCGGGATAGTGTTAGTCTTTTAATCATTTCTTAAGTTAATTATTTCAATTGTACAACTCCAATCACGTTTATTTTTTGTTTTCTCGTGTTTATTTGGCTAATAGCTATGCTGTGTAATAGTTTAGTTGACTTATCGTCAATTCATATTCCTGATAAAAGGTGAGTTTGTCTTTGTTTGTCAATCTAAATTTGGAATGACAACCTTCATCTTCTAACTTGGCATTAATTTTGACATTTTCTTTGTTATTTTTATCATTTTTTTGTCGATGCATCAAATAAATTCCAATCCAGTAATGATGGGGCAACTAAAGATGAAAGCTCAATCAAATCTGATGGATCACTGCCATCTTTGCGAGAGCCTTTAAAAGTTTTTTCTCCCAATACAATGGGAAAAGTAAACGGACAAGCCATGACAATGAAACAAATCGATGCTGAGTTGAATGCTTTACGAAGAGAAAACTTTGACCTCAAGTTAAGGCTTTATGTTGAAAATCAGAAAAAAGGTTCTAAAAAGACACATTTTGGTAAGTCTTACAATCCTCTCAAATTTAAAATCTTTTCGAATACTGATTGGTTTTGATCAGTTTTGAGTGATTCTACTATTTCTTCAATTAACCTTTCAATGCAAATGTATCCATAAATTTATTTTTCATTCCAGATGACGATGAACGCAAGGATAAGCCTTCTAACACCATCGAAGAAAACTTCAAAAAGATATTGATTGATAAAGATAATCAAATACGAAACTTGAAAAGTCAGCTTAATGACTTGGACAACAAGATGAAATTTGAAATAGGAATCCTTCGTCGTGAAAAAGAAGCGTATGCAAATGATTTGGAAACTAGTGAGAATCTCTGTAGACAATTTATGGAGCATCTTACTGAAGTATGTGATTTTTGGAGAAAATTCCTGCTGGAAGCTAATTCAAGTGGTGATCACAGTTTATTAGAATCCATTTCAAACTTGTTGAACTCATCTCAGGATATACTAAATTCATCTTCATTTATTATAAATGGTATTTCAAATTTTTACTTCTCCTTGTCTATTATTATTCGAATCACAATAATCTCTAATCACTTCTTTTTTGCTTTCAAATCACTATAGAGAAACTTAGAGATGGATCATCAAAAATTATCAATGAACCTTCATCTGACAAATTGCGGAACAAATTGAAGGAACTCAAAAGATCCAGTGAAATTAAAGGTAATTTGTTGATTTTCTTCATTCAATAATAAATCAAATTTATTGCTTCTGTTCGACTGATTCCCAAATGTTGAGTTTTGCAAATATCATATCTGTTTATTTAATTATGCGCTTAGGTTTTAAGTTTCAAGTTTAATCAATTTACTGCTAATAATTCATGGATGCACAATAATTATATCAAGTTAAGTTTTATTCCAAGCTTTGTATAATGAACAGGAACCTAAATTTTCAAGAGTCATATTGAATTTAAATCAGCTATTTATGATCTTCAATGAACAATAGGAAACATGCTAATGTATGCTACACTTGTTAATTTTACTCTTTACTTCTAATTCAATCAACTTTTGAATAACATAATGATCTGTTGTTAGTCTTTCTTTTCTTTTTTTATAACATATAAATCTATAGAATCTATCCTTTCTTTCACCAAGATTCATCAGAGATTCATTATTTGGATGTTTTTAAAACAGTGAGATAATTGCATTTCTCATCTTTCTTTACCCTTTAAGCTTGTTATTATAAATACACTGTTCTTATGTATTAATTAATTAGGAACCTTGAATTAATTCTCTTGTTGTCAGTGTTTTATAAATACTCTAATCACTCAACATGGCTCTCCAATTTTTTTCATCTCTCATCAATCAATTGCAATCTTCGTATCTTGATAATTCAATTTGTTCATTCACAATCCCCCGCAGCTACTTGCACCTCTTACCTATTCAATACTTCACATTTATAAAATCAAGAAATGTGTCTTCTGTGTATTTTCTATTAGCCAGGCTTAGATAAACATTTCAATCTATTCAGTATGTTACTATAATGTATTCAACTTGATAATTACAACATAATTAAATTAAAAGAAATATTCACAGCTTTTAATGAATGCCATTAATTCAATATTTCTTAATTTTTACTTCTGCCTATAATTTTCCTTTTCAATATCTATTTCCACCAGGGAAATGCCATCAAAAAATATCCATTTCAAATTTTATACTGAATTTTTTCCTTTCTTCATCTCCTATTCTTGCAGGCATGTCATCATTGGGTCTACTTTCTGATTTGAGTCAGTTCATAACCAAGGATAACGCATCCGTCCCTGTTAAAATTGATTGTGAAATTCAAACAGATATGGTTGCTAGCGAGATAAAAGCTCTAATTCAAACTGCTGTCTTGTTAGGTAATCGAAGAGGTTCTGATTCTGCAACTCAAACGCAATCAGTCAGATCAACTGAAAAAGAATGTCAAACATGTATCTCATCACATGTTAACCACCAAAAAACTCAAACTGATCCTAAACTATTAGCTAAAACTGGAAAAGATTTGTCTCTTCAATCAAAAATTTTGAATGGCCCCAACTCCAGATCAACTCAAACCCATTCTACAACCTTCGACAAAGCTGGCTCTGTTTCTGAAGTTAATTCCGAGGAAAGTGGAATTAAAAAATCAAAAAAATGTAAAAACTCTGAGTTAGGTAAGACTTCCTCAGGAAATCAGAATAACAATAAGCTCGATCTGAATTGTCTATTAAATAAACAAGTGGCGAAAAGTGATGACCTGGAAGATAATAAAGATGTTGAAAAATCTCCGGATGCTAGCTTCATTGCAGCTATGAAAAGTTTTACCATTTTTAAGTCTAATTTATCTCCTATCACCGAATCTCCTCGACTTAAGGAATATTCTCCTTCAGCAATCCAAGAAAGGCAAGATAAAGGAACTGTTAATGACCTCACTTATTCCCTCGAGAGTCTCAAGTTGAACAATTCATCTGGAGCTTCGCCTTGTCTTGGTAAAATGACTCCAAATCAAGTTGCTACTTCTGAAAGGAAAACGGTATCAATCAATGAAAGATTGAATACCATACAAAAAGCTGGTGGAAAAATAACATTGAGTCCATTAACTGAAAAGAATGGAACTGAAATAACTATTAAAAAAGCATCAAGCTTGAAAAAGAATCAATATCCACACTCGAAAGGAGAGATTACACCAAAACAAGCTGAAAAACATGTAATGTTGACGAGTCAAAACAAATTGATATCAAAAATGCCTGATAATGATAATGATTTCACCACTGACGATGAACCAAATGATGAGAAGGAAAGTGATTCTGTTCGTGTTTACCTTACCTTCAAATATTACCAGCTTCTTCGTGGTCATTTAGGTCAACTTTCTGTACGATTAAATGAATTAGATTCATTGAACAAGGATCATTTCGTTTTAGAAATAATTGACTCACAAGAATATTCAACAGCCGTTGAACCTTGCCTAACTAACATGAGAAAGACAATCAATTCTTGTCGAATAATTTGCCACCATTTTACCATTGTGGACGAAAATTCCGTTCTAGCTCAATATGAACGGATCAAAGCAAAAAAGGAGAACATCGAAAAGGCTATTAGTCAACAGATGAAAAAAGCAGACAAACTCCTGAAAAAGGCCAAAATCAACTTGAGAGTTTAAGAGCTTTCCAAAAAAATTCCTGAATGATATTTTTTTCTCAATCCCTTTCCATCATTGTATTAATCACCTTTTTTACATTTATTTTTATTCCTTTCATAAAACTCTGTACTTTATATAACTCTACTTTTTGATGATTATTACCTTCCATATGTATTTTAATACCTTTTCATCTTAATTTGTTTTTTTTGTCTTCTCCTTTTTGTTTTCATTTTATTGTAAGCATTCAGTCTCAAGTTGGGATTTAATGGTTAGCAAACCAACGAATAACATCGCTTGAATCTGAAAGCTGACCATGTAAACTCATGTTTACTTATATTTATTATAAAACAGGAAAGATAATACGAGTCTACCTATTTTCATAACTTACGACTGTAATTTAATCAAACAAACAATGCAAGGTTTACATTTATTAATACATTAAAATGATACAAAATAGTATCCAGAAAATGTATTTTTATTTCAACTTTTTATCTGCTAATAAAAGCAAGAAAATGAAACGTAAATAGATTGACAATTAACAAATGGATTTACTAAATCATCAATATAAAGTTAAAATGACCATTAAAATTGACACTTTTACCGTTGAAAATATATTAGACTAATGACAATTAACACAATGTAGAGGCGAATATTGAAGATGATAAATCATTGAGCTTAATAATGGGCTAATTAAAGCAAATACATGTTGAATCACAAATTGAATGGATTGTTAGTTTATCGTTGACCACCATTATGATCATTATTATTATAAAGTTACAATTAATAGGTTAACAATTGGTGGACAGAAAAAAAACAATCAAAGAAAAGATCAACATAGAACCCTTGAGATAACTCTAATTGGATAGTTACTCACTCCATTTGTGGATCAGATTCTTTCCCTTTTCCATCACCATAATCATCATTTTCATCATTTCCATCATCTTCATCATGCTCATCAGCTTTATAATCGTCTTCATGAAGATGATAAAAGAGTGAGAAAGATTAAACTGTGTGATCTTGCGCTCTCCAAGACTCAGCGTGAAAAAAAAACAGTGAACCAAGAATGTTTATATTCCTTTGCCTCTGAAGCAGCCTGAAGGAGTAAAGATTCAGTAACTTTATTTTTTTGTGTGTGTTCTCGTGAATAACATGATGATAAATTGTGAGCCTTATTTTTTATTGTTTAACACCATTGCCTTGAAATGTGTTATAAACGCCAGTTGAAAACAGTGTCACTCGTAAACTTCAACTTGCAATGACAATATACCAACGGTGACAGTTGATCTTGTCCTCATTAAAAGACCAAACTAAATGACACCAATTCACTGACTAATCATCTAATCATCTTTAATCAAATCTAAAACATCATCAACATAATTACCAACCATCTCAAGATACCAAAGCAAAGCCAAAGACAAAGTCACTTTTATATTAAACTCAACATTTGGTTAATTGTTTTTAAAACTGTTACAACAATCAAGCTGGTCAATAAGATCATATGTATTACAATTAGTTAATCAACTATAGTTACTATCGACAATGGCTTTAATCAAACGATGTTGCTTCTTTTCCTTACGCAAAGGAAGCTATTTGAGTGCATTTTACACTTTGGTATGTAACACTAACATTAACCATTCCCAAGCAATTTAATTGTGAATCCCTTGCAAGTTTATCAACCATTTAATTGTTCCTTTAACATTCTTCATTTTAATTGTCCTTCCAACTGCAATTATTAATTAAATTAATCCATAAATAAAAGGCAGACAACAGCAGTAGCAAAAGCAACTGTGTACATCTGATTAATAAGCAGTTTCCCTTAACCATTCAATTGTATTAACTTGATTACATTAACATTTGTATTACTTTTACTTGATTACATCTATTGTATTTAATTAACAATCTAATAGTCTGTTGATTAAAAGATTGTCCTTAAATGTAGCTCAACAAAACACACTTCTGTTCAACTAATGTGAACAATCTCGATGCAATTCCAGTAAATAACAACTAATCAAGAATGGTTATTATACAATTTTACTGAGAAAAGTTCAATTAATTGAGCAACTTAGACTTTCAACTTTTAACCAATTCAGTTCATCTGTTTCCATGAAAATAATGAGAATAACTTTTCTTTTCTTTTCAAGATTTCAACCTTTTCTTTGGATCAGATAATATACAATTTGAAATTTATGTATGCACATGAATTAACATTAAGTTGTTGGTACAAGTTACAACAGTTGTAATCACCTTTAACCATCATCAACTACTTAACAATTCATAAATTAAATTAATATATTATCGTTGTGTGTAAATATATTTATAAATATGTAACATTAAAAACAAACATTTCCCGTTGTTCAGATAACAATAAGCACAACAAAACAGCAAAATTATTGTTCTGTTATTTTAAATAAATGATAATCATCATTCCCAGAAGTATTTACAATTTAATGTTGATAGTATGAAAGGTTCAACAATAGCTAAGTTTTATTGATTCAATTGTTTACAACACGTTTTTGTGAAACATTTCCAGAAAAAACAATTCAAAACAATTTAAAAATTTCTTTGTTTCACGACTGAATCAATGAACATTTCAAAGGCTAGGTTAGGTTTAGACAGAATCTCAATCCCATTGGCAAGATCGGTGATTTCAAGCTCAATTCACAGATTAAAGAAGTGAAAAGATCGATTCCCGAAAAGCTTTTGAGTTTAGCTGTTATTTCGCATAAAGATAATCTAGAGAAACAGTTTGAACTTATTTTCCTATTGAAACTCAGATGAATATTTTGTCCCATTGTTTTGATATTTTGACAAAATACACTAGTTCATGTTCAATGTTCAGAAAAGTTGAATCGCGAAAAAATATGAAAAGATATAAATTTCAAAAGGCTTCAAACGTTGAATCTCATATGCATCCTGATGATAGCCTCCTGTTGGTTTTTGATTAATATTGTAATCATAATGTTAATAAGATGTTAATGAATTTCTTGGTTATGTTCAGATTATCTGGAGGTAGTGTTATGTTTCCATGAGATGTTTGAGGTCATTTCGTTATTCAGGACTAGAACTATAAATAACAGCTAGATGTATAAGTTTTATTAAAGCTATTATTGGAAATGCATTAGATCAAGTCGCTTGGATCTTTGGTGTAAATAAAGTTGAAACAAAATTTTGCTAAAATTTTTCCCTTCGCTCAAGTGGCTAAGGTTCCATTAGATGAAAAAGATTAAACTCGGAGGCTTTAGTGGTGAAGTAACAGTGAATCAGTTTTCAATATGTATTGGAATTTGAGTGCTTCAAAAACGCTGAGGTGAACTTTTGATATTCTGAGAATTTGTACTCATTCTCTGTCGAGTGATTAAAATGTCAAAATTCTTTCAACTCGAGGATTGTTCTGTAGGTTGATCTTTCCTCGAGTATACTCGTGCCTTCAAAAGGTTAGGCTCAAGTTTGAGTTTAGAGCTTTCAAGATCAATCAATTACTCGATTTCATGCTCGAGAGAAAATGACTTTCTAGTTATCGTGTCAATTAGTTTATTTAGTTTCATGATTATTTAAATGAAAATACTATTGGATTTACAAGGATTTTGTGAGATTTTGGAGCAAATAAAATTTCATTTTAATGTATTCCTTTCGATTGATTATACAAAAATATAATTAGAAAACGCTGTAATGCAGTTGGCGATAGTTTCTCGCTTCATATTACTAGTTGATCGAGATGAAAATTGAGCTTCTTTATGTATTTCAATTTCACCAGAGTAGCTATTGAAATAACCTAACCGAGATGGTGGCTTAGTTTAGAATAGGAATTGCTTCGATTTCATGATCTCTGAGTTTCCATTTTTCACAATCCATCCTCTGTTAGATTTTTTTCACTAAAATGTGAAGTATGTTCACTAATTATTAATAGATAATCAAGAACGAACTGAACTTTGACATCTTCATTACGCACCAATGCTCAAGATGAACTCAAGTCAACTCTTGAAAGATTAAAATAAAATGAATTATGAATTGAAAGAATGATATTGAAAAATTGAATTATTTGCATTTCAATTACACTTGAAATAAACATACGAGCAAAACTATTACAAACCACTTGATTTTACATTTGCGTAGGACTGGCTTAAATAATCATAATCTCCATTCTGTAATTATCGAAACATGAAATCGAGCATTTTATTATTAAAACTCTAATTCAGATTGTATTTCATTTCCTTTACATTAAAAGTATCGTTTCTTGAAAAACCCAAAGGTTGATCAACTGACAATAACTCAGCAATCAAAATAGATGACCATTTTGCTAACAGAGTCAATCCATCTGCTTTCAATACAAATTTTACAATAGATTTTTATAGTTCTGATGAAGTTAATTTCATGCCAATAAATATTGACATCTGAATTTAGTTTATTTCAAGTCTAAAAGTTGAACTGACTCGACCAATTCAAATGTTGATCATCGCCAGGTTACTTCGCATTATTATTGAAACTGATTTGACTTCAAACCAAATAAACAAAAGGTTTATGACAAGAGTTGATTTGATGCTAACATTTAATTTGCTTTCCTGCTATAATTGAATAAAGCATCAAAGTGTAAAATTTAAACTCAACTTCAACTCTATTTGCTGTTGTTTTTCAGTGAAAAATGAATTACACTTTTCCATAATCCTAAAACCATTATCACTCTTAATAGAATCAATTTAATCCCATTTTCCTTTTCAATATTTTCATGATAAACTAAACTCTATTCTCTCATTGACTTGCCAACAGATATTTTACACTATAATTTTTATGGCTGGAACAATTAATATTCATTCAATGCAAAATGATTTCTGTAAGTATCAACATTGTCACCCAATAATCCATTTTAATCAACATTCTGCTTATCATTGAACAACACAGTCCAGAGTAATCTCATTTCATCCAACTCAAAGTTGCTCATAAATCATTGCTAATTAAATCAATTTTCCCATTCAATCATAACAGCAATTTAATTAGCCAACTCTATCTCAAATTAAATTTCAATTTTGACAAACTCATGTCAACTGAAGCAAACTGTTACAATCAACTTTGACAGTCAATCCTTGCGATACTTTTATCAATCATTTTCAACCTCAAATCTTAATTGATGATCGACCAAAGTTGAACATTTTTCGTAAATTGGTTTCGATGGCATTAAAGCCTATTCTTGATCATTGGCAATTTGTTTGCTCATGAAAGCTCACCAGTGACGAGGGAATTTTATTGCTTTTTTTCATCTTATTTTCAGTTCTTTATCATTTTTTATTTTCCTTTATTTATTTACGTCAATTGCTTTAAATTTTACTATCTATGCAGTTCAGGCAACCTTAAATTGATTTCAACTGGGAAATTGTATTCAAATAAATTGGGATAAAAAACTGTTACTATTAAAGATGAAACTCAAAGTAATACAAGTGTATTAAAATTGAAGGTTTTCCTCATTTAATCTCATTTTACCTTATTTCAGTTGAACATTTATTTTACAAATTGCAATTTAAGTTGAAGACAAAAAGAGAAATGAAACTTTGTAATTTGAATAAGCTGTTGACATGGCAAGATTCAATCAACTTTCCGGAATAATTGGACATTGTTAGATGATTTCAGATTCAAAGATTTGATAATCTTCTTTTGTTTCCATCATTAATTATCCGAGTTGATTGATTGTTGAACCTTTTTTTCTAGAAAATTTAATTGAAATTTAAATTGCAACTTTAATCTGAAAGTTGTTTCAGTTTTCATTGAATTTATTATAACATTAAAAGTTGAGATTTGTTGGGTGAAAGGTTAAAGTAAAAGCTCAATATATTGATTGGAAATGTTGGGATTAACATGAATTATCAATAGATTCAATAGAGTACGAAATGAGTCGATTTGAAATGAATCAGTTTCAATTATTCATTTCAAAGTTGATCTGGTTGACTTGGGAATCGATAGGCCAAGGCATTATCATGAATGTATTGAAATGCGGGCAACCGTGAGATTATTGGTCAATAGAATGGATTGGTCAAGATACCAATTGAATTACCAACTAGACTGACACATATGTGTGAAAAGCCTAAGGTTAAACTTTCAATGAATTCAATGTTTATATTAATATTTATAAATGGAAGCAAACAGTTAAAACTGATTTTCCTTTCAGTCATTCACTTTGCTTATTGTTCACTCAAATTTATCAATTTACTCCACAACATGATGAAGTTTATCCAAAAAATTGAAAATGTATGAATTGACTTTGCACTGATCGGTGATTTTGATAAAAATAACATCGATCTAAGGAACTGAATTTCTCTGCATAGCGATTATTATTTTATCTCATGTTTGGTCAAGTTGTGTGTTACTATTGATTTCCATGACATAACTCGAACAATCGGATTGTAAAGAACGGTTGACCTGAGGACAACGAAATTTCATGACTATTGATAGCTCAGATGTGTACCTTTTGATTTGGTTTTGCTCGAATAGTTGGCTTTATACTTTTGAATATAAGTAGAGTCGAATAGAATGAAATGTTTTATTTCCTCAGAATCAATTCGAGTCAAAGTAATAATCAGTCTGAACCATTCTGGACAATAACTAGTGATTAGAGTAGCCTTGAATCACTCGAGCAAGTCAATTAAATCTTAAGTCAAGAAAGTCCAACAAATAGCAGTCAAATGTTTAGGATCGACTTAAGTCATAAAAATGGTTCCATAGGTTTTGTTGAAATTACATTCATTTGTTTGTTTCCCTAATAATGCAAAAGGTCAATGATGAATGGTAAACCTAATCAACTTGGTAAACTAAGTCTATAAACTAGAGAAGGCTTACAATGTAAAATGAAAATTGAAAGTAACTCCAATTATTCAGAATTATCATTGTTAGCTAATTCAGTTATGGATGACCACATCAATTACATGTCACAATGATGCAAAATGAACCGTAAAATGCATTTTAAATTCAATTTAAGCTGATAAGCCTTGAAAAATGAGGATTCACTTTGCATCAACTCAATGAACCTCATCATCAACCTAACCATGATCACGTACCGTAAATGCTGACTGCTTCAAATGTATAATAACATTTACTCATCATTCCCAAACTGGAAAAGTATTTCGTTACAAAAGCGAACAAAAAAATGAACAAGAATAAGTTCAATGTATTCAGTCGAATTGTAATGAATGGATAAAAAATAAATTAATTTCTTCTGTTGACCTTTTCACAAAGATTCCTTGCCTTTAAGACGAACAGAATATGATTCGAAAATATAATCCTTTCGATGTCGGTAATCTAATAGCGTATAAAGTTATATGATCTGATTGTTGAAATTGTTTCAGTCAGCCATGGAAAGAAAAGTTGAAAAAAGTTTCCATTGAACTTCAACGTATTTACTGTTAAATGTTTCTGCAGATGAATAACTTTCAGATCATTTAGCTCCAGAAACTCATCAATTTCACAGTTGCTTTTAGCAATGAAATGCTCATTTTCACATATTTTTCCTGTAAAACTGGTCAAACATGAAACAAATGATTGCAAAGTTGAAAGTTGAATCGAAAAGCAAATCTAAAAATCTTTTTCTGTTTGGATAAATTTAAAGCTCATATCGAGTGAAAATTATTGCCATTCTTGCGATTCCATCAATGTTCAGACCAAGACATTTCCTGAAGTGTTATTAGCTAGAAGCAAAGCAATCTCAGTGAAACCATAAGACGAACCAAAAGAATGAGAAAATGACCGAAAAAAGACAAAACAAAATTGACTCTAATTATTGTCATCATGTATTTTCCTAATGAATTTCATCTCTACATAACTTGAACATAGGTTGAACTAGAATGGCAGGGAAAAGGGAAGAATAGAAGAATGATGTTGAAAAAGTTCCAAACAGATGAAAATGATGATGAACATTTCCTTGAACATACAAAAAATTGATAGATAATATTTAATGGCTTTTTTTGCCTCAAACTAGAGGAGAAGGCAAAAGATGGAATAAAAAAAGAGTCGAAATCTTATGAAAAGGAAAGAGCAAGGTGTAGAGAAGAGCGAAAATGGCGAAAACAATTTGTCCAGAAAAACTGAGTTGGAAGGGAAAATGGAAAGAAGAAAAGTTCTGGAAGAAGGAAAAGAAGTTGTGAAAATTGAAGGCTCATAATTTGAAGACATGATAATGATATCCATGGTCATTCAATTGGCTGCGCATTGTCTTCATGAAATTTCACCTTTCACTTGATGTGTCCATGGTAATCATGGCCATGATCATCATACTTAAAATGTCTTTCAAGATGCATTTTGAATGTTGGGCAACAATCCAAAGTTATTAGGTTTGACTGACTGAGAAAAGGATGAAACGTGAATTACATGCACAATGCTTGCATTTGACTAAAGGGAAAAGTCAGTGAAATTTAATAATTTTTTACCTTCTCTTGCAATAAATAATATCAGAATAATATCAAGTTTAAAGGAGAAAAAATGGAAAAGTAAAATTTGATGAAATCTCGACTGAATTTTCACCAAATCTCGACTCAATATTTACTCATTTGACTCTTAATTTAATCATGAAAACATTTGCATAAAGATGACTGCTTTTGCTTCTTCATATTGAGGTTTGGTAACGACTAGAGTGTTGGTACTTGATTAGCATTAATGTTGATCAATTTTCCAGTTTCATCTTTTAACTCTTTTTTCCTTCTTCTTCCATCTTTTTAGATGTTTTTGTTTCCGTGCTTTGTTTAATGATCATGTCAGCATTGACAATTGTCACATCAATTATCATGGTCCTCGGAATAAGTGGGGTAAGTTGAGTTAAAAGAATCAACGTTCAATTGATTTTCTCGCTTTTCCCTTCTTTCCATTTTCCAGGAAAATGTTAGCCTTTTGTTGCCTTGGATGGCAACCATTTCAATCTTAACAGTTCTTGAAGTATTCATAATTATCTTTATGATGGTTCGATCTGTTAAAGGAACGGTAAGTTTTCGAAAAAAAATTCATTTTTTTCTTTTCTTTTTTTCTGTTTACATGAAAGTTAATTGATGAATTGAAGGTAAATTAAGTGTCAATCAAAAGGGATTTTCTTGGACTTTTTTAGCTCAGTTGACAGACTTTTCATTTTTTTTCGTCTGTGACTTTTCAAAGCATTTTTGTTCAGTTTTGTTTCAACTGAATTTTGGCTTGAATGTTTCATATGTAAAATGATTGAACATTGATGAATTGACGGATAAACGAGAAAAGGGTTTTGAAACACTTTACTCTTATTGATTGTGACTTGTGCATTAGCTTCAATTGAAATGTTTTTCAATGTTTCTTTCAGTTTTGAACATTTTATGCAAAGTTGTTCAACAATTTAATAATAAATCAAAGTGTCAAATTTAATTACTTGTACACTTGAAGTTGCCAATCATTGTCCAGTTTGAATACGATTTGCATATTAAATTTAAACTCTTCATTTTACTCGAGTTTCCATTTTTTGTTACATTTTTTACCTTTTTGTTCAGAGGTTCACAAATGTTGTTTTACCGTTTTGTATGGCCATGAGAAACCTGAGAACAAGTGAAAGTGAAATGTTTGTGTTAACATTGCTGGTTGATTGGGTGATTAGAAAGATGAAACATTGAATTGATTAATGATCTGGAAACATGAATCTGATAGGAAAGGAGAATAAAGTTTCACGTTGGAAAAGATTATTTTCATACATTTACTGTTGGAAGAATCATATTGTTCATTATCAGCATGTTTCACTCCCTGTTGATATTACCTTGTTTGCTTTGTCTCTGTTTATTATTTTCATCAATACTCATCAATCAGACATTGACATTGTACATTTGTTCAACTGTCAGTTCAATAATGATAACAATAATCACCACTCATTGAAACTCCAATAATGTTAGACGTTGAATAATGAAATAAAAGCTGTAATCAATTTTGCCTTTTCATTCCAACTCCATGCTCAACACCTTGGAGTTTGCAATAGTTTTGATAAATCACATTCTACAGCTGATTCGTCCGATGTTTTTTGGGTATTGTGCAGCTCGTAGTTGACCTAGAGAGTTGATAATTATTTTATGTAAGTTTCTCAGATAAATTATTGCGATTTATATTTCGAGGACAAGGTCATCAAAGCTTATTTTTGGAAATCGCTCTTGTATATGTTAGAGGTTACATTTTTAGGTCTCACCAGCTTACTCCATGATCTTTTGCGAGCATTATTATCGTAGGAGATCCATATTTCATCACCTGTAATCATTCTTTCGAGGAAAGGTTCGGTTTCGTTTCTTTTTAGTAGAGATTCGCAAATCGACTCAAACATGACTCAATCGATTTTGCATTTTAAGTTCATGAGGAGCCTAAACATCTTGCTTTTTTGAATAACCATCCTTTTCCAAATGGTTTGAAACTGTCTTGTGATCAATCTATAGCTATATCACATCTACTGATATGACGGTCAGAAGTAATTTTTTCCAAGATTAAGTCCACTCTTTCGATAGATGGCGGACCAGACCTGCAAGCTTAAAATTATCTTCCTAGCAGTTCTTGAACCAATTTTGATCAACGGGAATTGAGGCAGTATCCATTGATTGTTCCATAAACTGAACAATTTTTGTAGCGGCTTGAGTTGCGTTGATGAACGTAAACTTTAGAATAGTACAAATTTCCAGCTTAGAGTAACACATGTTCATTGATTTATTTCTGATACGAAATGATCTCAGTTAAAAAATTTTCAGTCTTATTTAGGAACCTAGGTTTATCAGAAAATCCGTTCCAGAAAGATTACTCAAAGTTATTTGCATTTTTAATCAAAAATCACACACACAAAAATCGAAGTTTCCAGACATCCCCGTTAATAGCTGTAATATCATGACCTTTGGACAATTCAACCGACCAGATATTTTTGCTTATCAGTGAAAAGTGCTTAATTGCTTCGCCACACTCAGTCCTTGCAGTTCTTGCGGATAAAACAAGATTTTGTGCAGAAAGATAAAACTCAAGTTTATCAATTTTTCTTATATTGAAGATTTGTCAAATAATTTGATATTTGATGGTGCAGGGGTAATCAGCATAATATTTCTCATTGTATTAAGAAACTTTATAAGTCTGAATTTCATGGTCATAATCAAGACAGATTAGTAAGAAAAGAAAAGAAATCCTTGAATCACTTTTGCTTTGAAATGACAAAAGACGATTTTATCAATGAATATTTAGATTGTGAAATGATATACATTTTTCTTTTCATCGTTTCTTTCAGAATTCAGATCCATTTATGCTTGCCATGGTCATTGCTGATGTTATCATCGTTTCCGCAAATGTAAGTATTTATCGATAATTGTGTTTCATTCGAATGATCATTTTTTGAAAAGGATTCGCAAGCGAAGTTATTTCTTTTCATAAAATCTCATAATTTTTAAAGTCATTATGCATTTATATTATGACATGTAAATGATATTAATCATGGAATCCAGTGAATTCCCGAAGCATAAATAAGAATTTACCAATTTCAAAGTTTACAATGTTGAACACCTTGAAGCCATATGTTAACAATATCTTGATTCAACTGTGAATTGAAAATACTAACAACAACGTTACAAAGTCAACATCTATTTTTGGAAACAATTCAATTTGTCAAATATATTGTGTTAATCGTGTAAATTTCAATCAATAAAATTCAATTAAAGGCCTGAAATTGAACAGAATCATGTTATGAGAAAAACAAAATTTTTCATTAAAATTAATAATTCACTTCGACTTTCAGGGAAAAGATTGTATTTTGAAAATTACTTTCATTTTGAACATGAATCTCATTGTGAATAATGAACATCTATTTTTGTCCTTAAATGTTCATTTTAAATGTTAATCTGATCCACGCGAAAGTTGCTTGTCTTTTAAGGCACAAAAAAGCTGTTAAAAGATGCTTTTTGTCTCGAAGGAGAAGCAAAAATTTGCATCAAAAAATTGAATGTTTCAAATTCAGTTAAACTATTGTAACATTTCAACGATTTTTGGTTGTAAATCTGTTTCATGAAAGATGCATCAATCCATGAATCTATCAACTTCATTTTAGCAACTAATGAAATCTATTCAATCTTTTCACACATTCATATTTACATGAACAAAAAAAGGTGAAGAGAAAAGAATCTTCAAAGCTTGTAATGAATGAAACCAAAGGCTGTTTTTGATTCAACGGATTACAGTTTATGGCTTTTTGAATGTTCCATAATCCAACTACTTACTTGGTGCATGGTGTATTCAACAGTTGAACTGATGGGCTGATATTGCTTTGTGAAGAGGAAGAAAAAAGTAGGCAGAAAAAAAAGATGAGAAAATGAGACTTTTTTTTATGTTGATATGAAGAAAAACAAATCTTGAGCTTAACATTACAAGAGTAGATTCAGTATAGTTGAGATTATTCAGTTTTGTAATCTGATTTATTTCACCATGAAAACAAAAACTGGCATAAAAAAGCCAATATATTGAACAAGACTGAGATTTACCGGAATAAAGATAATGTTGAACGCAATCGAGTTACATTTTGAAATGTTCAATGTTTATTGAAAATGACTTTTTTTGCTTCACAATAAGCTGTCTCAGTGATGCCTTTAATATTTAGATGTAATCACAAAAACATTAATCAATAGTATTTTCTAAATATGCATTTTAAACAATTTAATATTTGGTCTTATTAAAATTATACAAAGTAAAACTTTAATACTTTTACCCAAGAATAATAACAATTGAAGGCCTAAAGTAAAATGAAATATCTTTTCCAGTAAATTGAACTTCAACATTTTCAAGGTAAGAATGTCATTTCAGGAAGAACCAGATATTTCAATTTGTAATTTCAATGGTCAAAAGATGAATCTCAATAAAATTGATTTCAATCTTTTATCAAATCAATTATTTTTCTTTACAATTTGTTATCGATTTGGAGTAACAAGACAGATTATTCGGAGTGAAAACTCCAAATCCTTACTTGGAGTTTCTGATAACTAATTTCAAGTTGAGTTGAGTTTTTTTCATTGTAACTAAATGAAGTTAATTAAACAGAATCATTAACAGAAGTTATCTTATTTCAAGGATTCCTTATGGAGATGATAATGATTGTCCCAGGTTTCTTTATCTCACCTTTTACTGGATTCGGTTGAGTCTCAACTTGCTTTGGTTCATCATAAGCTCATCATACTTTTTGTTTCATAATGATTATGATGAACTTTTTGCTGCTGTTTAACCATTTTACTTTCTTGTTCATTAATCTTGAAGATAAAAGGTTAACTCTAATTGGTTTGAGTTGCAAAAAATGGTAAAGTGAATGTTTGATGTTAAGTTTGATTGTAATCAGTGATAGCATGAATTTACTGGGAGGTGAAAACGGATGAATCTGGTTTAGTGAAAACGGTTAAGATAATGATAACTGTGATTCTGGATTCATCTTTTTCTTTTTCTTCTTCTGTTGAACTTGTTTCATTACAGATGATTTATGGTGAAACGGAATCAAGACAATTGTGGAGAAAAGTGAATGAAAGAGGAAAAAAGTGCTCAGCATTTCGCAAGGGTGAACATGATAACAGAAGTTGATGATCAAGAAATGGTGAAATTAACAGAATGAGAGAAAATAACTTTTTTCTATCCTTCAAGATGAAATGCTCTTTCCATTTGGTTATCAATTTTGGGATGAATAATGATGAATAATGATGAATCATTGTTGTGGTTATTGATAATCATATTGATAATATCTCATTTAAAAGTAGTTATTATCAATCATTTGGTTGTGACAATTCGCTTCAGTGTAAACATGTTACAGAATTGAATATGTTTCATTAATCATTCCATTTGCGTGTGAATATTTGTTTACTCCAACTGGGATTGATAAATATCAATTATCAAGTTTCGACGTTTCTCCCAACTTGGATAAGGTGTGAATCTCATCTCAGAATCACGTTGATTCTTTTCAATAAGCAAACTTAATCATTTCCTGGATTGTCTGTCTTTGGTGTTGGATCAAGTTGAAAGGTTTTGTAACATATTTGATACATTTAGCTGAGGCAGAATTTAGATAAGAATCAGAAGATTATATTCAGTTCAGTATTCAATTCCTGAATGTTGAGATTCGTTAGAATGAACTGAGCTTCTATCAAAAAGCTTAACTTTCTTAAACTCAGATTATGTGGTAAAACCATTTCACCTTTAATCTTTAATCAAACTTATCGACTCGTTAAAGATCGAGTTTGTCCACAAAATACGGTTTAGTAAACTCAGTCCATCGAGTTACTATTAGACCTTTAAGGTTAACCACAAGTTATGAGCATTAAAAAAGTCTGATTTCGATAGAAAAAGATAATGAAAATTTTCACGGAATTTCAGAAAGAAAAAAATTGTTTACAATAAAATACTGAATTTCATTGTATTCAAGCGATCATTGGAAACATCAAAAATAAGCATTTCAAACTGACTCTTGATGTTTGTTTTCATCTGTTTCTGTCTCTAAGACTGAACATGTAAATGGATTAAAATTCAGCAGAAAAGTTCATGAGTCAAGTTTATAATCTGAAACTCTATTCCAATCAGGATCAAGTATCAATTAATATTTCTAGCAAATCCCTGGATTAATAACAACACATTTCAAATAGTCAGAGCATTCTTATTGATTGTATAATAATCTACAACAGAACGATAAATACCAGAAATGGAACAGAATTTGGCGAATCGGAGTTAAAAGGTTGAAAACACTGGGAATGATTGTAATTTTTATCAATTATTACAATATTATCAAATAGATTATCTCATGGATTTGTGAATAGGAATTGTTATTTAGACCGAGTGGACTAGAAGATAAAGCAATTAACACAGTCAATGGAGTGAAAATTATGTAACTAGACAATAGTGAAAAGCATGAAATTTAGAAAAGAATTGAAATTCTCTGAACTGATGATCAATTTTTCTGTTGAAAGCAAACAAATTGAAGTCTTGTTTCTTCCTTTTATCGTTCATCTGATCAGTGAATTTGAAAGTTATAAAGATTGAAACATTTTGAATCTCTGTTGACACTTTCTGTGAATGTCTTTTACACTTATCGACTAAACAAATGTGATTCTCAATGAAATTGTTTTCACAAGTTTCATGAGAAAATGTTTTTCTTCCATTTAAACCTGACAGGATTACTTTATTTCTTTCAACAAGTTTCGCTGTAAAGTAAAACATTTCAAAATAATCTTTGTTCTTCTTGATAACAAGATGAACTTGAGAAAATTTAGAAAATTTTCATCAGTTTCATCTTTTGTTTTTCACTCTTTTCTTCAAATTGTTGTTCTTTAGCCATTGTTTCATATCGAGCTTTGCTTCTTAAACCATTTCGAGACAAAATTTTCTGTCGATTGGCTGTTGAACTCTGAACGATGTCTGCTTGTTCGAGATTAGTGTGAATAGGAAGTTGAGTTTGTTTTAAATCGGATTTCCTTTTTGTTTCAAAATTGAGCAAAATTGTGTTTCTTTAGTTCAAGGAATAACATGAAATGGATGAGATTTGACAACAAATGATTAAGAAGTTTGGTAAGAAAAGCAAAACTTTTGTTCAATAACAAAGCTCATGGAATCTGAGATTGAAGCCAACTTTGACCATTGAAAAGTAAATACAGTTAATTGGAATCCAAAATGGAATCAAAGTGAGAAGAAAAGTTTGCAAAAGAAACAAAAATTGGTAAAAATGTTGAGATTAGTATTGAATTTCAATGTTTCAACGATCAAGTTGCAGATGGAATTGAAAATTCTGAGCACAATCAATCGATAATTGTTGCTTGTTTTCACCATTAATGGCTATATTGAAGGGTAAAAAGTTATTGGTGAAAAGATTTTCATTTATAATGCAAGGTTTCACACTCATTAATTATTATAATTTTCAATTAAAGCAATGAATAGTTAATTAGAGTTGAGTGTTATCAGAATTGTTTTAATATAAACTTAACTGTAGGCTGTGCCAAAATTAATCAACTCTTATGTAAACAACAATTAATCATTGCCTTTGAGGATCAGCAGGATAAACTAATGAACAGTAAATGATCATTAACAGCATTTTCCTCCTTTTCATTGTTTCAATTGGGTTGCCTGTTACAAGGTTATCAAAAGTGTTCAATCAATGAATAGAAAATCAGATTAACTTGAGTAAATATTGATAAAAGTTTTACCTTTCATGGACTTGATGCACAGGTGGACACAACAAGTTGATTCAACATGAATTCATCAGAATAAGAGAGTTTAGTTTACTTTTGATAAACAACTTGAATCCATTGAAAGATTCCATTGATATTCATTAAGCTTTTTGACTTTCATGCTCTTCGTCAAACTCAATATTTACTTGTATTCAAGCAAAATGAATTGAAGAGTTTCTTGTGAAATCTTTTCAGTCTTTTTTCATTCAATTTTCACCGAAATTCACAGGTTCGAGCTTTGGACACTGAAGCAGTTTAAATTGGAACAGTTCTAAGAGTGAAGATGAGCATTTGGACAGTTTACAGATGAAGTGGTCAATCTTTACTCTCCTTGGGTCATGCGTTGCAAAACAAAGTCTGAACAAGTTTGATTTGGTAAACTAATCGAAATTGGAAACTAATTCTCAGAATTAATTATGGAATGACTTGAGAATCAAAAGAAAGTAATTTAGTGTTTAAGCGATCGATTAGTTATAATTATCATTGTTATAAATTGGAAGAAAGTTGACGATTCTTGGAAAACTAATTGAGATAATTGCGATTCGACAAAAGAAAGCTACTCTATGCATCTACGAATAACAGGAATCAGAAGTCACAATGACAACGGTCTCGTCAATTAGCAGGATTTATCATTGGTTTTACTGTATGGTTTCAGGTCTTTAAACTGCTGAATTGCAATAGGAATTGCATCAAAAGCACTTGTTAATGTTATTTCTATTAGTTTTCAAAGGAACTGTGAATGTCCGAACTTTGTTACAATTGCTATTAATGATCCTAACACTTGATCGATGAAATGGAAGCTTCAACATGTTAATTTACATTCATTTAAGCTTCTTATTAATTGAGATTTCTACCAATTTACACCGATTTTGCAAATAAAACAAATCAATAAAAGCATAATTCGTTGAGTATTATGCGATGTTCAATCTTATCAAATAAGATCGTGTAGCAAAAACTGAAACTTTGCAAAAATAGCTTCTCTCAACATTAATTGAACAGTTCTTGGGCTTATGAATGATTTAACCCATTTTACTCTGAATAAACTTTAACACATTGCAATAATTTTGACAATTTCTCATGACAAACGTGGAACATTTTAAGCAGTTCAATTCGTGAAATGTAAGAAGCAGAAGAAAAGATCTTTCAGTTTAAAAAGTAATCCAATTCAATTCGCAACCTTCAACTTCATTTTCAATCTCTGAGCTTATTAACCCTTCAAAGCAGCATTAACCTCATCAAACCTAACAATATCAAGTCAAACTGCTTGCATTCAAAATGATTTTGCTGTCTTCTGGATAACGCAAGATTCCCGCTCAAGATTGAAATTCAATGTGTAGCCATATAAAGATTTCATTAAATTAGACAATAAACGTTCTTTGATTGCTTGAGTTGGGTTAGTTCATTAAAAAGGATTTGATCAAAAACAATTTATCACAATTTACCCTGAAAATGTTTAGAAGTTGAATCGTTTGAATGGAAATACAAAACCTAAGAGAGTTTCATTTTGATGTATAATAGAGGAAACGGTCATCTTTTAATGTTGCCAAATTAAAACTAACGTCTTGACAATTTTAGAGAGCAATTAATCAAAACTTTCCTTCTCTTTGGTTTCACTTTTCAAGTTGAAACAAACGACCAGATTTTAGTTTAACTTGGCTTTTCATGTTACATTTCAGGGCAATTCCATGTGTTGATTCAAGTTTTGTTTCATTTGTTTTACTCATTTTCCCATCTATCAAAGTCTCTCGAGACTCAATTCAGAGCCAGTTGACAGCTGGAAAAGTTCATTAATCTTAATAATTATTGCGCTTTTTGTCATTTCTGGAAAGATGAAAGTTCTAGCCAAATAAAACAATTTCAAATGTAAATCTACTTTCTTCAAGAAACACTTCCTTTGTTCCAGCAATGGTCACTCCAATATTGTGGTCAAATGTTACAACAAAAGAAATCGAATGACAACGAAAATAAGTAAAAATGTACAAATGAATTCATTCTTAGACATTTGTAGACGTATTATTCTTTCATATCAACAATCAAACGTCAACATTGAACCTTAGACATTGATATTCTTACCTGGGAGTACAACTGGGAGTGCAAAATATCTCTGAACGTTCTTCTGATGAAACTGTGAATAAATTTACAAGTTGAATAGTTTTGCTCAATTTATGGTTACAATTGAAGTTATGATGAATGTTTGACTGTTTGGTTCGGTGAGAATCAATCAAGAACAAAGAATCTGATTCAATGATCCAGAATGACATTAATGATTTTTTGGAGAAAAGATTTTTGCATAAAAAATGAACAAAATGTCGAACTATTTTCTGTCTTTAACTTGAAAAACTGAGCTTGAATTATTTTCCAATTCTGGTTCAATGAATGTTGTCCTTTAAAGTCGTTTCAAGTTTATGTTGCATGTGATTACGAGAATTGATTTTACATTTATTGTCACATCATTTTGCATTTCATCACATTTTAATGAATCTCATGTTTTATCTCTTCTTTTTTCTCCATCCCATTATTGAACAGATTTATGGGCTTGTTTGTGTGGTTTCACTTTTCATTGAAATAAGAAGGAAAAGAAATTCTCAATCTCATGATGACACTCGATTGTATAAGGTAAATTCATCTTGTAATCCCTTTTGTTATCAAATTTTCATCAACACTCTACACCAACATAATCACCATCATCCCGAGTCCATGATTTGTCTTCCAGGAACGACCTGTTTAAGTTGAAGATACTGATAACTCGATCAGTTGAATGAGTTTATCTTTTCATTTCACCAAACAAATTGCTTCCATTCACAATGTTCAATTTTTAGTCAATTTCCAACTCAGATTATATTAAACAAGCTGAGCCCCCGATCATGGCTGATCGTAAATTTCTTTTCACTGAATACAATAAATTCAATCCACATTTAAAGACTCGAACTGTTGATGAAAAATCATTGTCAAAGAGAAAAACTAAAGAATTTTCGTTGATTTTGAGAGTTGTACAGTTACACAGTTACAGAGCACCAGATATTTAACTTACTCTTTGCTCGAAAGACAGTTTTACATAAACTCCTAGCCCAACAATAAACCATCAATCTGAATGAAAAAAAATTTTTCCCCCAAAGTCAATAGTAAAAGATACGGATTCTGCATTTTTTCCCCTACCCTGTTTAAACGCTGATTTCTCAGTAACCTGAATTCCGAGAAAGCTCTGACTATTTTTCGTAATTGAAGTTCAATCAGGGCTTTCATTCGATGTGAAAATTTTCTTTAGAATCCTTTTAGTTTGGTCACAATCTTCCCGCAAAAATTTCATAGTTTGACTTTATATATTGTATAGATTGTAAATCTCCAAATTGTCTTGATTAAGTTGGTAAATCCTTCTTTTCAAATTGTTGTTATTGTCAACGAAATTAATTTTTCAATTTCGCATTTGTTTTGTTGTTTTGTTAAAGCCTTTTTCATTTGGTAACAAAAGGACAATCGATTGGTATTGCTCATAATGAAATATGTTCTGGAAAAGGCGAAAATTTCAAAGTCGATTTGAAGGAAAAGACGAACATTTAAAGTCTATTTTATTAGCTAAAATTGAACGAAACTTGGCGCAACAAAATAACAAAACAATATGCAAACATTGAGCTCAATTTAGATACAATCATGACTTTAGTGATAAAATTTGAATCGAAACAATTTGATGAATCTTTTTGATGGTCACATTGGTTGATCTGTTGGTCGACCTCTTTGCCTCTTCTTTGGTCATGAGCCAACCGGAAGAGGACACAGTTGAACCAATTTCAATACTTGAAGCCAAACGATCACTTTTTTTCCTGGTTCAACTCTGGTTGAAAATTTGTTCAACATTCATCTGGCTTAAGCAACTTGATAAATCTCTCTAAATCTCTCTATTTATTTGTTACTTATCATTTATTAGAGACCTAATCAAATGGAGATTCCCTGTAAGGATAATGAAGAGCTGAGTAAAGAGTATTTACTGACCTCGTCTCCTCAAAGGCTTCCGGTTAGCTCACAGACTGAAGAGGACAACAAGTCAAGTACATCGTTTCTTAGCATCAAATAGAGATGGACAGAGGCATTTTTTAACACTGGACAAGGGCCAACCTTTTATTCAACATTTGATAACTTCAAATGTAAATTTCCATCGCATTAGAATTGAAATATTAAATATTTAAATACAAGACACTTTAATGGAGTAATCAACATTTGTAAATGTTAATCAAAATTGATGGTAACAAATTAATTTCTCAATTGTTTTCAATGTAAAACCAGAAAAGTAAAAAACCCATTTTTTGTTAAAACATTACCATTGTTATGCTTAAATAAGAGTAATTGGATGTCTGTTTAATCATGTTTAATTTATTGTAACAATTTAACAAATATATTTAACATTTAATTGTACAAATTGAAGAAACAAAAATTTATCGATTCAATAAAACAAACGAATAATTGTATATGAAAAACATTATTACAAAGCTATTATTAAAGTCTTTTTGCTTCTCTAACACAATTTATAAATTATTCAGTAAATTTATATAATTGTCTCTTTGATTAAACAATTTTCGGTTAAATAACATTAAGATACAAAAATACTTTGACAGTAACATCTTGAGTACAATTCAATTCATCTCTATTGATGTTGAGTTTGCCTTTTGTCTTGCATTCAGTTTTTAGGTTTTGGGTTTTGGGTTTTGTGTCTAATTGTGTTGATTGTGGTTTAATTGTGCAGGTTAAATGATATAATTTGTTAAGAATAGAAAGAAGAAATGAGTTGAAAAAATTTCTATGATTTCCGCAGCAATTGAATAAGTCACATTGATTGAACTCGTGGCTTTTAATGCAACCTCAATCTGACTTGAATGTGCCTTGAATATGGTTTGGATGTGGCTTCAACTAATGGTTATTCAATTGGTTGGTCAAATGTACATTTATAAATGGAGCATCAACTGAATGAAGCACATGAAAGTGTATGAATTAACTGTTGAGACATTTTATTATAATCAACGTGAATAATGGCCAATCCAAATGGACATTAATAATGCGTTGAGATTTATACATAAATGAATGGTAAAAGGCAGCTTCTCTCTTTTGTCATCTTTGCTGGGTTAGAGTAGTTTGAGGGTAGAGGGTTTGAGTAGCCCTTTGCATGGTTAAAACGCATTTATATCTAACTGATTTTGGTGAATATTTCACCTGATTTGTGTCTTCTGTTTAGTCTGTTGATTTGTTTTCATGTGTGTTGATTGAAATCACGTTGAAAATGTTTGCAAGTTGAAAGTAATTTGAGACTCGCGTGAGAACCTTTACATGCAATTTAACCAAAGAGTTTTGTTAAGCTTAAACTGCAACTTCAACTGTTAGTAATGGAGTCGAAGCAAAGTGAAAATTATTTGCTTTTGCCTTTTTTGTCATCAGTAACTTTGACCAAATACTGACTTGAGCGATACTTTGGATATTTTGGTTCTTCCCTCAAATTCAATGTTGTTTTTAATCAGTTTTTATCAGTGTTAAAATCTTCCAAAAAAGGATAGAAACCAGATTTTTATTAATTATTATTGTTAATTAAGTGTAAGATTTGTTTAATAATTCAACTCTTGTTGTCAGTTAACTTGTGGTGGGAAAATTAACAAAGAAGCCAAAAGTGTTAACGTTTAAATCAATTTTGTGTCTCTTCTATTGGTCATTATTTAACCGATTACCAAGACATTTTATTAAAAATGAAAGGTCTCGGTCTCTTCTTGGAGAATAAGGAGAATCCAATTGATGATTTTACTGCTCCAATTTGGAAAGGGATTGAATCAGGTAATTATTTTTCTTCATTTTACTTTACTTTAAATATTTTTTGTTAATGGTGAGAAAAATTCAATTTGTTTGAATGTGTTATACTTTTGACTCATGATGCCATCTTTTTCTTTGTTTCAATTTATTCAACTGTTAGCCTTAGGAGCAGCACAGTTAGCTCGAGAACCTGGTAATGAACCGTCATTATATTCATATGAAAAAGACACCAAAGCAGCTGATGATTTTGATTTTACAATCGACTCTATCCCAAGAAAAGATGTAAGTTGTTATGTTTTTAGTTTTTCAACTGTGTATTTATTTTTGAATGTTACTCTTAAAAGGAATCTGATAGGTTACCAAGAACTGTTTGAAAAACAAATTTCAATTGCAAGAGAAGCTATGAAAAACTTATTCATTTGTATAGCAAATTGTATCTGGAATTTTTGGCTTTCAACCTAAATCCTTATACCTGAGACTCCTTAATCTATTTTACCAGATTTCATTTTGTATTTAATGAATACCAAATACCTGAATTTTAAACCCAAAAATTTGAGGAACTGGGACAGATGAGAACTATCGTTTATCAAGTTTTTCATAGCTCAGCTTGCTCTAATGAAATTGACCTTATTCAGAGTAACCTATGGGGTTCCCTTGTTTGTTTAACATGATCCCATCCATTATTAACGTTTGCCTTTTCTATGTTACCTTGTGTCTTACAATTGTTGTTGGTTTTCCTTGTTCGTTTTGTGGATTTTCTTTCGATCAAATGGAATGAATTTTAAGATGTTCAATTTAAAATCTAATTTAGGATGGATTTTGTTTCACCGTTTCTCTTCACGACGCAGTAACGTTAGATGTAACTAATCCGATCACAATGATCCTTGGTTATCCAAAAGATATGCTTAAAGGCCAATGTATTCTTAATTATTTATATCCTCGAGATCGTTTGACTTTTGCAAACCATCTTTCACAAAGACTTCAATCTCGATTTGCGGCTAAAGATCCAAATAATGACGAGAAGATTGTATTTTATGTTCGCATTCGAGAATACAAGACTCTTTCTGGTGGATTTGGTGTTGTTGAACGTAAATGTGTTTACAAACCCTTTCAATTGACTTGTGTGGTTAAAGATATCATTCTTGGTAAACAAGACAACCCAAAGCCTGCTAATGAAGAAATCAGTACAATTTGTTTGGTTGCTTCAGCTTCGCCTATTCTTCCAGCTCTTAAAGGTTTGTTACTACAATACATATGCTCTATTATCAATTAATCAAGTTTATCGTTGATCTTAATGTTAGTTTTATTTAATCTAATTTTGCAGTTCCAAATGAAAAAAATCCAGCAATGACTCCTTTCTCGTCTCGTCATACATCTTCATGCCATTATTCACATATTGATACTTGCAGTATACCTTATTTGGGTTACCTTCCACAAGATATTGCTGGTTATTCTATTTTTGATTTCTACCATCAAGATGATTTACACTTAATACGTGAAATATATGAATTAAGTAAGTTAATCTGTCATTATTTTCACTATTGTGTAAGATGATCTCAAATACAGAAAATTTGTTGTCTAAACTATGATGTTATTAGCTGTCATTAGTATCAGATTAAGTTGAGCGTTAACATTATTCATCCATTTCTGAGTAAATCAAGCTATTTTCAAGTAAATGGTGCGAATGGATGTTACGGTAAAAATATTGCAGTAACTATAATATAATATATTAACCTTATCCTGATACAAGACATGTTAATAATATCAAAAAAGACACAGAAAAATTTTCAGCCGTCTTATACGACCGAATATAACTGCATTAGAACCGTTTTAATTCATAAATTTCCTTTTTGATGTTATCTAGTTGTCCGAGAAGAAGGTTCATCATTTCGCTCCAAACCTTATCGGTTTCGCGTTTTCAATGGCGATTACATTACGCTTGAAACAGACTGGTCATCATTTATTAATCCATGGTCTCGACGATTGGAATTTGTTATTGGTCACCATCGAATAGTCGAAGGACCATCCAATCCAAATGTTTTTCATGAATCTGAGCAGAAAGCTCGCTTTGAAAACCTGAAGAAACAACGTCTACAAGAAGAAATTCGTAATATGCTTTCCAAACCAATTAAACAGTTTTATGGTAAATTGAAAGCTAATAAACGTAAACGTAATCTAGCAGCCTTCGTATCAAATATTATTGATGGTATTGAGGTTGCCTCTGTTACTGGTCAGGAATGTTCTTGTTCTGATAAAGAGTCCGTTGTCATGGGAGCCATTTCCCCTCATCAAGATGATTCTGATATATCTTCTGAAACACCTGTATCAATCCAACAAATGAGATTGCAAGATAATATAGAAAGATTTTTTGCTTCTCAACCAAAAACAAACTGTGCTCCATCTTCATCGGAACAATCAGCTACAACAACGCAAAACAACTCACCTTATGGATCAGATTCAAATGATGGTTCACAAAACTTAAAAAAAACTTGTAACTCAATGGATTCAGGGATTAATGGAACTTCGTCAATTTCCTTTGACGCAACCAATAATGTCGTTAAAACCGTACCTGAGCCAAACAGTGGAACTTCAGACCCAGCAAATAACGGTTCCACCTCCAAACCTAAGAAGCCTGAACAATGGGAAAATACTGTCTCAAGTGGACCAGTTAACTCTAATTGTGTTTCATTGACAGAAGAGGTTTTATCACATCACAATAAAATTACGTCCAAAAGAATGATCAAATTAACTGCATCAGGAGGCACAAAGAATCAAAAGAAAATGGAAACATCCAAATTTAAGAGAACCGCTTATAATTCAGGCGAATCTATTGTGCATACTAAACCTAAGCAAGCCTGTTTCCACACCGAATCAAGATGTAAATTCAATTCAAATGGCAGATCAGCACATCATAAAGATATTCCAACCCCATTTTCAGGAATCAATGTATCTGGACATGAAGCAATACCTGCAACTTGGCCTCTTGGTTTTCCAGTTGTTTTTAATCAAGCTTTAACACCAACAGAACTTCACAGGTCTTTTTCATATTCTAGACAAACGTCTATTAAACCACATGTGCTTATGGCTCCAGTAATGTATTTAACTGCATCACCGTTGACAATTTATCACGGTTCAACTGGTGAATCTTCGGGGGTTGGTGGATCTGGTGGATCAAGTGCTCTTGGTGGCTCTGGTGGCTCGGGCGGTGATTTAGGTGGTGGTTGTTGTGGTGAGGGTAATAGAGGTCAATCTTGTCATCATAACTCAACAACTGGAAAGCGAAACGTTAAATTGCAAGTGGACTTGTATAACAGATTCAGCACATCGGATAATAAAGGAATTAGCTCAAACAAAAAGCACAAACAATTTGACTCTTCTGATATCACACAGGCAGTTCAAATGTCAGCTGAAAATTCGGATGGAACTTTCTCTCTGTCTGAGGAAACTTCTGACTATTCGGTTTCCCATAAAGGGCACGATAATTGTACTCCAAGACAAATTTTAACAATTTGTAAAGATTCTGGTGGATCTCCAGCTGACAGTTCATGTGATTCTAATTTCAAATATACTATTCCGCTGTCCGATTTGGAGTTTACATTGAAAAAAGATTATGCCTTGATGGAAAATATGGAACAACCGATGATTGTTAAGAAACAATTAAGGGCTCTCAGCACAGAAATAAGGTGCGATAAAGGTGAAAATAGGCATCCAATGACTAGAGAAGAATCCATTAATCAATTGATCACTTGTAATAGCCTGGAAGAAAATGTTACAAAGGTATGCATTTCAATTGTTAAAGCTTGAATTTGAAAAGTTATCTGGTCTGAAGAAAAAATATGTACCAATAATTAACTCGAATCTTGAATTAATTGTGAATTTGTGTCTTGTCTCATACACTTCATTGGTTTTGCTTGATAGATATACAGGGTGTTTATTAATCAACTTTAGACGTTTGATTCTCTTTTTCTAGTCAATGCGAGTAGACTCGAAATTTTTAATCATATATTCTGTTAGCCCTAGGTGTAGATTACTTTATTTCAAGCTCATTCGATTCAATGTCAAACACAAGCGATTCTAGGGCCTAAAAGCCGAATTTCGAAAAGTTACTTTCGGCTTTTTATTGCAAAGTGTGAGAATTATTTTTGTAGTACTTTAAGACAGTTTCCATATGATCTTTCTATGTTCTTTTCGAGGCAATTTAGTTTGCTTTGATTGCTCTCCTCGTTTTCGATTTATTGACATTTTTCGAATTTACGCGAAATCGCGGAAAAACAGATCAGCCTCTTTTCATCCAGGGTTCATCGTGTGTCTCTATCGAGTAGTTCAGAATGCTAACGAAGGCATTAGAAAATTTTCAGAATAGTTACCAGTTTTCAAACCATCTTCTATACGAAAAGTACCTTAGGCATGTTTATAATGTAAAAAATATTGTCATTCCGAACTTTCGACTTTCGTTTGACCTCCTGAAGACAGAAAAAGGTTCTAATTTTCGGAATGCACTGTGATCTTTTTTCGTGCTCTTCTTCTTCATTCAGGCGAAATCAAAATGCTGATAAACGCAAAGAAAACAAAAATACAGCCATTCAAACGTCTAAAGTTGATTAATTAACACCCTGTATATTTAAATATAAAATGAAAGATCGAAACGGGTGCAATCTTCCAAATCGATGTACTAACTTATTCTTATTTTTCTTTAATCAGGAAATCAATGAACAAGAGGAGCAAGTTTTGTGTTCAATAGGAGTCAATGATTGCCGATTTTAATTGTAAATCCCCCACCAACTGATTATCAACTGTAAAGATTACCCCATTTTTGTCAGAACTAATGACAAAATTAATCACAATTTAATAATAAAAGTATAAAACGTTTCATCTTGAGCTTTTTTCACGTAGAAACTTCATTCTTTTGAAATATAAATTTGACTTTATTTTATTAATACTTTTCCTCTCTCCAACTGACTTAACTAATAGTTAGTAACTATACCTATCAAAAACAGGCAGTAATGATTCACAGATAAGAATAAACAATCAAGCAGAATTCATTTCTAATTAATTTCATTAAGAAGTTATTCTAATTATGTAGGAATTATAAATATGTGGATAAACTTACCAAAAAGCATATGTTAATGCATTCGCACTGAAGCAGCAAGATATAAATGTGATAAGTGAAATAAACGTCGAGGTGGAAGCAGTTGATTTGCATATAAATTGTCAAGTTGGAGATTAATATCCAAACTCAAACGCTACTCTAAGTAATTAAATACTTTAATTTTAAAGAATATCAAAAAAGAGAAATTAAATTGTGGCAAATTTTGATCCTAAAGTTAAGCCTTAAGCTGACTTACTAACACTGTTTATGTTTATAATGGATTTAGAAATTAAGTTTGGCGCGCAATAGTGAAAATAAGCTATTTTAACAGAGAATCTGAAGTTTGTGTTTACATTTTGTTTTCATTTTCATTTTCATTTATTATTTTTATTTCAACATTTAATTATCAAGTTAAATTCAAATATTCGGCAAAAACTTCAAATTAACTTTACTCTCTTTTTGTGATTCATGAAAATTAGTTATAATTTACATACAAAATGCTGTGCTTACACAATTTAATTCCTCTATTAACCATACCTAAAGCAACTAATTCAATTATACTTCAAAATCAAATGATGTTGCTGCTCTTCTACCTAGTTTCCTACTTTCTCGAGATAAAACCGTGCACTTGTTGTACTTTAATTGTATTTGCGTCCCTAATCATTTGGTTCAGTTATATTGATCCAGAATTGTTTAACTCTTTTTGAATTAAATTTAACTTCTCACAGTTCGTCCTGTTGGAATTACTGGGTGATCTTCAAATTTAGCTCAATTGTCTGATTTAAACAACAAAATTGAAAATTATTATTTTGAAGCCAAAAGGATACTCCTTTTCCGATTATATTCATTGTTTACTGATATCTTTAACTAAATCTAATTCTCACCCAACATTTGGAGACATTCTTATCTGAATGAAGCAACCTGATTCTAAATGTTTTTCTCTAACCTAATCAACGTATCTATAAGAATGGTTCGAAAATAGATTGTTTAATCTAGATGATCATTCTGAATGTGGATTGTTTAAAATAAATCAACTTTCTTAAATGTCTTCTTGATACTTATAGGTTGATAATGTTAAATATGTACAAATCAATGACCATGAGTTGGACCCCTTGCAATTTCATTGGAATGATATGAATCAATATGGATCAACATATGGAACCGCTATTTTGAGCCGCTATTTAAACCTGTTATTCGGACTTTCTGGTTTTACTCCTAAATTAATGAAAGCAGATTTCCGATTTCAAATGTTAAGCAAATCAATAATGAATTGTACATATGAAAGATTTGATTACCATTTTTTACCTGTTCATCAATTGTCTAATGTTCTTAGAGATGGTATAATTATTCTTGAACTGTTAAAAAGTGTATCTATATTTGAAAACATTAATTGTTACCTGTAGACTACTGTATGTATTAAACTTGAGATTAATTGACTTTAATTTCGCCTGAGCCTGCAATTTCCCGTAACATATACAATTTACCGGCTTTCCACCGGTAATAAGATTCTGAACAATTTACAATATTTACTAATATATACAATCATACAAGGATCAGATTTTAGCAAAGGCAATCAGAGATACTATTTCTTTCTTTCTTAGAAAATCTTTCCGTGATTTTCTGATATGTATAAATGAAATTCTCATTACCGTCTGAAAAAATCGGTATATTGTTATTCGATAAAAAAGAAGCAATCATCAGGTAATAAAGTTACACACATAAATTTTCAAATTAAATACGCCTTTACTTAAGAAATAAAAAATTTTCATCAGATCAATTAGTATCACTTTGCAATCTTTTACAATTGAATTGAGCCAAGACTGCAATTTCGTGAATTATGAGTAAAAGACGATAAATAACAGGTTATTTGGCAAGAGATATATTAAGTTCGAAAAGTAAATCAGAGGTTATGAAAATCCTTGAACAGCATAACGCCCCATCAAGAAATAATAATACAAACCAAAAAGAAGTCCAAAGATTCGCAACATGTATGAGTAGACTATAAGCAGACCACAGTCCAGCAAAGTCCAAGTGTGCCAGAGTGGGCTGCTTATAGTCTACTTGAGAATGAATGAAACCAATTGTTTATAATTAGTCGGTCACACTGGATATAATGATATGAATGAGTCATTCAACTTCGTATTAAAATTGTTAAGATAATTATTTACTTTAAATGACAAGCAGCGAGCTTTGGGTTTAGGTATAGTTAGAAATGAATAACTATGATTAAAAGTATGAATGATTGAAAGTGAAAAATAACTAAAAAGTGACTCGATTGTTAGATAAAATGAACATGACTTGTGTTTGATTTTCTTGTTTTGTAACGTTGGCTTATTTATCCTTGTGATAAAAACCAATTGTATTGATATAATGACTTGATGAATTTTGATTCCAATGAAATATTGGTTAAAACAAACGTTTCTTTTCTTTCTTTTTTTCCTTTGGTTCAATTGTTCTGGAAAGAATCAGAAGGAAATAAAAAAAATTGTATGAGAATAGTGAAACTCCTGAAGAATCAGTTGTAAAAAATGAAGCTCACTCTTTATTAATTGTATCCGCAGCGATCCTTTTCATCTCTTCCATGTGCCGTATGATTAATTCAAAGGCATCTCTTTCCTTCTCAAAGGCAGCTCTTTTATCAGCCAATTCTTGTAATTCCTGCTCACGAACTTTGCGATTTTGTTCGTCAAAACGGTTTATCTAGATAAATAAATGGAATAAAAATGAGCTCGATTGTAATGCTACAAAAGATATCAATTAACTTACTTCTCCTTCCATTTCTTCGAGTTTTTGCTCTTTAGCTTTAACTTTGGTTTCAAAAACATGATCCATATCCTGCTCCATTCTTTTCAAATTAGCTTCTGAGATTTTACGTTCTTCTTCCATTTGAGCTAACGGATTCCTGTATCAATAAAGTATTTAATAAATTGAATAAATTGAAAAATTATATTAATAGCAGCAGAAAAGTTTAGGTAATTAAACGGATGTTACGCTCCGGATATCAATTTCCGCATATCTTTATCCTAAAATGGTAAATCACTATAAATCAGTCAAATACTGATGATAAAAAAGAGCTCCATATGATTGAATAATTACTAATACTTATTGTTTTCCCTAATGGATTAATGGCTGGTCGTAAAATATAATACACAATAATAGTATCGGATAACAAACTTGATCATGAAGAATTGAATAGCAAAGTTTGGGTTGATGGTTTCTAATGTATCAGTCATTTAGATAACTCAAACTAATCAAGTGATTAAGCGCCACATCACAATTGATAAATATCGATTTCAGGAAACAGAGAAATGCCTTTTGTTCAATACAAATGTTGGCAATGAAAAAATCACTAAATATTGACATTTGTCCCAATCTATTTTGTGAATTTTGTTGATATAAATTAGAATTGGACCAGAAAATAGAACATAATCAGATGACTTATGATGGAATCGAAAAATCTTACGAATTTTCATTGTTAATTTGTTCAGATCCTATTCCAGTTAATTTTCGACATCTATAGTTCTCGTAATGAACATTATTTGTTGTATCGACAAGATCAAGCATGTAATACTTAATGAGCATCGTGCGGAGAGCCGTGAAATCGTAATGTTCCAAATTATCAACTAAAGAAAAGAAAATTATTAATTTATGAAAAATTATTGATGGAAATTCTTTTGCGCTTACTTTCAACAGTTCCCCAAGGATATTTTCGAGCTTGTTTTCGACCACCACTTGGTGTATCTATAACATAATTACTGCCAATCACTGCGAAAGGCATACGAGCTTTGAGTTGTTTCAGTAATTTAGTATCTTCTTCGCCATCGCTATCAGGAAATTCATAAATTTTGATATTGTGCAAATCTATTTGACTCAAAATCTGCAAAAAGAGAATAAAAATTTCATATGAACAAAGTTGTACCTAAAATAGTGCAAGAAGAAGATTCTTCAACTTAAAAAAAGCAAAATGACTCCAAAGAAGAGCAATTTTTCGTTTTTCTCAATCTGTTTTTGTCTATTTTTGAATCTGTCTATTGATTAACTTATCCTGATTGAAATTAGTTTATCAGATGTCATCATTGACTCTTAACTTAAAATTAGCTTTCTTTTCTTAATGACAGAAAATTACGAAAGTATTGAAAAAGTGTAAATAACAAAAGGCTTACATTTTTCTTCATTTGTAGGCATTCTTCAGCTGTTAAGGTATCAGCTTTGGCAATCACTGGTATTATGTTGACTTTATCTTGTAAATTTTTCATGAACTCTATATCTATTGCTCTTAAAGTTACACGAGGTAGTATGAAATACAAGCAGCAATGTACACGATTATCAGGAACATGAGTTCGGTGAAGTTTTGTTTCTTCGTTTAGATATTCCTCAAATCGATCCTCAATATATTGACTAATTTTTTGCCATGAATCAGTATTATCGAGTGAATCACCGAAACCAGGAGTATCCACAATGGTTAATGATAAATTAACATTTTTTTCTTTCAAATTCACTTTGGTTGCCTGAACATCAACGGTTTTACTAATCCTTTTGGATGGTCCAGGATATTCATCTGAATAAATATCAGTTAAAAACATTGAATTGACCAGTGTCGATTTTCCCAATTCAGATTCTCCTAGAACAATGAAAGAATAAAAAATCAGCAGAAAATCATTAAAAAATCATTAAGAAAACAAAGTTCAAACTAATACATGTTGAAAAAATCACTAAACCGTTAAATCAATTAACTGGTTAGAGTTGGAGTATGAAAAAGCTATTAGCAAGTTAGGTGAAAAAAGGAGTTTTAAGAAAACTGTTTCATCTTTAAAACCTTCTTTGAAATAAACTTTCAAGTAAAGCTCAATAGAAACCCAAGCGTCATAATTTTGGACACTAAATCATTGCCTACATATTTTTTCTTGCTAATTTGCAACACATTTTTATGTACATTGAAAAAAGAGGAAAAGACTTACCTACAACCATGAGGGTAAATTCAAACCCTTTCCTGATGGTTTTACGGTGAATTTGATTCGGTAGATCACTGAAACCAACATTTCCCTCCGTTTCGTTGGTTAACATTAATGTATCCGATGGAATTGTCGACAAAACCTTGGACCGGAAAGGTTCTGTAATAGCCGACATCGAATTTATCAAGGAAACATTAAAAAGAAGTGAATAAATAGCTTCAACTACACCTGAATTATAATCAGAAAGATTGCTTTATATGAGAATCAGATTAAGAATAAAAAATTAAATGAAATTCCTAAAAAGTATCATGATTTTTATCAAAAAAAATTCATTGATAAATAATAATGACAGAACCGACTATACTCCAAAAAATAACTGTACGGTAAGGTAAATTGAACCATTGGCTCACCGTAACCAAAGTAACCATAGTAAAGCGCGAATTACAACCAATAAATCGTTTTCTCTACAATCGATATATCGAAAGTGCTGAAAGATAAGTGAATGAATCACTGAAATACACTTAACAGAGGGAGTATTTTTGATCATTTGTTTATCATCTTTATGTCCAATTTTCATCAATTACTCATTGATCAAAATCATTCTGCATCTTCTTTCCTGTGGATTGTTCTCGTTCAGTAATTTTTCAATCCTTGTAAACAACAACTGCTTGATGATAGGAACAAATTGTGATTATTTTGCTCATGTTTTGCTTTGTTTTGGTTTGAAATTCGTCTTGTCTGGCATTTAAAGCCTGATTTTCATAATTTATCAACTACTTTTTTAAAAATGTCTCTAAGTATCGCGCAAATCAAGTCTAATCATTTGAATCTCAACAAAGTTAAATCTATTGAGAAGAATCGTTTGATTGCTTTTGTAAATCAATTTGTTCTCTCTTTTATTAATCAATGCAACGAGTTTAACTATCTGGTTGATTCTAAGTTTATGGATATTAACAGAAAGCTGAATATCTGTGAATCAAATCTCACCATTTTGGAATCAAAATTAGCTTCAGTCTCTGGAATATCCAATTCAAGTGTGGTTACTACATCTGCTTCTACTGCTAACCAAAATGGTACAGCAAATGCCGATAATAATCCAGATGAAAGTTGACCATGGAAACCTTCATTTGTTATAATGAGATACAATTTTGTTTCTTTTCATATAAATGGATTTGTATTTTACCAATGTAATTTTTGTACAAAAAGTGATTTCGTGGAAAGTGTTATGAAGAATTAAATATGACAGTAAAAAAAATTGTATGAAACTAAGATCTCCAAAGTTTTAGTAATCCATCTTCACTGAACGTGGCAATTAAATTTCGATGAGGATGGTGGGATAGACCGATAATATCTTTATCATGCACCTCCAATGTCTTTTCGAGTTTTCCTGATGTCATTGAAAAACAATATAGAACGAAATCATCTCCAACAGCATAAATCCATTCTCCTTTAGGTGAAAGAATTGCTGCCACAAAATCACCTCCTTCGGTTTTATTATTACTAAAAGTTTTGACAATCTGTAAAATAAAAAAATGTTAATTTCAATTGATACAGCTTCATTAAACCGTGGAACATGCCATTTCATTTAAGAAAGCTTAAATGTTATGTATTTTGTATTAATGAGGATTTGGTATTGAACTTTTATTCATAGTAAGAGTAAAAATAGGACTCACCTGTCCTTGATTATTCATAATAGCAAGAGTGTTGCTGCGATTGCAAACCAAATAATTGTCAGGGTTTTGAGGAATAATAGCAACACTATTAACAGTTACATCAAGATTTAAAGAGCCCGAAAGTGTCGCAGCCTTGAATGTTGAGATACACTCAGTTGTCTTGAGACTCCAGATTTTAACCGTACCATCAGATGAAGCTGAAACCAAATGATGACCGTCATGTGAGTAGATTACCTCATTTACATAAGATGAGTGTCCACGAAACTCTTTTAATAATTTGCCTGATTTAATACCATGAATCCGAATACTACAGTCAAAACTTCCAGATAGAATTTGCGAAGAATCTTTAGAAAAAGCAATGCAAGTAACACTTTTGATGTGTGCTTTTTCAAAACGTCGTAAACACTGGCCACTTAGTATCTTCCAAACTTTTATTTTACCATCCTGACTGCCGGAACAGAGCATTTCAGAGTCTCGACTAAATGCTAAACACAAAACTGCACTTTGCATCATCATAAAATTCTCTTGAGCTTGATATTTTAGATCTTTACGTATTTTACCAGTAGTGAAGTTCCAGACCTCGATGAAACCATCAACAGACCCGGTTACAAGGAACTGACCATCAGGAGAAAATTGAGCAGTTTCAACATGTGATTTACTTCCGAACTTTATAGTTTTGGATAGCATGTTTGGAGGTGCTTCTTCTTCTTCTTCTTTAATCTGTGCTTTTCCTCGGAATAAATCTATCGAAGTTCCTGGTGGTAGCAAACCTTGATGCTGTTGCCATTTAAGTGCTTGACCTGATAAACAACAATTAAACTTAGATAACATTTTACATCAAAATTCTATTTTTTGTGAAAATTATTCAACTTACCAAGTAAAGCCAGAAGTCTAGAAGGTGCGACAACAGAAACTTCTTTTGATAATGACTGAGCAATGTGATTTCTTCTTTTTTCTTTCGAGCTACCATCAGGATATGCTTCTCTTGGATCGAAATAATTTCGAGTTAACAAGTTTTCTAGGTGAATATACCTTTCAGGATTCTCTTGCTTCAACTTAACCATTGTATCTGTTTGACGCAGTAAGCTTCGAGCTGCACCTAGTTCTCTTGCCTCGATAAGCTCGATTACAATCTGTTCAAATAGATCAATCAGTTTTTTATCTGGTAACTTCAGACTTTGTACAACTTTAAGAACAACATCCCAGTGACCAGATTGTATTTCATTCACAAAACTTTCAGTTGAATCGACGGTATTCAGAGTAATGGAGGTTTCCTCTTGCAAGGCAGCCAATGTTCGATGAAGATTGTTTTCCTTCAAATATTGTTCAATAAGTCGAATAACATCAGCTGATTCAATTTCAACAGTCATATCTACTAAAAAAAATAAACTGCATTACACATACAGGGAATTGAACAAGAAATTCAAATAAATGAGACAACAAACCTGACAAATTTGATTACCAACAGTCAGCTCTCAAAATAGTATAATGGCTTGGAGAAGAAGCAAGATTTAGTTGACACGAAAGACTATTAGTGTAGGTAAATTATTAAACTATAATTAAATGTACCAAAGATAAAGATTGTAAATAAATTAAATTCAACTCAATACATTCATAAACCAAACATGTTTTCAAAACAGAAAACATTTGTAACACAGAAAAATTGCCAAGGGGAAAAAGAGGGGAAAGATTAAGGGGCTGTTGAACCAAAACAAAAAAGTTCTATTTAATGTTGTTTCGCTATAAAATGCTTGCCATTTCAAGTTTTAATCAGTTTGATTACTTTTAATTAACTACCTTTTCAGCAGTTTGTTTTCCCTTTTATATTTTTCTTTAATATATTTGTTATTCTGTTTTCTGATAAAGACAATGGCTACTTTTTGGCCTGATGATTACCAGAAAATAACCGAGACATGTCCATATAACCCAACCCATAAAGTTACTCCAGCCAAATTTGCAATGCATCTCGTAAGCTGCGAAAAAAAGTCGAAAAAAATTCTGGTAAAATGTCCATACAATTTTTATCATCGTATTGATCCAGCCCTGTTGGATGCTCATCTTGCTGAATGTGCTTCATTTAAAAAAGATGGATGGAAGTCTTAAATCCACTAAAAGCGATCAATTCAGAGAATTTTTTTCTGTAAAGTTTTCTCGCTCTCTGTTGTTACAGTTAATAATGTTGATATAATAAATAAATTAATGTTTTATCAAGTTAATTTTGACTGCATTTTTGTTCATTTTTTACAATTTTCTGTCAAAAAGTCAGTCTTGCAGCTTTCTTTGGATCATTTCAATGGGTTATTTAAATTAAGGCTATTTCGGCGTATTACTTATCCAATGAAGACTGATAGCAAACCATTATGAAGTATAAGTAACTATTTTTTACCATTTCAAGTCCTAAAAATCGCGATTTTACTGTATATGAATGTCCAAAAACGATCTCTTTTCTCTTTCTCTTTCAATCTTCAATTGTGATGCTTTTAAGATGTAAGCCAAAGCATATTGAAATGATTGAAACATTAGCAAATTTGGAACCAGAAATTAGCGAAAAAGGAAAATTGCTAAGCATCAAATTACAGTTTGGCTTTGGATCTCTTGTAGACTGGTTGATTGTCTTGAAAGTCATTGTCTCAAAAGAGTTTAAATATTACAAACAATTAGCAAAAAAATTCAATAAATGCACATAAATGATCCAATATAATCTAATAATCGTTTATGTTATAAAATTTAGCTATCGGTGTTGTTTTGATGAAAAAGTAATTAAGTTTTGCTGCAGGTTCGCATAATGCTGGTTGGAATAAAATTATCGTTTTGCTTCGAGCAAATTAACCTGACTCAAATCTTGAATTTAACTAAAGAAGAGCTTCTATTCATTGCAAACTGATCTTTTCGGGCTCAACAAGATTGATATTAAAGCTTGGAGTATTCACACTACGCTATCAATATTTTTCAACCTTTTACCATTATGTTTATTAATTTACCACTCTTAACCATGCATTTTAATTTTATTTTATTGTCTCATAAACTCGCTTTATTTCGCTCATTGAATAAAGTTTTAAACGTAATTTTTTGCAATTCGAGCTGACTTTAGACTATTGTAAAGTGGTTTGACTTCGTAATATGAAAGAAACTATCCTATTTGTTAAAAATCAAGTGACTAATTAACAAGAATCTTATCGAGCATCAAAAAGCTTAAAAGTGTTCAACAGCCCCAAAGTTATGAAAAATATTGTTATTAAATATTTACAGCTTGTCTTGTTTTTTCGTTGTATATACAAATATACAATCTATAGATTTACTAATATTTACAATATCGCAATAAAAATTTGTCAAAAAATTTGCAACGATACAAAGAAATTATCAAAATAATAGATATTTCTGTCTGATATGAATAGCACTTTGGTAGGATTGTTCACATGAACAGAGATAGAGAATCGTCGTCAATCATATTGACTAGAGCCATGATGAGTACACCCATTGTGATTCCAACTAATTGTTTCAATGATTCTTTTGGGTTATCTTCTTTCAAAAGACCAGGTAAAATATTACTCATAGCAATATAGAGGAAACAGCCAGCTGAATAAGGTAGAATCCATCGAGTTCGTGATCCAACCTCAGTTTCTGAAGATTGAGCTAAAAGTGCCACAGCAGCTCCAATCATGGCAACAGCAGCAGTAAACATTTGAGCTTGAATGGCTTTCCAACGAGAAAATCCTGATTTCATTAAGATTGCAAAATCTCCAAACTCGTGAGGAACTTCGTGGATTAGTATGGCGATGGTTGTAAGGACACCAATCTAAACGAGAATAGAAACGAAGTCAGTCATTAAAATTGAACTAAATTCATGATCTTGAATCTTTACCTTAACCCCAGCAGAGAAACTGGCTGCTATTGCAAGTCCATGAGTGAAATTGTCTACTCCATTGGCAAAAACACTGAGATATCCAGTCACAGAAGGCGAAACCCATTTCTTTTCCACTGCTAATGAGTTTTTTTCACTATTGTCATCATGTTCATCTGCCTTGATCTCATCATTGGTCTTTTCCTGGAAAAGTGAATAAAAAATAAAAAGAATTAGAACATCAAGTTAACATCAGACAATTCAATGGATCTTGGTAAAGTGACTATTTTAGCAATTACAATTACAATGTTAATCTTTTGTTAGCAACAATTGTTGACTTGCGGTTTGTTCAGCTTATATTTTGTATTCAATGAATACCGGAAAATCAGAAAAGTGTATGCTTTTGATGGCTGAACTATCTGAGTCATAAATGACGCGTTCTGAAAAGCTATCTCGAGACTTAATTTGTTTGATTGTAAATGAATGACTTGCTTTACCTGAAATCACTACTTCGAATAAAAAACAGAAAGCAAAATCAATGAACCGTATGATCTACTAAACTAAAAGAAATGATTTACTTAATTTTTAACCGAAAAAATAGTCATATTCTTCCGTTTAAATTATTCCACTCAATCAGAACACTAAGCACTATTTAAGAACCAGTATTTGTTATTATAAAATATGATTGTTTCTATTGAATCTGAAAATATGTTTTAGAATGTTCAATTTGCTACTAATCTCTTATGTTACAATTGATTTAGCTTTTGTGTCGGATTTGTAAATGGGATCTTATCAACTCTTAATTCAAGCATTGATTGGAGTGTTTTGTGTCAAAAAGTCACCAAGGATTCGCTTTGAATAAAAAAAACTAAAAGTCATGACCTTTGCCGAACACAAATTGAATTAATAAAATCTTTTTTTGAGGTTATTTTACCTGGTCATCAGAATTTGATCCACAAATAGTGAAGATCATTTCAATAGCTAGAAATGTTGATATCCCAGAAACAACCCAGAGTCCCAATGACAAGTAATTTTCAATCAGTGATCCAGATTTCATAACATAGGCCCAAGCTTCCGGAAGTAAATGTAAGAATACATCTCCGAGTAAACCACCGACAGAAAAGCTCAGTAATAATTTCAATCTATTGTTGGCATCTGAATAGAAACAGAGAAAAAGAGAATGGATTAGAATGGATGAAATATGAATAGGTAAGCTTAAAATAGATATAATTGGTAAGACTTGAAAATTAATCTGAAAAGAGATGCTGAGAAAAAGTGGTGAAGAAGCTTCTTTACTCTTTGACTTTACCAATAGACATTGTTTACATTTGCAACAGATAATATCACACTTGGAATTGATGACAAGTCATTCAGTATTTATTACGATTCAATTTTCCATCATGGAAAACATGGCATAAAGATTAAGGTTGATTTGTGTAAGATCTTGAGCTATCGAATTATCAAAGAATATAATTTTTTACTAAGGAAGCGACAAGAGTCAGTAAATGGGAACCTTTCTGTGTTTATGGGACTAATGTGGCTAGAATATGATTTTCATAGTTTAAGGCAAATAACGGAATGTAGCTTAACACAATTAAATAAAACTGACCCACTTACCTTTATCATCATGTGAAATTGAGGACATGAAAAGTATCGGGATGACCCCGGTTAATCCAATGGTTCCAGCTGCAGCCAAAGATAAACACCAAATAGAGTTAAATGTTGGTGTCACTTTTAGAAAGGAATCAATGTATATCTCACTAGAATTCATTTTGAAATAGTATTTTAACTTTTTGGTGATAATTTAAATCATGAATGATGGAAGATGATGTTGTACGTTGAGGAAGATGAAGGAGAAGAGTCAACAAGAAGTAAGTATAGAAAGAAGAGACAGAATGGGAACTAAAGTTGAGAGTTCCAACATAAACAAGTTAATGGATTGAATTTGAGTTGTGTGGCGCTCCACTTGTCTTATTCACTCACTCTTCATTTTTTCACATTCAAAAGATCAAGTTAAAGGGAAAAGAATAATTCAAATAACAATTCTGAATGGTTGAAGATTGTGAGAATTGAAAAATCAGAGTCGCTTCAGATTATGGTATGGATTAGTAATTCCTATTTTATCCTCAGGAAATAAAGACTAAAAGGCCATCTAGTTGACTCTTGACAGTTTAAGTTACTTTAAATCTTTAAGCCTAGTCCAGCAGTTTCCATTTGTTTCAGCTCTAAATCCTTCATAAGACACGCGAAATGAGATAGATTAACATATGAAAAAATTTAGCTTGATTAGTAAGAAATTAAAATAAAATAATAAAATTTACGAAACAGATTGAGTTTGAGATCGTAAAGTATTGAAAAGTAAATCTTTAAAAATGTGATGTCGACAGAAATCAAGTGATTGAAATTAATCGACCTACATTTCAAGATGAATCTCTGGACGATATAAATTAATTGTTTCGCTGGTTTATTGCACTTGAACACGATAATAACACAATTTGATTCAAGTTAAAACCAATATACTCGTTGGTTAAAAACACTTGTAGTTTCAGCCAACTTTTATCAAAAACTTGATGCTAGTTCAAACCATTAATATTTTAAAATATATTATGCTATTAATAGTAAAATTACACAGATAATGAATCTATTAACCTATTTTTATATTATTTTTTGATGTTTTATTTAATAGTAGGAAATATCAGGTAAATAAGATGTTTAGTCAATATTATTGACTAAATTATGGTCGATGCTCAACAACCAGGAACTCTTTCGATTAATCGATAGATCGATATCTTGCAAGTATGACTTACAGTCAGTTGTTTTTGTAGATTTAAAAATCAAAAAGCATTGATACAGTGTGATATAGTGTTTTGCGTTCACCAGCAATTACCGAATTGTCCTTACCGTATTTTTTATTATTGTTTTTGTTCTGAGTTGAAACAAACTATCTAAAATTTCTTAATGTCAGTGAATTTGTTTTATCGTTTTGGGCCAACTCTTTCAAAACGTTTAATCTCATCAACAGCTTGTCGACTTGATATCTTCACAATTCAAGACGAGAATGACTTCAAATCTAAAGTGATTGACAATAAAAAACCAGTCATTGTTGATTTCTATGCATCGTAAGTTGTCGATAATTTATTTTCTAAACCATTTTACTATTTCCAAATTCCTAGCCTTCTATTGTATGCTAATCTTTTGTTCTCTTTTCATTTTTTCGCTTCCCAAACAAAGGTGGTGTAACCCATGCAAGCAATTAACACCACGATTGGAAACTGTTATAGCTGGTAAATCGGACAAAATTGATCTCGCTAAAGTAGATGTGGATAACCATGAAGGATTAGCAGGAGAATATAAAGTAATTAATTTATTTCATCATCATTCGCCATTTGAGTCATGGTTTATCTAAATATCACTGTTTGAATGATCATTTTACAAAAATAGTTTGTTATCTTGTTTCATTTCTATATCATTTCTTTATTAATGAGCATTACTTCACTTTACTAGCATAATTTTTGCCCTTTGATCATTTTGATCTATCCAAATGAGACGAAGAAAGTCTTTTCACGATAGCACTCCTATCATGATTTGAATATCTTCATTGGATTATTTATAAGATATGTGATGCAAAACTTGACTCATCAATGATAAACCTTGATAATTGTGATTTAATTTTTCATATATTTTCTTTCAGGTTAGTTCAGTTCCTTCAATATTCGCTATAAAAGACGGAAAAGTCGTAGATTCGTTTGTTGGTAATATCGATGATGATAAACTTCGTGCCTTCGTTCACAAACTAGCCGATAACTAAATTAATTTGAAAAATGAAATTATGATTCTTTTCCTATTCCAACTTCAAAATAATTTTTCTAATTATTTTGGGTTACTGGATTCAATTTTTGATTTTTCGCAACACACATTTCCTTTCCTTCTAGATGAATTTAAAAGATGATTAACCATCGCAATCATCCCCCTTTAAAATTATATAGATTTTTTGTTTATTAGTCTTTTTGGCTCCTCAAAAATTTCATCAATCACGATGATAAATGTCCATAGCTAATATCTCTTTCATATCAATGCGAACTAGTTGACAAATTTAGCTTCGATTGATGTTAATTTGAGTATTGTAAGAAATAAAACATCCTTTATTTAACATTAAATTACAACAATTGTCATTTCAACATTTCCAGAAGGTTATCAAAAATGGTCAGCAACATTTCGACAATTACACGCTTTAAATAACTTTTTACAATCATCAGACAACATATTGATAAACTTGGAACCACCCAAATCATTAACAAATATACTATTGATAGTTTAAAAAACAAGATCTAAACAGTTAAATCACGGGGAAGCAAGGCAGGTTCCGAAAGTGTCCTTTTCAATAAATGACTTAAACGAAGATCTTGGTCCGCTTCATCTTCATATTCAGTTTCTTGATCAGAATAAAAATCTTGTCCATCATTATAAACATGATAATTTCCATCATAACTGTATGCATCATAAGCATCATCATATTCATCAGCTTTTCTTTCCTGATTAATCTCATAAAGCAAAAGAAACTCCAATGGCTCGCCATTTTCATCTGATTGTTTCTCTCGTTTCACTGATTGTTCAGCTGATTTTTTCCTCTCAGCATTTTTAATTAACTTCCAACGTCTTCCAATTTCTTGTAGCGGAATATTAACTTTGAATCGTGCCGGAATACTTGATTTACAGCGTTTGAACTTGGGCCTATCAATAGCTGCTTTAACATAAGGCTTTGAATCGGCGTCACTACTCTTTAAGCAAATCCGCCGATGACTTCCTCTTAAATTTTTATATTGTTCATGTTTAGCCGTTGTCCGTCTAATTTCTCGAGCAGACACATTCGCTGGACCTCTTTTAATTGATTTCTTGGTCTCGTCAACCTTTTCTTTACAATTAACGGGTTCCTTTTTTAACTCTTTGTCTTGTTTCCTTTTGTTCTCGTCTTTGTTATCAATTTTAACTTTTCTTCCTTTTCCATTGGTAGAATCATTTATTGAACTAACAACAATTAACGGACCAGATTCTTTAGGCTTTTTACCAACTGCAGGTTTCACTTTATCCAGTTGCTGGTTACCATTAAGCTCCGAGTTAATTTTTTCACTTGTTTCTCTAATAGACTTTTTGTCCATGGAATGATCTTTAACTTGTTTCAATTCCGAAAATTTTGTTTTATGTTCTCTAGTTAATATTGGAATATTGCTAGTTTCCACTTTTTTGGCCAATGCAGTTTCATCTTGAGCAGAGCTTTTGACATTAACACTCTTATTATTATTGTTATTATTGTTGGTGATGATATTATTATTAGTATTTGCTTTATTGCTTTTTAATCTCTCGTTATCATAAATCTTGGCAATCACAGTATCCTTTGAGATTTCACTTGAACCAAACTTTTCTTTTCGCTGATTGGTGATAACACTGGGAAGAGCATCTTTTTTAAACTTAGACTGGTTAAAAGACGACATTGCAGAGACACTTTTCTGGCGAAGTCCATTTTTACCACGTTGATCATGTAGATGGTGATTATGTGAATGATGAATATGGTGGTTATCATTATATCCATTGAATTGATTATCGCCACTTGTTGTCATAAATTTGAGAGCCAAATTTTCATCGCTAACAGACTGTAAAGAACCACAAGGAGTTATAATTAGTTGAAACATGTTAAGAATAAATTAAAGTCACAAACAATTTATAAAAAGCAAATTAATAACACTAAATACACAACTAAAACATGTACACAATTAGAGATCAATCAACAAATGAATGGTTGTATTGTAGCTTAAAAGTGTTCAAGTAATACAAAAGCGACACAAGATGGATTGAAAAAACAAGTCTTGATTGCTAGACTGGTTTGGCTTGATAAATAATAATACAACGTAATATTCAAAGTTGCGCCCCAACCAGATTTAAAACACTAACTTTAAATGGTGTTGACCATATCGATCGAAAATAATAGAAATAATAAATATAATAATGAAGAAAAGAAGGCAACAAACAAAAAGCGTTTCGGATCAACAAGCTTAAAGCTGTGTTGACCACTCCTTAGATTATATTCAAAGTTGATTCTCGATCAGCGTGTTTAAACCACCGCCCGAAAATGAATGAAAATTCTGAACATGAGGATGAAGCTGAGACGGAGAGAAGAGAAAGAAAAAAGATGAAAATAAAAGACCAGTTAACGTGATTATCTTGTTTTCCCCTATTTCTCATGAATCCCTTTTCACTTAACCAGCAACATTGAGACTTGAAACCATCATTTAGAATAGGTAATATTATTTTCAGGATAAAGAAGATCAGCTATTTCCTTATCATCGTCATTTTTATCTTCATCTAACTTCATTTACTCAATATTTCGATTTTTTGTATAATCAAAGTCCTATTCTTAGTAATGGAAACCCACGTTGAAAAGTCAATCAATCGTCTATTTTCATGCTTTCATCTAATCAACATCATCATCAACAAATAGTGAATTAAATTAGTATTCATCACTTTAAATTATCTATTAAATTAAGGCATCATTAACCGGTTTGAAATTAAGTTGCATCAGAATCGATATTTTGTCTGCTTGACTGTCAATCCTAAGGCAGACCTTTTTGTTTCTTTGGGTTGTCCAGTAAAGTAAAAATTCCTGCTGTTTGTTACCCGGAATTAATTCAACTCTAGAGTAAATTTCAACAGGATTTCAACAACACCAGTCTTCAGTCAACGAGCAAATTAGCCTTAGGATGTTTAACTTGGACTTGATTATCCTCATCATGATGAAAGGTTAAAGATGTTAAGTAATCTGAAAGAAGATTGTACAGCTTGCTTTCACTACAAGTCTTCAGCTCATATCTAGGACCGTTTAGCATTCAAATGCTCACTATTGAAAATGCAAGAATAATGTAACGAATATTAATAATTTAGTAACTTCAATAAGAAAATTAAAAAATACAATCAAGAGGTCGACCACAATTTATAACAACACAGGAACAGAATTAAGATTTTTGGTTTTTATATCAAGGGTAGAAAAAGGATGATTTTGGAGGGAATAAATGAAAGTAAAAAGGTTTCTCTGTCTTTACTTGTCTAATCTGGTATCAGTACCAGAAAAAGTGTGACTAAAGCAGTTCATGGTTACTTACAAGTACTTGTTAGTACTGTCAAGCTAAGGCGCCTTTACCTTTTAGTAAAGTTTGTATGTCCAGTGACATGGCTTACTTATCTTGGATAGATAACCTTTTTAGAGCTTAGAAGTTAAGATTAGCTGTGGTCCAGCTAAACCAGGATTTATAATATAATGTACCTGTAATCTCATTGTAACAATTAGTAAATAATTGTAAATAATTTAATGTAAAAGCCATAAGACTACACCGGGGCAGTATCAGATTATATATCTGTAAAGCTGTTCAGTCATTGTATGGCTTGCTTGTATTTTTATACATTCTAAATAAGGTCAACTTTACATGAAAAAGTAACTAAATATTTGAATATGGATTACAACTGAAGGGTTTGCATTTGACACGTTTGTTGATAATCATGAAAATTAAAAGAAAAATGAAAAGGATGAATTTCGCATTTTTTAAACAATTAAGACAATCAAGAAAAGCAATCAGAATGAAAGATGAATCTAGAGATTCGGATGAAAGAGTTATGCATTGAATAGTTTAATGAGTTCCGATTTCTACCTTCAACAATTACCATCATCTTCTTGAATCTAATTTTACATTAAATTTCATCCACCAAAGTCATCAATAGCAAGCAGAATAAAGAAATTCTTTGAATCGTCTTTTTTCTCAAGCCAAATTTTATGGTTTCCCATAACTAATCTAGTTGATTATAAAATAGGCTTACCCAAACAAATTACTCACCTTGATTATTGGCAAAACCTTGCCTTGATTAGAAGATGATAGTTTCCTCAATTGATCTGAAATGAGACCATCAATAACAATAGCATTAGTAATCATTTCTTTAACTTGAGTTTTTAAAAGGCTTAAATGTAGCTTTATTGTTAACATATCAAATGTTGGTTAACATGTTTGAAAACAATCAACATAATAATATAAAGCAATTGATATTAGGTCAACTCTTGAATATTGATTGGGTTATTTAATCAGTTGTATAATATAAATTACTATAAGTAGTATTTTCATCTTTCACTGATTTCTTATTTTTGTCTCTCGTTTATATTGTTAATTTCAATTGTTTAATTAGTGTAAGTCTTACCATAGAGAAATCTTTCATATGATCGATAACTAAATGAATCAGTAAAATCGACCATTCCAGGACATTTGACTTCTTTACGGAATTTTTCGACCAACCGTTTAACCAGAACTGGTTCATTGACACGTCCACTTCGTATCTGACAGCGTTTCAGATCTTGAAGCTCTTGGAAAATTTTCCTTTCCAATTGATATCTATTAAAGATCAGAATAAAATGAAAATGAAAATAAAGATTCCAATTTGTGGCTCATATTGATTCTATTGACAATTATCACTATAATGCAATTAAGCTGTAGCCTAATTGCTTTCATGATATTGTTTCTTAAGAGGTCAACTGAATAGGTAGAAACCTTAAAATGAGAGAGAAATTAATATTGCATATAACGTAATAGATCGATTTTTCTTATTGATGGGAAAAAGTAGTTCAGTATTGATTGGCATGGAAATCAGGTTAGACTCTCTATTATTATGTAAACATTTCCAATGTCAATGTCATTGTTGACTTGATAAGAAAGTTGCCATAAAATGATCAAATTAAAGTGAATTTACAATTGCTGATGATAATTAATTTTCAATATCACTCACTTTCTTAAGCTGCGTTCAACTTTAGCCATCATTTCATTGGTTTCAGTTTTAATTTGCTCCTTTGTTGCTTTAGCTTCAGAGTCGGGTCTACGAGCCAGATCCAAGCCTCGAGTATCAACTTTGGCAGTTACATGGGACAAATCAATGGGTCCAATATTGGGTAACAGTCGATGATGAAGTCGATGAGAGCAACGAGATTCTGAAAGAATTTTAGATTCTGACTTTGACCCTTCGTTTTCTTCACACAAACCTTCATTAGTGTGTTTACGTGTGTTGGTAAAATCTTGACGTTTCATTGGTTGAGATTTAGTTTTATTTGAACCAATTATACCATCATTTTCCTTGAGCTCTTGAGATAGACCAGATAATTGTTCATCACTTACACCATTTCCATCGCAATTATCAACTGAATTATCAACCGAATTATCAGCTGAATTATCATCTGAACCAAGTATTGGTAATTCATGACTACCTAATGATGCAACTGAAGCTAATGATCCTGTTGCTGATTCACTTGTTTCTTGATGATGCACTGAAGAGTCTTCAATCTGAGAATCTTCAGAATAATCAGCTTCTGATGTACTTTCAGAAATGCCCTTATTATTGATACTTTCACTTGATTCAATCCTTCCTTGAAGGTTATCCGCATCATCACCGTTACTATTAATAACTTGTTCGGTAACATCGACTGATAAATCAACGTCACTCGCATGAGGATGTTTAACAATTGATTTACCAATTAATGACCGTTTATTATTAATTTGTCCTCGTTTTGATGTTGCTCTATCCAGTGATTGGCTAGTTAACTTTGTTCGGCCATTGACTTCCTTATTAGATAGCAATCCTTTCGATTTGTCTCGACTCCGAGAAGTTGATCTTTCACTTTCAATACTCTTTTTATCGAGCTTCATCTTGTTACTCGAACTAGTCATTCCCTTTTTTCTTGTAACACTTGATTCTTCATTCCTGTTGACGTTGACATTATCATCGTTCACTTGAGACTGATTTTCATTAAATTGTGAAGATGATTGAGATGAATCAGATGTGGATAACTTTGATCGTCTTTTGATGCGCTTTAATGGAGCCATCTTGTGCTTTGAAACTGTATTCACATAAACATTTGTGATTATGGATTGTGATTGAAAGCCTGAACTCATTGATTGAGAAGTAGCAAATGAATAATCAGGCGATGAACCATTATTTCGGTAGATTGCTACCTTTCGCTTGGTAATGGAGGTTCGAGTTTTCCCATCATCATGATGCTGCTCAACCGATTCCATGTTGGTTATACTTTGACCATCTGAATTTGTGTTACCACTTGAAAAATTTTCCCGAGAGCTTGGACGTGATTTTGATTGAGCATAAACTTTTGGAGTGACGTGACCTTTACCAGGGCTTCTTGCAGATAAGCGTTTTTGATTTAATGATCTGTTTGAGTGAAGGAGAAAACAAATTAATCAAATGATGAGCAGTTAGTGAAAGTGAGTAGTTTGATTTAATCTTACCTTGAGTTTAGGTTTAATCTAGAGGCTGGAAGAGCTCCATGAAGTAGAAGAAATTTGGCACAACTACGGTAATTTTTTTGTAAAGCACAATCAAGTGGGGTCATTAAATGTCCTTTTGATTTCATCAACGGATTAATCTCAGATCCTGAATCAATTAACACTTTACACATTTCAACATTGTTATCTGAAGCGGCAATATGAAGTGGACTTCGTCCAATTGAATTAGTTGTATTCACTGCACTTGGAAGTTGTTGAAGTAACCAGCGAACCAATTCTTTAAGATGTTTCCACACAAAGATATAGATAATTTAAAATAAGCTTGATTAATGTAATGTAAATATTATATAACAATTTGAGATTACCTATAGCAAAATGACATAGCAAAGTGTAGCAAAATTACTCTAATTATGTTCCTCAACTAGGAAAAGCTAAATAATAAATGGTAAAAATATTGAATAGCCTCACATAAGGTAGATCAGAAGGTAAGGCAATTCGCATTATCACACTTTGCTGGATCTTTTACTGCTGATGGCATCTGAAGTTGATAATATAAACAGACAAACTAAATTGAAATGATAAATAAATATATAAAAATAATTACCTTTCCGACCAGATTTAATGGCTTCATGAAGAGGTAAGTCACCTCGGATATTTCTGTACCACAGGTTAGCTCCATGGGAAGCCAGGATCTTGATAGTTTCAAATTGTCCTTTAACAGCACCACAATGGGCAGCTGTTCGTCCTTTCAAATCTTGTCGATTAGGTTCAGCACCTGATTGCAAAAGTAACTGAGTACAATCAGCATGGCCAAGAGTCACAGAGTAAAACAAAGGGGAACAGCCAATAGAATCCGTTACATCAATTTCAGCGCCACACATGTTGATTAAAGCCTCGGCTGATTCAACATGTCCACGGCTTGAAGCACAATGTAAAGCTAAAATTGTCGTTGACAAACATGTAAATAACGTTGGTTACTTTTGATTTAAACAATTAAGTTCACTTTTCTCAATAATAATCGAAAGTGAAATATCAACTAAATAGACTTATTACCTGTTAACCCATCTTTATCACAAGCCGCAACATCAGCTCCAGAGTTGACCAACATCATAATAGCCTCACTTGAACCTAAACCATTTCACATAAAAATTACATTAATACTGAAATTGAATTATCTTAATCAACTCTAAATCTCATGTGAAGACTCAGTTTGCCTGATTTTGCAAGTTATAATTTTAATTCAAACCAAGCCCATAAAAATGGACCCGCTAGGAAGATACGTGTTTGGTCAGAACATTTGCTGGATTTTTCATTAAATTTTTGAATAACAGGAAAAAAGTGACCATTTATTTCACTCTTTTGAGTTGTAATCAACATCACTCATCTTATTTGATGATTAAATTCAATAGAAGAGTTGGGTTAAATGAAATTAATGATCAACAGTGAAAATAAGGTCCATTCTCATCAATGAAGCTCATTTTTTGACAATAACAAAATGAAAAATATGATTAATGATTGACGAGTTGCTGTGGTCAATCAGTACAATGAGACCACATCAACAATCGATTTTAATTGCTTGTCAATTCATTTCCAAACATCCACATTAAATAAGTCAAATCTATTTTAAGATTAACACAGTTGCAATTAAACTGCGATCAATAATGTCCATAGATTTGTCCGTCTATGGAATCTAAAACAAATTAATATTTTGAATGATTCTTGTATTTTCACCTTAAATAAAAGCAAAGTTGTAAATTAATTACTCTGAAAAGCTACAATAAAATATTATCTTAATCAATTGAATGTACTATTTCTTGCATTTATTTTCATTACATGAAAAGAATTGGCATCTTTAATTAATAAGATGACCACTCTTCCACTTCCGTGCTTGACTCTTTGTATGTTTGACCAGGAACTGGCAAATTATTAATGACTTGACCAAATCGTGCAGCTAATAATTTGAAAGTCGACAAAGTCACGCAAGAATGGATAATGAGTGAATTAATCAAAACTTCAATTCAGAGTAATCAATGGTTTCAAGCAAGACAAAATGTGAGACCCACTCAATCCAAAGATATGAAATTAAAATGTCAATGATAGCAGATCCTTAAATATGATTCTTGTATTTCCATGTTGTATTTCTATTCAGACACCAAAATTTACATGGTTATAACCAATTAAGCGCGACATCAGAAATGATAATTAGTCTTCACTCAGCTCAGACCAAGATATTATAAGTAGTGAATAAAAAACACGATTGCATTGATATAACTCAAGAACTACAAAGCGATCACTGTTTCAGAAAAAGGGCATTTTCTGGTTCAAAGAGCTATTTTCTTGTGTTATTATGAAGCTAATTTGATCCAAAAATCTTAATTTTCAGCTGATAACAGTTGACGACAGCTTATTATAACACTAAAAAATGTTTGATCTTAAAAAAATCAAAAGGTTTCACGAGAAACTGACCCTCTTCAAATTGAATTTTATAAAAGTCGAAACCAAAAACCAAAGTTATATCAAAAACTTAACGTTCGGGTCCATTCCATCCTAAGGATAAGGCTTAGGAACTATTTTTATTAATATCAGCTCATTGATACATAAGTTAATTTTCATTAAAATTGATCTAAATAAATGTCAGTGATGATCGACTAGAAATAAATAGCTGTTGGTTGAATTGTTCTGATTTGTATCACCTTAGTTCTAGGCATTGGTTTAATCTCTATTAATTTAGCATTTTGTTTCTTGGCTTTTAAATAGTTTTGAAGCCATTCGTATCGGCCAATAAATTTGTCATAAACATTAATTCCAAACCAGATTCCCAAGATGCTGTAGACGGAATACAGAAAACCAGGTAAATCAAGCTTCTCATGGCCTACCAACCACAAATCAGGCATAATCTGAGGAGCGATTTCAATAACATAAGGCCGCTGGGAAGTTTTCTCGGTATAAACTTCATAATAAGATATGTAATGAACCTTGTTACAGTCATCTTTACTAGTCAGAGCCTTGCAAAAATCAACAAACCCGACAATTGTACTGCTGTTGTGAATGAGTGTCTCTGTGAAAAAACTGGCAAAAGTCGATTTCTTCGGATAACGGCCAAAAGCGACAACAGAATCTACAAAAACAGATTTACGCTCTGAAAGAAGCAATAAATTGTCCAAACATTCAGCATACACTTTGGCTCTATTATAGTCAACACAGTCGGTTACAGATGGCCAAGGTAGTTTCGTCGTAATCCTCCGACTGTAGTGCGCTACTATACCATAGAATTGGCCTTTCGTCGCAGCAACCGAGTGATATTGACCCACTTGACTATCAATCGGATCATGATGATGTGAAAATCGAAAACCAAACATCATGTTTATATTGTGAGTGATGGTAAGAAGAGCAAAATTTCCTGATTGACTCAACAGTGAATCTTGAGCTAGTGGCCGTGAATTGTTCTGGCAAGATATTCGCATGAAGATTCCCATTCCAGACAAAAAACGTTCAACTTTACATATATTTTTATGCAACAAATTGTCGTTGTTTCCTATTAAAGTTACGCTTTCAATGAATGTGGTTGGATCCACTGTTAGCTCTTCAATATCACCGACAGTTAAAAGTGTAGTAAGATGTTCATACACTTGAAAAGTATGATCACTCAGAGTTGAACAGTATTCATTGAAATCATCAACATTTCGTATTGTAACGTTTTCAACATTATTCACAGTTTTACATGCAAAGATCATTCTTTCTGGATATCGCAAGTAAAGTCCGGTAAAGTTGAGAAGTGGAGGAAACGGGAAATACATATCGATGTCAGGGATTTCAATCATCTTTGGATATGAATAAGTTACTTCTACTCGTACTCTGAACTGAAAATACTCTTCGATTATAGTGGACAGTTGATGGAAACATCCAATGGAACAGACAATCAAAGCGCATAAATTTACATTCAACCTAACCATTACTGAGGCCGATTCTTTCGAGTATTAAATCCCCAAATAACCAAATAAAGATTGATTAATAATAAATGTTGATTAGGCTCGATATTATCGAGACAATATAGCAATTTTCAACAATTAACAAGCAAGGAATAAAATTTAGAGAATGAAATTACGTTAAATTTACAATTGGTTTCGATTCAAAAATGGGTTAAATCCAAGTTGACTAAAGGTATAACTTGTCTTCGTTAGAGCTTCGCTGGTCAACATAATAAATTAAGAACCGATTGTTGGAGCAAAAGTTGATGCAACAGACTGATTGACAGATTGATTCTAATTGTCTTCCTTTAATCTGATTGATTGTTATGTATGTTTTCAATTAAACGATCAATCGATTGACCTTCTTCAAAATAGTCACACAATTGTTCATAAGGCCACAAGTTTTGCTCTGAACCAATATGACAAGCTTGAAATGAGTTTCTGAAATGTAAATTGTACTTTGAATGGAAACTGTCACATTTTTTGAGCAAATTTTGATCAATTAGAAGAAATATATTCAATTAAGAAAATTAAGTTTCAATTGTTAATATAATTACGATTTATTTCATCTTCCTATGAATTGTGTCACTAAATAATTCATCTAAAATCAATTAATTAGTCTGAGTGTAGTGACAACTTACACTTTGTTAGATGTTATGTTAGTAAAAAGACACAATTGTAACATTTATGCACATATTGAGACAAACACTGAAAAGAAATAGGCAAAAACGGGTCAAAATACGTTTCTTTCGCGTTATAACTCTATATAGTTTTGTGCGGATATAAAAATTGAATACATTTGTGTGAATTAAAAATTTTTCCGATGAATATTTTTCGAGAAAATCGAGTTCAAAGTTTAAACTTCGATCGCCTTTTTTACAATAATGGAAGCAGATTTTTTGATGAAACTTATTTCACTTATGTAACTTTTGATGATCAATCATAAAATGAGCTTATTTAGAGAAATAAAATTTTCTATTCTCTGTAAAATAGATCACTTCGATTTCCAATTGAAGCGATCGCATTCTGTACCTGTAATAGTTAGAGAACTGAAAATCATAATTTGTCGTTATAAGTTGTTTGTACACACAATGGAGCGATTATTTTTTTCAATTTCTCAACAGTTCTCTTGATTTTGGTCATTATCCTAAAAACTTTGAGACTCGATATTTCGAGAATGGCCTAACCTACAGTCACCATTCTTTCATCAGTTTAATCCTTTACTAATTAATAATTCGAAGCAATTTAATAACTTTCAATTAGTGCATTTGTTTCATGATATTTGGTTTTTAAATGCACGAGGAATAACATATTTAACAAAAACAAACTCATCTCAAACCAAATCTTGGTTGATAAACCAATTTTCTGGTTAAAGTTAAAAAACCAAATGCAAAGAGTACTGCCAAAGGCTCGAATATTTGTGTTAAGACTTGGGACTTGGCGGATTTGTAAGGATATAAAAACAGAACCTTTTGGTGCTATTAAATAATGAATCCGATGGATGTTTTTAGAGATAATTGAGGTCAAAGTATAAAACTTTGACCTCCTTTTGCGCAGCTATGGAAGTAGATTTTTTCAAGAAACTGTATTTAACTGATGTAAATTTTGATTGTGAACCAGAAAATGCATTTATTTTGAGAAATAAAAGTTTCGGTTTCCTGTAAAGCGATTAAGTTCGATTTGCTTTAAACCGATTTTTTTCTGTGACCATGTTAGTTAGAGGAATAAAACTCATAATTTGTGAGTAAAAATAGTTTGTTCACACCATGGATTCAATACTTTTTTCAAATCAGCAACAGTTCTCTTGATTTTGGCCATTGTTTTTGAAACTTTGTGCCTCGATATTTTGAGAATGGCCTAGCCTAAAGTCAATATTCTTTCACTAATTTAATCCTTTACTAATTGATAATACAATAATAATTAATAACTTTCCATTAGCGCTTTTGGATGATGATATTTGGGCTTTAAATGTGCGTACAACAACTTATTAAACAAAACAAACTCATATTAACACATTTCTTGGTAAATAAAGCATTTTTCTGGTTTAGCTTTCACATGAAATGCAAAAGGTACTGCGAAAGCATCAAACATTTGGGTTTAGAGTTGAGACTAAGCACGTTTGTAGGGACTTAAAAACTGAGTCCATTGGTGCTATTAACTAATTGATCTGATGGATAGTTTTTGAGATAATCGAGCTTGAATTTGAAACTTCGAACGTCTTTTTTTCAGCCATGGAAGTAGATTTTTTCATGAAACTCTATTTAACTGATGTAAATTTTGATGCTGAACCAGAAAATACATTAATTTTGAGAAATAAAACTTTCGATTTTCTATAAAGCATATAAGTTCGATTAGCCCTTAAACTGACTTTTTCTGTGACCGCAATAGTTAGAGGACTGAAACTCATAATTTGTGAGTAAAAATAGTTTGTTCAAACCATGGATCAAATAATTTTTTCAATTTATAAGTAATTCTCTTGATTTTGGCCTTTGGGCTAAAACACTTCAAGTCCCGATATTTCGAGTTTGAACTAACCTACAGTCATCATTCTTTGGCCAAACATTAGACTACTTTAGGTCATAATATAATATGACAAAATATCGAATAAAATTCGGGCTAGTTCTTTTAATTATGAATATCTTTCAAACACCAAAGATTCGTATTTGAAAAAACAACTATCAAGCTCAAGTCTGACAACATAAGTAAAACAATACTCTGAACTTTTCTCTAAGAATCATGAATAGTTTAATATTTAATTTTACTAAAACACATAATAATATCTAATGTTTGGTGAAAGAATGGTGACTTTAGGTTAGGCCATTCTCGAAATATCGAGTCTCAAAGTTTTTAGGATAATGACCAAAATCAAGAAAACCGTTAAGAAATTGAAAAAAATAATCGCTCCATTGTGTGTACAAACAACTTATAACGACAAATTATGATTTTCAGTCCTCTTACTATTACAGGTACAGAATGCGATCGCTTCAATTGGAAATCGAAGTGATCTATTTTACAGAGAGTAGAAAATTTTATTTCTCAAAATAAGCTCATTTTATGATTGATCATCAAAAGTTACATCAGATAAATAAGTTTCATCAAAAAATCTGCTTCCATTATTGTGCAAAAAGCGATCGAAGTTTAAACTTTGAACTCGATTTTCTCGAAAAATATTCATCGGAAAAATTTTTAATTCACACAAATGTATTCAATTTTTATGATCGCACAAAACTACAGAGTTATAACTCGAAAGAAACGTATGTTCACCCGTTTTTGCCTATTTCTTTTTCAGCACTTTGTTCAATTAGTGCATCAATGTTACAATTGTGTTCATTGTGCTTTTTAGTAACAACTTATACTATTAGTATATTATGATATAATAAAGAGGTTTCGTTGGACACCTTAGATTTAGGGACTTAATTGAATACATTTTATAGATGAACAAAACTATTAGCACCATAACTGTGTGCGATTTGCAGTTTGTTTTCGAGTGTCATCTCTTCGATTATTAACTTCATTAAACTTATTTCTTGAACATTTTCAATTAAACCATGAAATAACATTGCCCAATGAATAATGTAAGACATTCTTAGAGAGCAATAAATTGGCCATTCCTAGTCAGGTTAACTGTAAAAGGTCTCAGCGTTAACCTAAATTTTGAATGTATTATCGATTCTATCAACCGTTTTGTTAGCCACAGAAATAAATGGTCACTTAGACTGAGTCAGCTTTCGACTGACAAAATAGGTATTAAATCGTTAAATGTTTATAAACTGGAACGTACCTGAGCTTGCAGCCCATAGAAGTGGAGTTCGTCCATCTTTATCCCGGCAATTGGGATCAACCTTTTGGTAGGATAATATTTTCCTCAACACCTTCAAACCTATCCTTACATCTCGGTTAATATTGTTGGATGGAGCAGTCATTTGAGCAGCATAGTGTACAGGATGAGCTCCATGAATGTCTGGAAGGGAAGCTGAAGCACCCGATGAGTATAAGATATCAAGGCATTTAATTTCATTGCAAACGGTTGCCCAATGAAAAGCTGTGTGACCCTCGGTGTCACCTGAGTTGAGAAATTGAATAAATAGCGCTTCTGGAACAAATGATTTAACCTGACTGGTTAAATAAGTAACCATTGAAATGTTGCCATTAATGACTGCCAAATGAAGTATCGTGTAGCCATCGTTGTCTTGGTTAATTATTGAATTGGGTCGTTGCTTGATTAACAATGAAGCACACAAGGTTCCAGTACATTCCGCACAATAATGCAACAATGATCGGCCATTACGGTCTCGTCCGTTGATCAATTCAATGAGAGATTTATGTTTCAATAGAGACTCAGCTTTTGATGTCAACGATTTAAGACAACAGTCAAAAAATTCAATTATCTCAGGATTATCTCGGGTCTCTTGTTTCCTATTGTCAACAGCGAGTAGATCACTCATTTTAACATTTTACAAAACTGTAAATAAAAGTAAAATGTAAAAAAACTAATCAATAATTAAAATAATAGTCACAATCAAAAAGCAATATCAGTGTCAACAAAAGTAGAGTCCTTGAGAGAAACAATAACAATTGAATAAAATGGTCGATTTGAACGTTTGGTGAGTTATTCAATATGTTTAACATTTCTGGTTATTTGATGGTCAAACATATTGACTCTTAATCCAAGATAATCCAGTAAAATTAAGAGTGGAATCAAGTGTTTAATCATTCCTCACACTATCGGAGTTTTAAGCTGGAGTTGTTGGAGTTTTGATAAACCCAATTTTTAACCCAAAACCATAACTTTCACATTTTCACAAATCGTGAACACAAAATTGAGACAACAATTAAGATGGGATAAACTGGTTAAACTGAATCAAACGATTGCTCCAATAGACCATGATACTGATCGTAAAATGGTGTGATATCCAAGTTTGCACTCCAAAACAAAACAAAAGCTATTAACTGGTGAATACAAAACTAACGGCAAGTAATCACAATCTAATGTATCTTTGGTCAACACAATTCATAGGAAGACTGAGTCGTTGAATATCTGAAACTCATGGTTCAATGATTATCAAATTTTGTCATGGTGATAAAGGCTATCATAGCAAGACAATGGTTAACCTACACATGAAGAGACAGTCAATATTTTTCAATGTTACACTTTTGTTTTCAGTTACCAAGAAAACTATAAAAGACTTACCAATTTGTCATAATAACATTGCTTTGGCAAATTGACAGCAATGACCAGAATCCAAGTGAGGTTAAAATAAAGGCCAAAAGTCACTAGATGTTGAAAGGTTGGTAAACATAAATACAAGTGAAGAGGTTGCTGCGTTAACCGTAATGCAGTCCTCATGACCTAGAAACCTCTCTGCCGTAATATTGCCATAGAGATGGGATTTTGTCATGAAACTTTCTCTCTCTCTCTCTTCCACTAATCATCATTATCATCATGAAAATAATAATAACTGTCTTTCACCTGTCTCTTTCCAGGCCTTTCCTACCTTTCTCTGGTTGCTTCCAATACACAAAACACTAAAAGTAACGAAATTGTTGAATGGTTGCTCGGTTTAATCGCCTAAAATGGATCCACTCAACATTAACTCATCAACATGATCAGTTGACTGAATCATTCTGGATTGTTTAATCACAGACTGATTATTATTTGTCTAAAGATTACCTCACAATGATCACAATTGATCAATAAAGCCTTTCTTTTGAGTCTCGGCTTTTTTCAAGTTGAATCGTTTCCTATTCAATATTCATAATGTAACTCACCTTTTTCAAACTAACATTTCATGTTTCATTAGTTTGTGATTGACTTTTTTGTTGAGCCTAAACCAAGTTAATTGGTTTGTCCAAAAATTAATGGTAAATCATTTTAACCATGGATAATTAAATTGATTATTATTGACAATAAAAACAACAATTAATGATTCTAATGTCATTGGATAGTCATAACAATGTTAAGGTTTACTGGACTTAAACTATCAAATGTTTTCACTTTCGTCTAATTTTATCGATTCAACTGTTCACAGTTCAACTGAACACACCCAAGGACAATTAATATCTGAATAATTAATGTGGACAATTTTGTTATAATTGTTATCCACTGGTTTTAAACATTTGAAAGGATAACCTTTACATTATTGATTGCATTTTATTTTTGTCTCCTTTGAGTTCAATGATCAACATCAAAAGTTAATTTCAGTCGTTGGATAATTTGTTATTTTTTTATTTAAATAATCGTTTTACAGTAAAAAAACATTTCAGGATTTAGATTAAATTAGTCAGATCCATTGTTTTACAATTGAAAAGGAAGACTCGATGTTTAGAGTTGATCGCAGTTCATGATTAGGAGGCATTCAGTTGATGAATGGTTGAATCCAAGGGATTTTTAAAATAAATTAAACTCCATCAATCTGTGAGAGGTCGACTTAATTGTGGGTTTCATTGCAATGATTTAATTGTGATGAAGACAAATGCGATTATCTGGTTAAACAGTTTGTGGCTGTTTTAGTTTGTCGCTAGATGGTGTTAATGTGATGGTTGCTGATGATGTTGTCATTGTTGAAGGGTTGTAATCATTAACGGTTTCATTTTGATTGTGTTTATTTAATTTAGATCTATTTATAAATGGCTCTGTTAACCATAAAGCGGATGCTAAAAATCCTAAGACACTTAATAAATTGAATAGACCATCGTAGGAACCATAAGCAGCGTCCCGGTAATAACCAACCAACATTGGACGTACTAAAGTTGTTAAACCACAAAAGAATGAACTCAACCCAAAAGCTAATGGTGAATTTTCGGTTCCAAGATATTTGCAGAATAAGATGTTCAACATATTTACAATTATTCCTGATATAAAACCCAGTGCTGTTGATATTGTGGCTAAAATATGATAACTGGAGGTCAGTGGGATACACTTCAACAAGACTCCTATAGTGAAAATGTTAAACATTGCAAGATACTTTAAAGGAACTAAACGGTTGTCCATAAACCATCCTGACCCTAATCGTCCAACTAAATCACCAGCAGAAAAGGTTGTTATCAAGTGGACAGCATAATTTCGTGTTATACCTGCAAGATGACAATTAAGTGATACATTAATTTTTATTCAAAAGATTGACAGTTAATGCATGCTTTCGTAGTAAACTCTATCACATGCAACAGATAGTGAAAGTGGAAAAATTGAATCAATATTGAGGACGATTCACTGCAATCGTCAATTTTCGTGTTTTAATGGCTGTTCGTGTAAACCATAGAAACAACAATCTTGGACTTTGCAGTTTAAAGGGGAAAAATAAGAAAGCGAAACAAACCTTTGTCCACGGCGAGGTCAACATTAACCATTGTGTATGTTATCACTCCCCAAAAATATGCAAGATGGGTTGAACAAATAAGGGCGAAATATGGATTTGTTAATATGGACACGATTCTAACTAATTGTCGTTTAACTTGAGATCTTTTGGCGGTTTCAGATAATTTACGGATTGTTGGTAAAACAACACCTTCGCTGACTGATATCTTTCTCTCCATTGTTAAAGCCATTTGTACAAATTTGTAAGACATTAACTGTAAAGTTGACCTATCCTGGTCAGGATTGTAATTTGCTGTTAGCTGTTTCTCCGTCAAGGAATTAATGCTTTTTGGTTTACTATTTGTTGTTTGGTTAACGTCATTATTAATAACATATTTGTCGCCAAAACGCGTTAAATAAACTGGCGATATTGAAAATATTTTCTTCAGGTTGTCCTTTTTATCTGAAACAGTTGATGACTCCTTTGTTGAGGACGATGATGATGAAGATGCTGATATTCTTGGACGAAGTGTTAAACTAATTGGAAGAGTTAATAACGTTAATACAGCCAGAGTAAGAAATGATTTATGTAAACCAAGATATTCTAGACTCTTTTGGGCTAAAGGTGATATGGCAAAAGTGCCAAGGGTTCCTCCTGAAAGAGCAATTCCAAGAGCTGATCCCCGATATTTAACAAAATATTCATTAATTATTGCTGGATTTTGAACATATGTTATTCCAATACCAAAACCTGGATCAAAAGGAGAACATTGGCGATTAAACAGTAATCAAGCTGATTATGATGTCCTTGGTTAACTAATTCTGAATTCAAACCAACTAACAAACCTGTGGATTGTGAGCCTCTAAATAGGATACATTAATGTGAATTGATACATTTAACGCAATCATAGGTTGATCTATTTTTGGTCTTAATCAACCCGAAATCTGGATTTCGTTTCTAAATTAACAATCTGTCGACTTATGATTAATCAGCTTAATCATTTGTAACATTTAAGTTCCTTCACATCCATCGCAATTTGTGGTGTTAACCAAGGTTAACAGTGTTTCTAGTAAACCTTGATTTAAATTCAATCAATTTCCAATGTTTTTACTTGATTCCATTGACATTTGTTTTATTTTGTTTTATCTGGTGAAAATTTTATTGTTCAACATTTAATCGTTCAAGATTAAATTACAGTGGAAATAATTAAATACTATTAACATGTTTTTGTTACGATTGCGATCTCAACAAGTATTTTTGAAAAACTCACAATCAAAATATTTGCTGAAATTGTCTTTCTCTCACCATTAGAATTTTTTTTAAAGAAATTGATTGAATTTAATTTCTTGATGACCTTTCCTATTAACAATTCATTATTATGATTAAGAAAATGGTTATTATAATGTTTAATGAAGAGCCTCGACCTGATAGTAAACGTAATTGAAAACAAGACAACATCAACAATTTGACTCGACTTGACCATTACCTAACAAATGTTACAACAGTGAAAGCTAATGAAAACCTTCATAATACAAACCAACCACAATTGAAAGTATCTACAATTGTCTAACAATATGGATCAATTGATTGATTAACTGGCCATAAAAAGAGTGTAAACATTCAGGCCTTTTGTAGGCTTAAGCTTAGCCTAAACATACTATCAGAAGAAAACCAGAATCAAAGCAAATCATCAATAAATTGTTCACCTATTAATAGATGATGTGAAAGTTGATAAATGTATAATTACCTTGAATGATACCAACAAATATCACAATATCCAAAACTGATGTAGCAAAATAGCAAAGTGCAACACCAATCGTTGAAAAGATACATCCAATGAAAACAATTGTCCTAATTGCTAGATGGGAATTTAAAACACCCGAAATAGGACCTGTAATAGAGGGTTAAATTAGTAAAAATCAATTATTCTGTTAACCAGAAATTGGATAACCAGGAAATGTTAATATTTACAAGCAAGGTTAATAATCTGGTTGATATAGTCAATCTTATAGTCAAAAAAGGTATAAATGAAATTGAAATTAAATTGGTCAATATTCAATATCCTTCAATGACAAACCTAACCTTGGTCAAGACTCGGAAATTCTGGACTATTGTGATAATATGAAATTCAAGAAATGAATACAAAAAATAGCAAAAATTACTTGGAACCTCGAATGAAATAAATTACTTATTATGATTATCATCATTAACTAGTTTTCACAATGAAAGGGAATCAAATTAATACTAGTTTACCTTTATATTGCTAATAAAATGGCAGATTGATTAACCTTCTGTTAACATTCAACATTATCTTGTTATTTTGCTCTATCGAAGTGCATCTAAATATAATCGACTGATATCAAGATAACACCTCAAGTGTGATCGATAAATAACTCTGTAACCCTTAAGGTTAAAAATTTGACTGACTGGTGAACAACCCTGAGGCCTAAGCTTGTGACAACCAGAATCAAAGTAAAACTTGATTTGTTACAATCAACTAAATATTTCAATTTGACTCTAGTGACATATTACCTCTTGGTAGACTGATTCTGGGATTTAATTTGAACTTGAGGTTTACCCAAATTTGACTTGTTTATGGTCAAATAAGGAAAGTTGACTTGAAAAATGGAAATGACCTTTTTCTTGCTTATCTGAACTTTGCTGAAAGTGTTCATGAAACAGTGAACTTTTGGGTGGTTATGTTTGTATTAGCGGTGATAATGATAATCATAGTGCAACTGAAGCTGTCCTCAAGTCAATGAAGCTAAAGATATAAGCGTAATGCACTTGAGGGAATTAGCATGTTATTTGAGGACACTTTTAAGAGGCTTACCTGAAAGGTGAATTACGGTCATACAAAGGCTGAAAGGCCATGTGGCATCACTTCGGGAAACGTGATAAGTTTCAAGAACTTCAGATAAGAATAATGAATAACTTCGGTGGATACCAAATAATATGGCATTTATAAAGCAACATGCAAATGGTATAACCCAAGCATAACCCGAGTCTACATTTGAACCAGACTGGTTTAGGTTATTTACAGTTGATGACATGATGGTAATAATGGTTAACACTGATTAAAATGGACACAAGATGATGATTTGATGACAATTTGATTGCTTTGATTTGGCCACTTTTTTTTGTTTGTTTGCAAAACAACAAAAATTGTACTTTTCCGTTGGTAATGTTGGTAGGCTCGTGATTAGGTCTTTATTGGTTGACCTTAATTGCTAAGGATTATTGTTGACCTTAAGGTGACTTCAGGTCAATCTTTATGTTAAAACGTATAAACATTAATATCATCGAATCATCTTTTCCTTTGTTGTTGGTTAAAGATTGGGTTGATTTGGCTAAGGGTTAAAGATGGTCAGGTTAGGTTCAAGTAGTTGCTGTTGTTGCAGTTCAGCTGAAAGAAAACAAAACGATACATTTTGGTTAATTTACTTGATTAAAGGTAATTTATAATCTTAATTGAAATTAGTATTTAAACAGAGTTTAACATTAACTGAACACAATCAAAAATATCATAAGATTTACATTAAAAGTAAAACATTGTAACGCAAGGTTTGGTTGCTACTGTTAGACTAGTCTTACAGTAAACACACAAACTGTTATTAACTCTTAAACATTATTATTATTTCAATTGTAACCATTTCTCGATTCACTTAATCACTCTCTTGATTTATCAATACGATGTTAACCATATTGATAGTTGAAAAGCAACAATTAAAAGTCAATTGATTGTCACTACTGTCAACCTTTCAGACAGATTTTTTGGTTCTTTGACTTTTTTCATGTTTTGGTTAACAAGTTAACCAGATGACCAGATTATCAGACATGAAAATATTGTTAGATTTAATAATTAGATTAAACCTTTAAGCAATTAATGATGATTAATGAAATTGTAAATTTAATGATACAATATTGTACCTTTCAAGCGTCAACACTTTCAGGTTCAATATGGTTAAGCAGTTGAGTTCACCAACAGTTAACGATAATTGATTATGTTGACTTTAAGTTTGATTTTGATGATTTGATGTTGAGTGTTTTAATTATTACGATGATGATTAAAACGTTAACAAAGATACAATTAAGATGTGAGTGTGAAAATGTCGATTGTAGATATTTTTAACCTTGACAGTGAAATGATGTTACCAAGAGATGTTGGTTGATTGATTTCAATCAGCAAACTGTTGCAATGGTTTAATCAAGAGACACTATTAAATTGAAGGACAGGTCAGTAATCAGTGGATCACTTGATCATCTTAACGATTGTTGCGTTCATCAGTACTTAACCAATTTTAGGCCTGATTGAGTGCAAAGTGAAACATAAAAACAAAACTCAATTAACTCGATGAACCAGAAATTCCGGTTCAAAGCAATGTGATTTAAGTATCAATTTTTGCTCATCATTTTATTGCCAATCGAAACATATTTTAATGGTTAATCTAATAATTCCAGTAGCTTCTTAGGGAAATTAAATAACTTCAAATGGTTCAGTTGATTGTTTGCCTCTGCTGATCAAATATATTCATCATCAAATATTGACTCATTTCAATTAATATTGTTAAACAAAATCTCAGCCAATGTTTGCGTAAAAACTGAATTATATAATGATAAGTTGATATTTTAACACTGATCTAATCATAGATTCGGATTGATTAAAATAAATTTGCATTCATTTCCAGGTTTCCCCTTTTGATTGTAAATATACAATAATATGCCTAATGACATAATGTACTTAAAGATGACTTATTTGCATTTGATTGTTATTCCACCATAATTAGTGTGTGATAATTGATATTAAGATGTCAACTATTGTTAAATTAGATTGAAATAAAGCTAAACTGTAATTCGCGCCTTTAACATTTAACCAGTCACATTGCGTCTTGTAACTGTTGCTTTACGTTCAAATCTCATGTGAATCTAAGAATAAACGTTTCTTTTTCATCTCAATCTCGTGTCTCCATTAAATCTAATTTATTATTAATGGTGTTTAAATGGTTGATAATAAGAGTTAGTTAACTACTCAATTCAGTCAAGTGTACAACAATTAGCCGAGCAATAGCGATTTTCCTACAATTTCTCAATTTACAATATATAAAAGAAAGGTAAATATAAAAATTACTGTATCAAAAGCCAAACGTAAATTAGTTAATTGCAGACTTTACTTTCAATTATTTATTTTAACAGTTAACCACCCTTGATGCTAGCCGGAAGAGGATTTAATAAGAATCACCTTACAAAGCTAATTGGATTGAAGCAAAGAGTTGAACAAGCTATACAAGAGCATTACGGTGTTTCTACAACGTAACATGGATGACCAGTTTAAGAGGGAAAACAAGAGACATATTGGATTACAAATAACAAGTGGATTTGGAAAGTGATTGGGAAATGAAATATAAAATGGCAGACTAACCGTGATTAGGAATAATTGATTTTAACATCAATTTGATTTGGTTAACTGATCTCCTGTTGGTGATTTACAAATCGCGTAGCTCTGGTTTTGCGTTTGCCCTTTGTTTTGCTTACAAAGGTGTTAAGGGTTGTGCGTTAATTTGTCACCAAAAAAGTATTACCATATGATCAACACTTTACTGATGAATTAAACATTGGAAATAATACACTGTTAGTTAGCAGTTGGACGTGATTTAATAATGGTGGAAATTAACTCAGTGATGAGAAAAAGATGACGAACAATTTGCAGAAAAAAGTGTATAGAAAAATGGATGTATGGCAAGAATTGCGTTTTTCGTGTTCTGTTCTGAATTAACCTGAAGACCGTTTGAACAACAACGAGTGAATGTTTTAACAATTTATAATGTTAACTTTGATTAACTTAGGCTCCTCCTGCAATTAAACATTAATAAGAGTCCATTTAATTGTAAAAAGAACTGCCCTTTGTGGATCTCTATCAGCCAATCATAACTTAATTTAATAACAACTTTCATTTTCTTCCCCGCTACATCGTCTCAACATCAACTTGTCTTCAACTTCACCATCTCCTTCCATTTTGATACAATTAAATTTAATCAAAGATCAACACAGTTACAATCGGTTACAGTGTTAACATTGTCATCAAAATTAATCATCACCATCACCATCCATTCATTTTGTTCCGCATTTAAGATTAATTTTTTATCAAACACAACCTCAACCAATTTATTAAATAACCAAGTTGATATTGGTTATGAATTTCAACAAACTCTTCATAAGATGGCGAAGGTAAACATTATCCTGTCAATGCTATAAATACAACTGTACAAACAAATGGCACTTTTATTGTAATAGCTGCTTGTGACAATCACAATAGTTAACACTGATTTTCATCATCTGATTCCATCATAAAGCTTTACATAATATCTTCTAGCATCATATTAATTAATCATTACACCTGGTTAATAAATTAAATTGTCGGTTCGGATGGGAAAAACACAATAAAATTGAGTGACATTTTAAAGAAGCAAAGGCTTTGGAATCAAAATCGATTGGATTCGTCAAATTTAAACATCTCTCACAATCAACTGATTTCTTCAAGCCAAAGACCTGGGCTATGCATCAATCGACACAGGTGTACTTAGCTATTATTTAATCACAATACAATTATTCCAGCAAATTCACATTAAAAAGTAAAATCAAGATGAACCCGAAGAACCAGAAAAAAGAGAAAAAATGGCAAAATTGAATAATTCAACCAGAATTTAGATTAATGATGATCTTTTGTTTAGTTGGTCAAAAATTCATGGTCAGTGTGAATATTAATAGTCAACTTGTCAGGGTTAACAATTTAACCTTAACATGTTAACATATTAAAAGATGGTTAACCAATTGTGATTATCTGAAAGTGAACAAATGTTAAACCTGATTAAAACACGTTTTTGTATTTTTGGAGTTGAAACATTTGAAAATATTTAGATTGGCCATGAACTTGCCTAATAGTCAATTAAGATGATGATGATATCTTTAATTGTATTCTTATCCATAAACAATTCATCTGATTACGTTAATTGTTAACCTTGCTCTAGACATTAATATCGTTGCTTCAACCAACAAAATTCAAGTTAAACATTTTTTGTTCACTTCTCATCACCATTTATAAATTCAATTGTCATTTGTTGCCCATTCTCATGATTACAATTGAACATCATTCAAAAATCAACTAATGACAATTGATAAATGATTGTCTTAAAGTTAAATTGCACTTGATTTATTGATCAACTCATTTGTAAACACTTGACTAAATCAGTATAAATCGTCTACTAATGGCATAATAATAATCATTTTTGGTTAACCACTTTACATTTGGTTAATACATATTAGAACAATTGACTGAAAATTTCAAGGCTTTTCTTTGATTCCAATTTGCCAATAGTTGATCAAAAGAGAGTTAAATTTAACAATTTAACATTGTTTGATTCCTTAATAATAGTCTTTATAAATTCAGTGTCAACATTACATAACCAACAACAACATGATAAAGTTGACATAATTGATCAGAACAGTTTATCAATAGAAACAAAGTTTAATTTGTTGACATGAAGATGATTATGATGACTGGTGATCACAATTAAAGACCAGAGGCGACCATTAATCAACTGTTACATAAACATAACACAAGTTGGGAACGTGTTGGTTAACAGCAACAGATGATTTCAACCCCAAAACCAGATTTATGTTATCAGAATTGGTAAATCAACTTGGACGCTGGTAATCAATGAGCTTGAATACTGGACAATTAGATAAAAATAGAAAGCCAATCGATTGATAGACTACAATAGAATGGCTTCGATATCATTGATTAAGTGTCTTTAACCATTTTGATACAACTTGAGTCTAATTAAATAGAGTTGATCGCAGTTTTTTGCGCATTTTTTGCAATTCAAGGTTTTCTGAATTAATGGTTGGCCATAAAACACACAATCAAAGTAGATGGAAGACGAAAATTGTAATTAACTTTTTTTCTGAACAGTTAAGTAAGCCAGTTTAAGTTGACAGAATATTAATCAAACCTTTCATTAATTTTGCTTTCTCGGGATTTCACTGGAGCTAGTTGAGACAGTCATTAATTGATTTACACATGACACACTGAATATTAACAATTGTACTGAACGATGACTGAAATGATCACATTTGATTGAGAAAATTAAAACTGATTTTCTGGTGTTGCTTTGAGTTTAAGATGGTTTTGCTTTGGTTGTCAATTGTGGCTAAGCGCATATTCATTTGAATGTTTGACAGCAAAACAATCGGTTGAAAAGCTACAAATTGTTGCTCTGATTTTTTAATACAATCAAAGACGATGCTTCTTGAATTCATCATATGATCAACGTATCTTTGTTTAAGGCTTCAATTTTTGGCATTAATAGAAGCAATTATTTAACTGGTTTAACACTGCCAATTGGATGTCGATCTCATCTTTGGTTTCCCTTTCAGTAGCATTTGATGGTTCGCCAGAGAATCAGTTTCATATACAAGGCCTAATCAGATTAATTTAGACTTTTTGAGTGCTCGATCGTTGAACCCGGAATCAAAGTTTGGGCTAGAACTTGATTATCAAAGTTGACCCTAAAAAACAAGGAGTAAATAATCCCATCATTACTTAAGATCAGTGATCTAATTAACAAAACACAACAACAAGGAAAGAAAGGTAACACATAGAGTGTGACAATTGTTCAGGTTAACATTAACTTGTCAACATAATTGTTATTACATTGATTATTATTGGACAATTACTGTAACCAACAATTGAATTAAATTGATTACCAGGGAAATAAAAACTCCATGTAATTTTGTACGACCAGAATTGTTAACGTACCAATTGAACAATGGGAGAAGGGGAAAAGGTTCAAGGAAATTGTTCAACGCAAAATCAAGGTAAAGTGATGTTTCCCTAAAAAACACATCACATTATCAGGGTCTCCAACTAATCAGACAGCAAATTATAAATGGTTTGGCTTCTTCCAGTCAGCTTTTTTCAGGGGCATAAGGGTTCTTTCTCAGTTTCAAGTAAAATTGCTTGATTACCACACAATGAATCACTGATTATTATTGTTGATGGTTAACGAGTATTGACCTAGGATTGATTTATTGATTCAATATAATTGCAGCAGCGTAATTAAGTTAACATTCAAGAAAGGATAAATTTAAGAAAGATATAGAAACGTAAAAACGGCATGAAAAGAGACACAAAAAACACCAAAAAAAAAACAAAGAGAAAAATTGCAACAGCAATTCGCTGATAGTAATTATAAGCACAATTAACACAGTTATAATCGAGTAAGGCCAAATAAGTTATCAGTTAAATCAATCGCAATGATTAAATAAGGCGAGATAGATTTGATGGACAAATTAAGATGTAGTTTGAGAATAAAAATGCATGGATTTTCATCGCAAGGAGATAATCTCAAAACTTTCAGACTCTGAACAGTTATTCATAAGGGCTAGCATTTTTCAAATGATAAACTGATTACACGGAACAAGATAAAAAATAAAGTAATTAAAACAAATAACAAGCTGATAAATCAATCAAAATTAACACAGCAATCAATAACAAAGACAAAAAACCGTTGTCCAGTGAAAATTCAAATAAGGGTTAAGGGTTACATAATTAATCCATAGATGGCAATAACACTTACCCTTTTGTTTATTAAAATCTGGTTCAGATTTGGTTAAAAACTGGTTAAGATGGTTAATTGTTGATGTTTAAACAAATTGTTCACTTGAATAAATAATGATAACTTGTGTGAAACATGGAAAAGCGGATAAATTGTTGCTGTTGGATCCAGTGGCGTTGAAATGTTTATGAAGATGATTATAATGATTGTTGTTGGTTAAGGTTGAGATTGACAAGGTAAAGGGAAACCCATAGTTAGCTATCAAGGTTGATTCATCTCATTTCTGGTTTAAAATACAAGGTAATGATTAGGTAAAGATTTGTATTAATAATATTGCTGTTTATTTAGATCATTGTATCGATTGAAACAGTTGATGGTGATTAGATGATTGAAAGGTAACGTTATATTGAAGCAAAGTGCAACAAGCAATTGTTTTAGCTCTCTTGTGTCCTGTAACATACACTTTATGAGAATAGTTATAATTACACTGATTATTATGATCATTAAAAGTACAGTCTTATTGACAAAATTGTTGAAACCCTTTACAAGTGAAAAGGTATTGTGAAAAGTAAATGTTGATTGCATGAAATCCTTTTTTTATATTACCTTTAAACTGTTGAAGGTGCGAAAAAAAGCTCAAATATAATAAAGTTAATCACAATCTTAATCATCAGAACGTAACCAATAATAATGATAATAATATCAAGTGCATAATTCAGGTTAACATAAGAGTTGGAATCGTTTAAATTTTATCTGGAATGGTTGATCTTTTTAATAATTATGAGAAAAAGTGAAATTATTTTTAAATTCAATCCAATTTAATTTGATGGTTTCAATGAATAGATACAATTATTCAGTCGCATTAATCTTTAATTGTTGAAATGTATTCAAAGGCTGTTGAAAGGTTGTTGTGATATTGACTTAGCAAAAGATGAAAGATACTTTTAATTTCATTGGGAATATGTTAATCTAGATTTTCCTCCATTTTGATTAACTTTACCAGAAAAGGTTGAAAATTATGAGAAACCAATGAGGAAAGGATCATGAAAATGGGAACCAATTGACCAAAGACCATTTCTGCATTAGTCTGAAAAGCAGCTTAAAAATGGACATCTTAAGGCACTTTATTAGGATGAATGGATGGGCAAGGGCAGAAGGACCCAGGCAACATGTTTACCCAAAAATGTTTTCAACAAAAATTTAATCCTGTAAATCTACTGGCTTTAAACCTCTCACACTGAGAGTTGACTCTTTTTTTTCTGGACATTTCTTCGAAGCGATGAAACTCATTTTGCGTTTTTTTTCAACCCTTACCTGTTCTGACATCAATTCAACTTATCGGTTTTTTACAGAGGCTTGCCTCATCTCTAATTTTAACAATGGTTCAAGGTGCATTGGCACTTTTACCCGCTATCCTTCCAATGGCGATGATTCTTCTATTAAGACAAGAAGAACCTTCCATGATTGGACGGAACACTTGGGATAAAGAGTATGATTACATTATTGGTGAGTCAACAATTTATCTATTCAATTTATTCATTAATCAATGTGTTTTTAATTTATTACAGTTGGTGGTGGATCGGCAGGAGCTGTTATTGCCAATCGTCTCAGTGAAAACAGTGAATGGAAAGTGTTACTATTGGAAGCTGGTGGATCAGAAAGCATTTTGAGTGATATTCCGATTACTGCTGCAACCCTTCAAATGACTAAAATTGATTGGGCTTATCAAACAGAACCTCAAGAAGCTTCATGTTTTGGTTTAATTGGTCGACAAAGTCGTTGGCCAAGAGGAAAGGTTTTGGGTGGTTCATCAGTTTTAAATTACATGCTTTATGTTCGTGGAAATAGACGAGATTATGATCGATGGGCTCAATTGGGTGCAAAAGGCTGGTCTTGGAAAGATGTTTTTCCTTATTTTCTCAAGTCAGAAGATAACCAGGAAAAGGAGTTTCTAGACAATGGTTAGTCAATCAGTGTAAAACATTTGTTTATTTTTATTAATCTTTTGATTTCATTTCATCAGGCTATCACGCGTCTGGTGGCTATCTGACAATCTCTAGACCGCCAAACATTTCTGTCCTCGCTCATGCTTTTGTCAAAGCTGGTCTTCATCTTGGTTATCCTAATGTTGACATCAATGGTCCAATCCAATCAGGTTTTATGACACCTCAAGGAACCATTCGTCGTGGTGCTCGCTGTTCAACTGCAAAAGCTTTCCTTCAACCCGTCAAGAACCGGCGTAATCTTCACATATTACCTTTCTCATTGGCTACCAAAATACTCTTCAATGAATACAAACGAGCCATTGGTGTTCAATTTGATCGTTTTTCCCTTCCGCGTGTTGTCTATGCTCGTAGAGAGATTATTTTATCCGCTGGTTCAATTAATTCACCTCAGTTACTCATGCTTTCTGGTGTTGGGCCCAAAGAACAACTGGAATCTTTAGAAATCCCAGTTATTTCTGATTTACCTGTTGGTGAAAATTTACAGGATCACATTTATCCAGGAGGAATTCACTTTACCATCACTGAAAAAGCGTCATTGCTTCAAAGACGAATTGGAAATATCAAAAACATCATGGATTTCTTTCTCAATGGAAAAGGTTAGTAGATTATTTTGTGTTGAATCTATTAAATGGTTCAATAGATGATCAAAATAACACATTTAGACTAATCTGGATATTTTAAATAATAACCATTTGTTAATCTCCATTTACTCAGGTCCTTTTACTGCTCTTGGTGGTGTTGAAGGCCTTGGTTTCATCAAGACTAAATATGCCAATTTATCTGACGATTGGCCCGATTTTGAGATTCACATGCTCTCGGGAAGTCCTACATCCGATGATGGTACAGTTTTCCGTCGAGTTCAAGGGTTCACACGTGAAATGTGGGAATCAGTTTATCGTCCTTATCTTCCATTCGATACTGTCTCAATTTATCCAGTTATGTTGCGCCCTAAATCAGTTGGTTATATTCGTCTTCGATCCTCCAGTCCATATGAACCACCAATAATCAATCCTCGTTATTTAACCCATCCAGATGATATTCATTCCATGGTTGAGGCCATGAAAATATCTATAGCTGTTGGCTTAGCTCCATCTTTCCGTGCTTTAGGTTCAAAAATATTTGAAACCGTTTTTCCTGGTTGTGAAATTTATACAATGTGGTCTGATGAATATTTGGCCTGTGTTGCTCGGACATATACTTCAACAATTTATCATCCTGTTGGTACTTGTCGGATGGGGGATCCTCGTGATCCAAGGTCCGTTGTTGATCCTTCACTTCGAGTTTTGGGTGTTTCTGGTTTAAGAGTTGCCGATGGTTCCATCATGCCAACCATTGTTTCTGGTAACACCAATGCACCAATAATTATGATTGCAGAGAAGGCATCAGATTTAATCAAAGGCGAATCGTCTGAGCTCGATGATGATTCTGATGAAACCTATTATACTAATAAAAAACAAAATCATTTATTTGAATAATTTAACTTTTTTCTTCACCTATTCTTATTACTACAATTTCATTTCTATTAGCTAACCTGAATTATCAGTAGATTGAAATTTTAACCCTTCACATCGCTTCACATTTTAATTTTTGCTCAGCTGAAAGTATATTTTTACTTGAGTCTGGAATAGTTTCTCATTTGATCAACGATTCAGGCAAAAGTAATTGTTTAAAATATTTAATATAAAATTAGAAAATATAATTCTTTTTACGTTGAGAACATTTAATTTATACTTGTTATGAATAATTTAGAACAAACTTTGCAACATTTAAATTAGTTGATTGTTTATCGAAACTCATTTGTTGACTTGTTTTCTTTTAATTGCAGACAATCAATTGTTTAATATACAAAATAAAAAGCAATTGAGATTTTACCAGATTGATTGTAAATTGAATTTAACAGATCAAATGAAAAGATCCAAAAGCTGTACAGTCAAAAGCAATTAATATAATATATATAAAGCATGTGTGTGTAAATATTTTTCAGCAAAAGTTGCCTCAAATTGTGTTTACAAGCCAAAAAATGAAGCGCAAGTACATAAATATATATTTAGATTTTTTAAAAAAAAATCAAATTGATTCAAAATATATATGTATGTGTTGAAGTGTATCTGGGAGACTTAAATGTACACACAAATAAACACAACAAAAGAGTTATTATAAATTCATCTCTTTTCAGTTGTTAGCCATGATTATGTTGATAATGATGGGGATAATGGTTTAAAAAATACATTGTATTTCAAACTTTCTGGACTTCTCAAGAGTTAAATATGTTGTGTGTGTAAATTTATGTTAGTCGGTTGATGTGGTGTATTTGTATGCGTATTTTTTGTGTGTTTTGTGGGTGAAGATAAACGTTAAAAATAATAACTATAATATATTTATATTATAAAAGAACTAGAAGAAGGAAAATTATCCAGATTGAAGAGTCAAGTTAGTGTGAAAATTGGACACCAAGTTGAGATGGTTGCTGTGATTCTGGTCAAGTTGTTCAGGTCTGATTCAGTTTCTGATAGATGAATGAAAGAGACATTTTTATCATCTTGCTATCTCCTTTCCTTTACTTTGAAATAATGATAATAGGATAATAATATTCCAGAGGCTTGGATAAAAAGGCAGCAGATAAAAGGACATGAACCATGGCTAATGTTTTTGTTTTGCTTTCAATGGTCAGATGTGAGAAAGAGTTGGGTGAATAACAAGATAACAGAAATAGAGACAAATTTTGGATCCATTTTTTTTCTTTCTTTTTTTCCATATTTTGCTTGTAATATGTGTTCATTCTGATTGTTGAATATCAATATTCATCTTGAAAATCACTGCAAGAAACGTTAACATCACCATAAAAGTCATTATCTCCTCCTGGCGATGATGAACCACTAAATGAGTTGGCGTTTCCATTAGCCAAAAGTAAGGTAACAACTATGAATGGTAAAGAAAAAGGTAAAAATTAGTTCAATTTCAGATAAATCAGTAATTTGTCATTAATTTTCATTTCACTTTCACTAGCATTGAGTTACAGTCATTTGGTCATTTGAATGCAATTCAACTATTGTTGCTATTGAATTGAAAAATTGATTTTTACGTTTGTTTTAACACACTATTTAAACTCACCATCGAAACTCTGTTCAACTTTTTTCAAATTTTTCAATATATGCGATAAATCTCGACTTAAATCACCATTATCAAGCATTCGTTTCTCTTGAACTGAAACCTGGGGAAGCAGTTCTTCAATCATAAGGCGAGTCTCATTTCCTTTGGGATACTTTATTCGTTCATTATCCAGGATAACCCGTAAATTGTAGCGTAGTTTGTGAGATAATTGAAAAATGGCTGAAATAACAAGCTTATCTAAGGCACTCAGTTCTTTGCCTTTACCTTCACCATTATTGCCATTATAAATTGCTCTGTTTGGTGTTGATGGTGATAATGGTGATGATGGTGAATTAGCGTGAACTCCTTTATTTAATGGCGTTGAGCTTGGTATTGAAGATTGTGCTGGGTTTCGATGTGACCCTGTTAATCGAGATAATTTGGAATCATTCAAGCTTTCACTCATATTATTTCGTCTATCTTCATAATTTTGATTGGTTTTCCTTGAAGCTGATAAATTATGCTGCATCCCAGTTGAATTGTGGTTATTACCAAGACCAGTATTGTCACTATTGTAGCCCATTTGGTGTTGTTGGTGAGGTTTGGTTGAAAAGAAGCGTTTAGATACCGAAAAGGGTGACATTCCCCGAAGATTGGAAACCTGTTGACGAACCGAGGATAAAGTACTTGACTCTTTGGGATTATGAAATGATGAACTCTTCTGGATGGGAAATGATTTCATTGATCGACAAGGGGATTGACCAGGCGATGAACATCGATTTTCGGTGTCAGATGAAGTACTCATGGTGCGTAATTTGTTAACAATCGGTTGCCTGGCATTATTATTTCCGGATCCTGATGTTGATTGACGGCTCCAATGATTAGGATTACCTGCTGGAGGTTTCCTATTTGAATTTTGATTATTATTCATTACCCTGATTGGATAAAAACATAAACAATTGGATTAATTTTCGGTTTTTTCCACATAAAAAGGAATCAAGCTGAAAACATTAATAATGATAATCTAAGAAAATAGGGTTTGACCGGCCTTTTCAATTGAAATCACAATCGAAACATTCCCTTTTTTTGAGCGCTTTGTTTCAACATAATCTATTGAGATTAAGATGTTAAAAATTGGTAAATAGTGCAAAAAAGTCTCTAAAAAATGAGTTTGATCAGAACACGATCGATACATTTGGGAATAAGATGAAATCGTAAATATTTCAACCAGATTAATATTTTATCCAATCAACATTAAAAATGAATCCTTTGGGTTGATTGTTTACAGTTTCATCTTATTCCCAAATGTATCGACTTGTTGATATTTTTGCCATGATGAAACTCACTTTCTTTAATTGTATAATCAACCTTTTTTTTGCTCAATGAGGGAAAACTGATTTATGAGCATTTTCACCAGTTTGGCCTAATTGTTGATAACACCAATCGATTAGTATAACAGCAAACAAACATAAAACTGATTTATATTGGCAAATGAGGAAGACTTAAACTGAATGTGCCAACATTGGGTTACCATTTTATTTAAGGTTAATCTCATTTTCTGAAAATCTGAAAACTTGAACCTGAATCAGAAGATGATTAAATGGAAAAATGGAATAGTTAATCTGAGTTTACAGAAAGCGTAGGAGTTTAAGTGAAAGTAATCAAGGTTAGTTGAGAAAATGAAAGTGAATTCTGAAAATTTTGACTTTCATCCAATGATGGGCCATAAAAGGCTGAAGTCAATCATATCTAAAATAATTGAGCATCAAAAGTCAATCAAAAAGATTGTTTCAATTTAATCAATTAAAATGGAAATTCCACAATAAGAATTCTAATAATAATGATAAAAATGCCAAACAATTTACCTTTTAAATAATATTCAAAGTATTCCATTTTTTCCCACCAAAAAAAGGCATGAAAAGGTTTACCTTTTCAATACAATAAACATGAAAATTTTATCAGGTTTTAATAACATGATATTAAAATCATATTTAGTGAGTCAGTTGAAAGTATTTTCACTTAATAGCTGAAGCTTGATCAAATTACATTAGTGAAATCAATCCTTCATTTCAGGCATTTCAGTAACAATACAATCTTTGAATTGTCAAGTGAAGTCAAGTCAATTGATTGTTAAACTATATTTATCAAAATATTGAATAATAATAGGTGAAAGATAATTGAAAAATTGATTGTTGCTTATTTCACCATTAATCAATGAAATATTAGCTGAAAAAAGTGCAAACAAATTGTTGGTGATTAAAATCAAGGTGTGAAAAATTGATGGGTTATTTAAATGATCAGGTTAGCTGTTAATTAACATTCATGATAATGTAATCCAAGAATAATAATGATAATAATAAACAATCAACAATCACCAGAATGGTTTCAAGAATAACCTCTAAATATAAATTGTAGTTTAGGCTTTTTTCAATCACCAAAGTAAACAATTTCAATTGTTTGGCTCAAGTTCAATTATGTCAAGTTACTTTTGGGTGTTTAACTCGAGAAACATTTTACTAACCTAAAAAAGACTCTGAATTAGACTTGGAAACAAGGTTTAAACTTAAAATTAAAAACATTGAAATGATGTTAACTGTAGATGGTCAAAACAACCACTCAACCGGACAATATGTATTTACTGTAATCATATATGTTTATGACCATTAATGATCAGCAAGTGTTAATTGTGGTTAGTGAAATGAAATGTCAAGAGAAGGTCAAAAGTTGATCATTTGGATGATTGGAGATTCAAACTACAGAGCTATTAAATGAGTTTTGTTGAGTTGAGTAAATAAAATTACAGTCAATTGATGTTAATTCAAGTCGATTTCAATGGTGAACAAATTGTCCGTCAAGTGACCTGAAAAGTCAAGTGAACATTTTTTCATTAAATCCATGAAAAAGGCCAAAAGACTTGAGCACGCACTTGTTACTCAAACAAAGTGAATCGATTCAAGAGTTGATTTACAATTAAAACTTTTCCTTCTAGCATGGGCTTCTGTGCATGACAATCAAGAAGCTGCAAGTTTAATAAGCTTGATTAACATTGATTAAGGCTGCCAAATTAGATTTAAATATAGATTAAAATTTTACTCTCAACATTGTAAACCATCAACAACATTAAAGTGGAAATAAATTCAATTGTGAAAACGTGTTGAGATTTATTTTGTTTACTGTTTGAAAAGTGAAACATCAAGTAATCATTTTGTTTACAGCACATTGGTTATTAAATAAAATGGTAGACTTGTTCACCCTTTTAACCCTTCATTTTACCCATTTTTCTGGTAACATGTTGCTTGGTGTAACAACAAAAAGGGACATTTAATGGATAATGAGTTGAGCGAGAAAAAAGTGAAGTTTTATTCACTGGATAAGCTCAATGGTTTTTTTGAGCAAAAAAGCAATCATTATTTTGGCAGGAACAACGGTTCAACAAACATACCTGTTACAGGTCAATGCAAGATTATTTAGTGATTATTTACGTTTCAACGTTGCAATTCATTTTGCTTTAACTGTTCAAAATTACAGAGTGTTCAGTGAAACGATAAGTCTAATCATTATCTCACGGTCAATAGGACATTGATATTAACAAGGCTGTTAGTCATTGCCAATTCAACACAGAAAAAACCCCGAAATTTCAAGTTTCACCTTCGAAGTCGCTTTGAAATTTTTGCCTTCGATGCAATGCTTAAGATGGCATTTGGTTAAGTTTTTAGTTTAAATTTTCAACCAATTTGCAAATTATTACAATTGCATTACAATAATGATATTTACTGACGAAAGTTTGGTAATTTTGAAAAATGAAAAGTTACCAAAATAGTGATGAAGTTGCTTTTGATTTGAATCATTTTAGTGCCGGTTTCTATTTAGATTCAATCAACAAATCAATAGAACGAGTTGAATGTTAATAAATATAAATTGGTAAGTAAATAGTTAAAATTAAAATAGTATAAGAAATTAACTTAACAATTGTGATTGAATAAAGTTGTTCCCAAGAAATGGTTTCAATAAAGGTTATTCAAGGCATGAATGGCTTGTTAGTCAATCCAATCACGATCTTTACTCGTTGATAAAATTGGTTTGATGGTGATTTGGTCATGATGCCAATTAAAATACAACTAATATAGTCAATTAACTTATAGATTCTGAATTGACTTTCGCTGTCTCTAATGTTGCTATAAAAAAACAACGCTTTATCATATATCATAAAATATATTGACCTGTAAGGGAAGTGAAAAAAGTGATGAAAATTGTAGCAATCTTGTTGGTATAGCAAATTAAGTGAAATCAAGCAAACCAATGTAGTCACAGTTTAACAATTAAATAGCGCAGTTTACCTGTCAGACAATCAATTAATCATTCAACAAATTTTAGATCAATAGCTATGACTGATTGTAATGGTAAAGCTGACTTGACAAAAATTTAACTCAATTTAACAACAAAAAATAGCTGGATAATCAACATCAATTGAATTAAATTTACTTTTTTAGCCAAAAGAGCAACAAATATTCATTGCAGTTTCATCTTATGTAATTGTTAAACAATTGTTCATTTGTATCCTGAACATTTGGTGAACATCAAGTTTACAGTTAGCAAAGCAATCCTTTGTTAAATCTTTCAGGTTTTTATGGTGATTAGTTAACGATTTAGTTGATTTGACATTTGAAGGAGATTGAGATGAAAAAATGTTGATCAACTGATTCAATCTGAAAAGCATTGAAGTGAATAATCAAAAAAAGAGTTACTTGAATGATATTCATAACGAAATGATTTACATGTAATTATGGTTAGAAACAGCAAGAAGCTATGAATAATATTTTGTATTAATATTTTATCTTAAATGGTGTAATAAGAATCAGTTAACCAGGTAATAAATGGTGTAAAAAGTTACAGTAGATTGAACGGAAACTGATGAATTTTAAATGGTAAACTGGTTTTCAGATTTGCAGGTTTGAATAGATGATAATTGACAAAGTCAATTGACTTTATCAGGAATCATTTTTACATGAAAATGGTCAATATTAGCTGAATAAAAAGGTAATATAAATTAGCATTTGATGAAAGATGATGAGGTGAAAAAGGTACAAAATTATACTGATACAGGTGAAGTACATCATCAAGACTGATTAAAGGGTGGACTTGATGAAACCGTAAATACATCCTTTCATTATGATGCTAAATGGAATAGCAAAGAAAGTAAAAATTTAATCACAATAACAATGATGTAAACAACTGTTGATTGACGTGGTAAGATGATGATGATTAAATAGCAAGCGTACAGCACCATTTTGCAAAAAAAATGATGTTTACTTTCAGGATTTTGTTATCCTTTTTCTGATTTTTGTTGAATTTTTCTTCTTCACTTCAATGAATGTTTGTTGACGGTAAAAGGTTTGGCAAAGTGATCAGCTAATGAAAAAATTAAGTTATCATTGAGATGTTAAGTTTTTTTACTGTTACCTAAATCTCTATTGTTGTTAATTTCAATCACGCTAATTTATTTCCCATCAGATATGTTCAGCTCAATTATTAAAGTGACAGTTAAATTTCAATCTTTATACAAAACACAGAGTGTCAACTGTTATAATGGTTTAATAATTGGTGGAGTTCATTATGACAGTTAAAAATTTAGTTAAAGGAGAAAATGATTTATCCATTGAGCAGTCATTATAAGAGAAATCTAATTCATGATTCATGAGAAAATCAAGATCTTATCAGTGTCTGATTCTCATGAGTTGATATTTGTTTGAGGTTTACTTGATTAGAGTTTGAGATTGAAATATTGTTACATTATTGTCATGAGGTTGTAAGGATGAAATGAGTTGAAATTAAAAGGTTAAAATCAGCAGACACTAACAATTGTAAGATAAAATGTCAACACAATTCAACTGTTAAAATTTGTTGATATTTTCAGCTGATGAAACAAAAACAGAAACTCATGGGATATAAACAGTATATCTTTAGGGTTATTGACAATTGCCTTAAACAATTTACTCGAACAGAATCAAGTTAATGATTTTTAGATAAGTAGAACTTCTTCTAAAAAATGAGATCAATTCGATTATCATTAATAATGTAGCTTGAAGTTTGAAAAATGGTGTTCATACCTTAAACTAAATCTTCCTCCATCACTACGATTGAATGTAGGACTAGGTGTAGATCTTGGATTACTTCGAGATTCCAAGATTGAGTTGTGGTGAGCTTGACGCTCTGCTGTTAAATTTAATGGGACTCCGAGAGTATCCATACCAAGCTTGGCCCTTCTTAGTGCGAATGCACGATTAAAGCGCATCGATGTCTTATTTGAATTATCTAATGATTTACACTGTCCAGAGCCTGAACTGGGTTCTGTTGATGCATTCGATGCATCTGATTTAAGACTATTTGTATCATCATCTCCAAGATCAATGTCTGAACCATTTCTTTGGTTACTGTTAACTCTCTTGAGTTTATCACATCCTTGATTTGTTAGATTAATCGCTGATCCGCTTGTGTAGGCTTTTGTCGAGCCTGATGGTACACCCGATGCTCTCAATATTGACGAAGGAGTAGGAGATGATGATGGAGATTGTGATGATTTCTTTGTGAAAGAATGGGTTCTGTTACGTATTGAGCTGCGGTCCATTGAGTTTTTACGGCTCCACATGGAAGACTGATCTTTACTTGCATCAGCATCTTCAGACTTATAATTGTGCTTTCTTTGTGGTTTAACAATGGGATAACTATTTGATTCACTATCACTACCAGGGTTACTTGATGGACAGCTTACGTTGACTCTGGAATTGAGAAATGTTGAATTAACTAAAGGAGGTTTAGTGTCTGATTGACGACGTTGATCATTTGATGATCGATTTATAGTTGCAGAAGAGCTGTACAGGTTAACCTCGGCTTTTGATGGTGATGAAAGGAGAGACTTAAGGGCAGAAATAGAGGCTAGAGAAGATGTCATCCTATCTAGGCTTGAAGAGGACGGAAATCGTTGATTAGAATCACTGGGAACACCAAATACTTGATCAATCCTTCTTCTTGCCTCCTCAACAACAGGATCATTTTTGTCCAAAGTATAAGTTCCTGACTCACTTTTATCATCACAGACACCTGAATCTTTTTCACCAATGCATCCATTAACTGAAGAAGAACGCTTAGCACTATTAACAGAGTCTCTAACTTTACGTTTACTATCTGATCTTTTCAGATTGGACCTTTCAGTATCTCTATCGTCCATATTGTCACTGTGAAGAAATAAAATAAAACAGAGGAAAAAATAGAGTTAAATTCATTTCTTGGGAAAAAATTAAACATTCCATGTGAGAATAATTTACCATTGTAGTTGTTGAGATTCATCATTAAGCATTCTTTGAATCAAGTAGGATGCACTATCACTAACATGACCTTCAGGTTCTTTAGGTATCTTTCCTTTGTCATCTTTAATCAACTTGTCTTTTGATTTGGAAGTATTTTTTTCGGTATCACTTGATCTTGACTTGATTGGACGTTGTTTTTCAATGGTATCTGGTTTTGGAGGGGCAAACTTTCGAATAGCATCTTTTATACTGAAATTTTTACCTTTCCATTTAACTTTAGGCTCATCTAGTGGTATAGTGAAAGCCATTGCATTGAGAGGAGGTAATGAGACGGATTCTCGTTCATCAGGAGATGTTGGCCTTTGATAGTCACTTTTATCACTGGAATTATTACAGAAATCGTTGCTGTTGTAATCCATACTAAGCAAACAAGTATGAAAAGAGTAGAAATAAAGTTAACTAGTGTCAAGATATAAAATACTTATCCATCACTCACCTGAGTATGAATAAGAACACTTAACCACTATCAGTCAAATCATTTGTTGCAACAGCAAACAAACAATAAAAAGATCTCGTACTTGGTGAGATTAAATAACAGATGGCGGTAAAAAAGATAAAACCGGTTGGTTTAAAATGAACTTCAATAAAATGAATAAATAATTAACTTTGATTAATAACGTTATAAGCATAAATTAATTTACACGTTCAGAGATAAACAAGGATTACATTTACCTAGTTTTCAGTTAATGATTTTCACCAGACTCTGGGAAAATTGAAAAAAAGAAAACAAAATGTGCTTCCATCTATTGAAGTTTAATCTAACGGCTTTTAGATAATCCCAATAAAAAAGTTCAATCAATTAGTTCAGGCAAATTCACCAATCAATCAACTATTCTTATTATATTCAGGTAAGTATGGTTCTTTAACTGATTATCTTCTGAAGATGTCTTATCATTGATTTGTTTACGACTCTCCCTATTAATAACAAACTTGCTATTATACCTTATAAATGTTGTAAACAGAGGTAATAAATATCTTATTGGGGATAAGTTATTGGAAATGATGACATTATCAGGGAAACTATTTACCTGTGATATAATTTTACATGAAAAGGATTATTAAATACTCATTTTTATCCTTGGATATGAATCTACAATTGATCGGCTGTTATGATTCAATCGACTTTAGTTAAGCTGCTTTAACCTTAACCTCATATTTTATTTATTGTTCATCCAAGGAATCATTGACTGTTAATTAGCAGAATACAATAAGCATTTCAGAATGCTTTATTATAATAATTTTTAGTCAACAACCCACACAATGGCAGGAAAGCTTATGTTGGATTATAATTTATTATTGACTCGAATGATTGAGTAACATTGAAAGTATGGAAATAAATAGAACACTTTAATTGTAATCAAATAAATTAAAGTTGGACATTTTACTTACAATTTTTATCGGTACTTGATTAACTCTTTGGTATAACAATGTTCATTATGTTTGAATCAATACACATATATTTGGGCTCAACCTAAAATCAAGTTAAATTGTCATTCAAAATTTATAACAAGTTTCAAGATTTTGTGTACACAACTATTTTCATAGATATTGCTGGTAATTGTTTAAATTATCAAATTGCCTATTTTGTAGGTGAATAGGGACAAATCAAACAAGCAGATATGGTGAAAGACATTGTCATTTATCCAGAAACGTAAAAACGCTTACATCGTGCATCAATTTATCCGTTTAAATCAAGTCAATCAAGCAACCTTTTTGATCATATAAGGAATGCAAATTAACTTAATCGAATTAAAATTAGATTGAAAATAGATACTATAAAGTATATATTCAATTTTTTGAACCGTGTCAGTGAAATTAAAGATAAAATGGTGAAAGGGAATCTAATTGTGAAAGGTCAATCAGAAAAATACCACAAGTCTGTAAGCCAAAAAAAACAAACAAACAAATGGTGTTTGGCATCAACGCTATTTTGAATGATTATTGTTTACATGATAAACAATTCATGGTTTAGTTCGTAATTTGCTAAGATGATCTTTGGCTTGATCTCTAAAAGGTACAGATGATTTACGAGCAACCTCCTCTTCGTCGTCACTAGTATAGTTCATTGAAACAGCGCCGCGACTACTTGTAGCCTGCATTAGCTCCATATCAGGTACAGAAAGATTCTCGTACATTAGTACATTTAAAGTTTCCTCGTAGATTCGGGCTTCAGGGAATTCGACCTGTCGAAATGAAAAAATTTGTTGGTTATTCAAGTTTGAAAGGAACAGATTGGAATTTAAATTTTACCTTTGTATGTTTTCTATCAGGTGCATACAATATTGAATGGCAACAGACTTCAGCCACTTTTTTGCCATGTCCAAAAAATGACCAGCAACAGATTTCGCTGGTACCGATGACGTCTTTTATGAAAAGGACTCTTCCACTAAATCTCAAACATAATTTGTCAAAGAGTTCTAAATTTTTCAAGAAATTGTCATCTGAGGTGCTTGTATAAGAATACTTGTTATTATGACGGTTGATTAATAACTTGACAACAGGTTTTGTTGAGTTATTGATTAACATAGCTTCCTCTTTGGATGAAGTTATCAATGGAACGCGACAAATTGGTTCTGTACGATTACTTTCTTTAGATCTTGCTAGCATAGATTCACAAGAATCGATCAACTCTTGTATGAGGTAGTATTTGGCTTCAGCCAATAATTCTTGAATCTCTCGAGCATTATCAGGTAAGGGAACTGATCCATCTCGAAGGAAATTTAAAATAGTACCGAATTGCTTGCCACTTCTATCGATCAAGACCCATCCTGGAAATGAAAAGATACAAAAAATAAATTAGTAAATTAATTAGAGTCATTTAGCCATAGTCCTGAAATTTAGTGAGAGGAATGTAAATTAAGTGCAGATCGGATGTCAAAAAGACGATTTAAGCTGTCAAAACATAACTTAATAGAAATAAAAGGTTAATAATTGAAGGGTTAATGGTAAACAGAAGAAACTCAGCTACAACTAACTGCAATCTGTTTCTGTATTGATAAAAATTCGTGGAAACATGAATAAAAAACTGAGTCAATTGTTCAAGTACATTGTCTTAACAATAAACTCACTTCTCAGGGTAAACAAGTTTCAAGTCACAATAAAAGGATGAATATCCAATCATCAGAGACCATAGAATCCATTAACTGTTAATATTTATAATTAAGTTGTTAACCTTCTGAATCAGTGTGAATACCCAGTCGACCAGAGAACATGGCTCTCAGCATACTATCAGCTTTTGTCAAAGTACCAATTGTTGTCTGGAACAGAGAACCTCCAACGTTAAGTTTAATATATTGACTTGGTCCACCTTTGATAAATGTATTACCCTGACTCGACATAATTGCTTCACCATGTTTATCCAATTCCTGAAATGATAAAAACCCATTCATGTAAACAAATCTTTGCTTAATCAATTCTCAAGACAAATGTTCAGACTTACCTGCATGTTTGATACCAAGTATTATTAAAAATGGCTATTAAAATTTAATCACCGAATCCCAGAAGTTGAATTAATCTAGAGACCAAAATATTTTTCTAGATTAAAGGTCTAACCCAGCAAAGAAAGACAAAATCATTGTAAATAAAAATAACAAAATAAAAGGTTAATTAAACCAACGACAGATGGAGCTCAAAGCAAATAAAAATTCATATCTTCTGAGTTAATATCGTTTGTTGAATTGTCGTTTTGTCTAAACTTTGTACAATTTACTAATTATGTCCTCTAATTTTTTGAAAATCTTTCATTCCATCTGTAAATCAATCAAAGAGGAGCCAAGAGAAAGAGGGGATAATAAACGTAAGTATCGCAATTGATTTAATAATACTTGATTCTTTTCTAATCAATAGTGCTTTCTCTTTTGCATATCCTAAATAGTTTCAGAAGACTTCTTATCCCAGTAAGTTTGTTTATTATTTTCCTTTGTTTCTTATTCTATTTAGCTTTTAAAGATATATTTGGATAATTATAAAGTATGTTTTCATTTATTTCACAGGTTAGTCTATTTATTTGGCGATGATCTTGTCAATGCATTTGATTTAATAGATAAAAAGCGTATCTATTTAGTTCGAAGTGACTCTGGAAGGCAAGTCTTCAAAGTCCTCAGCAAAGATGGTGCTAATTATTATATCTGTTATACCCATGCTTACTATTGTACTTGCCCAGCATTTAAGCACAAAGGTTTGCTCATTTAATATCTAATTAGATTCATTAACAGATGAAATTAATCAGATGTTCTTCTATTTTTCTTACATTAACAGTGATTACTTCCGACTTGGTAATGTGTAAACATTTAACAGCAACTAGGATCGCTGATGCTATGGGCTTAGTGGAGATTGAAAATATTAACGACCAACAAATGGCTGCTTTATTGTAGTAATTAACCTGGAATATCAACTTGCGGAGCATTAAATAAACATGGAAGAAGCAAGAATCCTAAATCTAAATAACCAAAGACATCTTAAAAGTTAAAATTTAAAAAGGTAGCAAAGGTGAATGGTAGTCGGACCAATGACCCTTGAATGGAGGAAAGATGGTGGACAAGAGGCAGCCCCAGACGAAGGTGAAGATGATAATGAGTGTTTAAAAGACTCTTGGACTTTCAAAGAGATACAGTGTAACGGGATTGACATTAAATGGAGAGATTGAGCTTCAATTAACTTTGTCTGCTTATTCAATCTAGATTATCAACTAAAATGTGCTCCACACGACCTGAGAGAGAAAAGGCGAGAGTGAGATAGAGAGGGAGGATAGAGAGCATAAATACAGATACATAGACAGACAGAGAGTGAGACCGTCCAGGTAGTGATAATAGTAGCAGTAAAACATTATGTATGCAACTAGCTCCTTGTACCCTTAAGCAAACCCATCCAGGTTTACTCGCGTGCCACGAGTTACTTTTGTCAAAAAATCTTCCATTCTATTTAGTCTTGTGTTAACTCTCCTCAGGAACAAAAAGAAAGAGATAAACAGAGGAAACCCCTGAGTCAACACTCTCTCTCTCTCTATCTGTCTGTCTCTAGACCTTTCCTCTTGGCCTTTCTTTGCCTTCCTCCCTCTCTTTACATCTCCTGTTATCCAGGTGAAAGAGGAAAGTAAGACCTTTTTGCCACGCGTTTTCCTCTTTCTTATTGTACTATCAGCGTTTTTGGATTGATGAAAGTTTTTATATCACAATTGAATAGCTTTCAATGCTTTGACCCTCTACGGGAATTTAAGTACACATAGAGAGACACAAACAATAATCTATATATAAAAACATTGTATCAAATACTGATAACGCTTTCACCTTTACCTTTTTTTTATTTTCTCCCTTTTTCATTAGGCAAACATATGACAAAATTTATTAATGCCTATTAATGGGAGACAACTTATGTTCACCATTTCATCAAAGAGTTATACAATGTTGTTAATATAACCAATGGCTGTGTAAAAATTTGCCTTGGCCCAGATGAAATTACCAGAAAGCGAGAAAGCAAAAAGTAACATTTCACTTACAAAAAAATGAAGTAAGCTAATCTTACTTCGCTTAAATTTATGGCATTTGTTTGAAATCACGCAATACCGATGCAAGTTTCTAATCGAAAAAATTACAATGTTGCCTTTTTTTCATTATTTTGCTCATTGTAATTTATATTTTCATTGTTATACTTGATATACAACCAGGTTAACTATAAAAATTTAGTCAACCGTTAAAGTTAACATTCGTCTAAAATGATTATAATCATTATAACGGGGATGAGCTTTGAGCTGTTGTTTTTTTAACTTGGCGTTGATGATGCAGCTGAAAATTGTTATTGGCTACTGGATGACAGCTAATACATATTATAAGAAACAATAATAACATTGATAATAATATGTTGATCATGTTTTCATAATATCAACACTGGCACCATTAAATGCATTGGTTAACTGTTAATTCAGCCTAAGGTTATTTAACGATTAAAGGTCGACTTGAAAGCTGATTTATATTACAAAAGCATCCATTGCTTAACTCAGTAAGTTGGCATCATGTTGATAAATTGATTTGTTAATAATTTTAAATTTCTTGAATCGTTTCAATTGAAATCAATCTCTTGTTTTCCCATTTCAGATTTCAACCAAACCAAGTAATTTGAGGAGACAATTTTCAATAGCAATTAACCAATCATCTTTATCAACTCAAATGTATGTAAATCTCTTTAAATATACTCTTTACTCTCACCTTTCCCTTAACCCATTCAAACCATTTAGCAATGGTCATTGACCCAGGTTGAGTCCATAACAAAAAAGCTTGGCTGTCTGTACATATTGGAGGACAATTTGTATCAATAGCTGTATGATCAACACTGATAAAGAAGGAATCGATTTAACTATTTTCTTTACGCTTTACTGGTTCCAAGCAAAGCTCAAAGTGACAATAACCTCAATAGGTCAGGATAGGTAAAAAAAGGACACTTGAGATGACCTTTTGAAAGTAAAGGGAAGACTTGATGAAACTGATCATCTGGTTTGTTTTTACATTAACTTTCACACAATTTAAATTGATGAAGCGTAATCATTATTATGGTTAACACCAATATTGATCATAAAAATTGTATCACAATTTTGTTCTCAGGCCTTGGTAATTATTACCTGTATGAAATAACATTTTCATTGATTAAAGTTGGATATCAAATAATAGCTGCTGATTGTGATTAGGAAATAACAGCAATTGATCCTTATTATGTTGATATTTATGTATATAAAAATACATAAATAAGCCAATAATTGTGGCAAATAACAATCTATCAGATGATGATGATGATGAGGTTGAGAGGAAAGCTTAATTTTAATTGCTCGCTAATGATCCATAAATGAGTGTAATACTGATATACTATTAATATATTATTAACATTATTATTATAACAACATTTATTAACACCTTACATAATTAGGCCTGTAAATGGAAGCAAATTTGACACAAATTTTCATTTGTCTGTTAACCCACAATAATTGATCGCCATTTATCTGGGAATCACCTTTGTTCCTGTTTGACAATTTGTTAATTTGGCCCTTATTATCATCACCATCAGATTGTAATCATTATTGAAGGTAATACTGATAAACCTAAACAACATCAGAATAATCAGAAAAAATCTAACCTTCAGTTCATTGACAGTCCAACTGTTTACATCGATGGTTGTTGTTATTTATCCAGTCGTCAATTCATGATTAGTAAACAATAAACAGGTTCAACAATCACTATTAAAATTAATTTTCACCAATTTCATTCCCAGATTTATTTACTGTTTATCAAACTGTTATTGGACATCCTTTGTAACCTAATTGCTGTTTACATTCCCCAAGAAGCTTGAACTCAATATGTTGTCTATCAACAACAATGTGATTAAATAATGAAAAATATAATTTATTTACAAGTTATTTAATTGGTTATCAACTAATTAATTCAAATTTACCGTCAGATTGTGTCCAATGTTTCAATATAAAGGCAAAGGCAAAATCATATGTGTTGAGGTATGATGAGGCCTTTGGTATTAATATTAATAAATATAATTAAATTTCAATTATAATTAGTGTTATTCATCCTTGGGACATTTCAATGTCACTTTTGTCATTTTAACATAAGGATTTCAGCATCAGTATCATCCATATGGACTTATAGTAATGCTGTAACAATGATAATAATAGTTATTGAGATGTGCATAAAAAAAGCGATGATGAATTAAATGGTAAAAAAGTCTACAAATTTAGACAGTAAAATTAGACAGAGAAGAGAATTAAGAAGACGAACAAGAATCACGTGACGTTTCCGTTGTAAGGCCAAAATTCGGGATGTTTCATTACCTAACCAAGCTTTTATCAAAGGTACATATCCATAAGTGTGTAAATATGCATTTGTAAAACCTTTTTTTTGTCATTTTCATCTTTTCTCTTTTTTTTATTGCGATTAGATTGGAACGGGGAAAGTGGCCTGAAGAGAAAGAGAGAGTGAAAGATGATTAAAGAGCAAAGGAAGAGAGAAGAGATGATAAAAAAGAGAGAGAGAAGAGAAAGAGATCGACTAACAGATGGTTAGTCAAATAGCGACATAGGACGGAGAAATGGTTAGAAAGGTAATAAGAGACAGGAAAAGTGCCACGCGACTTTGGACTCTCTTTCGACATTTCGTCATCTTTACCTTTACCTTTTATCATCTTCATCTTCATCATCTTCTTGGCCTCTTCTTTCCCTTTTTCCCTTTTCTTCCGGAAACAGATGCCATCTTCCCTCTTTTGGGTCTTTGCCTTAAAGTTACAGAGAGACTCAACTGGTACGGAAAATGCCTTTAAACATTCAACAAATGATGACGAAGACGATGATGATGATGATGAGGATGATGAAGGGCACAGCGCTGAGTCCGCCCCCGTTACTGGGTCTTGAGCGATTTCCTATGCCAGTCATTTTGGTCTTTTCCCTTCTTGATTTCCATCTTTGATCTTCATCTTTTTTGCATCTTTTTATTTCTCGACTCCTTTCTTGGGGAACTTTAAATTTTTTTAAGGCCAACCTTCCAACGGAAGGTAAAAAGGTAACATATTAATGTGAACGGAAATAGAACGGCAATTTAACCTTTCTTAAGATGTTGCCAACAATGACCTGGTATATTGACATTGTTGTTACCTTTAAATCTGTTTTTTTGCGCTTCGTCTCTTCTCGATATCAAATCTGTGATTTTTCTGGTTTTGGGTTTTCTTCAAATTTACTTTTCTAATTGTAAATTAAATCTAATCACAATTAATTGTTGATTGGTATTAGCTAATGTAAGTACAAGTACGCCATTAAGTATCAATGTAATCTGCTCAAAAAACGGGACAATATTGTCATCCCGTGTGTTGACATTTGCCGGAAATATTTTGCTCTTCATCGAAACATTGTAACTAATATTAATTGATTAACCTCGAACAATTGTTTTGTTTTCTTGTTAATCTATTAATTTGCGGCTACTGATCAATTGTTTATCAACTGTTGAACCTCTTAAATTGATTAGAAGGCCTCTTTGATTGAATAATCATTATTATGATGACTGATGACGGAAGTTTTATCATTTCTGTTTTGTTTTTCATGATTCATTTCAGAATTCATTTTTGATGATAATTTTTTGCCACCATTTTCATATCAAATGATAGAAACAATAAATTAACCTTTTTTCGTTGACTTTTTAAAGTAACAGTGATTAATTAATTCAATTAAATCATTGAAGGATCAAAAAGTGTAATTGATTGATCAAAAAACTGACATCAGACAATTGAAACATACGAAAAAAAAGAGTTGAACTGTTAAAGCAAATCAAGATTGAACTCAATAAGATTTATACTTGAAATGATTAAATCTTAAAGTACAATGATTAAATGATTGAACACATTTAATCTTAAATTGTTATCCACCAAAAATGTAATACACTTTTAATGTTAATGATGAAAACAAAACCATATGTTCCCACATTACCTTGTTGAAAAATGTTGGTCAATAGTGAATGTTAAATCACAATTAACTGTAAATTAGTGTTATAATTAACACTCAATTTATGGTTCATTAGAAAATAATTAAATGGTTTCACTCAATGTGGATATATCACAATGTATAGCTAAAGGGATCAATGATTTTAGCTATTTTATCACAGACATATATTTAAGTGTAAAATAATTTATAGATGAATATAAATATTTCAATTGAAGCGATAAACTTATGGGATGTGAAATAATTTCATGTGTTTTCAACCTGGATCCTAAGCTGGTCCAGGTAATAAAATGTTGTTTAAATTGTCACACATACATGGGATATGAAATTAGTTTGCCCAATCAACCGAAAAATTATCCTTGGATCCTTCATGTCTTTCAATTGTCTCTGTAACTTTAGATTGTTGTCAGTGTTGATTCACAGATAGCCAGAAATATTGAACCGTATTAAGAAATTAAATTCAAATCTTGTTTTGTTCAATGAAATTTAGGATTCGATCTTTGATGGAAAATGGTACAAAATGATTGACAAAAAGAGTTGGGATTTTTAATGTAAGGTCAAGGATTCGATAACAATTCTAACATTTAATCTCACTGCAATTAAATTTATTAATTTGTTTACTTTTTTCATTTGAATTTTTTTGGCGAGGATCAATATATATAATATATTATATTATATATATGTATAAAGTTATTTATATATTTATATCTGATTTGGTTGGCGAAATGAACACCTTAAAGTGATAAACATGTGTGTTGTGTATCTCCGGGATCAATGATGCCTACTGATTTGTTCATTTAAAACATCTTCAATTGATTTTCGAATTGAAAGTAGCTCAGAGACATCTATGCTAGCTAATTTACATATTTGTGAAAGTATTTTTTCAGTTGATGAAAAGTTGTTCCGTAAACTGGTTAATCCCAGGATGGCGGTGGCTATACAGGAGGCAGCAATAGATGATGGAGGTAACATGGAGAAACGAAAATCTGAAAGCAAAACAAGAAAAAAATGATGAGTAAAAATGATCATTACAAAATGAGTGAACAATTAAGTCAAAAAAATATGAAAAGATGATGGCAAAGTAACACAATTAACCGAGTTCTCATGTAACCTTAGCCCTTAGATAGCTATAAGGTTAAGTAAAACAAAAGCTTAGTCTAAAAGTCTGTTAAAATTGAATACCCGATGACTGTTTGGATGGTTTACAAGCTTAAACCAGAAGAGTTATCTTAAATCAAAAGTTTATCTAGATTATAAAGAGTCGAACAGTTTTCTGTTAATTATGAACTCAGAGACAACCAGTCTGCCGGTGATAAGAAAGCAAACAAAAATTGCAAAATTATGGATTGAGTTAAGAGATTGGATGAACAATTTTTGTTCATTTACCTTAGCACAAAATTAATCTCATCTCAACCTAAATTTCAAAAATGAGTAATAGAATAGGTTTGCAAATTATTCGCTTTAATTTGGTTCAGGATAAATGTAACTAGCAGTGTCATGGTTATTCTTGAAACCTTGGTGGGCCCTACATTGGAAATGACCTTGACAATGGAATCAAATTAACCACCAAAAAGTCTGTTGATCTTCTTTATCATTTAATATCAATGCAGTATAAAACAATCAGTTACCTTTTTATACTTTGGGTTCATCTCATTAATCTTTACATTGATTCAACAAATGACTCTTATTTTATCATGTTCATCTAAAACTGAGGGTCAATCCTAATCAAAATGAATAACCATTATACTTTAATCAGAGGATGGAATAGAAAATGAAAAATCATCTGTTGGAATGTAAACAATTTTTTCGCTTCTCAATGATGGGCTTCAATATTCATTGATGCAGGACATATGATATGTTACATCTTTATCTGAAAACTGTAACATATAAAAACCATCATCATCAACATACATTTACAACAATATAAGAATTTGGTAGAACCAGGAATTTGATAATCATGGTAGCAGAAAAAAACTCATTGTTACAGGTGGAAAAAATATGATCGTGAAAGTTAGAAGCAACAGGCAAAGTCAGCAATAAACTAATCTAGTTACTGTTCAGCAAACAGAACAAGATTTGTTTATTTTCAACATTTACACTTATTTGATTGGATAAGTTGAGGTTTATCAATATACTAAAAAAATGATGAATGGTGTTAAATGAAATGGACTAGAGTAAATTTAATTCAATTGACACACAAAAATTTGCAGCTAACGGTTTTAAATCAAAGTAAAAATGACCTACAAGTTGGCTAATTAACTCATTGTAGACAAATTGTCCAGACTGTTTGCAATTGAGAACATCTTAATTTGTCCAGTTACTAATCAGTATTGCACATTTTATTATCAAGAATGTAGAAAAAAATATTCAAATGATTCACAAAGAAAAAGAATTGTTAATAAAATTAAATTTTGCTCCAAAAATGCATTGGAAATAATTTCGATTAATACCAATGCCTGGCTGACTTTCATGGGTATAAGTTATGAAATAAAAGGTTCAATTGCAGGAGTTAATTGCAAAAAATGTCTACTTGAATCATTTGAACGAATGATCAGGCTTAAGTTTGGAATAAATTTAGTTGGAAATATTGAAATCAAGTTAATTGGACGAAACATGATAGATTACTATTTGCACTAATGATGAAACAACAATGCAAGGTGGTAAGGCGAACCATCGAGTTTATCGTCAAAATGGTACTTAAATTGTTCGCACATGAGTTCATGAGAAACAATTTGCAACAAACAAGTGAAGAAAACAAAAGGCTTGCCCATTAAATGATGAAATAAATCAATGTAAATAACAAAAGTCGAGATATTTTTGTTTGTAACCTTAATTATGTTTAGCAAATTTCTTCACACGATGATCAATGAGCAGCAAAAATTATTCAATTGACCACACCAATCTTCACTCTCTTGATCATTCGGGTGACATTGTCTTTGCAACATCTTTAATTCACCTTCAAGTGGGCCTCTCTACTCATTAAAAAAAGGAAAGACGGACGGATGACCCCATCCACTGTAGCTCACTCTCGAAGAGAGATGACGAGGATGATCATCGAAAAGGTTAGCCTATCATGATATATTCACAGAGAAACACGGAAATAATGTTACGGTTGAATAAATGCCTAGACATACTCTGTTGACTACTTATATTGGCAGATTCTTTAATAATCTTACCTGTTGCACATAGAGTGATGAAGGTTTGAGCGTGCTTCTTAATCGTCATTAATTTGTCCTTTCCTTTGCATCGAGTGTGCAATCGTCGGAGTATTAAGTTGAGGAAATCATTGGGAGTAACAGCGGCCAAGTCCCACTTTAATTGACTCAAGACTAGTAGTTCCCAGCCCTGATCATTTTGTTGTTGATGATGTTGATGTTTATCATGAGAACGAATATGATGACGAATTGAAGAAAGAAAGAAAGAGAAAAAAATGATGATGAGAAAAAGGCGAAAAATGGGAAAAGGTTTGTCCAATTAATTATAAATCCACTTCAACCATAAAGATGATCACCATCTCGGGTAAGGTTACTTCCGAATTGAATAAAATGAAAGGACTTACCTTGATTTGGTCGGAGGTGATAGAATAATCAGCATAAAGAATTAATTTTTTCACATCTATTGGCTCGGATTGTCTCAATTTGGAGGAAACCAGTAAACACACTGAAGCAACAAGTTGAAGTTGACTTTTCTTAATCAATATCACTGATAGAAAACGGTCAAGAATGTTCATAGCTAAAGGAAAAACATCTTTTTCACATTTTTCTTCTTCACATATCTAAAACAAGTGAAAGTAGAAGATATTCAAAGCAAAAGAGAGAAGAAAAACACAAAAAAAACACAAAGAAACACAAAGGAAAAGAAAGAGTAAGAAAAAGTTGACAAATTAATAATCATGTAAATCAAAAATGGGGGAAGTAAGTTTACATTTACAAGGCAATGTAAGTATAATATCCAATAGGAATTCAATGTTAACTTACCTCTAGCATCCAATTGGCCACTAATTCCCTCATATAAACATCAAGTTCTGTTTGAAAACATTTAAAGTAAGATGATTTAATCACATAACGACTTTGGGTGAATAACAAATTCCGTAGAACACGTTCATCTTCAATTAAACTTGGATCATAAATAGTTTGACAATGTCCTTTAATCATTATCCAAGCACAATGAAAACAAGGAGAGCAAAAAAATTGGTTTTATTTTTGGTCATTTGCTCGACAACTGCAACTAAGAGAAGTGAAGAAGAGTTTGTAATTTTTTCGAAAACCTAGTTGGACCGCAGGCGCATTAGTCTTGGGAAAAAACGCCATCTATGGGTGAATATAGATTACTAAATTCACTGAAATTTTTTACAGTAAATTCACACTTATTTTGACCAAAAAATCAGAGCCATCTATTGGTATCAGAGCTTTAGCCCTAGCATAAACAGTGCTAGGATAACTTAAATAGTACTCTCGTCTTACTATTGGCAGTATAATAGACGGCGCTGTTTTTTTGGTCAAAATAAGTGTGAATTTACTGTAATTGAAATGATTTTCCATGTTAATTATGAATGTTCCGAATGAAAAATGCTCTAATCATCAACAAAATCTATTCAGTTTACCGTCGGAATCATCATCATATTAACCAAAAGGATAAATTAGTGATTAAAAACTGTTGATTATTTCCAAATTGACAGTCAAAAACAAAGAGATCAAATGGTAGATCAATTACAGTAGGGTTACCCTTAACTTGATAGAATTTCGTGTTGGCGCCACCTATTGGATCAAGCAATTTAAAGTCATTTAATTGTAATTTTTCAATTGTTTCAATCAAAATAATCAAAAATTTAATGAAAAAAGTGAAATCTACGGGTCAGCATTATCTAAAAACATGATTTCCTCTGGAATTTATCAGCTCAATTTCCTAAAAACTTGAAAGTCTTTTTTTTCAATTTTACTCTCAAAATTTTTAGAGACACAAAAATCTTCTTCTTCACTCGATAATCTGATAGCATGTTACTGACTTATTCTGCACTTTTAAACAATAACTTTTGTTAATTTGGGTAAAGTTGGCCCGTAGATTTCACTTTTTTCACTAAATTTTTGATTATTTTGGTTGAAACAATTGAAAAATTACAATTAAATGACTTTAAATTGCTTGATCCAATAGGTGGCGCCAACACGAAATTCTATCAAGTTAAGGGTAACCCTACTGTAATATCAAGTAATGGATCAGATTCTAGATCCAATTCTGGTAATCATCTGGTAATCTTTTGGTAATCTTCTGGACTAATTAACTTGTTGTAATAAAGAGTTGATTTTAAAACATTAGATGGACCAGTTTTGGATCAGCTATTGAAGAGAAATCAATTTAAATTGTGATCTTGGCTTTGTTTACAGCTAATTTTGTTTTGGATGTTTTGTGTCAACAATGTTTTGATATGTCTTTATCTTTAGCTTAACCAACTTTAGCGTTAACTGTTTAGTTAACAATAAACTGATTAAGTAAGCGTATGATCAACTAATAGATGTAACACAATATACCAACAATTAAGATTCAATTCATTTAATCTGATCACAGTCAATTAAACATTTAACCAAAAGTGTTGGAGTGACTAAACACTGAGTCTTTTCAAGAATCAGATAAACATTGATTGTCAAGGTAATAATAAAGGATGATTTTAATGATGGTGATGATAGTGATGTGAATGATGTTGAGTGTGATGATGGTGAAGATGAAAAAATTTGGATGTAAAAAAAAAGGTAAATAAATTGGAAACGGAAAGCAATAATTTCTTTTCTATACGGTAACATCTTCATTCATCTCTTGGTGTTCACTATTGTTATAATGTCAAACTAGGACACAACATTATCTTTTTCATCCTCATCTTTTTATTATCTTGGAATCATCATCATAATGAAAATCATAGCTGAGCAAGCCTTATCCGGTAAAAGAATAGAGAGAGAGAGAAAAAAATGGTGAAAATGAAGAAGACGATGAAGACGGCGAAGAAGATGAAAAGAGAGAGTTAACTTGAGCGTTTACAAAAATAGCTTAAACAGTTACTTACCCAAAATGAGGCCACAAGTCGTTAGGACATAAATACGAATCGAGAACCGGTTGTAAGTGAGGATAAGAGGGAGTAGGGAGAGTTCAAGATGATAATGATTATGAGAAGGCAGACAGTTATTTGTAACTTGATTCAAAGCTTGTAGATAATGTTCACTTGATCTTGTAAACTGTTTGAAACATTGTGTTCATTAGATAACATTTGTTTGGGAAAAATTTTCAGTGAGAATAATATTTAATTGTATTAATAGTTAAACATTGAGAGAAACCATTACATGGAAACTGTTCAAACGTTTGCGCTGGACGCCATAATGAAATCATTGGCTCTCTGGTAAACCAATCAGCTGACATTTAACCGCGATCTGGTTCATCTTTTGTTTGTCTTACTTTAGTTTGTTTTAATTTCAATTTGTTGGCCTTTTTATTGTGTTTTATAGTCAACTCTAACAGTTATCGATGCCTCGAAGTATACTTAATTTGGCTCTAGAAAAGGAATTGAATGGTTTCACTGGAACTTCTGACGTACCAAAAGATCTACTAGATAATAACGGTGTTGAATCGATTGAAGGTGATGCCAATAATACAGAAGCCAAAGCTAGTTCAATTTCATCTTTTGGTGTCTTCAGTGAATCACAACTGAGAGATGTAACTGAAGTATTGGAAGTTCAATCGCGTAGTTTAATTCGTCCATCATCTGTAAATGGAGAGGAAGACAATGAGTTATGCAGAACAATCATCGATTCTTCCCATGTTGATGGTACCACAAGATGTTCCAATAGTTTATCCATTAAAAGAGATGAATCCAAAGAGGTTCAACAATCTGGCATTGAAAGTGATCATCAAGAAATTAGATCAGCTTCAGGACTTGGTGAAAGTTGCTCAAATTCATGTTACTCAACAAGTTCATCATCCCTTCCAGGCAATGGTTCAGATATACGGGAAAATGATACTGAAGCGCACCTTCAACCTTCATCTACCTCACCATCATCCCCATCATCAGCAACTGTAACTGTATCAACTTGTCCCTCTTGTGGCTCCGAAAATGTTGACCCTAACTTAAAATCTCATCGTCGATATTCAACCGAGTCATACCATCAAACTGGTCAACAATCAAACAAATGGAAAAGCTATTCAAGACCAGAAATAATGAGTAAATCTTCACATCGCTCATCTCCATACAAGATCAAATCAAATTGTAATAACTCTTCATTTAAGCAATCTTCTCGTCATCACCATTCTCACCATCATCATGGACACCATTACGGACACCATCGATTAATGAATCGACCTTCAAAGAAACACTCATTAGCCTCTGAGCTTGACATGATTCGGAAAAAATCAAAATCAAAACGCGATCGTTACTGTTCTAAGTCTTCATCAACACGGATCAATTCCAATGATTTAAGAGATGCTGGTCGTTGCCATATTTGTAAACATGATGAGGATAATAGACTTTCAGGATTATACCCGTCCATTGGAGCAACTGGATTAGGACGGACTAGTAAAACAGATTGTCCTTACTCATTAGCATACGATGATGACCACCTAATGTCACATTTGTGTGACATCGATAGCTGGCATCGGCGAAGGAAAAGAGAGACTTTAAAGAAAAAGGAAAGAGCAATTATAGCAATTTTGTCAATTGTTGCCGTTCTCATATTCATTGCTATGAGCTATTTTGGAACCATCTTATTCTTAAGGATAACCACAATGCCTGTTTCTTAACCAATTATCTTAATTTAAATTAATTAATTAGCAAACAAAAAGATGGACAATCTCTTGTAAAGAGCTTCACATTGTCTCCAGAAAACATAGACATGCAAATCGCCTGCATCAACAACTGACCATCATTCCCATGCTACTGTTGCTTTTTATTATTGTTGATTTTTTTAACTGTTTCCATTGTTTTATCATCATTTTTGATTGATCGTGTTAATATTTTATTACCTTAGCTTCAATTTATTCAAAGTTATTGTTGATTTTGTAAATATATTGATCAATAAATGCCTGTTAATTGTATAAAGCTGTTATTCTTGACTTGTTAAGCCGGTCAACGAACTATCCTGCTTCCTCCATATCATGTATTCAATGGTCCGGTGAATCTGACATGGGGTCAACAGTTAAAAGCTTAATCAAAGATTCTAATGGTGATAACAATTTGACCTCAACACAGAGCTTAAATGAGTGTTAAATATTTCAAGTTAATCATTAAACAAACACACAATGAAAACAAGGAGAGCAAAAAAATGGATATATTTTTGGTCATTTGCTTGGCAACTGTAATGCTTATTAAGATTGTTTTCTTGGCTCTAAAAGTAATTAACTTGAAACATTCTATCAGTTCGTATCTAATACAACAGCCATTTGATTAGGTGTTCAGGTTAATATTAGGGTAAAACACCTTTTTAATTGTAAATTCAAATGATTGCCAAGAAAGAAGCATTTTTAACAAAAGTTAAATAATGATTTGAAACGAATAAGTTCAATACAAATCAAAAATACACAGCCAACAATGCAATAAATTGTCATTAACTTTCACTCTTCTCTATCATTAAAACACCTCCAATTTGTTTCTTATGTACTTTAATTGCTACAATCAGCTTCTTTTTTAATCTTCACCTAATTAAACACCAAACCAAGCTTTTTTTGCCAACAATGATAAATCATGATTTACAGTGAAATACAAAACATCTTTCGTTATAATTTGTTAACCATCAACAATTCATATTGTCACAGTTTCAGCTTATTTTGACTGTTTTTTACTGCTCTAAAATTGTGAATACTTTATCACGATTTTACGATTGTATTGATTTTTCATGATTACTATCTGATTATTTGACCATCATAACCTGAATCAAGATCAGCAAACCAACTGAATGAGAAAATATTGGCTGAGTTGCCCAAAATTATTTACCTGTTCAAGACTCACAACTGATAAAAATTTAAACCAATTGAGTGTTGATAAATTGACAGTTAACATGTTGATCTATCAATAAACACATAATATAAATTGTAATAATCATAAAGTCAGGTCAAAACCAGGAATATAAAACAACAAAAACAGTGAAACAGACAAAGATTTGTTTACTTATTTTGTTAACCTAATTTTTGTCCATTTTCTTAATCAAATTTCAATCAATCATGTATATTTTTCTGGTTTCCACAAAATCTTGAAGTGAAAGTTGATCCCAATTATTGTCACAAATTGAATTGTGACAAGTTAACAGCACAATTTAAATTAGTCTGGCCAGAAAACTGTTTAAGTTATGATATGAATGGATGAAAGGAAAGCTTTTTTTCACTCTCGCAATAAAACTGTGTTAACACCATTCAATGTTGGTTTCCCTGCATCGGACTGACAACTCATTTAATCAGTAAACTGTTAAACAATTAACTGTATCACAGTGGTTAATACAGTTAAAGGTATAATATAACAATATATGCGAGAAAAGCGAAAAAATATTAATTATAATAAACAATAATAATCATCACTGTAGTCACTATTTATCAAGTAAAGCTTATCCAACTTGTTTGGTTACAATACATGAAAGATGGGAACCATTTTTGTCTCTCCTTTATAACACCTGAAACAATCACTTGGTTAACTAAATTATTATTATTATTGAACTCAAGTTTAAGATTAAAACAAGTTAATTAAAGGTTGACAGTTAATCCAGGAAGAAACAAAATTGAAAACAATTAGGTAAATGTTGAAATAAATGCTGAATAAGCTTAAGACGTTATTAAAATGAAAAACAATCTTTATGGTTACGCCATCTCTTGACATAGCCATTTTCTGGTTCCATTTCTTTACCAATGAACAATGAATTTAAATTAAAAATGTCTTCCATTAATAGATTCAAGTTGCTATTTGATTTACTGATTTGCTTTATTAAATATTAGATTCACTATCAGATAATAGAATAACATTTTAAATTGTTATGAACACAACTGGCTGATATCAATTAACACCCAAACATTAACAGCAATGCATACAATTGAAACAATCGTGAGGTCGTTACAAGATGAATATTAAATGGACTCAACAATTTGAATTACCTTTCTATTTAAGGAAACATTAACAAGTGTATTTAAGTTAATTTTTAATAAACTTCATCATCATTAACCTACACCTAAAAATTTAGATAATTTTTAGTCACAAATTAACATGGAAAAGCTAAATCAATTATTAATCAACTCAATTCTTACGGAAATGAAACAATTTACTGTCAATCATTAACCGATAAATGGTTAAGCTCAACAATTAACCTTTTTTAATCGTCAATCTTTTCACTTCCAACTCATTTTTTCAAAGTCCACTTCAAGATTAATTCAATTTGAACGGTTTAATTGTCACTTCAATTGTCGTTTTTGCTGTCAATTCAGTTTTGATTAAATTGTGAAACAAGGAATCTGTTGTAACTATTGAACCAAGAAACTGATTTAAATTAAATATCTCAACATTGTTTTTTGGCTGTTCATCAATGAAAATGATTTAAGTTTAAGAGCAAAAAATCACCAAATTGTTGACAATCAATTGAGCCTGAAATAAATGATTTTCATAAATATATAAATGGTTAAAATAAATGGTTAACTTAAATGGTTATTATATTGAATGTTACATCTTCACTTGATTAGGTTAATTGCTGGAAAGACGGTCTGTTAACTGTTCATCTTGACAATTACCCAAAAATCAGGGTTTTTACAGTTGACTAACCATTTGTTTTAAGGTAAAAGGTTAAATAATTTAAATTATAGCAACAATTGAATTAGCCATTGATCATTAAACAGAACCAATGAAATGGTTTTATAAATAGCTGTAAAAACAGGTAAAAAGATGAGTTTCAATTGATCAGGTTCACTTTAAATGTTAACTCTATCATTTGCTGCTTATATTAGATTTAATTTATAATTTCAATTACAATTACATTCGTAATATTTTCAATAATCAACCGATTTCGGGCAAACTTCAATTGCTATTCAACAATTTTCCCTCTTGTTGTACTTTTCATTTTTTTGCATAAAACGGTAATCTTTTTGTTCTTATTTTTTGGGTTAATCTTAATGATTCTCATTGTTATTCAATGATAATCAACTTATAATTGAGTTTAAAGTTTAACTATTCAACATTTGGCTTTTGGTAATTCAAGGTTTACATTATATTTTTGCATTCACTTAAATTTTTGTGAGTTGCTTGTTGGTTGCGTTTGTTTCAGCTAATTGTGAATGTTTAAATGTATACATTTTGTCTGTCTCAAGCTTACTATTTCGTTCTAATTAAGATAATTAATTAATAACCATTGCACTTGTAATCGGGAACGGAAATTTAATTAAAAAAAGAGACTCGACAAGTTGAAGCTCATTTCAGTTGACTTTTGCACAGAATAATGTACAACTTGATCTAAATCAGCCTCTTCTTTAGATGTTAACATTCCCATACAATTATGGAAGTGACAGTAAACAAATCCAATCAATCGAGTGTAAAACAGCAATCTTGTTATATCACAATATTGTAACAGTAGTAATTAAATTGGCAAAAGGTTTTGGTGTATCCATTGAGAAGTTAATGAGATGAATGTTGAGCAGCCATTTGAAAGACACTTTCAAATTGATATTTCATCTGCTCCAACAGGAAATCCATTGATTTATTCACACGTGTAATTATCTTATTTGAATATCCTTTATTTAATCAGCTTTCAAGCAAACATATTAATTAAACAAATGTATAATTAAAAACAATCAAAGTTGTGAATCAAATCAGATGAACTATATTTAGCTAATTCATAAAAAGTCATCATTTAATCATTTAACCGCCAAACTTAAAGGCGCCATCTATTGGATAAGAATAAATGCTCAACTGTAACTCCATCTAATGAGGCCCATTCGAACTAAAATGACTGTTAACCCAAATTTTGGTATAAAAAGTGTTGAAATCGTCTTGAGCTTGACAATTAGCTCCAATCATCTATGGTTAAAATTGATTCCTCTATAAAACAATTTAGTAAAGTGGACTCAATGCTGACTGATTTTATGCTAAATAATCAACTTACTTCAGATCACATTTTTTCTAATTCCGACCTACGGAAAACATGAAAAGATCAATTCAACTAATAGATCTCCAGCTTAAAACTCAGGCATTAAAAGCTTGAAAAGGGATCTTATTCACAAATTGATTGGAACAGTTGATGAACATAATGTTCTTCTTAATTGCTATTTTATGCGATGAAAATCACTAAAAGATTGGCCTAATTTTGATCATCAAGACAAATCAATAACATTAAATGTGACGAAATATTTTCGTACTTCTATCCTTAGATACTTACAGCACCCATTGATCAGTTTGATTAATATTTGAATTGATTTCTCTCAATTTTTCATTTTATCGAATAATGTTGAATCAAAAATGCAATTTTCAATAATAAATCTCAACCCAGAAATATCAAATAAAAATAATGTCTTCTTTATCATTAAAAGACGTTTTGTCATTGCAAGAGCCTCTTATAAGAATTGTTTTTGTAAAACTTATTTCGTTATTATTGAAGATCTTATCTTAATTATTGTTGGATCAGTGAAGAGTGGATCGATTGTAAATAAGATGGATTTCCAGATTAGAGAGAACAATTAATTCATAAAATTAGCGTGACAAATAATCGTTAAAATTGTCCATCAAATATTCATTTCTCTTATGCGCCGTTTTTCATTTTATGCATATTTGCCATGTTATTTTCCTATGGCCTAACCAATGATTCTGATCGGGTAAACTGAGCATTCACTATTCAACTAACCAGTTTATGGTTAACTAATCAGTAAAGTATTTTTTGGTTCAAGTTCGTTCATTAACCAACAATTATGCTTTCCTTGATTTACTGCACTTATCAAAGGTTGTTCAATAAGGATCAAAAGGCTGGAGTCAGTGAGGTTCAATTATTTTCAGTGTTGGCCTTAACCATTGTCCTCATGTTTATGATTAAATTAATGACTTTGAGTGGATCAAGCGGACGAACCCGTGGATCGCTTAGTGCATACAATTTTGAGTCAGATGATCAAGAGGATAAAGGTGCTGTTGATGATTACGATGATCTTATTAAAGGCTATCTTGATTGGTCGATGAAGGAAGAGACTGAGCTTCAGGAAGAAGCTGAAAACTCCAAGGAATCAACCTGACAATTGATAGAAACGTTAAATCATATCTATCAATAATGTATCAATCATCTGTCATTAGTCAATTGAATCTTATTTTCTGAACATTGTAAGTTTGTTCTGATGGATAGATATTGATTCTCAATCCTTTATTTAGTAGTGATCTTATCTTTCAGTCAAAGCATCTATTTAAATGTTTGTTATTGTCGTTATTGTTAGATTCTAGATCAACTTGAAAGCTCTAAATCTCATCTAATCTTGTACCAACCATTTGGTTCCAATCGGTTTGAATTTGATTAAAATTGTTGAAGTTTAAAGCTGTTCCATGAGATAACATTATTACAAGTTCAGAGTCACTTGAGTTATCTTTGAAACTGTACACTTGATTGAAGTCTTCCAAGTAATTAACTGATTTGATTTGGATATGAAACATATACATGTATCGAGCATTTAAGTGATAAAATATTGGTTGATAACGATGATGACAACAATTAGACAACAATATTAATAGACAACAAGGATTTATTTTGAGTAAAAGTATTTTGTTTTTAAAAAATTACACTTTTTACAACCAAGTCAATTATGCATAATAATTGATTGATAGTCAACAATAGCTAAATGAACAATAATCGACAATCTGTCAGAAATAGAGGAACAAAAATGGTTAAAAAGTGTGCTTTATACTGGTTATCAAGGTAATATCATGATAATGACTTTTTGTTTGATTAAATAACATATTCGAGTGATTAACGATATGACGCATATTTCTTTTGCAATGTAACCAACTCGTTTTCAACAATTAAGTCTTCCTCATCTCGGGGAGTACATTTAACACCAATATCCAAACATTCAATGGCTTTTTTATTGTTTTTCATGTTAATATAACATTTGGCCATCCAAAAGTAATTAGCTCGCCAATCGGGTCGCATTTTGTCTGCCTCAATAAATTTATTAACAGCATCTTGATAAGTTGCCTCCGGGGGCTTTGAGAATAAAGCAGCAGCCAAATTTCGTTCGACCCAGGACAATTTGGCCACTTCCATGCACCATCGACCATAAGAAAAGTAAACTCCAGCATCGGTAGTTTTCAATCTAATTGCTTCTTCCAAATGATGCTGCATCTCATAACCACGTTGGATCCTTTCCTTTCGTCCAGCAAAATCAGACAATTTACCAACAATAAAGGCAGCCCATGCATGATATTCTGGATTGGAATTGTCTAGAGCCAAAGCTTTCTTGATGAAACTCTCAGCTTCTTGAAGTAAACCTTTTTGTTTATCTTTATCTCCAGCAGCTTCGGCAACAGAAGCAGCTCGATGAGCATCACGAGCAACTCGCCACAATATTGCCGCATTTGATTCCCCATTAAACAAATTGTACAGTTCCTTGGTCTTCAATAACAAGGCGTCTTTATCACTATCAACATTTTCAGATTCTTTGTCAATCTCAGCTAACCATTGTTCGTAAGTCTTCTCAACTGGTACGTTTGCTGGTACAATTGCTGGTTCGGTTGTTGCTGTGGTCGAAGTTGTGGTTGTAGTTGTGGATGCAGTAGTTGCAGTTGTCTCGTTGGCTTTAGAATCCGACATTTTACTTGATCAATTAAAAAATATCACAGATGGAAAGTTAATAAATTATGATGTAAATAAAAGTTACTAGAATCGAAGCAAAATTGTTAGATAGAAACAATAAATAGCAGTTATCACCAGTTATTCAAAAATGATTAGATGTTGTTTCCACAGAGCTGAATAATCAACAATGACAGTGAACCAGATAACAACTCGACTTTTTATAAACATATAATCCAAATTGTGTACAGATTAACAATAAAGAGCAAAGTTTCTTTGGATAAGGTGGAAACCAATTCCTATTGTCACGCAGTCAACCTTACCGTGAAATCGTTTCTTATGGTTGATCACAATTAACAGTTTTCGAGTGAAGAGAGGCGAAAAAACGTAGATTGTTTGTTTCACCTTATTTAATAAAAACAGCTACTAGCTGGTAAGTCACACTTAAAGTATAAAAACAAATGGTTGACTATTTTTAAGGTCACTTAATAATCCGAGGTTAACACAAGAATAAAAATAAAGTTAAAATTAATACACCAATAAAGTATAATAATAATAATAATAATCTATCCCGCCACAGGAGTTGTTCAAAACAAAGCGCAACCAAAAAAAGTGAAAGAGTTACTGTATGAGCAAGAACCAATAAGAATTGAAAAGGAAATCCGCTCCAAGTTTGAAAAGGTGAGTGACAAAATTGAATTGCAAATCTCAGGTTAAACAAACTTCATTTCTCTCTTTTATATGTATTTTCACTCACTCAATCTCCTTCTCTTTCTCCTTTTTATCATTTTCATCATCATCATCATCTTATTCCTTCTCCTTTTCTTTCTTTTTCCCTCTGTCTTCCATTTCAGCTGAGAACGAATCCTTGAATTCAATCTAAAAGTAAAACCTTCTTTGGTTATTAATTTATCTCTCGCTTTGCAATAATCTATATAAGTTAATTGTCCTTCTTAATGTCTGTTAATTTACTGTTCACTCACTCACTTTCCGTTCTTGGTCATTAATTGGACCTCAACTCGGCTTTCAATCATCATGGTTTCCACCATAAAATTAACAACAGCAAAAGCAACTCTTTCATACTTCCGCAAAAGGCCTGCTTTTCACCATAACATGTGTCTTTAACATCAATGAGCTTTAGCTACACTTGGATCATCGAAGAGTCACAATCTAATTACAATAGTGATGTAACCTAGATAAATAGAGTCATGGAAATCATGTTCATTGGCACTCATTTGATCAGCTGATAAATGGTAATATCCTCCTGTAAAGCTCCAGTAATGTCCGTTGTAAAAGGCTGTCTTCACAGCAATGGCTCTTTCTGTGATCCGGTCAAACCTATCGGTAACAGTCTAGTTATACGAACACAGAGAGAAGCGTTAATTTAACTCACAATTTGACCAAATCACAAAAAACATGTTAATTTTGATTTCATAAACTCATAACAATGATATTTCATTGCAATAATTGTCAAGTATTTTCTTACCAACATGAAATACTACATTGACCAGCAATCAGCTCCAGGATCAGACATTATATCTTTCCATTTTATGTTCAGTGTTTTTATTTCAGTGATTGAAATTTTTAAAAGATTGACTTGATTGGATACTGATTTAAAAGTGTTGTTAATTGTACCCTGAGTCTAACTAGACTGTTATCAACCTATCAATTGATAATCTAACTGAGTGATCAAACACATTCAACTAGATTTACTCGTTAGCTACCGAAAAGTCATTGAAAAATTGAAACCTTGATCAAATTTGTTTACATTTTTCATTGTAGCCTCTGCTAATTGCCTTAATTTTGTTTACCTGGTAAATACACAATTTCAATGTTGCCTCGTCTTCACTAAAATCGTTTAAAATTAAAACTTGTTGCTGTTTAATCTGGAAATGATCACAACTTTCCCAAAGAGTTAATGTTATCATCTGGTGATGCTCTTGATTTTCAAATAACCTGTTGGATCCAACAATTACTCATGACTGATGGTGATTTGGTTAAAAAATATGTTGTCAACCCAGAAATACACATAAATACTCAATTGACCTTTACCTTAATTGGAAATCAGTTAAGCTTATCGATACCAGTCCGTCAACCATTAAAATATCGACCTTGCTGAATGCTGTCAAGTGTAATTGCGTCGCAACAAGTCAAAACACCCAATGGAGGAAATCAATCGACTCTCACTGAAACTCAACTAATCAATTTAATTCGTCTAATGTTGGTGTTCACTTTCAATTGAAACCAGGTCAAAACTAAAGGATTTGTAAAGAGACAAAATGATAACTCAATCATAATCATTATCAAAGCTTAATTCAATGCCTTCCCATTCATTATCATATCCACAACAGCGACTGAGGTTCAAAAAATAATGCCAAACATCATCTCTACCTTCAATTATTTTCATCTTTCATTGTTCTTTACTCAATAACAATACCTAATTGAACATTATTTATGAGAATCTTGCAGATATTTACTTGACAAATAACAGTTATCAATCAAATAATTGTTGAAAATCAATAAATTATTGTTAAAAGTGAAAGTGTTTGACTAGATTTAATGAATCGCTTTTTTTAAGATCAACCAACAATGTTAACATTTTTCACAATTGGCATTGTTGTGGTTGGCAATTGATTTGATCTCCAGGTTATTGATTGAAAAATTGACGATGAAATGGTGTAAAGGTGGAATCATCTGATAATCAATTTGCTTTACTTTATTACACTTTCAACTGTGAAGCTTTAATGTATTAATAAACAGAATAATAATTATCTCAAAACTTCCGGTAGTTTTGTTGTAACCAAAAATTTAACAGTCAATCAATCAAATTACATTATCCAATTAGATGACATTGCTTTTAGCTGCAGTTTACATTCAGGATTTAAGATTGAATCTTGCAGAGCATCAGTTCAATGTAAAATATTCATTGTTAATAAGCAACTAGAGGAATCGGATTTTCCCGAGATAGGAATTAAGAGGAAAGTCCCATTTAGTTATTAATTGTTTACTAATTGTTATCTAATATCTCCAAAATTTAAACCATTCTGAGGTTGTGTGTTTTCATCTTTCATCTCACAAATCTAAGGGTTACATCTCAGGCCTAGTTATTTAACTATTTTAGTAGCTATTCAAATAATTTGACCGATCTACTGATTGGAAATTTTTGATCAATCAAGTTTATTGACAATGATGATTGACGAAGATAAACTTCTTGATTTGTGAATCCTAAAATAGGAATAAAATCAGCTGCAAGATTTCATCTTGGAAACTTGGGTAATTCAAATTGTAAAATGACGATGGGATTTCCCATTGTTTAGTCCGAGATAATGACCAGGTCATTACTCGGGTTCAATCAATTTAGTTTTCTTGTTTTCTATCTCATTGCTTTCCTGTGTAATTGAGACTTGAAATTCATGATTTAAATGATTTCAATTGTTTTTGCTTGAAAATTCTGGCATTGAAACACTGCATGTGTAATTTAAATAAAACCACATGTTTTGGCATTTCAAACAATCAGTTAATTTTTTGAGAAGGAGTATACGGTTTATGCTAATAATTTTTCTATAATTAGCCTCCTTTAGCTTACTATTTCGTTAATTCAGTAAAATAATGCGTTTTCAATGATTGTAAATTAAATGAGCTGACAAGAATGTAAATAATGAAACATTCCCTTATGTTGCAAAACAAGCGGTGAGTTTGCTCCTGAAACTCAACACATGTGAATTTTATGATTAAAATCTAGTGTCGGGGGTTATTGGTTTTTATCTTTTAATTATGTCTTGTTTATTATTTAATCGTAGTTTCTTGGTTCGCCGAGAAAGTATGAAATTCTGTGAATATGTTATTAAATCTAAATCATACGTTAATGTTAGTAAAAGATGTTATACATTGAAAACACCAGTTACTCTATTGACATCAAATGTTAACCTGAGATCCGGTTTAAGGAAAGCCATTCACAATCAGAGAAGATTCTCATCGTCAACATCATCTTCTTCATCGTCATCTTTAAATAAAATTCTCATTGGTGGTGGTTGTCTAGTTGTTATAGGCTCCATTGTTTATTTTTCAAGTCAATCTACACCAGAGAAACCTAAAGAGAAAAAAGATGACCAGAAACCCAAAGTACCAAAAGAGAAACCTAAAATTGAAAATCTACCCGATTCCATTGATTATCTTTTGATTGGTGGTGGTACAACAGCATTTTCAGCCTTTAGATCTATCCGGGCCAATGATCCAAAAGCTAAAGTTTTAGTTATCTCGGAAGAAAAGTACAATCCATACATGTCTCCACCATTATCCAAGGAGCTTTGGTTCAGCGAAAGAGAGCTATCTGATAAACTGTCTTTCCGCCAGTGGAATGGTCGAGAGCGAAGCATTTTCTTTGAACATCCAGAATATTATGCTGACCTTAAAACACTGATTGAATCAGAGACTGGCGGTGTATCTCTGGTTAATGGTTACAAAGTTGTGGAGTTAAGCCCATCCGAGAAAAGAGCTTATCTTGACAATGGCCAGTCTATTGGTTACAAAAAATGTTTAATAGCTACCGGTGGACGTCCTAAGAATTTGGAATTGTTTGAAAAGGCGCCAGAAAATGTTAAAGAAAGGGTTTTACTTTACAGATCGGTTGATGATTTTTTGAAATTAAGGAACATTTGTGACTCTAAAAAATCAGTAACCATTATTGGAGGAGGCCTTCTCGGTAGTGAGTTAGCATGTGCTCTTGGCCGCCGATCACAAGTCCTTAAAAGCCCCACTCAAGTAAATCAAATTTTCCCTGAAGCTGGTAATGTTGGTAAATTACTTCCAGAATATCTTAGTCAATGGACATCTGAAAGAATTAAATCAGAGGGTTAGTCTTGAATGCCTATCAATTCTTGAATGTAATCATTAACATCAGTCTTTATTCCATTTCAGGTGTCAATATCATTCCTAAAACTGAGCTTGTTGGTGCTCGCTTACAAAATGACAAACTTTTATTAGAACTGAACAATGGATCTACACTAGAAACTGATTATGCTGTTGTGGCCGTTGGACTACAGGCTAACACGGAGCTAGCTAAATCTGCAGGACTAGAGGTTGATGAAGTTCAGGGAGGTTATCTTGTCAATTCAGAGCTACAAGCTCGAAGTGATATTTGGGTTGCTGGTGATGCTAGCTGCTTCTATGACATGAAGCTCGGTAGAAGACGAGTTGAACATCATGACCATGCTATAATCAGTGGACGACTTGCTGGTGAAAATATGACTGGAGCTGGTAAACCTTACCGCCATCAATCAATGTTTTGGTCTGATTTAGGGCCTGATATTGGATTTGAAGCCATTGGTCTAGTAAATTCTTCATTGCCTACTGTCGGAGTATTTTCCAAGAATGAAAAATCACCAGAAAGTGAAGATAAAAGTGTTGAAACCGATAAACCTCGAGCCCCTCAATCCGGTGATGAGTTCAGTAAAGGTTTAATTTTCTATTTAAAAGATGACGTTATTGTTGGTATAGTTTTATGGAATGTATTCGAAAGAATATCAATTGCAAGAAGAATTATTTCCGAAGGAAAACCTTATGAAGATCTAGTGGACGTTGCTAAACTTTTCAATTTAGAGGACAGGCCAGCTGAAATTGAAGCTGACCAGGATGCTGAAAAGGCTAAGACCGAAGACAAAGAATAATGGAGATAAATTAGATTTATAACTGTAACATTGATAAAGCTTACATGTGGGATTGACTTGTGAGAACACATCATTGTAGTTTTTTGATATACTTTATCAGTTTAACTGATGAAATTCATTAAACAATTTAATGCAACTACTCATTCAGCAATGCTAATTATTGACTCAACACTAAATAGCATTTTCACAAACTATCGGCCGAATAGTCAGTTAATTTGTATTTAAAAGACAGCAATGGAAAATAAACTTGCTAATCCAAGCTTATCATTCTTCTTTACATTAATCATATTTTTTCTTTGTTATTAATGAAATATTATCCCAAGATTTAGTAAACTAACGAAAATTGACTCTGAAAGTTTCAATATCTCTATTGTATAATATTTAATTTCAGCTATATTCTGGCGTTTTTTTCTAGTTCAACTCCAATTGAAAATTTTTTACTAAAAATTATGATAATTATTTGATATCATTTAATAATCCATAAAACCCGTGTTGAATCTCGTAGCAGATATCTGTATGAGCAAATTGATGAACTGATGCGTAATTTCTTGCGACTAATATTGTGGTAGATTTATTGATAACTCGAGGAAACTAAAACTCAGTTTCTACTGATCTACGTTTTCTAGGAATTCAAGATAATTTCCAGTAAACAAGCACTCTACTCAGGACCAAAGATGAATGTATTTCTGATTCTGTATCATGCTTAAACAGTTTTAATCGATAACATGAGCTGAATTATTGATACCATTACCTTAAATGTCAATAATTGAACGGATCAGATGCATATTAAGATTATTATCATCTTAATTTATTTACTAGTCAGTTTAAAATAATGCCAATAAACATATTAAAAAGAGAAAAGGAAAAATGAAAAATTGAATTTTAGTTACAAAAATTCAGACCCATTGTAAAAAGATACCAAATGGTCGAAGATTTTTCGTCATTAAGAGACATAATGATGACTACGAGGATACAAGGTAACACAACGGCACATTTTGAACTCACAGACTAACTGTATTTAGCTTTATCGTTTGAAAAATCCAAGGCCATTATAATAAATTGTTGATTAATTTTGCCAAGATTTTATATCTGCTCTAAGGAAGACAATCAGTAATACACATCAGTGTATGGAAATGAGAAAAATGTTTCTTTATAATCAAACGTTATTTTAATATACATAAAAATCACCAGTTTTAAAGATTTAAATAGTTAATGATAATAATTATGTACTAATATTGCTATCAATACCAATAAATTTTTTCCAAGCCAGATTATCCCAGATCTTATAAGAATAGAAAATAATAGAAACTTTTTCATAGCATCAATCAATTGGCTCAAATACATTCTATCTATTTGAAGCAAAAAATGAAAGATATCGCTTTAATGGCAAAACAGCCATGAAAGTTGCGCACTTTGACTTCAAAATTATCACTTGACTTTTTTATTCAGAAAGTCTTAATTTTAAGTAATTTGAGTGAAATGGATCAGTAAACAAATTGTAACAATTATCTATTAACTGCTCTTTGTCACTTTCTGAATTTTATGTGTCTTTAAGAGTCCAAATTGTGTTTGATAATTAAAGCGTCTAAACTGACGAAACCTTGAATATTATTTTCTTAAGATATCATTTTTCCCGGTAAAGACAGGTTTTGAAATTATTACTTGAAGCATCTTTGCAATAAATTGCCAACTAAGTGAGAGGTTTATAGAGAGAGTGAGCAAGGAAAAGACTCCAATTTTTATTATTAATCGGCGTCTAGTCATTGTATTCATCTATTAAGTTTAGATTTACAATTTGTAACCAGAAGTATTTGTGAGCAAATTATCGTCATTTATTCTTGTTCATCTCCCAGTTGATGTCACTAGTTTGATCAGCCAAAGCTTCACTGTTTTACACTTACAGGTCTTCCTTGGTGTCAGTTAAACGTGTCCTTTGTTAAATATGGGAACCAAATCAAGTCTTCTGATTGCAATTGTGATTGCCTCTATTTCTGTTTATATTTCACTTTACTGGAGGAAAACAGAATTGCCAAAACATTATCGTGATGATAATTATTTTGGTGTTCAAAATATTAAAGGTATGTTACTTTTGAAATTAATAAGTTATTCTCTGTTCTCTTCTGGTAAACTTCATCTGTTACAACTCATGTTACTGGCTCATCAGATTGATACATGCTGTTTTTGGAAAATCAATAGACCCACGTTGCTAACTAATTTTGCTTATCTTTTAACGTTTTGTTTATTGTCCTAGCTTCTCATATTTTGTGTTTTCTATTTTCTTATTTCCATAGATGGAGCTAAATTTCCAGAAGATGACAAGAAAATTGAAAAGTTCACTGTTAATATCGATGAATCCGTCCTGATTGACCTGAAAGCTAGATTAAATAGGACTCGAGTTGTTGATTCAATTGCCGGAACTAATTTTGCATATGGTACTAACAGTGAAACATTGAAAAAAGTCATCGACTATTGGATGAACAAGTATGATTGGAGGGCTGAGGAAAAAAGGCTCAACAAATATGACCATTTCACCACACAAATTGAAGGAATCAAGATTCACTTCTTACACATCAAACCTTCAAACCCAGGATCTAATAAAGTGCTACCTTTAATGCTTGTTCATGGTTGGCCTGGAAGTTTTGTTGAATTTTATAAAATTATTCCACTTTTAACAACACCCAAGAATGGAATTGTTTTTGAACTTGTTATACCGTCAATACCTGGGTTTGGCTTTTCCGAAGGTGGTCATAAACAAGGACTTAACGTCGGTCATACGGCAAGAATTTTTGTTAAATTGATGAAACGCTTGGGTCATGAAAAATTCTATTACCATGGAGGTGATTGGGGTGCAATTATTGGTGATTTAGCTGCAAAATACTTCCCAGAAAAGTAATTTCTCCTCCATCAATTTATTTCTGTTTGAGCTTGCTGTAATACTTGGTCTGTCTGTGGTTGTTGTCTGCGTCTGGTTTCTTAGATGTTGTTTATTTCCTTATCATTCCAATGAGAGTCTATTGAATTTCTATTGTAAAGTTAGTTGCTACAATCATGAAAGAGTATTTCTTATCGTTTAAGCTCTTAACTTCTCAGTTAAACTTGATAGCCTTGTCAGTTATACCTTTCCTTACATCTTGAGATGATCTTAAACTCGTCAGCAAATTAAATTATATTTGTTTAATCATTAGCATAGGACAGTGATTGCATCTTTCATAGCTGTGGAAATGAATTAATTGCTATGGCATTGATTTTAACGCTTGTTTTCATTTATTTTGTTTTTTATTTATACGTATCATTCGATAATAATTCAATGCTAATAATATTTATGTCTTTTCTTCTCTTTAGTATTTTAGGTTACCATACAACTTTACTAGGAATCCCAACTTCACCTTGCATTTTCATCAAAACTTTGATTGGTTACGTTTTTCCAAATTTCATTTATGAAAATCCTGCCGTTGAATCAAAAATGTTAACTCCACTTATGGATAAACTCATTTTTATTATCCAAGAAACTGGTTACATGCATTTACATGCAACCAAACCAGATACGGTTGGGGCTGGATTGAACGATAGTCCTGCTGGATTAGCTTCCTATATCTTGGAAAAATTCTCGACTTGGGTTAATCCAAGTTATATTGATAAACCTGAAGGTGGCTTATTTGAAAAATTCACTATCGATGAGCTTTTGACCAATATTATGATTTATTGGTCAACTGAGTCAATCGTTACTAGCCAAAGATTTTACAGAGAAACTCTGCCTAAGCTTTTTGGTCCTGAAAATGCTATTTTGAGGTACATTCATCTAATCTTCATCTTCGTCTCAGAATTTTTATCAAACTTTAACTAAATTATTTCATTTCTTTCTTTAGGTTGCCGGTTAAAAAAGAGGTTCCTGTTGGTGTTGCTATGTTTGAGCACGAAATCTACAGGTTTCCCAAGTTTGTTGCTAAGACTGCTTTTGAAAATTTAATACATTATGAAACATTCTCGAAAGGAGGTCATTTTGCTGCATTTGAAGAACCAGAGATTACTGCCAATGATATCAAAAAATTCGTTGCTAGGTGCATTGAAGCCGCGAATAAAGAAGATAAAGAAGAGAAATAAAAGAAACATATTTATTTAGGAGATTTTTCACTGATCTGTTGCACTAATTTAAGTTCAAACACCAAGAATCATTCCACACTCCGCTTACCATTCACTGACTTTGTGATATTTTTTGAAATTATACGTTATCTTGTAGACGTTAAGGACTCACGATATAGATGATTGTGTTATACTCAAATTTAGTGCAACTTAATTGATTGTTAATTGATATTTTCTAGTAAATATTTTTTTGTACGTCGTTATGGGAATTTTGGATGTTAGAAGAAAAAGATTGACGAATAAAGACAAAAACTTTGAATGTCAATAGCGTGAAAAACTCTTTATTAAAATAAAATGCTCTAGCAAACTCAGTCCATATCAATGAATTAAACGCCAATAAATTTATGATGATTATGGGCTACAATTTTTGCTAAAACTCAGATAAAGAAGATGGGTTTGCCAAAAAACTGGTCACAATGGTTTTAATAACTGATACAATTTTTAAATTTTAATGACAATATAGTGTTTATTTTTCAATCTACTATCTAATTACTTGTTGGACTCACAAGTTTTTGAGCTTAATTTGACCTGGATCAACTTAGACTTGATGTCAAGGATTCAAATCCAACAATTGGGATATAGATGAAGATAATTGTTGAAGCAATCAAAATGAATCATCTATTGGAAACAGGAAAATTGTTTACAAATTGCTCAAATTAACAAGGCCGATTGAGAAGCTGTTTTGCCTTAAACCATGATTCTGGTTCAAAATAAATTGGGTTGTTAAGAGTCATGGTAATGATTGAAATTTCATATTTTGATAAGTGTTTAAATGAACTTGGAGCTTTTCGTTGGTGATATTTTTCCAATGCTTGTTGTTGAGCGTTTTAATCAACAATTTAGTTTGATTGTTGAAAAGTGCTTTAAGATATTATGTACATATTAAGACAGCTTGGACATCAACAGAATTAAAATTTTCACTTGAAAGGTATTAATAAATGACTAAGATTTAATTACAAAATGTATTGTTACATCAATGTATGCTAGTAATTAATGTATCGTAATAAATATTTGGTAAGTAAATTTATAATAAATGAAGGTTGAAACAAAGTAAACCACTAGACATCTATCGTTACCTAAATCATTAGGCCATTTGAAATCGGTCAATGGTCTGAAAACGACGGTATTAAGAGACATTTTTAATTTATTTTTTCGTTTTACTCTTTGTTTCAATCAGTAACAATCAACATGGTGTTGCAGATGCACCCTTTTTCTTGTGAGGATAAGCATTTACAACAATTATAGCAATAACCAGATACATTAATTAATGTAAAGAATGGTAATAACAGGAAAAAAAAGGAAAGATACATATTTAAACTTATTGTAAAGCTAATTAAGCTTTTCTTAAAACTATTAATCCATACTAATCTCAACGGTTCCTCACACCGATTGAGTTTTTCGATAGATCATTTGAGTGATTGTGATGATTATTGTTGTGAGAGTTGGATGAAAACCCAGAGCTCCAGTCATGATTACCAATTGCCGATAGATAATGTTTCGTTGAGGTTTTATTGAATATGGGAAGTAATTCGTTTGCTTCGCTGGAAAGGACTTTGAGGTAGGTTATTGCATCCGTTCCGTAGCCTTCAAATGAATTAACCAAAAGGTCTCCATGTAAATAACGAGCATAAAGCCGCGATAAAGGTAATCCATAACCAAACCCAGCTAATGGAGCAGAGCCAAAACCAGAGACTGATGGACGAGGTGCAGTTGAATACATGTAATTAAAAAGACAGTCACTCAAAGATCTGGGTATTCCACCACCACGGTCACTCATCTAATGGAAAACATAAATTTAGATTAATATAAATGTCTAATTAAGATTGATTAATCGTTTTGATACCTTAATCGATAGATCTTCTTTTCCTTTACAGAGTGTTACATGGATTGGAGGAAGTACATCAGCATCGGGTGTGTAATGTTCAACAACAGCTCTCATCGCGTTTTTAAATAGTTCAAATAAAATGGTGTACAAATGTGAAGGTACATATACAATGGATATTGGTGAGTCCGGTCCTTCAGCTGTGAATGAAAAGAAGAAGAGAGAAAAAATTAATTTCAAAATTGATAAATTGATTGAATTGAAAAGTAAACACTTACAGTTGACTTGTTCAACAATTAGACCAGGTGATGTTAAATAATATTGATCACAAAGAAACTTGGCATTCTCATAAGCATCGAGAACGACCGAGTGAACATCACAGTTTGGATCGACACAGCCAATATGTCGTGGATGACCTGGTTTATCGGCACCAAACAGGGTTGTATGCTGATTGATCAACATACGAATCGATATTCGACACATGTAGAATCGATGGAGAAAATATTGCACACAAGATTCCGTTTTCTGGTCAACTGAATGGGTTTCCTTCATTTCCAAAACTCCTTGAGCCATTGTTTGGACAACAGTATTGTGACGGTTACGAATTCGTATCAAGGTTTCACAGAAAGTCTCTAGTATTTTGGCGTCTGATTCTGTGGCTGATTCAAAGTCAAGGATTTCAGAGAAACTTCGTTCATACCAACTGCGAACCAAAGTAACCGATGGCATTCGCAGCAAATTGTCCGGCAATAAGTTAATCTCTTGCATAATGTTGGCCAGACGAACAGGTAACTCCTTTCGGAGAAACACAAATGATCGCTTCTCACATTTTCGACGGCCTGCAATTGAAATGATATTGAAAATACAAAACGCTCATTAGTTCATATTTCATTTTCAAAAATAAGTTAATCAGTGATATTGTTAATCATAAACAAAAAGTCAACTGCGTTATTGAGACGAGAGATGTCATAGAAGAGATTATTGAATTTATTATTCAATACAGAAAATTCCTAAATACAAATCTATCGAGAAGTCAAGCAGCTGATATCTATAATTTGATAACAAGTGTTTAGATTGAAAATTGTTATTACATTTAATTCATTAGCTTGAACAAATTGTGATTATTTAAGAGGCAATCCCAAAAACACTGAATATTTTATTTACATGCTCTTGTTGTTGAAATTTTGGATGAGACTAAAATTGTCTCATCTGATTTAGATACTGAAATAAAAATCTATGACGTAGTTATGATGCTATCACGGAAAATACCAGCTCAGAGGTTAACATGAGACATGGAAAGAGATAGATGAAGATTATGCAAGATTAACAAGTCTCAAAGAGTTACAAGTTTATTTTAATCATCACCATTACCATCATGGGAGGAACATTACTTTTCGAGTAATGAATTGAGACACTTAAAAGCTAACAGGCTTGAAGGCCGGAAAAGGCTGTCAACGCAATTGTTTACAATTAAAGTAAAATGTTTCTCATTTAATTGACTTCCTATGATGACCTCTTGTTGACACATTCAATTGTACCCAAATTGTGTAGTGATCAATGATCATTTGTCAGAATCACGAGTGGGTTCAGATCAATAAAAGGATAAATTATTGAACATTGTTAAATTATTACATATTGATGTTGGGAAAAAACTAATGCAGTGAATTTGAATCATGCTTAAAAAGCTTGTTGACGTTAGTAACGCAACCCAAGGATTAGAAACTGAGTTTATAGAATTTCTAATTCTGGTTTTTAGGTTAAACCTTTTACGAGGTACAAATCCTGGTTAAATAATGTATCAACAGCAGTTTACTTCACTATTTTTACAGCCAAAAATTGTTGACTTAATAATTAGATCGGAGAATCGATTGTTTAAGGTAATAAGACTACCATTAAATTATTTAATGGGTCTATTTTGATACAAAATCCAATGTACTTTAGACTTGGCTTATTGAGTCAATTTAACAAGATATGATTAGGACTGTGATATCTGAACTGAAATCAAGAGATTTATATCTAACATGTTTGTTTTCTTGAACTTTGATTACAAGTTAATATCAATTAATGATGCTAATAACACTAACAATAGTAAATATTAAATAAAAACCAGAAATTTCTATCACCTACCAGATTTTCTTGATCAGCTTTGGATATTGATTGAGAGCAGACAAATACGGAAAATCGGGTTACCCAAGGTACCTAATAGTTTAAATTAACTGTTACTGTAATTCGTAAAATATATCAAAATCAACTGTCAATAGAAAACATATTTTTCAGCAAATATGAAACCAATTGTGAAAGAGTTGAAATTGTTATTATTATAAATATAAATATAATAAATAAATGCTATCGCGTATCAACCTTGGCAATGTTTTGATGGTGATGATGATAATGGTGATGGCTAACGAATAAAAAACAAGTTAATGTAGAGCCTAAGTAACTGGTAAACGAAGGGATAAACCTCTAGCAAGTTGCCACAATAGGAAAAGAAATGGTAAAAGCAACGGTTCACTTCAAGGCAACAAAATTACCAGCCATAATTATTTTCGACATTGAAACAGCTTTTGATTTGTTGATCTTGTTAATACTAATAGTTTATGGCAATAGTTGGTTTGAGTAAACCTCAGAAGTTCACTTCAAAGTTCACCGTAACCCAAGAAATGTGGATGACAGATTTTAGAGTAACAGTAGATGAGTCAAAAGAGTCTAAAAAACTGGTAATGGGGTAGAGAGGCCCAAGCATAGCATGAAGAGTAAGGAGGGAAACATTGACCTGGCAAAAGTAATACATCTATTTTAACTGGTTTTGGGAACAATTTAAGGTTACAACTTGATTATTTGACACTATATCACTGATTGTTTAGGAAATGGTTAATTTAAGTTACTTACCAAAGTCGAGCAGCTGTTTAATTGAAAGTGGTGAGGGGTTAAATTTTGAATAGTAATCAAGAGATTTTACAATATCTTTATACATAGCCAATGAGATCCTCATTTTGGTTGGATTGATGGTTTGTTGTTGGTGAAAATTAGTTATGAATATTGATGATATTGGTCAATTTATAAATAAAGGGTAACAATTAAGCTAAAATTAATGCACAAATTAATTATTAACTGATCATAATGGTAAATAAAGACAAAAAGATAACCAGCAAGAGATGTTAACACAGTGTTTGGATTTAATATTAAGAAGGCTTGTTGTCAGTGTTGATGGCTGAAGATTACAGTAGATTAAATGGATAGATTACATCAACTTATTAATTCAAATCATTTAATTACGAGTTTTAATCATTAAATTACACTAATCATGATGATAATTCACCGAAATATTTAAGATTGGTTTACCGGTTGATATTACAATAGATGTAATCAAAGGAAACTGTATAAAACACAACACTGGGTTTATCAAGCAAACTCAAACTGAAAATAAACAGGAAAAAAGAAAACAGATTCCGGCAGTAAGCCCAACCCACTGTAAGGTATTATTGATTACATTTGCTTGAATCTACGTGATCATAACTATACACACTGTTATGCGTGAGGTCTTATGAATTCTGAGCGTTCATATGACTAAAATTTTTTATTCAGACCTAAGAATTACTAACCTCCCTTTATTAAGCATTAAATTTACATGATACATGACATTTAATGTACATGAGAAGGATGAATTTGATGAAGAAATCTGACTCCATAACTGCACAAAGGCAATCGAAGTTCAAGCTTTAACACGATTTTCTCGGAAACCTTTGATAAGAGAAGTTTTGTATTTCACAAATGAACTCCATTCTCATGCCCTTACAAGCTCAACAAGTCTTAAATCTGAACTAAGACTCATTTTATCGTTAGATGATAAAATTTTGTCGTAACTTGACCGAAATGAAATCCATAACCTTTACAATTATACGAGAAATAAAGATTGTGAACTGTTCATCTTTGCATGTACAAAAATACAAAAATTCTGTATTTTAATCATTTGTCCATGAATACATTTGATTTCTCAAGAATATCACAATATTTGAAAGACTGGTAAACATGGAAAACATATATCTTATTTGATAAGTTTATCTTTATAAGTCCACTTAATAACAACATGGGAGTAATTTTCGTTATCTCCAATATCCACAGATAAACTATTTTTGGAAATTTATAATGCACAAAATGTAACAGTAATTATCAAGATTTTTGAGAGATTTTCTCCTTTGTCAGGCTTGAATCACAAAATTTGTCGAGTTTTTCTTCGATTTTATCAACTAATTGTAAGAAATTATGAATTAAGGTTGTCAATTCATTGGTGTTCTTTTCAGTTTTCAAAAGTTCAAACATTGTCTCGATAGTCTGATAAACTTCTTTATCCCGGTTAAAAATATCACTGAATGTTCCAAGCCAGCCGTGTTTAAGACATCGAATTATTTCAAACAACGAACAATTTGAGAAATTAATTTTAAAGATTTTGTCCCATAGATCATCATATTCTTTTCTCAAAATTTTCTCCATAAATGCTTTCAGTTTTATCTCGGCAGAATATTTCAGTGTTAACCAATCACCAAATTGCATAGTATCGGTGGAAAAATCAGTCTTTGATGAAGATGTAGTATCAGTTCTTCGGTCTTTATTAATTTGCACGTTGATCTTTTTAGTGGCAGGTCTAAATTTTTCAACAATTTTCCCTGTTTTACTTTTACTGGTACTTTCAATTCCAAATTTATCACAAAATCCACCCCAATCAGTTACTTTTAAAGTTGAGGCTAAGGCTTTATTACGCAGATTTAAGTCATCTGTCACCAAAATTACAGTATTATCAGATTTGGCAGAAATCTCGTTAATCAAAAGTGAGGCTTTTAATACTCTGTCATCATTGTTAATTTCAGTCACATCTATTCTGGCTAGAGCTGCTTCCACTTTATCAGGTGGATACTTTTTTAACCAAATTTTATCGCTAAATAAAGCCTTTCCAGCACGTAATTGTTCATTGATAAATTTGAAATTTTGAACAAATGACTGGTTGGTCTTCTTTAAACAATCCAACTCCTGGATGACAATAAGAGGAATGATAAGTGAACAACTTTCCACAAGATGAGTATTTGATAGAAAAGTCTTGAGATCAGATAGATGGTTAATGAGAATATTTGTATCCAGAACGATGATAAACTTTCCACCAGATCGTTTGATCAACCTTTTAGCACGGATTTTCTTTCTTGGACCATGAACACAATCAACGGCCTCATTTGCTCGTTTATTTGAGATTAACTGACCATTTGGTAGTCGTTTAACGGCCTTCGAATGATCTAAATGATCTTCATCAACTTCCATCATATCTACATCTTCCATGGTCTAAAAATGGTCTTTGAGATGCTGTAAGGGGAAGAAATAAACATGTGATTACTACATTGAATCAAGATAATGATTAACTCAAAACTATATTCACAAAATTAAAGTTGAAACCTGAGAGATAAATTCACTTTCTGTTGAAAAAAAGGTTATCTAACCATGGCAACAATAACATGTTCAAGTTTAAAAAAAGCGCTCATTTCAAATTATAAACAAACATAAAACTATTCAAATTGAAGCATCAAAATTAATCGAATAGTTAATAAGGTTAATAAAATTTAATGTTCAAGTTATTAAGTTTATATTAAAAATTTAAACCTGGTATCATGCTGATAATTCAATGTTTACCCAATGGTCATCAACCTTTTTTTTCCTTATCAGTTGAACTGAAATGTTTACTCATGTAAAAGTGAAATGAAGTAACGAAAAATGAATAGAAAAGCGAAAACTTTAACCTTAACAAATTGTCTCAAGGCAAGACATTAGTTAATCAAATAAAATTCCGGTTACTGAACAACCGGTTACTAATCAATTAGAATCAATCTGATTCCATTATTATACATCTTCCAAGAAAGCCTATTACAGTAATAACAATTGTTATTGTTATTCCATCTTTAACACTTTATAACCATTTCAACAAATATTACAAATAGTACTTATCAAATCAACGACTGTCCAGTCATTTAAATGTCATTCAATGAATGATTGATCAACCATCAGATAAATTGTATTTCATGATTAACTTACCATTGTTTATCACAATAGCCATTGTTTCAATTTTTAAAAAAACATTCCTCCTTGGAAGCCAGGCTTAGATTCACTTTCAATAATTAGACTAATAATTCATTATAATCAAGTTAAGATGGGCAAACACTCTTGACAATTTAATATTAAATAAACATCTAAAATTTACATAATTAATCTCAGGTTAATACAATTTACTATAAAATGTCAACAAAACAATATTGGGTTAAAAGTAGTTTTTTCACTCAATAGAGGGCACACAGTCTTTGTTTACAATCAAATTTTGTGCATGATTGTTACCCATTGTTGTCAAATAGTATATTTTTTATTCCTTCAATGTAATTCAATTTATCTTTTTAGCTCACCGTTTGATTAAAATTGTGTGTTTCTTTATACTAACTGTTCATATTGATTTATATTTTTGTTGGTGTGTCTCCTGTTTCCTAATAGATTGAACTTTTCAATCAAAATCTGGCCAATTTTTGGATGCCTCGAACAACACGATCCAAACGAAGGAAAGAAACTGATAGAGAAACCAAGAGAAGGAGAAGAGAGAAATCAAAATTTTATAAAATATTTATACAAAATAATGAGAGAGAAAAAAAGAGACTTGTCTTCCTAATGAATAGAATCAAGGTAAACCTGTTATAATCAAGTATGATTCTTTTATTTCGCTGTTAGAGTTTACTTCGGAATCATGATACGAATAACAAGGAGAAGGAAAGTTTGGACTTGAATTGCCTGATCCTCAGACAGAACCCACTTTTTTTCTCAGCTGAAAACAGTCATTTTCTCTCTCTTTTTCTCCTCTCTCCTCTCTTTTTCCTTTCCTTTCTTTCTCTCCCTCTCTATCTCTCTCTCTCTCTCCCATTCTCTCTCCTTCTCTCTGCTGTCTTTTTTCTCTACTTAACAAATAGTCTTTCTCCCTTGTGCACACTCTCTCGTCTTTGAACCAATCGCAATTTTTTGTTTGTCTCAAACTTTCCTGGTCAGTGTGTATTCATTCACGTTCATCCCATTCATCCTCACCTCATCGAAACTCACCTATTACCCATTGCATCCACATTGTCTTGCAACATGAAGGACCATCCATCAGCCAAATTTTCATCTGTAACCAACAATTTTTTAGTCTTTGGTAAAAAAAGCCGAGTCGTCTTTAATGCTAACTGTATACTCTGTGAACCCGAATCTCAACCTAATTGTAAGTCATTATTTTTGGACATTTTCCAATTTAACCCATTCTTTTCCTTGTTCAATTTTTCAACTTAATTTTAAACCACAATCAAAATGATTTACTTATTTTTCTTTTTTTCCCTTCTCCCTTTTTACTGGTTAGATCGAACTATCATTCCGTTAAATTTGGTTGTTGCCGTTCGTTCATGCTCCTGTCGTAAGGTTAAAAAGCTTTTCTGTGAATGTATCGAAATTTCCAACAATTGCGACCAATTGTCATCACTGTCCTCTGTGAATCTCAATGGAAATAGCTTTAACAGTGGTCTTTCGTTGCCGAGCAACATTGGATCAACCTCATCATCTTCAGCCTCATCATCGTCAACTGTCCCTTCATCAAATCGAGACTCTAGTGAATCAGTAAATGGACACAATAAGATGAACCATGTTCGTGTTTATTACGGAATTCCGAGTGGAAAATTTGCTTGGAAACTTAATCACTTGATATTAGATCCAGTTGAACAATCGGAACAACAAATAGCTGAATGGATTGTTTTAGTTAATAGCTTTTTAAAAGGTAAGAGGCTATTTCCCATTGGACTTATCTTATGAAAGGTTCACTCAAAATATCTTCACACTCAACGGTTAAGAAGCTCTTAAGTAAAGATTATCAAAAGCCTAACAGAGACTTGAAATATCATCTTTACCCCAAAAAAAAATAAGAACCAAAAGTCAAAAAGAAAGTCAGAGACAAAAAAAAGTGTGAAAATTTAGTGTTATCAAGCTTGACGATAACATTAACTGAATGGTCAAAAATTGCATGACTTGAATCAAAGAAGAAACCATTAATAGTTGAAACTAAATTGTCAATTTTATGGTGTAACAAGCAAACATTTAATGCAATATAAATCATAAAGAGATAGCAATATGTAGAGGATTGCACTCCATGTTTCTTTCCTAGTTCCTCATTTCTCTGATAAATTCATTTCTATCACGATGAACATTGCCCATTCCTATTGTTATCGTTGAACTTTCCCCATTTTCTGGGTAAACTGTTTACTCAAGTCAACAAGATACAAAGAGAAAAGGAAAAGTCTTCAAATTAATCCCCAAAATTGGTAATTTTGAGAGCTAATCAATTACTGTTGATATTCATCATGATATGGAATTTTCAGTCTTTTCGATGTTCTTCCTTGAAAAGATATAAATTGAAACGGAAATTTAGTTTTTCAGTTCCTTCTTGTTGACACTTACCTGGAAATATTGAATGTTTACAGAGTTTTTCCCTAAAAATTGACATTCTCATTAAAATTATGTTTTTCCTATTCAAGTTGACAGTTTAGTTTCCTAAACGATATCAATTTAGCTTGGTTATGATTAAAAAGAATCCAGGTTAATCAAACTCAATTTTCCAAAGCGATTTTTCCGTCTCTACATCATTAGGCCATTCTTCCTTTTCAATTCATTTCATTGTTCACAATAATATGAATCACTCATCTCGACCTTTTCCGGATTATCAGACATCAATTTTCTGGTTATTACTTAAACAACTCACTTTACTCTTCCCAATCAACCTTTTCCCATCATTATCATCATCATCATCCTCGAAAAAGTTGGGCCCTTCTCTTGATCTTCACCATCATCATAATCATCAGCACTTACCATCATCTATTAGAATAGGCTTATTCACTAAATTCTGACCCACTTTTTCAACAATTTTTCCTTCTCGTTTAAGTGAACCTCACAATGGTTAACATCTTCAATTTGTGTCTTGATACAAATTAATGAAAATCAATTGACAGTGAACAAACAAATTAAGCGCACTTAGATCATTGAGTGAACATTAATTGTGGCAAAACATGTTCCAAAAGGATCCATGTTGTTGTCAAACCTAAAAACCAAAGACCATTGGTTTCCATTAACTGGTTATGTTAGACAAAATTGTTGTTTAAAAATAAACCAGTTTTTAGCTGTTAACATTTGATTTGTTAACACTTCATATTTGAATCAATGTCACAATTTGAAAAAAGTGACAAATTTTTTGCTTCCAATTTGTATTTCATGATTAAACATGTTAAACTTGTACCAAACAATTACTATCACATTGTACTTCCAATAATACTTTGATTACTTTATTGTTACTCCGATAACAAATCTCTTATCAAATTAAGTTAATCATTAGTTATTATTTATCATTTTAAAAGACTATTTTCTTCGCTTAGCTTATTTGCTTTGCTTATTTATTCAAACTTTCACTTGAAATCAACAACTGATAATACTTGTAACGATTAATTTTGTTTTTTTTCTCATTCTTTCAATTCTTGTTTAGCTGTTAAATATTGAGGTCGACTCAGTTATTTAACTGAACTTTTACATTTTTTATTTTCTTCTCAGTTTTCTCTTCACTCTTTTATTCCAACAATTTTACCCACTTTTTTTCAGATAACTATTCTTTAAAGTTTAATACTTTCACTCAATATGAAAATGAACTTTTACCCAGAAAAGATTGAAATTTTTCCTTGAAAAAATTGATGAAATTAGCATAATCTAGATGCTCATCATCAATATTAACCTTACTTGACATTAAACTCAATTAATTTTCTCCATAAATTACCATTGAATTTATAATTGGTTACAGCTTCAACCATATTAAAAGTAAACAAAATTTTTGATATCAATGAATTTCAATAGCTTTTGATATAACATCAGAACCTTCCTATTCAATTAAACTGCTTCTGCTTCTGATTAACATTTTCACTAAATCAAGTGAATACATTTGAATAATAACTATTGATAATGTGTAAAGATGATATTCAAGTTCTCGATCAATTCATAAGTTAAATCTCATCTATTTTATGTAAAAACAAATTTAGATTAAACTGAATACTAATTGAAAATTTCCTCTTTCACAGACTTTAATCGACCCAAGAGTTTAATGATATTCATCAATCCTTACGGTGGTAAAAAGAAAGGCCCTAAAATATATCGAGATAAAATAGCTCCACTTTTCGCCATTGCCGGCTGTTCTACAAATGTAATCACAACCCAGCGGGTTAACCATGCTCGCGATGTTATCACAGACCCAGCGTTTCCAATAAACTCGTACGATGGTTTAATTTGTGTTGGTGGCGACGGAATGTTTTCAGAGTTACTCAACGGTCTTTTAATACGAACCCAAACCGATGGCAAAATAGACCACAACAACCCACAATCAACCCTATTACCTCCCAATGCAATTATCGGTGTAATTCCCGCTGGTTCAACGGATGCCGTTTGTTTTGGTGTTTGTGGTAACAATGATCCAGTAACTGCAGCCATGCACATTATCCTAGGAAACCAGGTCAGCATTGATGTGAGTGCAATCCACTCAGCTCGAGATGAGGGTAAACTCCTTCGTTATGGTACAACCATCTTGGGCTATGGATTCTTTGGTGATGTTATGGCTGACAGTGAAAAAAATCGCTGGATGGGACCTAAAAGATACGATTGGGCTGGATTTAAGAAAATTTTAGCTCACAAAGTTTACCAAGGAGAGATTAAGCTTCACGTTTCCACACTCGATGGATCACCAAAAGATCCGGATATCTGTACCTCTGAGTAAGTCAACAATACTTTAAACTCTCCTTTTATCCTTCTTACTGTCTTTACCTCTATCTTTACCTTCATTTTTTACTTTTACCTCTTCCAATCCAATTGAGCTCTTTTTCTGGTTTTACACATTCAATGCATTATGTTGCTCTAATGGGACCACTTTCAACCTTGTCTAAAAACTGGTGAAAAATTCATAATAATGCCAATTGGTTTTTCGTCCAAGAATAGTCGAACCTTTGTAAACTTACAATCTAAAAATCATCTTCCGATCGTTTTATTGTTTTTGCTTTACTTGAACTGAAACTAAAAATTTAGACATCAATTTGTGAGATGATTTACCATAAAGCACCATTTTGTTGAACAAACTTGCAATTCTACTGCCAATCTCGATTTTTATGCAAATTTGTCAAATAGTGTTGTGAGCTTGATTAAGTCAGCTAAAAAATGAGCTGATTTGGCAACCATAAATTAGAGGTAATTGTGTTAACGTTAATCAATTATTCAATCATGAGTTATTACAAATGATTATACTTGGGGTCACTCAAAGGCAAGCTTGAGTGTAAAAGAGGTGAAGGATTGAGTCGATAAACCATAAAGCTGAAATGAGACAAAATTGCAGTTTCAAGAAATTAACAAAATAATAATAAACGAATAATCAAACTAATTAATTTAATTAAATTGGGTCTGAATTAAGCTTGAAAAGATCTCAAGGCAATTGATAGAGGTTCTGGTTGACAAAATTGATGAGCCAAAATGAGGTTTAATCTGCCGTTTAAAGAGCTTCAGTTTCATTGTAAATCAAATACATGAGCAAATCCATTTCTCTGTGAATAACAATTTTAATAGATTTACTCAAGATGAAGCCAAATCAGTTGAAATCAGTTTATCACAAGTTAAATCGTCTGATGCTGAGTATATTGTACTTTGAGTGTTTTATTAATTTGAATAAAAATTATTTCCTAATTCACCTAAACAATCCTTAATTTGATTTATATCTAAATTTTTAGCTACCTCATTCACTTACTGGCATTTTTGCTGTCAAATAAGATTACCTTGATTATTGGATTATTTTAGATCGTAATTGAAAATAATTAAGTTAACTGTCTGTACTCATTAGCATAATGATTAAGTTGTTGACTTAACAAGTTCAGATTTTGTCATTTCATTCAATCACTAAGGTGGCAAACAAGCTTTTTTGAACAAAACTTTATTATTGATAATTATCAACATTTGAAGATTCATTCAATTTTGTCAATAACATTTTCATTCAATGTCCCAAGTTTCATCTCTTTTATTGACTCAATATTATCATGATATTACATCGTTATCATAATTTATCCATCGGTTCAATTCATTTCACCACAATGTTTGTCAAGCTAGAAAAAAATGGTTGCCCTTTTAAGATGGTAAATGATGCCAAAGGTAGTTGTTTACCTTGACTGGTCACCATGTTTTTCTGGTTTACTCTGGATCATTGGTTATCTCAGCTTGAAATAATGAGTTGAAAACAACTTGTCGACTTATTCAGAATTATCAACTTGAACTTACCCCTTGTTCATCATCATTATCATAAGAAAACAACAACAATTTCATTCATCTTCATCATTTTCATGTTTTCTTTACACCTTTTCATTTTGCATGTTGATTTTCCTTTAAAAGGTTATAATCTCTTAATGATGTGATGAACAAAATTTACAATTAAACTTAACAGGCTTGCAACGAAGTATCATCATGTTGATAATTGTTGATTGTTATCCAGCCTTGCTATTCATCAATTTCATTTTCATTTTCATATTTTATGAACAACAATGCTCAGTCAGTTGATCATTTTAAAATCTCTTCACCATTGAAATCAATGTAAATGAACTTGCGGTAAATGACTCTTAAGTGGTGTTCATTTTTCAGTTTTCATTAATTTCATTTTAAGCTTTCAAACCTAAACGTCGACCTTTGGTGGTTTTTTTGTTTTTACTCCGTTTTTGTTGTAAGAATGCTCAGTAATTATTAAAAGTTAGTTGAACTTTGACACGACTCTCGTTTAATCAGTTTTATTATGGTGACAATAAAAGTATTATACAATGATTCATTGAATTAAGTTAGGTAACAGAGTCTGAGAGCATGATGCTAGTTACAACTCAATTAAATACCAATGCTGAGAAAATATCAATTGAGATTAAAATCTAATCATTTTCATTCAGTGTAATTGTCTTGTGTCTTGTCAAATTGCTAAATCGCAACTAACATGATACAATGTTAGTTGTCAAGCTGTAAACCAGGAAATTTTTCAACGTCAACATCAGATTCAATTCAGCAATTTTAATCATTATGATAAAGCTCTCTATGAGACTGATTGTTGACTTTTGAACTCATGGAATCGTTAACGTGTTTACTTTTAGGTAATTTTATCATCTCGTGATCATGCTTAAATAATTGAATAGTTTGACAATAAAATCATGTTCAGTTTGTTTGCTTCTGATTTGTTTTAAAATGTATTTGTTTAATAAAATGGTTTCAAATATTGTCCAATGGTAAATGTTACATGAAATGAGATTAATACAATGATTTTCATGGATAAATTGCGCTTAAAAATCATGCATTTTGTGCTAAAATAAATGTGAGTTTGCTAAATAATCTAAACTGTCGGTGATTAACGTTGAATGAATCATCTTATTTACCTTTTCGTTTTCAGGTAAATTTGTTAGTTGCGAGTTGTAGTTACAATCATTGACTGAAAGTTATATTTTAATCAAGACTACAGTCAATTATGATCTTAACGGCTTTACCACTTCGAGCAAGTTCAAATGCATCATGAGCTTGTTCGAGCTTAAAGTAATGACTTATTATCGGTTTAACATCAATTTTTCCGCTGGAAATGAGGTTGACCGCCTTGGGATAGCTATTCTTGTACCTGAATACACCTCGAATGTCAACCTCTCGACATACAGCTGATAAAAGAGGAACTTGAACTTCATCGGCTCCCATACCGATAAGTACGACACAACCACCTGACTTGCAGACAATCAGGGCTAAACGAATGGATGGAGATGCTCCTGAACATTCAAGGACTGCCTCAGGTCGACATCCCATGAGCTTTTCAATGGCCTCAGCAGTTTCATTTTCCCCCAAGTCTTTAGATAGTAAAAAGGTTGATGTTGCTCCAATTTTTTTGGCCAATGCAAGACGTTCAGCATTGATATCTAGTTTAAAGGTTAAAAAACAAAAGCAGATTAAACAATTTGAAACATTAATTGACTAAATTGTTGTCTAAAGGTGTGATGAAAAGGATTTACAGCAAATCATTTCATGAGATTAACTCAAGTTATGGCAATTTATCAAAAGTTAATTGATATTTTTCAATCCTATTTGCAACATTAATCATAATCTTAACGGTTTATTGATTGTTAAGCTAGACTTACCAGTAATACAGATGTCTGTTGCACCATAAGCTTTAGCAACCAGAATGCACATTAATCCAATAGGACCTGCACCAAGAATCAGAATCTTTTGTCCTCCAGAAACATTAGCTCGAGAACAGGCATGAATAGCAACCGATAAAGGTTCCATAAGAGCTCCTTCTGCATATGAAACATGATCAGGTAATCTGTAAATAATAGATTATCAATTGTTAGTAAATCAGACAAAACTTGAATCAAAAAAGAAACGCAAAACAGATTAAACCAGATTTTGATTTATAAAGATTTGGCTTTAAAAAGTGTTGCCATCTTTAAATTTTCAAAGCAACCACTTAACCAATGTTAATTTTAGTTAAACACCCTTGAAATAATCAGACTTGATTAGCTTGAACAAAGAAATTCATAGAATCAAGTTTAAGACAAGTTGAAGGTTTCACTGTGAATGACTTGATTGAAACTTGGTTTGTTGATTGAGGCTCACAATTAGTCTCTTATTTTGCTGTTGTTTAACATTAAGTTGAAAATTTTTAAATACTTACTTGAAACAATAATCAGCAGCATGTTTAAAGTATCTGGTGAGGGTTCCATTGTCCGGTGGAGTGGCTGAGAAAAATATTCCAGAACACAAATTGTAAGCACCTTCTTTACAGTCAACACAGTAACGACAAGGAACACCAGGCTCAATGGCCACTCTATCACCAGGCTTGAGATGAGTTACTCCTTCGCCTACTTCAACCACTTTGGCACTTGTTTCGTGTCCCAAAATCATTGGATCCTTGACCCAAAAGCCACCAATGTGCCCCTTAACCCAGTAACTAACATCTGATCCACAAATGCCAACTTGTTGAGTTTGAAGAAGCACCTCTGTCCAATCACACAATAATGAAAAAGCAACAATTAAAATCACAGGTTCAACAATAATTTTGAATAAATTGTATTACTTACCGTTTCTTGCGGGTTTTGAAGGTAATGGAGTCTGTTCGAGTCTCATGTCACCAGCTTTGTACAAAACTAGAGACAGATTGTCGCCACCGTTTTCCGATACAGTGTTATTTGGAGGCATCTTGTTGGTTAGTGTAAAAGGATTAAAAACTTTAGTTAATATGAAAAGTCTGGTAAAACTTGTTAGTAGCTAATCACAATCAAGTAAATCTTAAACACTTGTTTCAGTCTTTCACTTGTTTATATAGTCTTTTTTCAACTGATGGGTTTTGAGTGCAAAGGAGAGGGCTGCCCCGTCATGACGAAATGGGTGCTTCAAGATAAGAGATGATGATAATGTGGATGATTATCAGAGAATGGCAAAGAATATTCTTGATAAAACAAAACACAATCAAGACTATTCTTTACGTTTTATGCTTTTAATTGAATTTTATTCATTTTTCAAAAGTTAAACCTTTCAAGGAATCAAATAATCTACATTTTTACCCATTTTTCAACCAATAAACCACAAAATTAAAGATAATATTAAATCTCTGAAATTGCTTAACAAAATTCAATGAAATTTCATGATTATTCAAGAATATTCAGGAATAATTTTGAATTTATTTTTACATTATTTTGTCCACTCTTCATTATTATTATGACGAGGTCAACAAGACTACTTATCAGCTGTTTGTTAGCTTTTCACTTTCTGCTTAAAATCAGTGAAAATCAATTAGAAAATTAATTTTCTTTAAATATCAATTGTTTCCTAATTGTTCAATGGATTTTAAAATTCAGTAGCCAATTGAGCTGATATTTAGACCCAAAAAGATGAAGAATCAATCATGTTTGTGACGTTGAATAACCTTCATGTTTACGTGTCTCAGCAAATTCAATAAAAACGTAATAGAATATTCTCTTTCTTTTTCGTTGATTCAATTTCATGGGATGTACCCTGAGACTGACCTTCATCTCATCTTGATAAACCAGTAATCATCATAATTGTATTACCAGGGAAACTCTTGTAAATCAATGAAATTTTCTCATAAATTTATCATGAAATTCCTTTCTCGTGATCTGCTGATCGAGATTCGGAAAAGCATGTTCAATATTTGTTTACAGTTTTGCCAATTGAACCCAACAGTTCATTTCAATCAACTGATTATCAAATAGACAAAGACTTGACTTTAATTTGTCTTTCCAAATCAACTATTTCAATACTAAACAACGCCATTTTGTATCATTTATAGTTATCTGCAAGGATGGTCATCAAATATCTCATGAAAATCACATAATTTTGACCATTGTCCATTATAATTGAACTTTTTTTGCATTCTTTTCTTGATTCAATTTTTGCATTGACAACAATTAATAAAAATGTTGAGTAAATTTTCTCATGACAAGCATTGAATTGGATCATTGGTTCAGTTTGTTTCACGTTGGATAAAATTATTAACCATTTTATAATCAATATAAGCTTTCAAAAGACATGTGCTTTTGCGAAAAATTCATGATAAAATAAATGAAATCTGAAAAAAGCAATTCTTTAGTTTTCTATGGGATTTTTCAGTATAAATGAAAATCTCTTTGGACAATATTTCAGTCCAGGATGAGCTCTATCTGTAAATTGCAAGATTAGTGGTCAGAATTTTCATGATATAGACTCTCATTGTTTTGATTTTGATGAATGATTCAATTATTTCAGCTATTAATTAAATCAATCCTCTTCAATTTGAATGTATTTTATAATTATCTTCAACTTTCATTTGAAATGAAGAAAAGCTTTATTTATAAGAACTTTGTTGACAACAAATTATCTAAATTATGAAATATTATCATGAAAAATTTCGAAATTCAGCTATTCATCATCTCAATCTTGAAATATCCTTTTAATGATTATCTAGTATAGCTTTGATATTAATTGCTTCCAATGAAAGTTGCTTCATTCTGTTAAGATCCACCATTGAATAACTTTGGTGTTTCAAATTGTTTAACCAGTCTTGTAATGAATTCATCCTTGAAAAGCTTCATTACATCATCAGTTTATCCTCATGGTCAACGTTATTCACTTAAACAATTGAAACTTGATTCTGGACTGTCAATTATCTGTCAATGGCAAATCGCCATCCAAATCAGTTGACACTTTGATAATTAACTTAAATATTTCCTAGTCGATCAATTTACCATCATTAGAGTCATTTGTTCAATGCTTTTTCCCAATTTAAAGATTGATCTCAGATTTAATTGTAAAATATAATTGCAAAGTGAATTCATAAAATCAGTGAAACTAGTTTTTTGCATCAAAATTGAACCCAAAAGGCAATTTTCAATGAATTAATTAAGACTCGTCATTAAACTTGTCTAATCTTATCAACATTCATGGTTACTTCATTGTTACAAGACACTGAATTGCCATGAATTTTATTTTCTTTTTCATTTATGTTCAAATATTTCAACATACCGTTGATATATCATTGATTATTGGCTAAGTATTTTAAAGTGTGATATAATCATCACCATAATGCCTCTTGAGTGGGAATCATAATGATTATATCAACTTTACAATGAGTTTTATTTTATTTTTCAACAAGTTATCAAAAATTTTCAACTGCTCAAAACTAGTTTCAACTTGTCGCAACTGTTAACTAACAATTATCATTATCTTCAATACTAAGGATATGTTGATGGTTAACAACAATGATTATATCAATTTCCTTGTGCAATCAATATCCCAAAATTTGTATTCAATTTCATGTGAAAAATAATCAATATTTTCAATGTCAATTTTTCCAGTTGTATTCAGATGTCCTCTTCAATTATTTATCTAACAGCATTCATGTTTAATTTTGTGTTGATTATTGCCTTTACATAATGAACCAGCTTCAATCAGTAGGGAATTTAGTTTATCAATTCAAGGCAATTTACTTTATCATCAATTTTAATGCATTAAATTATCGTATTATTGAGGTTTAATTTTTGCCTTTCCTGGTTAATTAAGTCTATCCATTGAATGTAACAGTTGAAGGTTGTATTGAAATCATCATGTTTATCGGTTTAACTGATAATTGTGATGATTCCAAACAGATAAAGGTCACATTGAGGATTGACTTTAAAATGTGTTTAATCTTAATTTTACACTGAATTATCTTCTTCGCTTTCATCTTTCAATTTGTTCAACTGAATAATTTGGATATTTTTTTCCTTTAAAGACTTTTTTTTCCAACTCAAATCAACTGAATTGAAAGATTGGAGTAAAGCTTCTTTGCCTTGAATTTTTTGGTCAGAAAATGAACTTCTAATGTCTATACAAAATTCAAAATAAGGTTTCAAGTGAAATTTGGGTGAAAAGAAGAAAAATGTTCAATATTTGAAAGCAAACTTGATGCTTTTTTGTTTGTTTGCTTCATCAAACTTCATTTTATTCACTGTAAATATGAAACCCTAAAGGTATTCATCCCATGAATTTTCAATTGAACCCATGAAAGTAACTATTGAGTTTCAAATTTCAATGAAATAAATGAAAGTTTAACAATAAATTGGGATCATTTTTGCTTCAACAAACTTTGAGCACTTGAAATGCCAATTTAATAACATTATCATCATAAGTAACACAATGATGTCAATAATGATATCTTTTGAAATTGAAACTGATTAAAAGTTGAAATTGAATCGAGTTCTTTGCTCGCGATTGAACCGTTTATCCGCTTTATTGAGCCCACGTTTCAGACACTATTAAAGCTCAGTGCAAAAGTACTGGTAATTGAACATTCAACAATTTTACCTTCGAAATAAAAAGATCACTCGACAATCTTTAGTTTACTGAAGATTAGACTCGGTTTCTTAATAAAGGCTAATAAAGAAATCTCGAAGTAAAAATTTCTATTCAAATAAACGTGTCAAAGTGAAGTTTGTTTGTACTCAGAACTCTGATAAATCAGTAAATCTCCGCAATTCACAATTAAAATGAATTTCTCCAATACTTTTGCACTGAGCTTGATTTACGTTGGAAATTAGATCAAGTACTAGATGAAGAGCGTTAATCTTTATCATCATTATCCTCATAAAAACATTTATTTAGCAATTTATTTAGATTGTTCATCTCATGATGTTTTTGCTCTGTCAATTTTACCTTACCTTTTCATCTTTTTCCTTGATTCAGTTCAGGGTAACCTTGAGATAACCTATCCAATCATGAAAGACGCAAAAATCAGTGTTGGTCTAACCATAAAATGATTATCACAACATTTATCATTCATCTAGATGATAGTTTCATCCGTTTCTTACCTCAAGCTAAAGTTAAAACAGTGACTCAGTTATCTGTTCATGATTCTTGAGTAGTTTTTGTTATTTTTATTTCAACATCAATAGTAATTAATTGTCAAATTCAAATATTATAATCATAGCCTTGATTGATTCACAAATTATGAATGCTTTGATATTCAAGTTGAAGCATAACTGAAAATGACATTGTCGTACGATCAAAGCATTGTGATCATAAATCAACTAGACTGTTGTCAACCAATATTTACCTTTTTAAAAACTTGTATTTCAATTTCATCTCGAGCTGTTATGATATCATCATGATGTCGATCAATTGTTACGATTATTATCAAATTGACTAACTCGTTTCATTAGTGTTTTGATGAACCTATCAATGATGTTTAGCTTTGCATTGATTTGCACCGTTACTCTCGTGATTATCATTAAACTTCATTTTTACCCAATTTTTGGAACCATTCAATTTCATTCATTTTACTTTTACTATTCATTCATTATGATTTATCTACAATTTCAATCTTCTTCTCGGTTCGACTGTTTAACAATTAACGGTTGTGTGATTTTCCGAAGCCTTTCACTTGTCAACTCATTCCACTCCAGTTATCCCAGCTTTCAGCTTATCATTACAATTAAAAACAATGTTTAATTAATTATTTATACATTTAAAAATTGTCATTATCGAGTTGATTTATTCTGAAAATAAACAACTCTTTTTACTTTCCATTTTTGAACACTTTTATGATGAGCGAACCTCGATAATCGTCATTCCTACATAATCAACCCTTTACTATTAATAGCTTGACAATTAAATGCTAATTGCAATGGTATCAACTGAAAACTGTTAATTGTAATTTCTTGACCTTTCAGATTCTTCTTGTTACCAACTTTCAGAATTGATTAATTGAACCAATACTGAGCTTAAAATTTTTCAACAATTTAACAAATTAATTTCCTTGATTGTCACTCATTTGATGCTTTTCAAATACATTAGTGGCAAATTATTGAAATTAATATCAAATCAATATCCTCATGTTATTAAAATGAAGGAAACTTTAAACGAAAAGTTTAATCGATAAAATTGATTGTGATTTATTAAAGATTTGTCTTGATTAAAGTAAATCTATTAACCTTGATTCACTCATTTATATTCAATCTATTCGTGGTTATCCAATCTAAATGTATAAGTATATGCATTAAGGATAACATTTTACTAATCACTTGGTCTATTGAAACGATTAAACAAATGAATTAGTTAATTATTCAGATGGATTTGAACCAAGTATTTATAGATTATTGACAGTTAATGTAATCACTTGACGTAATCAACTTCCTAGTAACCTAACCATGGAGATTCAGGTTTCTTTGTCAATTCATTGTTACTCTGACTATTAGTTAATTGTATGCAAAATGGACTCTCATTACTGAGATTGGTCATCTCAATGATAATCATTATGTGATGCCATTAGCTTAAGCCTTCAACTTGACTCATTGACCTTTTCCTTTGCCTTCTCTAATGGTTATTAACATTTCATTTGCTAATTCATAAGAGAATATCGAAAACTGGATTCTGAAGGAAATTTTTTGATTGAATTGACATTGGATTTCATCCACGAAAAATAACTTTCTCGTAACTCAGATTCCTAAGGAATTCATGTTCATGATTAGGGAAAACGTGAAAGGTGGAAAATTATTTTGTTCAGTTTGATTAGGTTTTGGTTTATTGTTGGATAAATAGTGAGTGCATTTAGAGTCAAGAGCTAAGACTTGGTGGCCTTTTAGGTAAATAAAAAAATATTGAAACAATTGAAAATTGCTCAGGTCGAATGTTTTTTGATAAAATCGCTTTCAAAGTTGGCTTGTATTTTGTTCAGTTGTAGAACCAGATCTTGTTTTAGTTTCAGTGTGACTGTCATGGAATTGTAATGAATAAGTTAGACTTCATGGTTAAATTTTGAGGATATAAATCGATTGGTTTCTCGACTGGAAAAGGCCAATTTTCGATACAAAATTCAACATGTTCTGTTTCGATCCAGCCAAGTTTCTTAGAGTCAAGAACGATAGAGTTATAAGGATTGTTGTTATTTTGACCCCAGGCTAACCATTCCTGGTAAGAAATTTTTGGAAGTTTTCTGTTTCAAGAGAAAAGTTGAAATAAATTAGATTTACTGTTACTGATACGATGTTAGTGTTGAATTTAAATTGACTTACTCTCCTTTGGCAAATTTTGTCCAAATGTCCATCATGAGAAATGATAGAAACCCATCTTCAATATTGTATTGTTCGGGTTCAATGAAAGGACGACCAAAAACCATGGGAAGATCGTCAGTATGAGTAGGAATATTTGAAGACCAAGTTTGGTTAACTGAACCATAAGACTTAGGCTTTTGCGTTTGAATGTAAGCATAAACATTTGAAACACCATTAGCGACCAAATCTCGACCAAATGCATAAGTCGGACCAGAGATAACAACGTCTCCAAGAGCTTGAGCAACGGCTAACCTTATGGCATCAGAGTCATCAGCTGGTATTGAATCCAAGTATAGTTCTGAATAGACATCGATCAATTTTTTACCAAACAGTTCACCAAAAATGTACCTAGCATGAGGAATAGTCAGGTCAACTGGATTGGACGGATTAAAAGTGATGTTGTCCTTCACAAGCAAGAAAAATATTCCTTCATTACTAAGAGTACCCAATAAGACGTTGATGTTTGGATCAACACCATTGGCAACCAGCTCTTCTGGGTTATTTGGAAGGAATCTGTCACCAACTATTGGCCAGAATACCAATCTATCAGCTTCAGGATACTGACCGAATTCATAATTTGCTAAACATGATTTATAATCGTTTGATTCACAATTAATCTTGTCCAAGAATTGTCGTCCTACATTGGGAATTGTAAATAGGTTTATACCATAGATGGAACCACTTTGCAAAATGACGTTTTTGAACAATCCTCTTGATTGTGGGCTAATAAGATGAGCTGAAACTGACACTGCACCGGCAGATTCACCGAAAATCGTTACTTTATCAGGATCTCCACCAAAATATTCAATGTTATCTTTAACCCATTTTAAAGCCAACTGCTGATCCCAAAGACCCATGTTACCAGGAACACCTGCTTCGGGCAAATGAAGGAAACCCAAAGGACCCAGACGATAATTTAAAGCTACAACAATTACATCTTTGATTGCCACTAATGGTGTACCATCATAGGAATCTTGTTTGCTAGCTGAACCAAAAACGAAAGAACCGCCATGAATCCAAACCATAACTGGACGTAATTCATTTTGATTGCCATTTCTTTGATCTTGGAAAGCATCTTGTGTTGTGAAAACATTCAAAATGAGACAATCCTCGCTAATGGTAAGGTCATCCCCGTTTACACCAGGAATGACCGGCTGCATACAAGCGGTGCTCCATTTATTTACACTCAATACTCCATTCCATGGTTTCTTTGGCACTGGTTTTTTAAAACGTAACTCATCCAATGGTGGTTCAGCATAAGGGATACCCAAAAACTGGTAAACTTTAACACCTCTAAAGTCAACTGATGTACCTTTTATCAATCCCGGCGATATTTTTAAAATGGGCTCGTAATGCCATGATCTTGTTTGACAAGATATTTGAAGAGTGAAGCAAAAGAGGAAAACTATTGGTATTAATAACTTCATTGTGTGGCTATTTCACTAGGGCAAGGGTTAACAAAAAGGGTCAGAGTTAATTTTTAAGTGTCGCCATCTCGAGCATATTAAGCTTCTCAGTTTACTGAAAAGTGTCCGATTTTGTTAACCCTGACTACTTGTCTGATACACTAATCAATGTCGATTATTTTGTTACATTTTTCCTTCTCATTCTTTGCTCACATTTGGTCACATTAAGAGCAGTTAACCTTTTTTAATTCAATTCATGATCTATTGAACGTTTTCCTTTTCCAGTGCAACACGATACAACAAAGATGATAATTCATTATAGACACCAGGATAATGATTTTTGAGTATTGGTCTTTTAAAAATTTAATCATTTGATTCGCTCTTGTTACTTGGCCTTTCCATTTTCCGTTCACTTATTGCTGATAAAAGATTGAAACGATTAACTTTTAGTTTGATTCAGTGATCCAAAGCACCATTAAATCCTTAGATTTATCTTGTTTTGGTCTTTTCATCTCATCTAATTTGACGCATAGTACTAATAGTATCATACTGCAATCACCTAAAACAAACTGAAATAAGAAAGATCAATAGATCAATTGTTTTCAATAAATTATAATCATACTTACTTCAACATATTGATTCATTGTTGCCTTGAAAACATCCTCAATGTAAAATCCAATAAACGAATCGCCAATTGTTTCTAAAACTCCTGAAATCTAATAATAAAGGGAAGAAGAAATGGTTAATTTAATTTTCTCTTCCATCGATCTTTTTCCATTCAAAAGATTGAACAGTAATTACCAAATTAAATTAGATTGGTTGGGAATTGTGTAAAATACAGAAAAAGAGATTCGAAATGTTATTTTGAAAAACATTGATACCTTTCGTTTAGTCATTATATCAGGTTTAGCTTTTTTAATGATCTTATTATACTTTCCGTTACAATGATACAATTTGCTAATGGTTATTAACTAATTGATTTTCTGTTTCTTTATCATTTTAGCTGTGCATTATGTGCCAAATCAGGACTTCGATCTCGATATGATTCGGTTATTGATCCACACCGGGAAGTTAACGATGGCTCATGCATAGCCATACGAGGACGATTCATGGCAATCAATGCTGTTACAATGTCCTGTCGATGTGAAAAAGCTAAACGTGGCCTTAGTCCAGCTGCTCACCTTGGTAATGGCTGTGCTGATCTCATTATTGTATCTAAATGTTCACGACTCGATTATATTCGTTACATGATGAGAACAGGCTATCTTGCCAAAAGTCCTGTAAGTATTATCACAAGTACACCTTATTGAATAAACATATCCATTTGCTAATCGCCTTTCTTTCATTAACAGTTCGATCTTGATTTTGTTGATGTCTATCGAGTCAAGGAGTTTGAATTTAATCCAATCGTTAGACCAGAAGGATCATCAAGCAAATATCAAGTTTCCAATGCCTCAGTCTGGAACTGTGATGGTGAAATAATCAATGAACCAGCACTCCATGTGAAGTACGTATTGATCGAGTTGAAATATTTCAGTAATCATTTAAGAACAGCTAAATTTGAAATGGAAGGCGAAAGATGAATCACATAATTTGATTTCATTTAGCCGTTCATAAGTCAAACATTCATGATTGTTGGAAAATTTCCGAGTTGAATCTGTTTTCTAATTGTTTTTAATTTTTATCTTCTAGGGTTCACTGTCAATTATTACCGATTTTTGGAAATGGCCGAGAAAACCGTGATCTCAATGGCAAAGGAGCATTTACAATGTCAGCAAACAAGATATTTGATACTTCGCGTCCATTAAACTCAAACGGCCAATTAAACAAATCGATGAGAATTGATGATCAAACAAATGATAATGGAAACGACATGGAAAATAATCTTAAATCCTATTCACAGCCCATTGAGGCCATTTCCAGTGTTTAAACAAAATCTTTTTGGCTTCACTCGTAAAGCATTCAGGAAGAAATGAAGATTATCGTTAACCAATCTCTACATAAATCATTTTTAAGCCAACAATCAACAAAAAAGCCACGAAATCACATTCATCCTCAATTGGCCATCCTAATTATAATGCTTAGTTGTATCATAATTGTTTCATCCTTTTTTATGTCAATTTTTATGTAAAACAAAACCAACATTCACAATCGATATTTGATAACTTAGCTTACAAGAATTGAGATTAATCAAATTCATCCAATTTGCTTTTTTCAATCAATTTTTCTATTTATTATCATGTTTGTTTTGTTTCATTTCCCTTGGAATCATTTGTTATCCTTTCCACTTCCCTTTCAGTTTTACCTTTTACTGTTTACCTTTTCATTGATGGCATCCATCGATATTTTGTTATTTCATTTTGAACAATTTCCTGATCTTCACGATCAATATGCTTTGTAATTAAATCAAACGAAGAATTTCTTTTTCTTTTCTTCTCACCTTAATTTTGTTAGCTTTTATAATTCTTCATCCACAATTCAATTGTTCATTTCTATCATCATCATTATTATTATTAATATCAACTTTTTTATATTATTTGTCGCAACAATCCGATTATTATTGATTCTTTTGCTATACTTTTTGATACTCTGTTTTTTTTCTTTTTCTGTATATCTTTTCAATGTGTATAACAAATGAAGCTAATTGTCAATTATTAGCTTGAATATTAATCGTTTATCATTGTAATAATTGTAACTCATTTGATTTTCCTTGTGAAATTTCAAAAAATCAATGAGATTTTGTAGGCTCAAACCCGTGAATGGGTTTTACAATTTTAAGAGCCAGCAAAGATATTGACAATCAATTGAATATTTAATTGTAAACCAATATGTTAACCATTTTAGAAAACAATTTTAGTTTAACTACAAATGATATTTACTTTCTGAGATCAGTTAATAAACAAAATCTGTTCCTATCAAACAAATTAAGTTTCATTTATTCGCGTTCACTATCCTCAATAACAAACAATTCAAATTATTTATAACGTGAAACCAGTAAAATGAAACAATATAACGGTTTTAATAAGGATGTTGAAGAAAATGAAGTTAGAAAATAAAAGCAAGCAACTTTTCTGATTGATTTAATTCCATAAGTAGACAAAATTTCGGGCATCAGATATGCTAAATAAGGTTACTTGCTACTAGATTTATTTATTTTATGGCAAAAATAGTACATTAATCCAACCTGGTCGAAAATGACATCTCGAATTTGTCAGGAAACACGAAAACTGTTCGCCCCAAGCTCGTACTATGAGAAATTCTGGTCATTATAATATAAAGCTGTATGCGTCAAGGAAAGAACTCTAACTTCTAATTTCTCTGGGTTCAAAAAGTTTAAACAAAATATTACCGAAAGTAGCAAGTAACCTGCGTGAGACTTAAAGCCATCAGATACATTGCAAAAAGTCCCATAATTTATCCACACAGTTTAGTCATTCTGGACTTAGTCCGATGAAATGTGTACCCTCAAAGTTGTTAAAAATTGCAAGAAAATGGAGTATTCAGTGTTAAATGAAGCTTGCAAATTATATTTAACGATTAAGCGATCGATTCGAAAACTTGACTTTATATTCGTTGCCAGTATTTCTTATGGACTTTAATAAGTCCGTAGGCTTCCAATTCTGGCTCCGTATCAATAAGTTTGGCATAAAATACGATTTTCACTGTAAAAACGTGATTTTCTGTGTTTGTTATAACACTGACAATTGTCACATTTATGCACAAATTGAACAAATACACCAAGAAAAATGTGCATAAAAGGGTAAAAATAAGCATATTTTAATTTAGACTCTGTTAGTTTGCAAGGACATATAAAACTGAGTCCTTCGGTACTAATAAATAATTGATCTGATGCATAGTTTGCGAAAAAATCGAATTCGAAGCTGAAACTTCGATCGCTTTTATTACAATTATTGAAGCAGATTTTTACACGAAACTCATTTTACAGATCAAACTTTTCATGTTGAACCAGAAAATGCATTTATTTTGCGCGATAAAACTTTCGGTTTCCTGTAAACCATATAAGTTCGATTTGCACTTAAATCGACCTTTTTCTGTGACCGTGAGAGTTAGAGGACTGAAACTTATTATTTGTGAATATAAATTGTGCGTTCAAACCATGGAGCAAATACTTTTTTAAAATAATCAACAATTCTTTAGATTTTGGCCATTGTTTTTGAAACTTTGTGCCTCGATATTTCGAGAATGGCCTGACCTACATGCATCTTTCTTTCACTAATTCAATCCTTTACTAATTATTAACTCAATATGTTTCAATAACTTTCAATTAGCGCTTTTGGATGATGATATTTGGGCTTTAAATGGTCGTACAACAACTTATTAAACAAAACAAACTCATATTAACACATTTCTTGGTTAATAAAGCAATTTTCTGGTTTAGCTTGCACATGAAATGCAAAAGATACTGCGAAAGGCTAGAACATTTGAGTTCAGAGTTGAAACTAAGCACGTTTGTAGGTACTTAAAAACTGAGTCCATTGGTACTAGTAAATAATTGCTCCGATGGACAGTTTTCGAGATAATCGAGCTCGAATTTGAAACTTCGAACGTCTTTTGCTCAGCCATAGAAGTAGATTTTTTCATGAAACTCTATTTAACTGATGTAAATTTTGATGATGAATGAGAAAAGCCACTTAATTAGAGGAATAAAACTTTCGGTTCCCTGTTAAGCAAATAAGTTCGATTTGGCTTTGAACCGACTTTTTTCAGTGATCGTTTTAGTTAGAGGACTGAAACTCATAATTTGTTGCTAAAAATAGTTTGTTCAAACCATGGATCAAAATACTTTTCTTAATTTATCAGTAATTCTCTTGATTTTGGCCATTGGGCTAAAAAACTTCTAGCCCCAATATTTCGAGAATGGTCTACTCTACAGGCACCATTCCTTGGCCAAACATTACATGTTATTAGGAACTATAAAATGATATTACTGAATACCCGATGAAATCTGAAATAATTCATTTAATGATGAATATCCTTCTGCCACATAAGATCTGTGTTTGAGTAACAGTTTAACTTCATAAATCAAACATCAATCCTAAAATCTTAAGTAATATAATGCTATATCTTTTATTACAGAACCTTAAATAATTTAAAATTTGAATATACCATAGCTCTTGATAAAATCTAATGTTTGGCCAAAGAATAATGACTGTAGGTTCGACCATTCTCGAAATATTGCGGCTTGAAGTTTTTCAGTCCAATGGCCAAAATCAAGAGAATTACTGATAAATTGAAAAAAGTATTCAATCCATGGTATGAACAAACTATTTTTACTGGCAAATTATGAGTTTCAGTCCTCTAAATAATTCGGTCGCAGAAAAAAGTCGGTTTAAGTCCAAATCGAACTTATACACTTTACAGGAAATCGAAAGTTTTATTGCTCAAAATTAATGCATTTTCTGGTTCGCCATCAAAATTTACATAAGTATAATAGAGTTTCATGAAAAAATCTACTTCTATGGCTGAGCAAAAGACGTTCGAAGTTTCAAATTCGAGCTCGATTATCTCGAAAACTGTCCATCGGAGCAATTATTTACTAGTACCAATGGACTCAGTTTTTAAGTACCTACAAACGTGCTTAGTTTCAACTCTGAACTCAAATGTTCTAGCCTTTCGCAGTATCTTTTGCATTTCATGTGCAAGCTAAACCAGAAAATTGCTTTATTAACCAAGAAATGTGTTAATATGAGTTTGTTTTGTTTAATAAGTTGTTGTACGACCATTTAAAGCCCAAATATCATCATCCAAAAGCGCTAATGGAAAGTTATTAATTATTATTGTATTATCAATTAGTAAAGGATTAAATTAGTGAAAGAATAATGACTGTAGGCTAGGCCATTCTCGAAATATCGAGGTACAAAGTTTCAAAAACAATGGCCAAAATCAAGAGAACTGTTAGTGATTCGAAAAAAGCAATCCACTCATAGTGTGAACAAACAATTTATATTGACAAATTATAAGTTTCAGTCCTCTAACACATACGGTCTCAGAAAAAGGTGGGTTTGAATGAAAATCGAACTTAAGTGTTTTGCAGAAAGCTCGAAATTTTATTTATTCAAATAAGTGCATTTTCTGGTTCATCATCAAAATTTACATCAGTTAAACAGAGTTTTATGAAAAATCTCTTTCATAGCTGACAAATGCTGTTCGACGTTTCAACTTTGACTTCGATTTTCTCGAAAACTGTTTTGCAGAGAACTTTTTAAATTACAGAAATGGACTCTGTTTTTATGTGCCTACAAACCAGCAGAGTCCAAACTTGAAAGAAATTGATTTTGCTCGTTTTTGCTTGCTTCGTTTATGCTTTAAAGCATCAATACCAAAGTCTTGAAAAATTGGGTAACAATGGGTTCGACAAGGTATTTCCAAATATATTCAAAGAGTAAGGTAACACCTTTGGCTACATTGGATAGAGAGTGAAATTAAGGATGAATAAGAAAGGTTGAAAGAAAGCGAAGGAAGATAAAAATGAAGGAGAAGGACGAGAGAAACGAGGTTCAAAGTAAGTTCAAGTAAAAGTGGAAATGAATTTTGTCTCCTTTCTGGCAAACCTTATAAGTTTACATGAAGTAACGGAAATGGCGCTCATTTTGTTAAACCTTGATGGAGACGACGAATTAGCCATTTTTGTTTGTTGTACCAGAAAAAAGTATAGCTGTTGTCTCTCTCCATTGTTGTTTAATTTAACCAGTTACCAATAACCATTAGACTTGACAAAATTTGTCACCACTCTTCAACCAGGCAACAGCAGCAGTGGTAACATCAACTTTTGGACAAAATCTGTCTAAAGATCAATAAACATGATCTCTAATATGATCAACTCTAAATACGGAATGTGGGCTAAAGTAGTTCCAATTGTTTTGTGCTCTTCCCTGATCTTTGACTACAAAACATGGCTTCAAAATGCCCTCACCTGGTACAAGGAGACCATTGAAAAAGGAGGTAAGTTACATATTTCATTTCAAGAGTAGATCATCAATAATGTCAATTGATTTCTCTAATTGTGATAGACCAACGAGTCAGTGATTGGCCTTTAATGTCAAGTCCATTTCCAACTCTAACCATGACTGCCGGTTATTTGTATTTTGTCAAGATTGCTGGACCTCGATGGATGAAAGACAGGCAACCTTTTGATCTTCGTAACTTCATGATTATTTACAATTTTGCTCTTGTTCTTGCCTCTGGAATTATGTTCATTGAGGTAAGTATCACCAATCAGTTAACTATATTACCCATAATTACTGTGAAATAGAGGAAATTAGCCGTTAAATTGAAAGGTAAAGATGACTTGTTTGGTCCACAATGTGAAGTTGCACATTCCTTATCAGGCTTATTCTTCATCAATTGTGGAAATTTTTAATTGAAGATGATGACTTAATTAGCCGAATAGATCGTCCATGAATTAATCCTAAATGATAAATGAATAATCATCGTTGTTCTCGCCATTGTTCAGCTGTTAATTGTTGATAATACACCAGTGAAAATTAAGAAGAGGTACATTTTTACGGTTGCACAAAGAGACTTACATTGTATTAATAATTTGCAGCAAGCTTGAAAATTATTTTACAAAATTATTGAAAAGGCTAACAGTTTCGTCCTTTATATCAATATTAGTGATTTTTTTCATTATTTTCAACCATTTGACGATAATTTTTGCTGCTTTTTGATGTGAAAAGAAGTGCAATTTACTTGAACTTGATTCTCTGTATAAGGCCATTGTATGTTTGACTCAATGTTTATGCTAATGGAGGTACATTTACAAGTATGATATCTTGTTTGCACCATATTCACACTATTGCTGGTTATAATTGTCCATTTCAATCAATTAAATCATTGAATGTGTAGCAACAGTTGACAATAAGTTGATTAACTGAAAGCAAAGTCAAGAGCTATTTAATGTATTCGCTAATTAGGATTCACAACTGTTAATATGCCTTGAATTGGTTGAATAAAATTAGGCTCATTACCAGTCAAGTACAAAGCAATGTAAATGTAAAGATGGTGTTAAAATTAGTTATTACGGAATTCAATTCAATTATTACTATTGTTATGAAAATTATTGATTTACCAATCATCATTAATATTATCAATTAATTCTAATCATTTGCTTTCTTCATTTTCAATCACAGATGGGACGTTTAATTGAATGGGGTAAATACAGTTTTCATTGTCAATCGGTTGACTATTCAAATGATCCCATACCAATGAGAATGTGTATTGTTGGCTGGTATTTTCTGGTGTCAAAGCATATTGAGTTCATTGATACGGTAAGTTGATTCACAACTAACCTGGTAACAACAAGCAAAACTTGACAATAATTAATAAAATTAAAGGTTTTCCCGTTTATAAATTATAATACAATTTTAGCTTGAAAAAGACAATAAATGTCTCTTCCAAGGTAAAGGATTTTGACCAACAACCAAACTTGTCCTCGGTCTATCCTCAAGCTTCGGCTCGTTGAACCTTTAACTACAATTGTTGCCAATTCAGTTTTACTGTTGTTTTCAATCTCAACAAGGTTATTTGGCTTTTGTGTTAATTGTGTTATAATTTAGTTGATCATCGGTAAACTAACAAAATCAGTTTCCTTTTCAATATGAGCTGAGAAAACTCAAAAAAACGAATTTTCTGTTCCGTGAAGACAGCTTAAGTTCTGGTATATTGGTTTTGCAGGTGGTGAAGAGTGAAGGATTAACCATGGAAATTCCAACCTTCTTTTCTTTCAAGATTATTCGGAAACAATTAAATAATTGTAACTCTCAAGAAACAGTGCAAATCAATTATGAAACACTGTTTATCCAAAGCCATTTCAATTCTGATAGGAACCTCTCACTTTCTGGTTTCTGGTTTCTGGTTTTTTCTGGTTTTCTCTTTGATTTTAAATTTCATTTTCATATATTAGTAACTGATTAACAAAGTAGTTAACTAGATTTTAAACAATTGGGTCTGTCAAACAATTTCCCTTCTACCTTCGCATTCTTGTGTTTTGGTAAAGCTACTCCTAAACCTTGTCTTAAACTTTTTTAGGCAGATCGACTGATCTCAATGATGATCTATGTATGAAGCCCACAAATGAGACAAATGAGTTGATAAATGATCATTTCTTACTTCAATCAAGGCTGATTATACAATACAACAATTCAATTGTTTTACAATTATCAAGAATCAAGCCTGTTTCGTTGTCACAACTGTCACTTTCATTTATCAAACTGTAACGATTCCTTAAAAGTGCAACCTTCAAGTGAAAAATTATATTGTTCATTATGATAATCAAAAATTAAGTTACTTGATTATTAAGGCACTAGTACTCATCAATAGTTTCAACTTTAAGTTGCAATTGTTAAACAAAATCACTCATCACCAACTGCAGGTTGATCAGAACCAGAACAAGTAAACAAACACCTGAAAGAATGAAAATAACCTTAAGTTTTGAGAATAACAAAAAAACCAGAATTTACGGAATATCAACTAATTATTTATTTTTATCTCGTTTACAGATTATTTTTGTCTTGCGAAAGAAACACAATCAAGTCTCGGCATTACATGTTTTTCACCACTCAGTTGTACCAATAACAATATGGATTGGAATGAAATATGCTCCTGGAGGGAATAACGCTTTCTTCCCATTCCTCAACTCAGGAGTTCACACTATCATGTACTTTTATTATGGACTCTCTGCCTTTGGTCCTTCCGTTCAAAAGTACCTTTGGTGGAAAAAATATTTAACCAAATTACAGTTAACCCAATTTACTTTGGCCATGGCTCACGGGTTGAGGGCATTAGTTCAAGACTGTCAGTTTCCTCGTTCATTTGTTATAATGAACATTTTCCATGCCGTTCTCTTCTTTTACCTTTTCTGGTCTTTCTACCAACAATCTTATGATAAACGATCCAAATCATCTGCGACCACAACAACAACTACCACAGCTTCAATTTCAACCTCAACCTCCAAAGGGTTGACTGTTTCGGCCTCATCTGGACCTGATGGAGCTTCCACTTGCGCTCGATTTGGTGATGTTACAATTACCGCTTCAGTTACTTATCACAATGCAACTGATCCTTCTGACTTCATTAAATCCCAATCTAAACTGGATTTGATCAACTCACCTGACAAGGCTAAGATTAAAGCTCATTAAAAATACTTAGTCACTTTTAACATCATCATCATAATCAATTTCAAGTCATCAATAAGCACTTTTGTTTTTTTGATTGATCAGCAAAGCAAATAAACTGTGATCATTTTCAATTGGATTTGTGTTTACACTTTTCAACTTGAAACATTTTTAATGTAAATTTTACCCAAAATTTTGTATCGATTTACTGTAACAATTTTACCAACAAACCAATGTTAATTGTAGTTGAAACTGTAAAATTTAAAATGTAAGGCATGTTTATCTGTATAGATTTGAGTATTAATAACATTGATTGAGGTATTAAACAACCTTTCAACGTGGTCAACCTATTGATCTGTTCAATCCAATTCAATGTACAAATGTCAATTTACTTTAATAGTGTCGGTAAATATTTGATTAATTGACTGATTTTTCTTGTCAACATTCCTTGATTGAAGTTAATGTGATAACAACCCGAGTTTCCCTCAATGTTACCAGATTTGTGGTAAACATTTTAAACTGATATAATTAGGCTTGAAACGATTGAAGCCTGAAAGGTTGAGACAATCATAATCATAAATAGCTAACTAACGTATTTATAACCGTAATGATTACATTGATAACCTCGGTTGGGCTATTAGTAAATAAATTGTTGAGGTAAATTAAATCAAAGTAAAGATGGGTAAAGAGAGAAAGGGAAAAATAACATTTAACATACAACAAAAAAAACAAGGAATCCAGAATAGGATAAGTATTATAATGATAATCAGGGAATACGCTGAATCATTTTGAATCAAGAACAGATTGGGTTGATAAATTGATAGATTCCGTTGATTCGCATATAATTTACTTTCACCTAGTTAATTTTTTGGCATTCAATGAGAGTAAAATAGAAATACTAATGATAATCAAAACTATTTCATCTTCATCCTAATACATATTTGTGTCTCTCTGTCTGTAAATCTGTAAAAAAATATACTTACACTGTTTTAATTGTTAATTCATACCCAACAATTAGAGAGAAAGAGAGAGTTAAAAGAGAGATTGATTAACAATGATAAATAAGTAAATTATTATGGTATGTTAACTCCAATCCGATGAAGAGGCGAAGCAACTTACAGTTGAGTTGAATTGATGAGTAAACAGTGCAACTAAACACTCATGGTTTATAAAATTTTGTTTGCAAGATTTGTTTTCAAGCTTATCTTTAGTCTTGTCTGGTTTTTTGTTTGTTAATCCCTAATTTAACCTGACAGTATTAACCCGTTTATTTACCGACATGGATAAACATGTTAACAGTTCAAATACATGTTCACATTCCTTGCCTAATCTTGACTCAGCCAACACAGTTAACTCAACTAAACCTTCAACTGTAATGGTAACCTATCCAATATCGGAAGAACCAGGAATATCCAACTTAGCTTTTGATTCAAATGAAGATTTAACTGTTGAAGTTGACCATTCTCGTCCCTCTTCATCGACCCACCAACATCATTTTCATCAAAACCGGAGTCAACCTTCTCATCATTACCAGCAACACCTTCATCCACTTTCCAAAACAAAAGCCATTTCTGATACCGAATACCTTTGTCATCCTGGTTCATCATCAACAACACCAACTACAGTCACGCCTGGTCTTGGATCACATCATCAGATCACAACAACTGACAATCAATGTGCTCACCATTCAGTTGGTACCCTGGTTAATGGTAATGCTGGTGTTAACAGGGAAAGTAATTTAGGATCTCACCTTTATTCAACTCAAAGCTGTGATTTTGATGTTGTACCCGTTTTTAGTTTAACTGGAGCTAAAAGCGTGTATCCTAATGAAAACCGGCGAATCTCGCAAACAACTAGGATTGTCATTTCAACTTCGTTAATTTCTTTTGGTATTACCATTATGATTGTTGGTATTCTGGTTTATACGGTTCGAGACATTGAAATTGGCTTTAATCCGGGAAAATTCAATCACTCAGGCAGCATAACAAATACATACGAAGCTTATCTTGTTCATCAAACAGTTGACTCGATCCTTAGTGATGAGAGGCGTTACAATGCTTCGGTTGGTTCAATGTTTATGTCTTTTGGCGGTCTTTCCGTAATTATTGGCATCTCATTGCTGTTAGCGCCAGCCATCAAAAAGAGGCAACCCCCTGTTACATCATTAAGATCATCAGCTGACGGTAAAAAACAAAATGCATCTTCAATTGTTTATTTCAACAAAGATGATCTCAATGCGTCTCAAATGTCGGTTGAAAAGATTGATCTTGACCATCATGGATCTAAAAGAGAGTTTTTCTAAAATTTTCAATGGAAAGTGATGCCAATGCATATTTATTTAATTTACCTGATCAACTATTAATTAGGTTATGCTGTTTGTTTCGCAGCTTTTATTATAATTAAACTGAACAATTATTAAAGCTTTCAATGAACTTTGAAGTTTCCTTCCGAAGACAAAGTTATTTATCGACTAAAGCTATCAATGAACTATCATCTAAATTTGATTCACCGATTCCAATTTCAATTAACTCATTATTCAATTGTCAATAGCTAAGTCGACTTTTATTGTTGAAAAAGTACACGAGTTATACAACAGTTATTATTACAAGCAAAAATGATACAAAACTTTATTTACAAGTGTTTTACACTCTTTTATAAACAAATTGAGTAAATATTTTTCACATTTTTTACATAAATATATGTTGAACTGATGATGCGGACAATAAATTAAATAAGACTTAAAATCGTGAAATAAATAAGTGGTCAGTTTCAACCAATGATGAGATTATATTAAGGCACAGATTAATATTTCTTTGAGCCGTTAGATGATCCTAAAACCCCAGCAAATGTCAACTGCAAATGATAGCAACCAGATTTTAGATGAAACCGAATTGACTCGATAAATGTAATCATCATTCACGTAATGGGCATCATTGGTTGAATTGCATTAAGGCTCAAATTGTAAGTTACGAGACAAGCAAAGTGTTTTTATTCAGCATCATCTGATGATTTTTTGATGCGAAACGCTTTCTGATTAAATAACTTTAAACTTTCACAGTCAGGATCGATGATTCTTGGATTCTCTTTGAACTTGAGACACTTTCGAGCACATTTTTCACCATTATACAAACCACGTTCCCAGACTCGAACACAGAGAGCACAGTTGTGTAGACATAAATAGAGTTTGTTGTTTTCAGCTGAATTGCTGATAACACTAGAGTCTGAGTGTACAAAAACCAAGTAGGAATAAAAGATGAACAAACTAAACCAGCGTAAGCTCATTGTCAAGCGATTAAACGGTCAACATTCACCAAAAATTTTCAAAAAAGATGAGATTAGATGGACAGTCAATAAATCAAGTCCAGTTGAAAAAACATATGATTGTAGGAAGGTGAATAGGTTACCAATATCTTACTGGGACATTACTGATGGTTGGTTGGATCACAGGAAAGCCTAACACGCTGGATTAACATGGTGTGCCTTTACCAATAATGAATATAATCACCGGTGTATTGATGAACTGAAAGTTGAAACTAAAATTTAACATTAAAGTTGAATATTTAAGTCATTTTAATACAGGACGACGACGGGAGTCGGTTTAGTGAGATAACCACAAGTTAAAAATACATTTAGAGAGCAACTGTACATATGGGTTAACACTGGTAATCAAAACAAACCTCAGGCTAATTGAATAAAAAAACAAGTTTCTCCGATAATCCTGGGTTATATTTTGCTTAATCAATCTCACTTGATCATCCAATGTTGGTAGTTTATTCACATTTTTTTGCTGCACAGCTGAAGGTCAGTAATATATAAGCTTTGTTTGCGTTGAAACTTGATTGAAAATTATTTAGCAATTGCTTAAAAAGCTACTTGTTTACAAATTACGATTAAAGTAAATAATATGAATTATAAATAATAATAATAGTAATCAATGTATGTATAAAAAGAAACACTCAAATATAATCATTATTTATTAATATTTATTCGGAAAGGGAAATCTAACATGTTATACTCTGTAAGCTGTTATCCATGTTTAATAATATCATTTTTTTATTTTTAGGTGGCTCAATAATTCCTCTGTATTTATGGTCATTGCTTGATAATTGCAACAACAGTTAATAAAATTTGTTAATCAATCTGTGAATCAAAAATTCATTCCCTCAAATCCGTTATTTTTCATAAACAGTGATTTCCTCTTTGAAGGATATCAATCAATATACCTGAATCAAGCTATTTTTATGAATTAATTATAGCTTTGGATTTATTGTTGTTTAGTTATTGCCATAAAATTTGACATTTTTTTAATCAAATTGATTAGAAATATCAATAATAATAATTAATTTGATAAACAGATTTTGATAATGGTTATCTATTTTAAAGATGGCGCCATCAGTAAAATGTAAACAGAAGAAATACAAAACAGACTTTTCAAGCTTCAGTATTTTTTACTTCATTTCTGGTAATTACTATAATTAAGTATTATTGTGCATGATTCTAGTGTCTTTTTTTATTGTATTTATGTGTAAATTGTTCCTTTTTTATAAATAATTGTTTTGTTTTGATAATCTAGATACAATGAACCCTGAACCAGATGAAATAGTTAATCTGAATGTTGGAGGAACTCGATTTTCTACATCTAAGCGAACCCTACTTTCAATCCCGGAAACATTTTTTACCTCTTTATTATCGGACCATCAACAATTAATTAATTCTCTGAAAGATGCAACGGGTGCTTTCTTTATTGATCGGGATCCTAAAGTATTCACAGTCATCTTGAATTATCTGCGAACCCGACAGTTGATTCACTTGGATAATATACCAATTGAAGTACTTCTTCATGAAGCCGAATTTTATGGGTTAACCCCGTTGGTTAAACGACTCAAGGCTTATCAAGATTTAGCCGAGACCAATGTTTGTGGAGGAAATGTGTTTTTTCAAGGTATCTTGCAAAAGCCAGCTGGCCTCATGGGTGATGATTCAAGTAAAGTGATAAAGGTGCTGGCGCAGCATAATGTTATTGTTGTTTGTTTCAAAAATCTAGTTGTTTGCTATTATTTCCGGGATTCGATCGGGTTTCAAAAAATATTCGAATCTGAAGAGATGGAAAATGATATCGATGATATTGCACTTTATCAAAATTGCCTGGTTTTCCATCCATCACCTGCTTCTGGTAAACTGGTTATTGGATTGTGCCAAGATGGATCAAAGTATATAAAACTTTGGAATATCTCCTTCCAAGAGCATCAGGAAGCCATTAGGACTGAGATAGGACCTTATGCACTTAATGATCATCCAGTTGATACATTATTCTTTATTGGATCTCAGCTTGTTGCCTTGAGTCATCGAAAAGGCCTGGTTGGTGTCTATCATGCCACCAGTCAATATTGGTTAGTTCAAGGATTAAAAGAATATAAAGGACAATCAATAACAGCTTATGATAAGGCAGCGACAAATTTTCTTCTTTTGGGATCAAAAGTTGGTTCACTTTATCTGATAGATATGCAGAAATTTCCATTAAGAATGAAAGATGGAGATTTGCTGATCAATGAATTATACCAAGACCCAGAAAATGAAGAAATAACTGCAATATCATGTTATCTAACACAAGATCCTAAAAATGACGGAAATTGGGTAGAGATTGCTTATGGAACTGCTGATGGAACTGTAAGAGTTCTCATTCAACATCCAGAAACTGGAGGTCATGGGCCAGTTTTGTTTCTCACATTTAAGGTTCATCTTCATGGAATTTCTAGTATTATGTTAAGTCAAAGTCATCTTATAAGTATGTGTTCAAAAAGACATGTCAGAACTTGGACAATGACTCGATTCAGAGGAAGAATTTCCACTCAGCCAGGTTCAACTCCTCATGCCAGTTTCAGAGTTTTATCAATAGATGATTTACATATGGAAGAAGATTGTTGCCAGTCATTAGGGTCATCATCTTCCACATCAACTGGAACAAGAGGAATGTCTAAAAGTGTTTCAGACTTAGCATCTTACAATAAAAGATATTTAGATGTTGGACCTTTCGGTGATCAGGGTGACGGAGAGCAACTTGTTTTTATTGAAATGTATCGATCTCAAGCTGATTCTATTCACGTTTTGATGGCATCTGATGGTGAACGTAAATTCAGTTTACATTCGGTGGATGATTCACCGATTACAACTTATTTTGTCCATGAATGTGATACTATTTCCATGGTTAATCGATCAAAAAGATACATTTTCACTGGACATGAGAATGGAAATGTTCAAATATGGGATCTGAGCTGGGCTCTTGACTCGGCTTCGAAAACACCTAAAGTTGATGTAAAACCTGACAAAGAACTTTTACGACAAGTTTTACTTTAATTTATCACAAAGTTTTCACCTTAATTTATTCATATTATTACTGTTTGAGATAATAATGCGGTAAAAAAGTTTTTAATATTTAATTTATAACTAAAGCATTATTTATTGAAAAAATTGTTTTATTTTTACTCTTTTTTATCTAATTTCATTTCATGAGCAGTTCAAAAACTCTTATCAAAATTTTGTCAATTGACTTGATTGCATTCGTATTCTTACGAATTTTTTTATGTTAAATTCCTTCTTAGTCTAATTTAAAAAAATGCCGATTTCAAGTATCTACTCAAAAATAATATCAAGTGGTTCTAGCGTCATTGATAGTTTCAGGAACAACTACTTCTAATCCATCCATTTCTTTTGTTAAGTAAACTTGACATCCTAGGCGAGATCTACGAGGAATGGGAAACAAATAATTTGATTATAATCAAGTCGCTACAAGTAAAACAAGGCAATGATAGAAAAACCCGCTCGGTTTATCTCTGATTATCTTGGATTCTGAAATAATTTCCACTGTGAAGCAGATATTAGAAATGAAATTTAATCGAGCTTACGTTTCTGTTAGACCAAAAGCTAAATCCAGCATATCCAATTCTTCATCGGTAGGTTTGTTTTTAAGTTTATCAAAATCGTCTTTCTTCAAAATCAGGTGACAAGTTGAACATGCTAAGGTACCTTCACAAGCGCCTGGATCAAGAATAGATCATAAATTAATGAGAATCATTGTCTGTAACCACGGATTGCATATATTTACCAAAGCCATCAATGTCTAGATGGTTGTTTATCACGACATCTAACAAATTTTCGTTCGTTTTCCCATAACCAACTATTTTTTGACCATTTGCTTTTATGAATGTAACCTTGATGCTAGCAAAGAGAACAGAAATTTGACAAATGAATGAAATTAATAATAACTCATGAACTTACTTCTTTCAATCAATATACTCACTCTGGTTTTGATTGATCCTTTTTATCAACATTGGAAGAATTGGTTGAGGTAGAAAATAAAGACGAATGATCGGACAATCTTAACAAATTACGATAACTTTTAATCACAGTGCGGCTTAGTCCGACTCGGTAAACTAGAGAACATGACATTGCAGGTTACAATAGTCCAGAAGTATAGTACAGTAGCTATAGTAGTATGAATAGTCCCTGAAATTTTGTTTGCCAGTAGTCAGGTGATTGTTACCGTAGATACCAATGAATATCAAAAAGTGAGCATTTCTATAGTTTTAGGTTTCTAATTTGTTTCCATAATTGTTAATCCATTAAAACTCTTCATTAATAATCTCTATTTCTGGTTCAACCACGATATTTCAGAAATTTCATCTCTGTGATTAGTCGATTATGAATTATCTCAATTCTTGACTTGTCCACGTTTTTGGTACCAAAAATGTTGTAAACATGTGACTTGGTAAAGACTACTTCAGCTGATATTCAAAGTTGTTAATGTGATTTTTGTTTTCCTTTTTTTTGGTTTGATTATATTTATTTTGTTATTTAAGATGTCATTATCTATTGATAGCCTATGCCCAATTGACCTAGATAAAATAGGTGTGGAATCTGAACAAATTTCAATAACTAGTGATGATTTATCCAACTCAGCATGTCTTTTCAACTCTCTTGTTTGTCAATCCATTAAATTGCTCAAGACAAGCCAAACTAAGGACGATAAACCACTCAAAATATTTATGATCCTGTTTAATCAAACATATAACGAAATAAGTCGATATCAAATGAAGAATTTTGGTCTCAATTTAAAGTCATTTAAAGATGTTAATCAATTGATTGTTATGGACTTCCTTACTGATTACAAAGATGGTATTGTTACTAGCGATGGTTCAATTTTATTGCCCGCTCTCATTCAAAAAACTTTGGATAAAATCAAGCAAACGTTGTCCTCTGAAGATGATTCCAGTAAAGCCATTGTCTTGGTTGATGACGTTTCCTGCCTTCTAATTTTGGGTCTACCATTGAATCAAGTTTACCAATATTGCCGTCACTTAAGGAATCTTATTCATTATCATAAACTTGTTTTAATCATGCAGAGCTATTATGATTACGACGAAGATGACACTGATATCAATAGACTATGTCAGAGTTTTATCGAAACATGCAATATTTGGTTACAGTGCAAGCATCTGGATACTGGGTTTTCCAGCAAAGTTGATGGGAACTTGATTATTAATGATTATCATCAATGGCCTACAAAAACTCATCATTACCATTTCAAGAGAATGCCAAGGAATGTTAAAGTTTTGCCTGTTGGAGCATTTTCTTAACAGTTATTAAATTCAAAATGAATTGTTTAATGGTAATGAGCTGACGAATTTGACCATTACTAGATTTATCAATTATTAAATTGAGACTGATGAAAAAGCAAAATTTATCAGCGATGGTAACAATGCTCGAGTTTATATTTTTTGGACATGATTGACCTGATTCTCACCCGCAATGTCAATGTCAATGTCAATTTAAATGGATATGTAATCTTGTTGGAAATGATTATCGTTATTGCAAGTGACCACCAAAGATGAAATGGTAAATAAAAAATCAGAGTTATGGAAGCAAGCCAAATTGTATGTTATCCAGAGTTCAATTCAACTAGGACCAAGTATCAATTATCAAAAGAAAAAAACTCATCATTTTTGTTTGGTCAACAACATCTGAGAACTCGTTTTGTTAAATAATATGCTCCACGAACGTTGGATTAATTTGTAACTGATACATTTTCGTATTTAGTTTCTCGCAAATAAGAGATAAATAACGTAGATCAAGTTTAAAAATATCTCAACGTATTTACAGATCTATGAAGCAAACTGCATATGTTCTGTATCTTTATTTTCCATTCTTTGGTTGACCTGTGCCAATGCTCCTTATACTAACTTGTGCCCTTCATACTTGACTGACCTTTACATTCACGGGTTGGTTGGTTTCTCGGAGAAAGAAAACTTTATTCATGTAATGTTATGTCTCCGTCTTGTCAACATACATCTTATGCGATAATTCAAATTTCACCGTTGACCGATCACGGAATACACATGCACATTTAAATTTAGATTTCTATCCATCTTCTTTACCATTTTGAATGTTCATTTTTTCAAATGAAATTTACCTCTTCACTGATTGCCCAAAAATTGAATCGACTGTTACCTTTAATATCGCTTTTGCTTATTTCATTTTTGTGAATGTAATTTAAAGTTGTGAAACTATTTTCAATAATTCAAATCTCAATAACCTAAGACAATATTTGTATAACGCTGTAAACGCAAAACTACTAAACCGAACAGCTTTTATACTGACAATTTTTGACAATTTCATTGTAAAACCTTTCTAATTACCATTTTTTTCATTCATTAAACAAATTTGTGCAATAATGTACTTTTCATGCTGATTGTTATATTTTCATTTGTTTTTAAATTTACCATAATTACTTTCTTAATTCGCTGTTGCATTTATTTACAGTAACGGCTAGCAATCGTATTCATAAACTACTAGATTGACACAAGTTATAAATTATAAATCGTAAAATGTAATTCAATATTAGATTACAAATATGATTTGAATAGGCCACGAACGAACGATTTCAGTTTTTATATTCATTCGAGAGGCTTCCCAGCGTTGTATTCAAATTTTCAGGTATAACATGTGATTTAAGATTAAAATTAAACAAAAGTATGTTAAAACGATCTTAAAAACTCAATGAGTAGAGAGTGTATCGACGAAGCAAGTTAATATTCTAGGTTTTGTGTCTAATTATTGACTTTTCATTAGATTTTAGACTAGGACATAATTCTAATTAGGTATAAAGCTAAAATCTATGCATTCAACCTCTGGAAATCTTGTTACAAAACACACTTTCTATCTGGAATCAAGAGTTAACATTGCAAAATTCATTGGTGAAAATATTTATTAAATTTATTTAACACATTAACAACCTGAAACCAGGAATAAATTTGAGTAGTTCAATTGATCATTTGTTAGATATATTAAAAAATTTACAAAAATGAATTAAATATTTTGCAATAAAAAACAGTGGAATTATTTCCATTAATTGACTTAGATTGTGCTGGAATTAAAAAAGTTGCATTAAACTAGGCTAGAAGCTGGTGTAGCCATATTTAATCTCGTTGGTATTGGTTCCCTCCTAAACGGAGGTCGTTCGTTTAATTGTTTAATTGATGGAGGTTGTAAACCCATTGCGGAATCATTTTGAGTCGGATAAAGCTCTCTGGTTAGTTTAGGTTCAGGATAAACGAGAGTGACATCAGTTAATGGTCCTTCTCGAGGAGATGGCGAATATTTTGATCTAAAACCAGAATCACTGAAAGGTGAATTACGGTAATCTGTTTCTCCTCTAGGAACAACATTGCACCGGAGAGATTTCATCAAGTCTCCGGAGTGATCATCTTCAGGTGGACAGTGAGACGATGTTGACTGAGAGGCCGGTAATGGTTGAGGTGGTTTACTTTTTACATTAGTATTATTTGAAGTAGCAGAAGTAGCTTGAACTGGTTGACTGATTACTGTTTCAGCTGTTATCTTCCGTCGCCCGTTTGCTGGTAGATCATAAATATCTTTAATATTATTATTAGGAGTATCACAATTAGTTTTAGCAACAGTTTGATTGCTAATATCATTTATATTACTACTATTATTATGACTTGTAATAACTTCTTCATCACTATCCTCTGAGCATGAATGAACTCCATCGTAATAAACTTCAGCTTGGGTGGTTCCAATGCAAACACCATTGATTCTTGTATGACCACTACAACCTGGTTGAGTATCAAAGGTTCCTATTGTTTCACCAGGAGCAATCGCTAAATGAGTCTCTGATTTGGAGCGAACCCCATTATTGTAACATGTTGTTAAAGTAGAGACGAAATCCTTGTTGTAGCTTAAACAACTTTTTGGTCTATCATAAGCATCATTCAAAGTATTTCCATTCTCTGTTGCTGTTGTTGGCTGATAATCAACATTCCTATTATTTGATTGTTCAACTCGTTGGCAAGTTAATCCGTCATGGTAATTGTTGTTTCTATGGCGAGCAGGATTTGGTTGATATTTACGTGGACTTGGTGTTGGCTGATTTAAACGACTTTCCAACCAACATTTCATTTGATTTTTCAATTGCTCAGCTAATGGAAAAAAACAAAATAAATGTAAAAATTGATTAGAATTGAAAGAAAACAATTTACAGGAAAAATGAAATATAAGGTAAATGTCAAAAGGAAAAGATTAATTAAGAGAGAAAAAAAACACCATCTACTGAGCAATAAACAATGATTCGTTATAACAGATAAATACAAATGATTGGGATAGTCTTAACAGTTTGTAATTCATTTGCATGATTATCCCATTCAACATTTGTAATGCCTCTATTTGAACAGATAATTTATAATCATAAACTGTTGCTTGAATAAAAATGAATCAACTATTGAATGAATCGTTCATATTATAATTAAATAAAGAGATGAAAAGAGAGAGAGAGAAGCATTGAAATACAGTGATGATGATGGTGAAGAGGAAGACGACCAGAATAAAACAAGAGAAGATTAATTTTCATTTTTATAGTTGAGGCCGGTTTTGGCTTTTGCTTTCTATCATACCAAACCTAAATAGATGATGCTTGAAAGGTAAGTTAAACAAATCGATCTAAAGTTTATATGCTAGTTGAATTGCAAATTACACAACAAAATTTGTATAAACGCAAAACAAAGACACTTTCGTATTTACCTGAATCATTTTACCTGAAAAAAACTTACTCAACTGGCTTGAAAATGAGTAAACTCTTTCAGTAACTCATTTATTAATACAATCTTAATGTAAAATCTGAGAGAAAACAAAGATCACCGAAAATTTGATGATGATTATGATTTCACATTATCATTCTCATATATCTTGTTTTCTAGATTATAATTATAATTACAATAATAATAATGCTAGATTAACATTGACGATAATAATATTAAGAAAAAAGTTAACGTAAACTGAGGTCACTATTTTGGTTAATGATTACGGGTAACAATTGAATTGATATCGCAAAAAGATAATCAGAATATAATTGATGATGATTAATGTCAGCATAAAAATGTTGCTTTAGTTGCTTACCTTGCTGTAATTGGTTTCTTTCATAATCTAATCGCTGCTTAAGGTTACTACGTTGATTGCGTTCAATACATTGAAGCCGTTCGGTTGATAACCGTGATTTAACCGTTTCATTGAGAGAAACCATTTGAAAATTGGTTTTCCTTTCAAGACTAGATATTTTATTATTCAAATTGCTCCGGCAATTTTCAATTTCCTCCTTTAATTCCTTCTTTTCTTTAAGTAATTTCTTCTCAACTTTTTCAATCAACGGAACACAATAACAATTATACAGTTTACCAACCGGTCCTTTCCGTATATTACCAGCTAAATCAATATAATATTGTTCACCCTTACGAAGAGGCTCAGTAGGTAATGAATTAATGCGAGGCTGAGGGAATTCTTTAGCATCAGGTAACATAGGGCAGCCATATGGACTGTGATAAGGTATCTTCTGGTGTTCTTTTGATGATTTAGTCTGAAAGAAAGCATAAAAGAAAAAAGAAACGACAATGAAATTCAAATTATGCTGAAGTAGTGAAAAAAATGGGAAAATATCAAAACCAACAACTAACCTTATGCTTTTTCTCGCGACTCTGACGACTTCCTTGGCTTGGTAATGATTCACTTTTGTGTTTTGAGCGCTTAACTTGAGGTGGATCCTTAACAGGAATAGCTGCTATGATTTCTTGAACTTCTTTGAAATTTTTTCTCAAAGCAATGTCCATAGCTGTTTCTCCTTGCTATCAAATGCAAACAATAAATAAAAATTAACATTATTAACCGGTTGTAAACAAAAAAACATTTGTTATTCAAATAAAAAATGTTAGCGCCATCTTAACAGACAATTTTTAATCTCTTTTATAAAGAAAGCAAAGAGCAAAGAAAGGGTCAATTAACTCTTTTGTTCGGAAGATGGCAGTTATGTAATTTTGCTTTTTATTAACAGGTGAATTATATTTGGACATTTATACCTTATTTTTGATAGCTGGGTTACAACCAGTTTCCAAAAGTATTCGGGTTAATTTTCTCCGTCCCATGGCTGATGATATATGTAATGCAGTGTCTCCATTCTGAAATTATAATAGTGATAATAATACATTTGAAAGGGTTGATTATAGTTTTAACAGATCTTATGTTAAATCTAAACAAAAGCAACAGTTTGTTACATCAGATCTGGTAAGTTTTCATCTATTTTTTTTCATTTGTTACAAGTTTGGTTTTTTATTCCTCAAGTCTGGTTACTGACGTTATAATAGCAATTGTGGTGATGTTGATTGAAACTATATCTTCTGATTTATGAATTTTAGCCTTTCAATGGTTGATGGTGTTTGTTGTTTGGGTCAAACCTGTCATCACGTAAAAAGAGGTAGCAAATTGCCTAAAAACAATATCTAATCATCAATTGATCATCTATCCATTGAGCTTTAAAATATCTGATCTCTTGTTCTTGTTTTTCCTCACATTTCCCTTTATTTTCACTATACTTATTTCAAAGCAAATTTGCTCACGAATTCGGTGAGATTCTGTTGCCAAATGATGATTTATAGCCTTAAGGGTAAGATGATGAGGATAAGCCGGATTTGGATAAAGTAAAATCATCGATAAACAGCAACAACATGAAAGGTAAGAAAACCATTATGCACTTGTTACTATGTTACCTTCAATTTTTGTGAACATCATCATCATTATTAGTTACTTTTCTAATGAGTGAATTTTTCTTCCAGATTGTCTGATTTTGAAGTAGCAAACCCACTCATCGGAAGAGCAGGCTTACAATTAAAATCTTACAGATACAGATGGACATACTCAAAAATTTTCACAAAGAAGCGCTTCAAGGGGTTAAATGATTGATTTGATTGATCATCTAAAGCATTTTCATTAGAAAGTTGGAAAAAGATTTCATCTAATAATGGGAATAAATATTTACAGCTTCAAGGAAAAAGTCTATTGAACGAGAAAACAAGCTTCAAATTAAATTCAACCGCTCATTTCATCATGGAAACTCGGGTCAAGTTTATCCAGAAAAAATTTTGAAATTGAACAGCAAAATGAAAGGAATACTGAATACCGAATGAAATGAAATTGCTTACCTTGTTAACTTCATTGACATTACAAAAAGCGCTAATCAAAATGCGGACTACACCAGCATGTCCATATCTGGCAGCAGTATGAAGTGGAGTATCGCCATACTAATTGAAAGAAAAAAAGATAAAGCAATTAAGATGATAATTAGTTTACAATTAGACTCATCATTGAAAATCATAAATCATAATTAGTGAAAGTTAGGTAAGTAAATGATACATTGATGAGGGTTAAAATTGACTGGAAAATTATCATAATTATTAATAAGAAATCTTTGTCTTTTTTTCAGTTGACCTTTTGATGGTTGCATTTCAATAATTTATGTGATAACAAATTAATCAAACCAGAGGAGCAACCAGGACGAACAGGAATAATGAGTTAATTAGAGCAACAAGTTGATGAATAATCTTCAATTATTGGTCTTTTCATTATTACTAATTCAAAGGCCTCAAGGTTGATTAAACATTTGCACGATTGGAAATCAACATGAAAAATAACACGAAATCAAGTAAAATCAAAGCATCACTATTATTATTTTGATGTTCAACCTGATGATGATAATAATGATGAGAAGATGGTAAAAGATGAAATACGAACGGAAAATGTATACAACTTTGATATCTATTGGGTGGCCTCAATCAAGTTACATTTCAAGTAAACATTAATAGATCAAGAATTGAATTGACCTGATTGACCCGAAAGGTAGTAAAAAATGTTCAGTAGCACTTTCAACTTTATTAAAATGTCAATTATTATTATTTTCATTTGACGGATCAACTCACGAGGCTATAAAGTATTCATTATCATCATCATCATGTTTCACTTAACCTCCCAAGAAATTGGTTTTAACGCAATTCGCTCAACAATTTACGCAGACTTTTACAATTTAAACCTTAAACTGGTAAAACAAGTCAAAAAAGATTCCAACAATTTAACCTGATAAAAAATAGCAAATAATTTACCAAAGACAATATAATTACATAGGCTTACATTTTAACATTTTTCAGGTTTAACAATGCTCCAGTTTGTAAACTATTAAAGATTGAAATGACAGGATTAAACAATTGAATTTTTTGCTTGAAATGGGCAATTGTTGTGAACCAGAAAAAAATATAAATTGAGATCAACTATTTAAATATATTTGGATTGTTATTGTCTTGAAATTGCTATGTTTGAAATCAAATAATAGCTGTTAATCTGACTCTTTCAGGTGGTTTACAATTAATATCCTTTACTATTCCCTGGTGTGTCATTCAATTCTCGTCATGAACACAATCAAATGAACGCCCAATGAATTAGTAAACTATTTGAACAAAAAACACCAGGCGGTTGAATGCAATTGCTCTCAATAACTCCACCCGAGTATTAATAGTGTTCACAATTAACTATGTAATACAATTTTCTGTCTTCAGTAAATTAATTTGATACATCAGCTTCATTTAAGGAAATGTTCATTTTAGATTGCAATTTACTCTGTCATCTAATCAAATTACACCTAAATTGATGGAGTGGTAAAGGTGAAATATTAACATAAAAATAAGGTTTATCAGTTTTATAAGCTGAACACAATCAAATGCTGGTAATTGTAACAATTGAGAAACATGACTTTTTCAATTTTCACTAATTTTCAACTCACACTCAGTTTTAATTTTATTATTGAAATTACTGGTTCAAAATTTGAATATTTTTTAACTTCTCATTATGATATTGCAACTCAATTTTCACCTGAAAACTCATTAACTTTCAACATTAATGTAAATGTTGAACCTTCTGCAAAAAATCATATTGGAAAAGGTAAGAAAGGTGCAAATGAAAAGGTTTGAAAATTGATGGTTTTCACTGGAAAACTTGAAACATGAAATTTTCTGAATAATATTGAACTTGAAAAAGGTCAAAACTTTTACTTGAATGCAATATGAATGAGATTTTGAATTATGAGTTGCAATAAAATGTTATCGCTTTATAATTATCAACGGTGAGATTTACATGATTTTAATAGCAACAATTAACATGAATAATTAAGATTGGATAAGAAGAAAGAAATATTCTTATGCCGTTAATATCCCATTGTTTACATGGTCATTTACTTGGACAAATTAACAGAGTAACGGTTGAGTTGGAATGAATTGAGAAGAGATTCATTAAAATTATTCCCACAATCAACAAAGCAATACGACATGTAATTCACTGGATTCATCATCATTACCATCATCATTATCAAGTATAAACTTATTGTTTTGACAGAATCAAGTTGAGCTTAAAAATGATGGTTTCAAGCCAAAAAAGGTGACTTAACTTTGATTGTTGCCTGTGAAAGTGAATCTGATTACTAATCACTCTAGTTAAGACTGTGCTTTAAATTGTGATCAGGATTCCATGAAATTTGAAGTGAGCAGCAAACAAAAAAAACAGTCAAACAAACAGACTTTCAATGAAATAACAGAGCAAAGACAAGAAAAGACATTTCCTAATGACTGTTACCTGAAGTGTTTTTTTGCGCATTTCAATGTTAATTGATATGGTTAGTTGTACAAATCAACTCACCTTAAAACACTCAATATTCACAGGTTTAACCTGCAAGTAACAATCATTAACTTGAAAGCTTTTACCTTTTCAAATATGTCATTTACTCAATACCAGATGAATAGTAATGACAGAGGCAAAACCTTTAATCATTGATCAAAAATCGTGAATAGTTGACAGTTAATGAACTACAGATTTAAAGATAATTATTATATCTTTATTAGCTAAATTGCATTTATTAAATTGTAATACAGCAATGAACACAATTACATAGAAACGTAATTAGTTTAACATTTAATCAATCAACCTTTAAAAGGTCGATGATTAAGATTTGTTTCAAGCTCAACAATTGATGCAATTTTTGTTGTCATTAAGCGATTAAGCCTATTGAGTGAGGAATCATTTTTAAAGGTTAAGATTTATTTGAAAACAAAAATTAACCTTAAAAATGAATTTTCATCCCATTTATCATCTTTTTTTCATGATTACTTGAAAATCATCTTTCAACTGATTTAAGTTTCATCTTTTTAGTTCCCTTATTTACCTTATATTCAAGTTTCAACTGTTTAAAATGTTTTACTGATCAACATAATCGTCTTGATTATCCTTGGGTTTGTATTTTTGGGTAAAAATTTGACCCTCTCAAGAGGTTGCAATTGATGATTAAATGGCCAACCAATTGGTTTAATTAAAAGGTTATTTAAGAATCATTGTTAATATGTTTAAATATAATATTTTTTACCATCTAAACGATGCTAGGTTATTGACATATCAAATTTTTCAATTTAAAAATGGTCAAACTGGATATTGCTTTTTACTTTCTAATGATGTTTATTACACTGAAAAATGATTCAAAATGGTAAATTAAGAAGATTAAGAGGATAAATTGTTAATGGTAATGGTAATGATGAGATGTTATTATCTTATTATGGATAGATAACTTTTGAGGTTCCTTTTTGGCGGGAAAGGTTTTCATCACTTGATAATGGATTATTGCTGGAGAAAGTTCAGGATGGAAATGATGAAAATGATAAAAAAAGTAAAATTGACGAATCAATTGGAAAGGTAAAAAGATAAATGACTAATGTCTCTGAGAGTAAAAATAATTTTGGGTTCGTTTGATTGCTAGTGAACAACTGTTGTTGTGCCAACACGCGTTTCTTATTGAAACCAGTTTTCGGTGATAAATACGATGAGATTGATAATTATTTTTTTACTCATTTTACTCTCATTTAAGTTGTCACCCTCAGGTTACGCTCATAAGTGACCCTTACTTTTGACCCTTTAGCTACCCTTAAAAGTAAAGGTAAAAAGGCACTTTTCGCTTGCTTATAAGATTGCAGATGAAAGAGCTTTCTAATTGCTTTTAAATTAACCAAATTAATGAGGAAGCTGCTTGAGATGATGATAGGAAATAACGATAACAAAGATACTTTTAAGACTCCCTGAAATAGGAAAGCTTTTAGTGTTTAATACAAAAGGTGAGACGTTTTTTACGCCCAAATCGCTAGGAAAGTTGAAAAGATAAGATGAAGATAGAGAGAAGGTAAGAGAAGAAGAGATGAAAATGATGATAAAAAGTGACTTACGTTATTTTTAATGTCAGCTTTGGCTCCATAGATGAGTAAATTTCGGCAACTCTGATTATGACCTTGTTGGCAGGCGAGATGAAGAGCTGTATTACCACTCTGAAAAGATAATTGATATTCAACAATTATAATTGACAGGAAAAAGAATGGGCTTGCAATTGGATCAAAGTTGATTGCAAGTGAAAGGCAATTTAAAATTGATTTAGAGTCAAGTAAATCAGCATTTGCATCACGAACAGGTTGCAATTGATGTCTTCAATTAATTTATCTGAAAAGCTTGACATTTGTCTGCTATTAATTTCCAATAATTCACAATCATTGCATTCACAATTTGTGGTGAAAAAGTGTAAATTTCAAAATGTCAGCTTGTTCTGATTTTATTTTCATTTTTCATTTTTGATGGTTTCAATGATTGTAATGATATTGTAATCAAAAGCCAATCAAATGGAAATTGAAGACAAAATAGTTAATCACTTGCAATTGAAAAGTAATCAGAATGATCAACAGACAACAACCCAAGTCCAACAATTTCATGGGAAGAAGAGATGATATGAATAACTCCTTTAACATGCACCAATAATCATGATATTAATTGTGAAAGTTATTAAATTGTTTCACTTTATGGTAATTGAACAATCTTTACACTCATTTGCCATTCAATTGTACAATAAGCCAAGTAAAGTTGCTAAACAAAAATGCTAACAACCCTTAAAGTTGCATTTGAAGCATCAACAGGCGCGGTTGTTAAAACATTCAAAAGGTAAGTAAAGGTAAAACCAAAAATCTAGTTAAGATTAAGAAGGTTAAAAAAGTGAAATTTGATGCTAAAATGATGAAAAAAAGAACATCTTTTTACTTCTAAAAAGTACTCATCTTCCATCATCACCAGTCTTGAATACTTAACCAACAGGAAAGCTTAAAAATAATCTTAAAATTGTAAGTTCACAAGGTATCAATTTTATGTTCATCTTTGAAACAACATTCCTTCAGGTTATACCAACCTGGTGGGCCAACAATTTGTCCCTTTCATTACTATTTGTATCTCTTAACATCATCATCCTAATTGTCCATTTTGATTGTTGACATGATCGATACAATTGTTCATTTTTATTGGCGTAAGTAAACAATTTCAATCACTTTTACCATCTCACACTTAATTTAAATTGCAAGTGATTTGCATTATCAATGCATATCATTATCAATCACTCATTATACATCATTATTTTTGGATGAGTTGCATCGTTAAGTTGGCCCTTTTTAGTTATTAATAATCTGATTGATTTTTTTAATATTACTTCCTAGTTGTCGATGGTCAGTTGGAAGGTTAATGTTTAAGGTTCAAATGTTGTGTTTTAATACGTGTTTGACTCGTGCAGATGCATTTAAGCACCTTGACAAGGTAATGATAAATATTGATGTAAACAAAAAAATTGCTGCTTTTTAACTGACATTTGACGAGGTTTGGTAATGATGCTTTTTTTGGTAATTGTTAATGTTAACAATTGTTGGGATTGGATGTAAATTGACTGGTGAATGGATTTAATGTCAATGGAAAATTGCTTTCAAGTAATTTCTTTTACCATGTTAACATGACAAAAGTTGAATTTTATTGGTAAACCGTGATCAATTATTAATGTGCATCAACATGATCAATAGAAAATTTTGTAAATAATGAAAAATGCAACATTTCAATTGACGATTTCAACTCATCAAGTTGATGAAATATCAAATAATGATGAAAATATTTGTAATATATTGATTGTTGTGATGAGACAAAAAAGAAGAGGATTCATTGAATGAAGTTTCATTCTGTTGAAATGTTTTGTTTGGCTGAAATGAATGAACAGACAAAAAACTAGGAATAAAAGTTCAGTTTTTTTTGTGTTCAAATCAACAATCAGTGGTCATTGAAATTTGTCAGCAGATGAAGGTTAATCAAAGTGGTCAGAGCCAAAAAACAAGGTTTCATATTTACAAAGAGCAATGGTTATTGAAAGTAGAAAGTTGAATATTTGACAGTTGATTGAGGAAAGACAAGATAATGACCATTGATCAACTTATTATTTTGATCAATTGTGGTTGAAGAGTCTGAAAGGATTTCTGGTGAAACGTTGACAGAATCTCTTTGAATGTTGGAATGTTCAGTTGATCTTTACTGTTTTGGGTAACAATTTGGGTTAAGCTTATTTCAAGCGTTTTAAGGATGAAACAATGAATCAACGATTTGAAGATCAGAAACAGTCAGACGAGTTTAATTGCTATCTGATTAATTGTTACAATGTTTGCTTATTTATTTTTGATACTTTTTTTGATATCGTATGATATTTGAGCCAATCGATACATTTTTTTGATGTCAAATGTTAAAAATGATTGCAATTAAGGTCAGGTCATAAGACCCTCAAGTGGAGTCGTGAATAACAATGATCAACTTTAATTGTTGACTGAATTACAAGAAATCAAACTGAATGACCGAATTAAAGCTCACGATGAGTTTACAGTAAATTCAATGTTTATTATTAATACTGGCCTTAAGGTTGGTGAATAAAGGTTAGCAAAGGGTCAACATGAATAAATTAATGAGTTGATTATATTTTCATAATTAAATTGGTCATCAATTTATAATCAATGTTTAATCAAAGTCAATTTAACGATAATTGATCTCACTGTCTGGTCAAAAGTCTTCTAGTTTTAATTGTTAAACAAATCTAATAAAACCTTTCAGGCTACTTCACATCAACAATTTGTTAATCAATTTTCAATCATTATCAATCTAACCATCAACAAAAGGTTAAATTGTTTCATCGCTGTTTCAATTCATTGTAAAATCTAATATGATTAATGAACTTGCTATCCAATTATAATATGAAAAGTCAACTGTTAATCAGTTGATGATCAGGTGACTTTAAAATAAGGTTAAGGTTAACTATTTAAGTCACGGGATTGCAATTCAAATCATAATTTTAAGGAATCGTAATTAGTAGCTCAACAATTAATTGCTCAATTAATCCTAGAAATTTAATTGATAACCAAGAAAAAAGAAAATGAATTTCGTGAAATTTAATTTAAATGGTAAGTTAATTCTCACGGCTAATCTTGATCTGATTTAACCATTACAGATTGTTGTTTAATTCATTAATCTCAACAATTAACTTTTCAATGATTTAAATTATTCGTAAAATCTCTGAACGAATATGAAATTATGTGAAAGTACAAATGTTCATGATAAAAGTAAAACTTGCTTGATGATGATCAAGTGTACAAGTTGATTTTGATGCATGTAAATGTATTTTGATTAACACTTTGATTCACTAAAGCATTAATTACAATTGAATGAGCAAAACATGATTAAATTAGCAGGAATATTTACGGATTAAAGTAAAAAATTAATGCTTTTTAAGGTGTTAAGCAAGAAACAAAAAAAATGTTGATGTAAACATACAAAAATAGCAAATCTTTTTGCCATTTTTGCCATTTCTGCTTTTCTGGTTAATGTTAAACCGGATTGTAAGTTCAGGTTGGTTCCCCTTTTGGTCAGTTGAGGGTAATGAGCAAGTAAGATAAAATCATGTTCATCTCATACGATAAGTGACCTTGTTCACTTCGGAACAATGAAGAAGTCAAGTCGAGTTCGTGTGAGAATTAGTATTCATTTGTTTACATGGAAACCAGAAAAAAGTTTGATTCTGAAATATTATCCCAAGTTGCAATGATAATGAAGAGGAAGCATGTGGATGAGCTTGGGAACTGAAAATTTTAACAGGCAAAAATAGTCTAAATGGTAAATATAATTTAGATCAGATTTGAATTGTAATAAGTCGTAAAATGATTCATATTGAGAGTATAACAGCTGTGATATAATCAAGAATGATTTGTTTTTAATTGAAGTTTTCATATCAATAAGAGTATTAATAATGACATTACATTCCATCATTTTGATTCATAGGAACATTAATAATATAATTTCATATTTCTCTTCATGGATAAGAATAATTACAATATCAAAAAGTTCATCCAGAGCAATCATAATGCAACTAATCTTTACTTTTAAGGTAAAAATAGCTGTTAATGAAATGATTGATTAAAGGTGATTCCTAGTTATTTGTATAAACAAGATTGAAAATTGAGATGAATCGTTGTAACAGTTATAAGATTAAACAGTTTTTAGTTTAAGCTTTTTCTTGATAATTACAATTAAATGGAAAGAGTGATGTCCATTATCAATTGCAGGGAGAAATAATCATGTTGATTGAAAATTTTCCTCAAAAAATGAATCTTTTTCGGCATCATCACAGGCAATTTGACCTTTTGCCGTTCATTAAATTTACTGAGAAAAAAATGATTCTAACTGAATCTCTTTCATTTTGTTATCAGCATGAAATCCATCATAATAATAGGGTCTAACATGGGATAAGTTTTACCCTTAAAGGTTATTCACTAATCAGAATTATTTTGTTCATCATGTTCCTGTTCATGTTGACTAGACTTGAATTGCACCTGAATGAGTGATTGATTGAAACTAAATTGTATTTTGTGAAAGATTTAAAATGTGTAAACTTATTGGATGCAGAAATGATTGTGAAGGAGAGATTGTAATTAGCATTTTTAGGTTAATTGTCATCTTGATTAATATGATTGCAACGAGAGTAAAAAGATTTGGGTTTTGTCCTTTTTTCATTCACATTCAACTTCAACTGGAAAGAGTTAACTTTTTGTTGTCCATTAACTGTAACACGCAAATGGATTTGAGATTACTAATGATTCACTAGTAATTAAAGTTGATAATTTGATTGAAACGTTTAAACATTGTTAAATGGTAGCATTATGATTAATTAATTGGGTTTACTGTTGAGGAAAGGTTAGGTTAACAGATTAAAGGTTAGTCTGGATTCATTAACGGTTAGTAAATTATAGTTTCTAGGCAAATTGCGGCAACAATTAGAGTTGTTAACAATTTTGTTTTGCCCATGAAAGTTTCTCATCATTTACTGAATCGGGCGTGATTGGTAATACTTCAATTTCCGGTCATCACACTCAGAATCTAAATACATGTAATGTATATAGAAGATAACAGCAACAATAAGTAACAACAATAACCCAAGAAATCAGGTTTTTCTTGGTGTTTTTTTACCTTCCTTTACTGGTGAGGTGAAAATACAATAACATAATAATATAATATAAAACCAATAAAAAATTGACTTTTTTTTCTTCAATCGTTTTTAAATCAATCAACCCAATCATTAACGGCTATTTGTTAACAGATATTATCTACAAATATAGAGTTTACAGTAAATATTTTAGGTGTAGTTTGGGTTGAAAAGAAAGGAAGAGAGAAACCGTTCATCATTAGATGTTCCTTAATTCACAATAATATACATTTTACATGTGAGGAAATGATAATGATGATGATAAGCAAGACAATGGATGAGGGAAAGGGAAGAAATAAGAATATGGTGTAAAATATTGAACACAATGTATCTGAATGAAAGGGAACATTTTTATTTGTGAATCATGCATGATCCATGAAAGTGCCATTGAAATCAGTATGATTTGATGATAATTCATCTACTAAAGCTGGTAATAATTCTACGGCAAAATCACGGTCAGATTGTTGTCAGAATTTTCCCATCATATTCTTTTTTTAGAGCAACATTAAAAACGCAACTTGTTTCTTTTGAAAAGGTAAAAAGAAGGAAGGAAAAAAGCAAAAGAGAAAAAAGCGAAATGGAAAAATAAGAGGTAAAAGAGCTTGGAAAAGATGATGATGGCCAAAAGTGGCCTTTCTCTTAACCCTCAATTAATTGGGCTACTTAACTGATGGACTCAGGAAATGGATGTTTCTGTTGTCGCTGATTACTTTAAGATGTACATAGATATAACCATAGAGAGAAGATGAGGCTAAAACTTACCTTGTTTTTGATGTTGAGATTGACTTTGCTTTTAGCTAACATTTCAATTGCTTGGCTATATCCATTCCAGGCTGCTTCGTGAAGAGCAGTGTTACCAGAAAGTTGAGTCCATCTTATGTCAAAATCATGTTCACGAGGACGGTTTTCACTTAGAGAAGCCATATTTCATGTTCAAAATTAAAAACGGTAATCCAGACACATATGGCAGGAAAAGTAACATTCAAATGTAATCCGATTTGTAAGCACACTTTGAACACTTCAAAACAAAGCTCAGTTGGAGGGCCAAAATAGTGATGGCATAGGGAAATAATGAGCAACTTACATGTATTTAAACACAACACAACATAGTAAATTAACCATTCACAGTGAAATGAAATGAACTGATCTCACAAACTTACTAAAACAAAATAAATCAAGTTTGCGGTCAAACTAGAAAAACAACTTTTCTTTGTTTCCTTACATTCGAATAGATGGCGCACTATTACATAATAATTATTCATTAAACTCATTCAGCTTCTGATTGATTCAACAATTTAACATGTAAATCATTTTACAATTGAAATTAGATCAGCATTTTCATTTATAAGATAATCGCTATTAAAGATTAATTCATCAATTGGATTAACTTTTAATAAATTTAACAAAAATAATCGCAATCGGGGATGATTATGCCCTCTAGTGTTGCCCATTTAAACTTAGGAAGCGTTTTTTTAGCGAACGTTAACTCTATTAATAATAATAGCTTTTTGATTATCTAAGAGTTATTATGATCGATGTTAGCGTTAAATTGGATCATTTTTTATACTTTTATCCTTTTAAATTTGTTGGTGATTATTGTGACAGTAATAGACAAAGCGATTATACAAATTAACAGAGTTTAAGTCTTATTAAAAATCAATGATGATACATTTACAGTTGAATTGGTTTCCTCCGTCTTGTTGGCATAAATATTGAATAAATTACAAATTATGCCTGAAAGTACATCTTCCCTGTTTGGTTTCAACTTGAAAGTAAGTAAAATTTTTCAGGTCAGCAGACAATAAATTATTATCATTATCATTATTATAAAGAAGAGTATGAAATAAGATTTACAATCAAATTATTTGACAGGGGAAAAAGTGGTGAAGTGAAAGCATGGAAAATGAAACGCAAAAGGAGGGAAAGACGAGAAAAAAGATGGAAAGCAAAAACTAATACTATGTTAATAAGTATTTACTGATTTAGTAAATTGTTAAAGTAAATTTATTTTTCTCACCATTTGTTATTACATTGAAAGTAACATCTTCTTTCAACAAGATTATATGAGTTGATTCAGAAATGTGTGTGTAACAAGCGAACAAGAAAGTAATGTGAAATAAGATACATGGGAATACAAACACTTTTAAAATTCACTTCATCATAAATACATATCCTTTTTTTTGTGAGTGTTTTACCATCTTCATCACCTGAAGCATCTTTTTTCTTTCTCATCAATAACATAATAATAATGATAATCATGATAACAACACAACAATAATAGTCTAATATGTATTTATAAAGCCCTAAAGCTCAATATCCAATTGCGAACCAAATGAACCTTCAAATTTTTCCCTATTACCACATAATCACTTTTCAAGAGCCTAGAGAGTCACATGAGTTTTACCCTTTTCTCTCGTCTATTGTATACACAGCTTTAAATGTTTATTAGACTAATTGTTTTTGCCTAAATAAATATCAATTAACACTGATAGTAATCTTAGCCATTTCTTTTGTTTTTCCAGTTTTACCATGAAGACAATTTACAAGACAAGTTAATCCAATTTGGCTTATCCAGAAAGCGTTCCCTGAAGTAAGATGATAACGTGTAACATTCAGCAACAATGGCAACAACATGAAAACCGATTCAATTGAGTTGATCATATTACTTGGCTTCAAGTATTCAAGTTGAACAATCGAGTAACATGCAAAAAATAATCACTGTTATGCAGAAGTTATCATGAAAATAGTGTACAATTGTAAGCCTTTAAATTATCGATGCGAGTTTAAAGCATTTGAAAGATTGTTCAACAAAGAAACCTGATCAACTCAAATTAATCAACTGTATATTAATGATGCACCAACACAGTAACAACTTTCAAACCAGTGCATTTTGTTATACATTAAAAGTTAACATGAAGGAAAAAATAGAAGGAAAATTTTCAACTTTTCATGAAAATAATATCTTTTCAAGTGTTCATTTCTCATCATCTCATCCTTTTGTTGTTGTTGTTATTGTTGATAATAGTGAAGATGATAACCTTTTTTTCTCTCTTCTTTTTCTAACAATTTCTTCTTTTTCTTTCTTCTTCTTCTTTTCAGATAATCATAATAATATAATAACACCGTTGACTACAATTATTGTGATAATGTTGGCGATCATTAAGCTTGTCAACAACACATTTAAAGAGGCACAAATCTTGTATCTTCCATCATCATCTTCAAATGTATATTAAACAAATGGCTTGTTAACCAAAGGATCCATCCTTTGCTCACTAATCTCATTAGGAATCTGCTTCACCACCTCATCTGAATTCATCAAGGTTAATATCATCATCATCAGCACCAGCATCATTATTATCATCGTGAAAATGTTACTTTTGATAGCTTTTTTTGTCTAATTTTTTGTTTCTCTTTTTTTCACTTTCAGTTTCATCCTCATCACTTTCATGTTATTATTCATTTCAACATCAGTTTATCAACTCAAGTTAACAACAGGAGCAGTAGCAAAAGCAACATGCAAGGCAACAAAAAAGAAGAGACAATATTAATAAAAATATTCCCCTAATCATGATCGTCTTCATCGTCTCCATCATCATCATCATCCAATATATGTTACATTTTGGTTCTCTCTTCTCTATAAAAATCGATCAATCTGTCGACGGAATAAATATATTCCCAGTTATCATTTCTTTACATAATACATATATTAATATTACTGAAATATATGCTTCCAATTTTATATTATTCATTACATTCATCCATTCACACAAAGTGAGTAACCTTATTATCATTATCATTTCTATTATTGCTATTACTAATATTATTATTTGTATACATTTTTTGTGGCTTATTCATTTTATTAGATGGTGATGATGGCGATGAGGAGCGACAGGAAAAAAAAGATGATGACAACCAGAACGATAAAGCGACTAAGAAAATGATGATAACCCATTTTGTTAAATTAATACTAAATAATGGGTTGATATTATGACAGTCTAAGCTGTTAAAGAAAGGATCGTAAATAGGATCATCTCGATTAAGGAGAAGAACAAATAAACATAACCTTCTTATCATCCTTTTCCCCATTTTATCTCTCTTCCTCACCTCCTTTTCCTCCTCCTTTGCCTTCTCATCATTCTCATCTTCCCGGCTCATTTAATCACAATGAACATTTTACACTTTTTTCAAGAAAAAAAACTCCATACTAATATATTTTTCTTCATTTTTACTCTAGATAAGGATAAATCAAGGGAACAAATCTCAGACGATTGAACACATTTGTAATACAATTTACACTAACATTCAGTTGATCAATGGTTTTGTCATCATCATCATCTCGGAACTTCTTTTCATCACAACTTCATCATTGCCGCCACCACCACAACCACCATCATCATCATCATCAGCATCATTTTTTTTCTTAGAATTCATTTTTCATTGAAAATCTTTTCTTTTCTTTTCTTGTTACAAATCTTTTCAAATGTTCCTTCATCATTCCCTTTCACCCTCCTCAGTTCCTTTTCCTCTTTCTTTCATCCCTTGCATTTCCAATCTTGAGAGATTTTTTTCCATGAAAGATTTCTCTCTTTCTCCTTTTCTGTCTCACTTTCAGAAGTGGAAATGAAAAAGAAGAGAAAATGATGAAGTAAAAGAAGAAAAAGAATCCATCAACTGATTTTAATAACAATATAAGTTACCTTTTCATCTTGCTCTTCATCATGCCAATGTACAACAATTCACTTAACACACATTCTTCATCATCAACATCATTATTTCTTCTTCTTCTTCACCATCCTTTTTTTCTCTTCTTTCATCCTTCCTTTGATTCAATTCATATTCACAGTAACATAGATATTCAATGTTTCATGAAACATTGAAATTTAGCATGAAAAAAAAGTTGAACTGAATAAGGATTGTAATAGAAATGTGTATAAAACTCTATTTTTCTACTCCTTCCTTTAGATCTCAATAGATAATTCAATATATAATTTTGTCACAATAATTCCTTTACTATTTAACAAACAATTTTACTTCTTTTTTTCATCTTACCTTTTTTATCCTCCCTTTCCCATGCAAACAAAATGATAATCATATTTCAAAAGGCTTTCCTTTCTGAGTTCAATTTTTATTTCATCCATTCTTTTGTATTTCAATCCAACTTGAAAGTGAAAGTTTATTTCACTTTTCCTTTTTTCAGTGAAAAAAATGATATTAACATTTATCTATGTTCATACCGTTTAGATTTTTTTAAATGTTAATATTATTGGTCTCAACCTTGTATCAATAGAGGAACAAGAAAAAAATATCCAATATTACCTGTAATTCCCAAATCCAAGGATTATGTTAATGTAAGTTGAATCTCAATATATTTGTACCATAACTTTGAAATGTTATAATCAACTATTTTGTCTTGTTTTATTTTTTATCATTTCATTTTAATATGTGTTCAGGTTAAAGTGACAACCAAAGTGGAAGGAAGAATTGAAATGTCAGGCCGAGAAGCAAGCCAAAATTGAAGCCAATTATGAATTTAACTAGCAGAATCATGGAATACTTTGGATAATCAAACATTTTAACTGTCAATTAGTCTTGATTCAATCAATTTCAGTGGAAATCACTTTCAATGTCAACCTCTATCGCCGAAACCAAAAGCACAATCGTTTTCAAATACAATGTTGCATTGAAAATCTAATTTTTCTGGTGATTTTACCCTAAAGGATTGAAACCATTTCAACATACAAATATTTTCACAATCATAATTTTACCAAAGAAAAGCCAAGATGACAATGATGTTACCAAAGAAGATGCAGAGGGAAGAGTAAAAAAAGATGGAAAGATGCGAAACAAGGAAAAAAGAAAGGCGTAATAATAGGAAAATCGAAAGGTAAATAGACAGGAAAAGAAGGAAACAAAATGAAGATTGTCAATGATAGAAAGTTGATGATGATGATGATTGCCGAGGATGAAGAGTGAGAAAAAAAGATAAGTGTAGTCTGAATGGCGGATACACAAAAAAAGGTTACAATAAGGATGAGGAAGAGGAAGAAGATGAACAAGTCCATGAGTGTTTATCTTGCTGCTAAAACATGCGTGGTTGATAAACATTAACTGGGAGTCATATTTACTATTATTACATCCCAGTTGATGATGATAACAGTGATGCTGAACAAGTTGTGGTTACATTGTTAACATGCATTTTCTATAGGCTTTTTTGTCCTCATCATTCCTTGTTATTGTTGTTTTTTTTGTCTAACCATCATCATCAACTTTTTTGCCAAACATTTCAGTCTATTTTTTCATTTAAATTTTTCACCTTCATCACTTTTCAGTTTCCAACCTTTTATATCCTGAATTGTCTCTCAATGCGTGCTGTGAATCTCATCAGGAATAAACAACATTTAAATCTGGTCCATTGAAACATCAACAAATCAGGTAAATTGTAATTTTGATCAATCTTTTTTTTCTGGTTAACTTTAAAATCTATCATTTGTTGGCGATCTGGTGATTGATTTACCCAATTCAATTCAATGATACAAATCATCACTTGTATTAACAGTTAAATTGTTTAATTTATTCATATGTCAATTCAACTGTATTTATATTTGTCGATATTGACAGATGTTGGTTCCAAATTTTTACCTCATCTTCTCAGCATGAGCTTAAATTTCTTGCTCACTAACCATTAATTCAATTGATGTTATTATTTTGAAAGGCTCTTATATCTCGCCACTTTTCCTCTCTCATCATCTTCATCTTTTCCTTCTCCTCCTCATCTTTGCTTTTGATTATTTACAATTAAATGTTGCTCTCTCCTCAGGGACTTTGCATGTTACCAACAATTGATAAACACACATATGCAAGTTTATATCCATTGAGAGATTCACTTTATCCATTCTTGTTTCTCCTAATTGTTCAATATTACATATTTTTTCATTTACCTCAATTAACCAACATTTACTGGATTACAGGCTTACATTGTAACTTTCATCTAATCAAATTATCCAGTTTCATTTCACACATTTTCAACCTTTTCCAAGCCATATTTCAATGTTCATAAACGCATTTCATTATATTCATTTTCATGGTTGATGTTGATACCATTTCTTAATCTTTTAGTTTTAACGATTGACGCTGAATATATGTTGATTAAATTAGTGACTGATTTGAATTGGATTCAATGGGAAACATAAATAAACCATTATCAAGTTGATTCACACCGAGAAAAAACAATTGGCTGTTAACTTGAATTTAGTTTGATAAATGCTGTTAATAATTGCAGTATTTGTACGATTTGCATGATTTGATGGCTTTTTTGTTTAGTGTTTACGGTGATTGATGAAAATATAAGAAGATAAATAAATAACTTGGAGTTTTCTGGTGAAAGATGAGCATTAAGATTCAATGTTACATGATGATCAAGATAAGAGGGAAACATTTTGAGAAGCAAAAGATTTACTTTTACCAAGCAATATCAATGTATGGGAAAACCTAATTATATTGTGAGTGTGTCTGAGAGGAGAAAGAGAGAGAGATGGAAAGAGGTGAGAAAAATAATGATGAAAAAAGGATGAGGATCAAGAAGATGAAAACTGATGACATTGATAGATTGTGTGACCAATGTTGTTATGAAGAGAGAGTCAGGATAAGAGTCACCGATTCTCCCTGGAGAGATAAAGTGAGATTGTTACGCTTTGTTATCATTTTCATCATTGATACAGATTCACAAATGCAAGTGGAAAGTGAGAAGAGGATCAGATGATGGGGATGAAGATGATCAGGTTGATGGAGGAAACAAATCTGGAGTCAATTTAGATTTTGGTAAATGGTCAACATCGTTGTTTCATGAAAGCCATTAGTTGTTCATTGGATCATCATGTTGATCAAAAGCAATCTAAATTAAAACTATCATCTCTCATCCTCTTCTTGATTCCTTTCTCTCTTCTCACTTTTATCCTTTTTATCCTCTTCCTCTTTCCTCACTGTCTTGGATAACATTTAATCATCTTTTTCAGCCTCTTTCTCATCATTTTCACCATTGTCTTGATCGTCATTATCATCTTGTAATGATAGTCCTTTTGTTGCCAGTTGATGGTCAAGTGATCATCATTGCCAAAGGAGGAGGAAAAGTGAAACAAAATTGTTGCCATTGATTGATTCAAGAGGCAAAAATTGTTACACTTTTCATTTGTCACTAGTTAAGGATGATTACTGTTACCCAGAAAAGGTTTACATCATCATTATCATCATCAACAAGATCATCAGCCTCACCATCAGCATGATAATGTTTAAAAAATGTAAACTCAACTGATAATCATTTCAACACAATCATCTTAATCGTTCAATTTTCAAACATGCTCTTCGCAAGTATCCTTAATGTCGACCATTTTCATCATTCGTGTTTCATCCTCATCATCTTCTCCTCACTGATTCACCTTATCTGATATAAACCATTAATTCAGTAGATTCACTTGCAATTTAGTTTCGATTCATTGAAGCAACTTTCCGAGCTTCAACACTTTGTAAGCTTTTCACAGTTAATTTTGTCTCTCAAAGCTATTCATTCAACAATTTCAGGTGAATTCAATGTTTGAATGTTTTCATTGTTTGGATTCACATTTTTGTATTAAATTACGCTTTTCAATTGAATGTGAGAATATGGCAGTTGGTTAACAAAAAGTTCTGATGAATCATGACAATAAAAGGATAAAATGACTTAAAATGATATTCACTGTAAACTTAAAGTATCAATGAAATGACTTGGATTACAGTTTATCAAGATTGTTTCCTCCAAATATAACTAAAGCTTACCACTTCTCTCATCTTGCTCATCTTCATCCTTCTCACTATCATCATCGTAACTGTATGATAATCCGTTTTTACACAGAAAAAAATAAACCAACTAGAATCTTGATAATCTCCTCTCGTCAATCAATTCAATGGTTACACTTAAACAAGGAATGTCTCTGGAAACTCTTAATATCATTTTCATTTCCATCTTCATCCTCATCTTCATCCTAATCATCAACTCTCCCTATGTCAACTCAATTGCTAAGATTATTATTGGTTTTATATGTTTACTTGAAAGATTAGGGATGCTTATTGAGATACATATTTGATGGTAAAAGCAAAACAACAAAATAAAACGGATTACAGATTAACAATTGTTAATGTTTTTCCCATTTTCATCACTTCATTTCATTTTCTCATCTTCACCTTTTTTCATATTTATATTGATTGCTGGAAATTATTAAATATTTAATTTCCATTTCATTGTTACATCTCATTGTTATTAAAGCCAATTGCGATCCAATTTAGACTTGCTTTAGGCCAAATAATGAACATAATAACACAACAATAAATCATTTAATGATCATTGTAATTCCATCTTTCCTCATTACCATTCTAATTGTTGGACATTTTTTATTTCTAATTGTTAATGTTAATCTTATTTACCATTTTAATGCAACTAAATTTAGGATTAAACGAGAGTTAACAAATTGTCTTGAATAGTCCTCAGCTTTAACCATTAATTTTAACCGGTTAACTTGATTGTTTTAATATTAATTTCAACTCAACTCTGGTTCAATCTTAACTGATCATCTAAACATGTTGAATGGTGAAAACTGAGTAACTGTGAAAAATCAATTTCTTTTCCAGTAATTTGATTCCTCAACATTTGATTAGTAGTTAACTCTACTGATCAACTTCACTGGTCAATTTTACTCAATTATCAATTGATATTTCAATTGCTCTTCAATATTTATCCAATGCAATCTTTTCAGTGTTCATTCCCTTTCTCAAGTGAGTTCAGTTGCTGTGTTCATGCAACTGCATTAGGTTAACACTTAACTCCTTATGATCCTCAGTTTACCTTTTATCATCATGTTCAAGAACTTTACACTTTATTTATCTTCATCCTCTTTCTCATCATCATCATCCTATGATCACATTTTCTTGCTTCAAATCAAAGTGACCCTTAAGGTTGCTTGCTGTAAATCTGAAGACAAGTTGACTGTAAAATCCGTTTTTATTTATTTTTATTTTTTTACTTTTTTTTACTTCTTTTCAGGGTGAAAACATGTAATAATACTTAAGCTGAAGAAGCAGAATGAATAAGTGAATAAAAAAGTTCTGCTTCAGATGATTCAGTTAACAAAATCTTTAGAAAGAGAAAAGACATTCTCTTTGAAAGAAAATTGATTTTACTTTTTCTCTCCTCTTCGCCATCTTCATTTCATCTCAACTGACTTGATCGATTTGTAAGCCTTCCATGATGTTCAGGCTTCAATTTGAAAATACCCATTTCAAAGTTTGTTTTAACATTGATATTGCAGCCATCAAAATATTGTTCAACAACATGTTAACAACAATTTAACAATTGCTACTTGTTTTCACACCATTTTCATTGATTTACGTTTGTGTAAATTGATTTAGCTTACAATGAACTCATGATGTTAATTAATTGTCCATGGTTAAATGTGTCATTTTAGTTGTTGAATTATCATTGATATCCAAAATTCATGGCTCAAATAAATTGTTAACACTTTTTGTTTTACTTTTTTCGCTAACTAAATTATGATTGTGACAATTGATGGGCGTGTGTTGATGTAAGCATATTTATCTTCATATGGATAATGATCAAATTGATGATGATAATGATGATAATAACGCAAAATTATCTCTTTCATTTTGAATCGTTCTGCATTTTGTTTGTTGGTCAGAACTTTCAGTTACTGTCAGTTTCAATCAAAATAACCCAAAAGTCAATCTTTTCATGGTATAAATATATAAATCCGTGGGAAGAAAGAAAAAAGATGCAAGACATTGATGATGATGATGATAATGATGATAAAGAGGAATGAAAAAGGATGTTGTTCGCTTGTTAACATAATCTAGTTAACTTACAATGAAAAAGGAAAGGAATAAAAGATGATGATGAAGAAAAGGTTTTACATCTCATTGGCCATGCGTCCCTTATTATATGAAGATGAGAATGAACAAGATAAAACAACAACAGCATCCAAGAGCATCTCAAGTGTATCAAAATGTTGAGATGAAAAAAAGCAAACCTCAAGATGAAAAGGCAAAAAAGAAGAAGAAAAAGATTCCTATTGATATTCAAATTCAACCAAGAGATGAAACGAGAGGAGGAGGAGGAGGGGGAGAGAGAGTAAGAGGAAAAGGAAGTTAAAGGATGATGACAAAAAGATGAGGACGAGAGAGAGAGAGATATATTAGGAGTATAAATACACAAAAAAACATAACATAATATCGATTGAATTGGTCATTGGCGGAGGTTTGTCAGTCTCTTGTGAATGGGAATGCTGAGTCGATTATGAATGTTACAAAAGAGAAATGGTTAAAAGAAATATGGTTATTAGATGGAGAAGATGGCGTCCGAAGATGAAGATGAGGTTGATACTGTTCTTGTTTAGGGTGACTAGTTGAGTGATTTATTAGAGATGCTTTACGTTGCTAGTTTATAAGATATATCCACTCATCTCTTCACGCTTCCCTGAACTTATTTCCATTTCTGCTAACCATAATGTTCCTTTTATGCCAACATCTCTTTTTTTGCTCTTTCCCTTTCTTTATTATCATGTTGAAGAAGGAATAGCATCATCATCATCACCACCAGAAGCAACATCCAGTAGTTGCATCCTCATCTTATTTGCCATAGAAGCAATTGTCTTCTTTGCATCATTTTTCAAATTTTTTCATCATTTTCCTTCTTGGATTTGGTTCCTTTCTTTTTTCCCTTGGTGAGGCTTTCATTTTTTTTTTGCTTTGCTCTTTCCATTGAAGATGAAAAAGGTTACTTGTAAGAAGATGTTTGATTGACCAAGAAGTTTTTATCGTCATCAAATGGTTTTGGTCAAATAGGTCTCAATGGAATACCATCACCATCACTATCATCATCATTATCGTCATCTGCAACATAAATGAAAACTTTCACTATTCGAGTGATTTAGGAAGGATCAATGAGACAATAGAAAATAGGTTGAAGAGTAATAATAACAACAGCTAGTATAAAAAAAAGAATAAAAAGGATGATGCTGAGAATGAAAGTGAGGATGAAGATGTTGAGAGGATGTTCAGTGAAGCATCATGGAACATACAAAAGGGTTTTCTCTCAACAAAATCACATAGGAAGATGAGTAAGTTTGGTTAAACATGGCTTGAGATTGGATTGTTTAGGGATAAACCAGAACATGGATAAACTCCATGGATGATGATTGGCTTGATTAATGGAGAATTCATCATAAATTAATTGGACATGGTACCAAAAGTGTTCAAGATTCATTCCCAGGAATACCATTTGCCAAGATACACAACGTACACAATAGTAGCCAATTCCTGGTCCAAAGAAATGTCTTCATCCTTATGAATTCATACTTTCTTATCTTCGGCAAAAGATAGAATATAATAGACAGTCTTTAAAAAACGTTTCTTGAATAATTAAATTGAACATTATTACAATAATAAACATAATTTTTGAAACATGCAACAAAATAAAATAACATTGTAATTGAAGCCAATTTTTGACGCCATGTGATACAAGTCTTCTGACAAAAAATGAGCGCCAATCATTTCTTTTTTAAATATTGAATTATCGTTTGTCAATCATATTTTTAATCCAATTATTTTCATTAATTTAACCTTTTTTCAGCTATAATTATAATTCCAAACGTGTAAGGAAGGAAATATTATAATTTAAATTTGCTAATTTCCTAGTTTAATATGTTATTGAACATTTGTCTAACATTAATGAATGAATGTTAATAAGAAAGAGTTGCATAAACAGTGTCACTAGGCGGCGAAACCGCTCACAACCTTTGCGAGGTTTTACTGAATTTCATTTCAATCATTGACTCTTGATTAATTAACTGCCTTCAATCAGTGTAAGAAACATTTAAAGCGTAAAATATATTTTATCCTTTGAACTACTGATTTGAGTTAAATATTGTCGAATCCATTATTCCACGTTTTATCTGGTTAAATGGGTTCTGGTGATGATACAATCTAACTGTTTTTGTTTCATGTAATTTGAAAATTTTGCTAACCAATAGTTTAGTTTAACAATAATGAAAAGTAATTGATGTTTGAAACAATTTAGTGAAAGGATGTTGAGAGATGAGGATGAAAATGATGTGAAAAGATGTGACATTTAGAGTTGTTTGTACCGAGTTAATAGTTATTGCCCTTTCTGATGCTTTCCACTCCTTTGGCCTACAATTTAGTGCGTTTAATCATGATTTTGCATCTCTTTCCTCCATGTACAGGTCATTGTTTTTATCATGACAAAAATGATGTGAATTAAATAAAGTAAATGAGCCAAATCTCAAGTCATTTCCCTGGTTTATTAACCTTTTTTTAAATCAACATACACACTTTTGACTCTCCCTTGGATAAATAAAAATAGTCAACCTGAGCCTACATGCAAGATTAACCCAAGCAAATCCAATAAAATATCTTTATCAATGGTTCCCTTGAGTTTACTCCTTGTAATACTTTTTTTATGGGAACTGTATTATTAGGTGAACAAGAAGACGATGAAGTTGATGAAGACAATGGAGACGATGAGCTTGGAGTTATACAAGAGCCACTTTCTCTCTATCTTTATCAACCTTTAATCAGAATTAAGTGATCAGACAAATGGATTCTTTTGTGTGTTGGTTGCTTTCAAATTAATTTACTTGACTATTAATTCCTTGTTTGTCTGTCTCTCCTTTATCTGGATCCCATGAAAGTCCAATCCCAATGGGATCGATGAAAAACAGCATTGAATGTAACATCTTAGATCCTTTTCATCCTCACTTTGACTAGTGTTAATTCAGTTCCAATCAAATTACTTTTCAACATTGATCAACTTTTTGTTTCCTTCCCTGCAATTTAAAGCAATAATCAATAAAAGTTACTCCAAAGAGCACAGAAAGGAAAGAAGCTCAGATTATACTGAATAGCTTTTTTCTGATTAAAATCAAAAGGTTGACTTACGATGAAAAATGTTGATATCCATAGTAAATAAAGGGCAAGATTGAATGACAGCACACATGAGCTTATATTTGAACAGAAAATTCCAACTCGAATTCATAGCATTTTTGGTTTAATGAATGGTTAAACCACATTCTTTGAGGGCAACAAATTAATTTCAAGCTTCATATTTAAATTAAAGTGAGAGACAACAAAAGCTTAACTATTAATAGAGCATTAGAGTTGAGTGTGATCACAGTTTAATCCGTCAATTGCACAAATGAGAGACATTTGATTAACTAAACAATTTGTAAGATTGAAAGACAATTTAATTTGTAAAAGGAAATTGTCAACGAGATTAATCAAGTCAACTTGCTGAAAGCTTGGAATTGGAACCCAAGAGTTCTTACTTTTCTATACGAAAACAGCTTTCTTCTTAGCCCATTGGCTGTTGCGTTTGCGTTTCGTGTGACAATTAGTATTGCCTAGTGGGATCATCAGATCGTCTTACAATGCTTCTTAATTTATTAAATCGTATTTTTTATCTGTGCTTTGTTTTAACTTAATTAATAGTAAGATTTTCTTTTTCCTTTTAGATATTTTGTTGGAACTCAACTCAATTGGATTAAAGTTAAAATCAAAGACAAATCTGGTCAATATGACTGAAGGGAAAAACGGCTCATCAGATAACCCAGAAAACGTCAAAAATGATTTAACTGGTTGCTGTGTTAAATCACGTTTACCTAAAGATTTGAAAATAAAATGTGGACAATTATTTGGACCCTTTACTGATCCCCTGCAATGGTTGGCCATTAAATGTACTGAACCTTCGACAGCCAATATCAATACGATTGATCGAAAATCAGTTGATCTTTTCAACAAGATTGACATTGCCAGAGACAGTAAGGAACAAAATATGGAAATCATTTTGGTCAATGGACAATTTTACTTTCGATCAACTGTTTCAATTGATGCCCTTTCATCATCTTCCTCATCGTCATCCAATAATTCCAGTAAACTATTAGCTTGGTTTGATGAAGATCTTAATTCAAGATTACCTATGGCATCAATGGCAACCCTAAATGGATCCAAAAGATATTATTGTAGTTTATGTAATCAAGTTTCGCTCTATCCTAATCCAGTTGTAATTCATATATTATTTGAATGTCCCAAAAGGCATGAAATTCTAGTTCCTTACATGAAAATATCAAATATCAAAGCAAATGACCATCGTGAAATCAAAGGAGAAGTTGTCTCTTCATCATCATCAGGACCATCTGCATCTTTCAATCAACCTTCAATCGCCAACAACAATCAAAGCAAAACTACATCAACTGTAGTTACCAAAAAAAGGAGTTTCGATATTGATTCATTGGTAAATGATGATAAATTCATTGAAGATGCTGGTAAAAAGAGTCGACTGTACAATGAAATGATCACTGAATTTAATAATGCTCATAATTTTCATCCAGCTGAATCGATTCCTCTAATGAATTCCCTATCACCTTTAAGCCTGACATCAGCTTCCAATCGATTAATATCACCTCCATCACCAAATAGTCAACCGAGTGCTTTTCGTAAAGTTGATAAATCAAATCGTCACCTAACTGGAATTAACCTTGCCATTAATCACAATCTTCTTCCGCAACATCAGCAAACTCCTTCTTCCAATCATCAACCTTCGCCACATCATTTGTTTGATTTTGCTTCTTTAACATCACTTTATAGCCGAGGATTAAACTGTGAATTATCATCAACTCTTTTTTCTGGTCATTCTAATTTTGTGCCAACCGGATTACCAAATCCACTTTTATCTCCCACTCAACCACCAACTCCATCTTCATCTTCCTCATCTTCGTCAGGCTCTTCATCATCAACAGCATTTCTTTCAACCTCATCAGGAGCCCACTTTCTGGCTTCATCATCAATCCCAGGTCCCATCTCATCGTCGCCTTCATCTTCATCACCCTCTCCATCATCAGCAGGGCGAGGTGAAGTATCAACCGGACCAATATCATCAATTCCGACATCTTCTTCTTCCTCAACCTCTTCAAACTCAACAGCAAATAACAATTCCAAGTCAATGATTCCAGCATCGTTGTTGCCCTTTTTACCTCCATCGTTAGCAGCTTTATCCTTTCCTCAAACAAATTGGTGTGCTAAATGTAATGCTACCTTTCGCATGACTTCTGACCTCGTTTACCACATGAGGAGTCATCATAAGAAGGAAGTTTCAGCTGATCCATTGAAAAAGAAACGAGAAGAGAAACTGAGATGCAATATTTGTGGTGAATCTTTCAGAGAACGACATCACTTAACTCGACACATGACTAGTCATCAATAATTTTGTAAATTTATGCAAACATTTTCCTGGTCATATTCCTATGATATAAATGATTCCACATCTTCATCCTATTTTGACCTGTTTTTGCATTTCTTTTTCTGTGATCCTATTCTAGTCATAATTAGTAGGATTTAAAAGAATCAAACTTTTTTAATTTAAGTCACCCTTAATACTGGATACAATTAGGCAAACAAAAAAGTTGAATCATAATTTATAACCTGTACAGTTTTGATTGTCCCTTTGGAAGCCAATTTTATTCTAATGTGAATTACAGTTTTTGTCTTATCAAATTGCAATTGTGAAAATAAAATAAATCAAAAGAATCGATTGTCACAAAATTTATTGTCTATTGAAAATTTACTTTGAAAATCAATATGTAAGCTGAGTGACCATAAGAGTTACATTATAAACATTAGTTTAATGAACAAATATTCAAGTGCAACTGAACAAAAGGAAGAAATTAATAGAAGCACAAATTGGAGTTCTAACTAACTATCACATTTATGCAAAAATGGGCAAAAACGCATAGAAATTAATTTCATTCCAATTTAAACTCTGTTGATTTTTAGGGACATGAAAACTCTATCCATTTGTGTGATTTAAAAATTTCTATGATCCATAGTTTTGGAGAAAATCGAATTCGAAGTTGAAACTTCGATCGCTTTTCGAACAAATATGAAAGCAGATTTTTTTATCAAACTTATTTTACTGATTCGACCATTTATGATTAACCTGAAAATGCACTTATTCTGAGGAATAAAATTTTGGGTTTTCCGTAAAACATATAAGTTCGATTTTCATTTAAACCGACTTTTTTCTGTGACCGTATGAGTTAGAGGACTGAAACTTATTATTTGTTGTTGAAAATTGTTTCTTTGCACCATGTATCAAATACTTTTTTCAATTTATCAGTAATTCTCTTGATTTTGGCCATTGTTATTGAAACTTTTCGCCTCGATATGTCGAGAATGGCCAAACCTACAGTCATCATTCTTCCACTAATTGACTCCTTTACTAATTAATAGTACAATAATAATTAAAAACATTCCCTTAGCGCTCTTGAATTATGATATTTGGGCTTTAAATGGTCGTACAACAACTTATTAAACAAAACAAACTCATATTAACCCATTTCTTGGTGAATAAAGCATTTTTCTGGTTTAGGTTTCAAATGAAATGCAAAAGATACTGCGAAAAGCTCGAAAGTTTGAGCTGAGAGTTGAAACTAAGCACGTTTGTAGGGAAATAAAAACTCAGTCTATTGGTACTAATAAATAATTGCTCCGATGGACAGTTTTCGAGATAATCGAGCTCAAATTTGAAACTTCGAACGTCTTTTGCTCAGCCATGGAAGTAGATTTTTTCATTAAACTCTATTTAACTTATGTAAATTTTGATGGTGAACAAGAAAATGCATTAATTTTGAGGAATAAAACTTTCGTTTTCCTTTAAAGTATATAAGTTTGATTTGCACTTAAATCGACTTTTTTCTGTGACCGTTTTAGTTAGAGGACTGAAACTCATAATTTGTCAGTAAAAATAGTTTGTTCAAACCATAGATCAAATAATTTTTTCAATTTACCAGTAATTCTCTTGATTTTGGCCATTGGGATAAAACACTTCAAGCGCAATATTTCGAGAATGGTCTACTCTACAGTCACCATTCCTTGGCCAAACATTACATGTTATTAGGAACTATAAAATGATATTACTGAATACCCGATGAAATCTGAAATAATTCATTTAATGATGAATATCCTTCTAACACATAAGGCCTGTGTTTGATTAACAGTTTAAGTTTATAAACCAAGCCTCAATCCTGAAATCTTAAGTAATACAATGCTATAACTTTTATTACAGAACCTTGAATAATTTAAAATTTGAATATAACATAGCTCTTGATAAAATCTAATGTTTGGTTAAAGAATTATGACTATGGGTTAGGCCATTCTCGAAATATTGGGGCTTGAAGTTTTTTAGCCCAATCGCCAAAATCAAGAGAATTACTGGTAAATTGGAAAAATTATTGAATGGCAAAGGTTTGAACA